TATCTCTTTTCATAAATATTATTTTGGATCTTACAACACATTATAATCATAATTTCATTTTTTCTTATAAATACAAGAGCTCTTAATACAAAAAATAAGCAATTAAAACTAATGTAAACAATTTATTACTTATCATGTATGATATATTTCAATTATCATTGAGAAAAAGGTTATACCAGATTATATAGCGACTTATTTTGGTATAATAAATTTATATACTTTGATTACTTTATTACACTATATATATTTGTCAAAGTTCATATAGTTCTCTCTCAAATGTCTTAAAAATTTATTCACAGAATTTTATTACATACTCTTTCTGAATTCAAAATAAACATATGAAATAATAAAATAATATTAATAAAATAATTAATATTAGAAGTATACTCTTTCATACTCGACAATATATAAAACTCTCTGATAATAAATTCAACCTAAGAACTTGCCTAAATCCCTTTCAGGATTACATATCAAAAACCTCACTTGCATTAATATCGTGACTAATAAAAAGAAAGAGTAATCAAATAAGACTAGACATAAATTAATTAAGATAAAAAAACCTATATCAACTTTAGTGAGAGTGTGTGTCTCACTAAATCGCTAATTATGATATATTACAACGCCATACTCAACTAACACAATTAGCACACAAATCATATAAAGATTTAAAAATATCTCAAGGGAGTATGTTTATTTCACAAAATATCGCATGTAATACCTATATCAATATAGTTATTGATATTTTATGATAAAATAAAGAATCTCTCTCTCTCAAGAATAAATTAGGTTCAGCTAAGAAGTAGTATAACCTTTTAAATCATAGACAAATTATCTAGGACCTTAATTCTGTGACATTATGAATGTAGTTGTATAAAATAAGCGGCACCCTATATATGCGAGTGAAAGAGTTTTTATCTCATATATTTGAGCCTCTCGGTGCAAAGCAAAGTTGGCGGATATTGTGTCAGTACAAAAGAGGAGGTAAGATTATGTGTAATGTGTAAGACAGGTGGGGGTCTCCGTCCTCAGTGGTGTAGTGAGGAAGAAGCAAAGAGTGATTCATGGGGACACCACGAATTCAGAACTCTATTCTGCTCTCAATTATAGCCTCTAATACAATCTCCATATGTCTCCAACTTCTTTTCTCGCCTCATTGAGTATTTTGATGCACTGAAAATAGTGACTCATTTTATGTTAAATTAATTTATATACTAATTTATTTTAAATTATCATTGTCTATCTTTACTCTACCATGAGAGCGGCAACCAATAATCTTGGTCAACTTTGTTCCTTAACCATAGTTTGAGTATTTCTCGCAGCATTGGGCACAACATCATTAATACGACGTAACCCACCAGCCGTCACTCGCCATAGGGTTTCATTTGCTCAAAATTGGGGTTTGGAAATGATATATCTCATTAGATGACATGCTCATTATTTTATGACAGCACCACTCTCCTTTCAGAATATCATAGCGAAAAAATCTTCAACTTGCATTCCGCCTGCCCACTCACGGGAAAATGTCCATCAATTATATAAACACTGGATGACTACCGAGCGATTGCTATGGATGTATATCGTTAATCTCACTCTCGTATGATGAGCGAAAGACTGTGAGATAGTTATATAGATATAGAATATGGCGGTCTCTCATTTATTTTTTTTCTCAAAAATAAAGGTATTTTTTATACGAGATTGCAAACTAAGTAAAAAAACTCAATGAGCAAATAATTAAAAAAATATTTTAATTAGTTTGGCTATATGCATTGTCGCCGACCATTTTTATTAATATTATAACTAATAAAATAGTACACCGCGGTGAAATTAGAGAGTGAGGAATGAGTAATAAGATTATAATATTTTAGTTGAATTTTACTTAATTGAATATAGTAAAATCTAGGGTTTTGGTAGCTCCTATTGCGAGAGCTAGTGGATCTATATGAGATAGTCAGCTTATCAAGTCCATTAGTTCCTCCTTTACCACAATGAAGTTGGACGATGATTAACCTGAAATACTGACTAGAGCGCAACCACTATGTATTTCATTTATTCGTCTCAGGATATTGTCCGAGTCTAATGAACATTAATAGTGTATTTTGATTTTGACTGATACTATAGTTTATATAAATTCCCTGTTTTTTTTGATAAGTAACAGATATAGATATAAGTATAGTAATGATTAGTTAGGAATGAGCTTTTTTCATGATCTAATGCTATAAAGCTAAACATTACTATGGAATTAACTTTTTATAAACAGGGTCATAGTGTACTCACTTCGTAAAGCTAGTGTTCATAACTAGCCCTCTCTTTACCTAACTAATAATCATATAAATTATAGCTAACTTAGCCCTACTTGAACTCAGAAAACGTCGGTGCCCTGAACACAGCCTTCAAATGTAGTGAGTCATGATATAGATTCACTTAGAATGCGCCGACCTCTCTCTAAAAACAACTTTTCTTCTTTATGTCTAGAGTAATGGTTCTAAAGAAGCTCGTAAAACCTCATTTTAACGTTCACTGGATGGCAGTATCTCAAGCTCCTCTTTGTCATAGCTGTCTAGGTGATGATTTGTTAGGAATTAATCTCAAGAATAATTCCACTAATAAACCCCGTAGATTCATGTGCACTCGTCACTAGATTTAGGCAACTCTCGATAAAATAGAAATTGAAATAAGAAATAAAGGTTGCGTATACTTCTGATCAACTGGTATATCTTCGTATTTCTCAAGTGTAGTCTTTGTATATGTTTCCACCTTAGCGAGTTCAACCTGCAGCCTTATACCATGACGAGCAAATATGGAATACAAAGTCGCCTATATAGCGAGAAGCAGCTCTGGTAACGAAAGTGAACGTCAATCTAGAATCGATATTCAAAACCCATACATGGGAAGAGGACTTGCATCCATTTTATTTATCTCCTTAGTCTAGGGTTTAAGGAAAGTCAATTCCTATTTTTCCAGCGCTACCTTTAGAACGAAAGCAACAATAGGAATATCAATCAATATAAATACATAATGGATCTCCCACTATACTCATCTTTAAATATTCTCTTATAAATTAGTTGTACTCACACTCTTTACATTCGAGCATGCTTCAAATGACCACCAGTGTGTGATAATTTAGACTTTACACATATTATGTGTGAGGTCTTTTTTAGTTACATATAATCTTAATTTATTTACTAATAACGTCTCCCAACAGAGTAAAGAGTAGTATTCGGATGCAAAAAAAAAAAAAAAAAAAATCATTAAAACATCACCAATGTATAAATTAAACAGATTTTATGCAGCAGATGAATTCAAAAAATTTAAATCCAAATTCATGACAAACTGAAATTTTAATAATTATATCCATCCCAAACGAATTCAACCAATACTAAAACCTGCATTAAATGGGTTGGAGTAAAAAAAAACCTTGGAGGTTTCCATCCCTACCTCCAAGCCAATATAAGAAATGTATTTCAAAAGTTACCACGAGTTAGATTGAAAAGCAAGAACATTGATGTGCATGACTTTCTGTGAATTAGAAGTAAAATGAAATGAAGAGTTTTTAAATTTAAGAAAGGAAATTTAGGTATTTTACTGTGTATTTCAGAAAATTAATGTATTCTAATTATTTTATTAATTTTTGTAAAAAAATGAAATGTTATTAAAATGGAATAGAGAGGGTATCCGATGGGTGAAATGAGATGACAAAAATCTCCTCCCTTGATCAGAAGTCCTTTAAACACTGGAGAGAGATTGCTTTGCATATGAGTCTGCTCGATGTGATTCCAATTAATCGGGCAAATAAACTTTGAATAATGGACCATTAAAATAAACAAAAATAGAATAGAGAGAATAATTTAATTTGGTCCCGCTGGCAGCACCTAGGAACTATGAAATAGACATTGATTGTATATGCAAGTTGAGATAATTTATTTCCTTTTTTGAATTAAAAAGAGTAGTCTAGTAGTATGTATACTCAATCTAATTAACACCACCACGACTTATATATTGCTTAGGCCCAAAGCTTGTTTTCTTGTCGAGGGAAACCCTCACTGGGCATGTAGGGATACCGATTGCATGTAGGAATTGTAAATTAAAATTATAATCTCTATTAATTGCATCCACAACCTATAATCACAAAGATACAGCAAAGCTTTGCACAAAAAAGTCTTATTCTTAGCTTAAAAGCTTCACCAAGTGAAAGCATCAATCATCTAAAACATCACTATTATTTTTCCATTAGGTGCTTATGTTAATCATTAGTGGTTTTTATTTTTCTTAATTTTCAACTTAAGAGTAAAGTAGTATCGAGTCAATTTCTAGATATTATATTAAGATCATACTAGGTAAAATTAATTGTTTTAAGTAATTATTAATTGCAGTAACAGCTGCCATCTGTTTTACTAACATTTCATTAAATGTTAAAATTTTATAATTTGTTTGTTCAAATTCTAAAGAAATTTTAAGTAGGTCAAATCCACTTTTAATCTATTTAAAAACAAATCATTCATGACTAAATTTAAAGAATTTTGCAAATAAAAATATATTATTGAATTTTTTTATTGCTATTAATTTTCATTTTTTTTTTTCCCAAATCTCTTTTTTTACTCTCAAATAAGTGAAGTCAAAAGAAGTGTTTCCCTTCAAGATATTTCCATTTTGTACTTTATTTTTAATAACTCTTCATTATGGTTTGCATATTCTTTTGGTTCATCTTTTATTGTATTAATAATGGTATAATATAAAGATAGAATGGAAAGTAATATTTGGGAAATTATACAAGAATAAATAAACGATACATTATCTTTTATTATTTTTATACTACTAATGTGAAGCACTGATCAATATAAACAGCCACATCACATGAATCTCGATTAGATAATTTTTGGAACCACCTATTAATTAATTAGAAAAAATTCAAGGACATAAGAAAGAAAGAAAAATTATCTATGATAAAAAATTTGAGATGATGACGAAGCAAGTGTGATTGTAATATAACTATTTTGTGTAATAAATGATACTTTTATAATTGCATGCAGTGCATATGATCAAATGGCCATCTGTCAGTATTTTTTTTTTCTTCAATAAATGAAAGAAATTTCATAAAAGATGAATAACCATTTACAAGAAGCTGCAACCGAAAAAACAAAGTGCAAGAGACAAATAGAGTACGTACCAATGATGAGCTTTAAACAATATGCAATTTGAATCCCTGCATGTTTAGGTGTCGGTGGCATTCAATATGCCATCTTTGATTTTTGGTCCCAAAAGTTCCCTAAAATGATTGTATTCATATTTCTTTTTGCATTAGATACGGAAAAATTTAAACAGGTCATCAGATGCAATCAAAATATGAGAATATAGTGGGAAGTATTAAAAATAAAAAAGGATGGAAAACAGATAGAATATAACAAAATTAACAGAGGATAAAAAAGATTGTACAACAATAAAGTACCAAACAAGCAAAAGCAAAAAAAAAAAAAAAAGGCAAACAATTCATTTTACAGCTAAAATGTTTTTTACACATCGACTGGAATTTTATGACTTTTTTTGGAGAGCAAAAGCCAATAACAGTCGCAGAAATGGACACAACCTTTTGTCTCTTTAACCATGTGCTGAACATGTGGGATGTTGGGTTTTCAACCGGGAAATTCGGAGGTCCATTTAGATCCTGATTAGGACATGCCACTCTTACATTTCCAAAGAGTTTGCCTTTGCAAAACAATAACTTGGCAATTCTTAATAGGGAGAGAACATAACATAACCCACCTCCCCATTGCCCATTTGATTTGGACCTCACTACTATTTTCAAGCTTTCTAGCTTTCTTTTCATCACTAAAAACCAGCTTGGTACGGATGGTTGTCCAATCCCATTCAAGCCGAAAATGATCCAACAGGAAAATTATGCATATACAGCATCCATCCAAATAAATACATATGAAAAGCAAGCGTTAGAGACTATCGAAAGGAGGAATATTTTTATTCAGCATTAATCAAATAGGCTTCTTTCAGCTCAAAAACGTACTAAAAATTATATTGGAAAATGAAACTAACCATATTCAATAAGAGACCATTCTCATCAGGGGTTTGGGTTTGAACCCAAACTAGCCTGAATATCGTTTCTAAATTGGATTGAAACTGAGGAGACTATGTTCTGCTCCTTTCTCCCAAGTTTTTGGGACCGTATTTGACCCTGAACCATCAATTGGACCGGCAATTCTAGCCTGGTCCGATCCCAAACTAAAGAAAAGGGACAGAAGGCTCTGTATCTTTGCTCCCAATGGCCAAGAGGCCCATGGCTCTATTTTTTTTTTTTTTTTTTTAATCATTTTGTGAAAAAGAATTTTTTTTTTTTTTTTTTACAATCTTTTTGAAAAAGAAAGGCCGAAATAAACTGAGATCCAAATCGGTCTGGTTCAATTGTGATTCACCCAACTTAGACCTTGAACCGCTATTTCAATAAACTGGTCACTCCTAATCATCATAGTAGTAAAAGTGCAGTTTTCATATTCAACAGCTGATAGTGGAAATCCTGTTTTGGAGCCTTTTCTTTTTTTTTTTTTTCCGTAAGTTAGTAGCTGATTTATATTTATATTATTTTGAACTTCACTAACTTCATAAAAATAATTATTAATGGCCAATCAGGTGGTAGTCTGGTTGGTCTTCTGAGGAGTAAGAAATCTCGAGTTCGAATTCTCTTGATCACAGTTGTTTTCATCAATTTGGTGAGTCAAGGGAAGAACTACCCTCTATTGTATAACCTACAGTGTTATTTCAGCCCTTAAATCTAATGAATTAAAAAAAAATTACTAATAAAAATTTTTTTTAGATTAATATTTTTATTTATGTAATATATTCACATTAAAAAATACGAACTGCTAAACTAAGGGCCCTAAATACTAACGCTAGTTTTGTATGGACCAACAATTAAGGGTTGTACTTTTATTACATAAGATCAGGTTCATTCTAAGGAATAATCTTTGGAATAAACCTTTCATTATATAATAAATAATGGTGGCAAAAATCTCAACTGTTGATTTAATTTAATCTGCTCATTTTGTACAAGCAGGCATGCACGATTATGCGATGATAAAAAAAATAAACCTCGTTATTGTGCCACAGCTTTCCGTTCCCAACTTTTTTCATCAGCTGCAACCTTCGCATCTGGGAGACTCTTTAACACCTATATAAATAACAGGAAATAAGAAGTACTTTCACTATCAGTACCGCCAACTAAAACAGTAAGGCTTATAGATTGGGAAATACCTGGCAAAGCTGCCAAGAAGCAAAAGCATCTGTGGCAGCATACTGTAGTTGCTCCTTCGATAAAACATCTACTTCCCAGTTTCCCAGTCTAATTTTGTTGGGTTTCTGAAGCTGCAAGGTTTCAGTTACTTGTAACTAACTATATTGGAAATTCCCAATCAAAAGCAAATCCAAATTTGGAGGGCATCAGTTGTCAACGTAAAGAACCACCAGTACAAAAAGGTGATGCCCAAACATTGTAAATTCACATGAACCCCAGATGATGGATTGGTTAAAACAATTGTAAAAGATAATAAAGAATTATATTGAAAAATAGAAGACAATATAAAAATGATTCACGTAATTAGGACCACTATGTAGTCAGTTGTCATTAACCCCTCGTTGATGGTGTAGATAGGACTCTTTTATGCCTAGTAGTGAGCACAATTTTTTTTTTTTTTAAATGTTAGATAAATTAGTTTCGACAAAATGCTTGATGATTGAATTTCATAAGAGGTCTGAAAACTCACAATATATTCTCTTCCCATCAGTCCTTTCAAGATTTTAAGCACAAAGCATTAATCCAACAAATGCACACTTTCTTCTACTTGCTGTATACACCGTTTCTCCTATAAGAATAAGGTACAGTGGTACACTATAGTTGTAGTCAATAACCTTTGGGGGAAGTTTTTCATGGACAACATATAAATGCTTCATTTAGAGCTGGCATTTATTTACATCTTTTTTCCCCCATATAGCTGCAGCTACTGAAAGTTTGCTCCTAGATATACAAATTGTCCAGCAATTACCATCATATCGAGGAAAGTTTTCATATATGACAATGAATAGTAGGTATGCCATGCTGTTATGGTGTGATGCAGTCAAAACTCAGGTCAGCATCAACCGAATTGAGGATTTTTTACCCAGAGTATTAGCTTAGAGGAGACAGGTAGGAGACAGGTACCTCTTTGCAGACAAGCTTCTCAGTTAGAGATTGGAGACTCCAATTTTTGGGTTCCCCACCAAGTTTTTTATTTGCCACATAGGAAAGGTCCTCCACTGCTTTGGTAGATATATTATAGTCTTTAAAAATCTTAGCAGAATCACCACGAATGCCAACTCCAACCTGTAAATATGCCAAGCATTGTACTGTGATAATATAAATGACATGTGATCCAAAACAAATAATTCAAACACATATGCAAATGTAGAAACTCGAGTGAGAAAAGTTACAAGTTACAAACTTTTAGAAGTGTAGCATCCTCCAGAAGAAACTGCAGAGTCTTTGTGATTCCAGAATGAATAATATGCATCACATAACAATCATCAGTACCACTGCATAACTGCAAAACTGCAGCCTTTCCGGGCAAAACACCTGTCAAGTTAAATTTTTTTCTCAAAAACAATGACCAAATATTAAAGTCCCATTTATCAGTTTCTACAACCTTTAGTTTCTGATGCCCCAAACCATTCTCATTCAAAGTTCATAGGCTGTTCAGTAAAATTGAGTAGCTGGGGAATTTTCATCATTTAACTGAATACTAGCTGAAGTTCTGGTGATGTGCATTTACGAATTGTAAGGAAAGTTCTGTTGGAAATTTTGACATTTTATAGATATGAAATACAGTGATTGGAAAGAACTCAAAATACCAAAATGCTATCCTGTCTTATCCTCGCCAGATACTGAAAAGCAGGAAAGAGAGAATCATATAACTGTTGTCTTTTGGTAACAGAAAACTTATCTGGTTGAATGGAGGGTACTCAAAACAAGATATATTTATATATTACAAAGAAATGAAAAGTTTGTGAACTTCCTTTATTTCTTACATTACTTCCAAGTGTCAATAACAGCTGTATAGTGAGTCAATATCAGCTGTAATTATTGTATATATCTTTACTAATTTGCTATAATTCTGGTATTTAATAGCTGTAATCTTACTAATTTTGCTATCAATTCTGGTATTTAATAGCTGTAATCTGGGGGATTTATTTGGGATGTAAATATGGGATGCTGATTGTGCTTAAATTTAGGAAAGTAGGCTAATCTCTTGTTATTAATTATATGATACAGAAGCATTTAAGAATATACAGAATTTTCTCCAAATTTCTTTGTCTTTTGTATATGGTATCAGAGCCTTACGATATACCGTCTATTGTGTTTTCTTGTCTGACGAAATAGTTCATCTTCTGTGTTGTTCTTTTTTTTTTCCCCTTATTTTCATTTTATCATTCTTGGTTTTTCTAATCATGGAAAAAATCTGACGTTGTGCTGCATAAATTCACAGCAAGAATTACTTTTTGCTTGGGAATTTTCAATTCAAAATTTGATGTCAGGGGAAAAGACTTATGGGACTTTGACTGGTTTCGACTTAGAGTAAAGCGCGACGGATTCAACTAAAATAGCTTGATATGGGAAACAAAAGACTGCTCGTGTGAAAAGTTAGGTTGTTGCAAAACAGATGGAATCTTCCATTGCTGCCAACCTCGGACCATTCAAAAACAGTTGGAAATGCATGTGGGAGTATCTAAAAAAAGTAACAAGTATGCTCCAAGATAATTCAGCTAGGCTGTTTCAACATGGGCAGCAAGATGTTTCCCACTTACACGGTGGGGAAATTTGTCAATCCAAGGAATAATTATTCGGTGTTTTTGGTTGCTTTGGTTGGATGAATATACTAGATTTTATATGCTTTCTATTCCTGACAGCATCTTTAGGACAGTCATTAAACCTTCATCAAACTAAGTCAAAAGAGATCGTTTTTTGATGAAAAGAGATCGTTTTTTGATGAATCTCAGATCTGAATTTGAGATTGTCAGATCCAATTTGTTGGCTAGGACTAACATTCCATCTTTGGATGATTGTTTGAGTGAATTGCTTAGGGAGGAACAACGTCAAAAGACGCAGCATGCCTTAGAACAGCAAGGCAGCTTATCCAATGTTCTCAATGTTGCGTATGCAGCACAAACCAAAACTCGGAACCTGGCTGGAGTCCAATGTTACAGCTGCAAAGGATTTGGTCATATTGCAAGTCAATGTTCCAAAAATTTTGCAACTATTGCAAAACTAAGGGACATATTATTTCAGAGTGTAGAAAGCAAAAGCGTCCCCAGAAACCGTACCATCTCAGGCTTTGATTGCTTCAACAACCAATCATTTGCGAACATCAAGCATCGAATAATGCTTCTCAACAAGTTGTTCTGTAACTTACTCAAGGAGGGCGCAGTCAACAAATAGTCACTCTAGCTATTCTGCACTGGAATTAACGGGTAAAAACACAATCCTCTTAAAATGCTGTGCTTTTGTGATTCAGCTGCATCCAAATCACATGACTCCATCACTTGACAATCTGTATGTAACATTAAAAAATATGATGGGCACTTGAAAAAATCGAGGGACTGCTAGTCTGGGAATCATGTTCCCATTATGGCTATGGGTGATATTTTTGCCTTCCTTTTCTGGCAAGAATGTTTTTATTGCTCCTAAAATTCATTACAAATTTATTATCTGTTGGACATAATAGTGGAGAAGTAATTGTGAAGTCATTTTTTTTCCCTCTGGCTTGTTGTTGCTGCAGGAGGTAATGACGGGAAACGGTTGGCCAAAGGGACCTAAATGGGGCAGATTGTTTTTCCTCGTTACATATCCATGAATCCGACAAGCTTCAAAGTGTGTCTTACTTTTTCTAACTACTTCAGTTCAAATGAATATCATTAGGCATACGAAGCTTGGGTCATCCTAATGATTAAGACTATTTCTCTTTTGTTTTAAGTCTGTGGTGTATTGGGAACTAAAACCTTGTCTAAAAAATATTGATTTTTAATTGGTTCTTAGTTGTCAAATGGGGTAAAAGCAAAACCTTACCTTTTCCATCTCATGCTACTCATCAAAATGAATCTTTTGAGCATGTGTTTGATTTGATTCATGCTGATTTATGGGGGCCATACAAGTTGAAATCAATTACCAACGCTGTTTATATGTTAACCATCGTTGATGATTATAGCCAGTTTTGTTGGACTTATATGTTGAAAACCAAAGACCAGGTGTTGCTTACCTTGAGATCTTTTTTTAATTATGTGATCACTCATTATGACAAACTGGTAAAGATTATTCGCACTGATAATGGAACAGAGTTTGTGAATATTGCATGTAGTTCTTTTTTACAGGAACATGGTACTTTACACCAGAGGACTTGTGTTTATACCCCTCAGCAAAATGGAGTTGTTGAACGGAAAAAAAATCGCCATTTACTTGATGTGGTTCGAACTTTGCTCATTGAATCATTTGTTCCACCAAAATTTTGGGTTGAAGCCTTATCCACTGCCGTACATCTCATAAATCGACTTCCCTCGCAGACTCTCAATAATCAAACACCATATTTTTTGCTTCATAAAACCATAACAAATTATAAACATTTACATCCTTTTGGATGTGTATGTTTTGTCCTTCTACCACCTCACGAACGAACCAAGCTTTCCCCACAATCAATAAAATGTGTCTTTCTTGGCTACGCACCAAATCAAAAGGGTTTTCAGTGTTTTGATCCAACCACCCAACGCCAATCATATCGTATTTCTCGTTAATGTACAGTTTTTTTTCGATACCAAAAAAAAATTTTACTTCTCCTTGAAGCCTCATCCAATACCATCTTCTTATACACTAAGATATCACATCTCCTGAAAGAACAACATCAAAAATGACTCAACCTTCCATGACTGCGGTCGTCTTCCAATAACCCGATTCATCTGGATTGTGTTCCCTATACTAGAAGGACTAAAATGTTCCAAGACACATTGCAACAACAACTCTGATACTTCCATCCAATACTAGAAGACCTGTTCATAGACAAATTCAACAACAATCTGATACTCCATCAACAGTAATGGCACTTGAAGCTTCGCCTGGGTCCCCTCTGCCACCTGAGCTCGACATTGCACCTCCACCACTTAGAAGATCTGCTCAAACCATCAGAGCCCCAGACAGGTACGGTTTCTCTCCAGAAAGAAAAAATGAATCTCATACATCCATGGTTGCTACTTTGTCTTCTATTGCCATACCAAAGTCATATTCAGAAGCAATTAAATCTGATTGTTGGAAGAAAGCTATTCAAGATGAATTGGATGCTCTGGCAGAGAATCAGACTTGGCAACTTAAACCGTGTCCACCAGAAATCACTCCCATTGGTTCCAAATGGGTTTTTACTGTCAAATTGAAAGCAGATGGTTCTTTTGAACGTTGTAAAGCTCATCTGGTAGCGCTAGGAAATCGCCAGGAATATGGGATTGACTATGACGAAACATTTGCTCCGGTCGCGAAAATGACTACAGTTCGTACAATTAAAAATGACTACAGTTCGATTACTATTATTGGCTATTAGCAGGCTTTCTCACGACTGGTGTTGCCTATTACTACATCAAAATGATGTTAGAGAATGCCTTTCTTCACGGGGATCTTAAAGAAAATGTTTTTATGCGTCCGCCACAGGGATTGCAAACTGGTCCAAATGAGGTATGTCAACTGCAACGTTCTCTGTATGGGTTGAAACAAGCCCCTCGTGCCTGGTTTGCAAAATTTCTTCAAACTTTGCTTGATCTCGCCTTCCAACAGAGTCAATATGATCCTTCTTTATTTTTCCAAAAGACAACTCAAGGCATAGTTATGTTACTTGTATATGTGGATGATGTTTTAATCACTGGTAGTGATACTGTTTGCATTCAACAATTGAAATCATCTTTAACTGCTTCATTTCACATGAAAGATCTAGGGTCACTGAACTTCATGGTTCACATGAACCAGATCTAGGAGTCTCTTACTTATTTCCTGTGATTAGAAGTTCACAGAAGCACCACAGGAGAGATCCGCGGCAAATCACAGATGAGTACATTCACGAAAAAAACGTAATTCACTTGGTTGGGGTTAACAAACACAAAAATCACAGTGTGGAAATACTCCATCGGAAGAAGAAAGTTAACTAATCAAATTTCAGAATAAAGAAGCGAGGCGATGAAACTTCAGTTGGCAGGATACAACATAAACATTGACCTAGGCAAATCGGCTCCGGTGAAGTCTTACGTCTAATAATGGGACAATACAAGACTCGAATATCTTCTTTGACATGGTACAAAATAATTGATAGAGTCAATTCATGCATCTCACGCCACTTACATATGAAGATATGGGTGTGAAGACTGCCTAAATCCTGGTACTTGCATGACGAAACTCCAGGCATCGATGGTCTATTTTTTCCAGCTAACTTCTTCCACTTAACGGTCTTGCGCTATAGTGACTTGATCGGGCTGCGCGGGTGTGCCCGGATACTCGTCGGTTCTACAACCGGGTGTGTGTGTATATTTAGGTGAAGCTCTAATTTCTTTATAAGGGCCAAGAAACAAGACAGAGTCTCCTAAAGTCTCCACTGAAGCGAATATTAGGCGGCCAATGTCATGCAACATGGCTGCAGAAATAATAATATGGTTGCGTTTTGGTGTGTTATCTGAATTGGGATTGGATACTCAAGCTGGGTCAACTCCTCTTCATGCGAGAGGATAATACTAAGTGCCAATGCTCAGATTAGTCGCTTAACTCCTAGTTGCTACCATGAGCGCGAGCGCCGGAAAGCAACAATTGAAATGGAGACTGGTCATTCAATCCGAGAATGTTTGATATATGTAATCAGCCTCCATAGGTATTTCTTACCGAAGTACAACAGTGCATCGCCGAGGTATCCTGACCAAGCTCGCCTCCCCCCCCCCCAACACAACCCCAGCCCCCCCCCCCCCCCCACGGCCCCCCCCCCCCCCCCCTCCCCCAACCCCCCCCCCCCCCCGCCCCCCCCCCCCCAACAACCCCCCCCCGTCCCCCTCCCCAACCCCCCCCCCCCTCCCCCCCTCTTGCTGCATCGGACATCAATTTTTTTGTAAACAAATTGATTGCTGGCGTTGATCCACCAGCATTCAATTGGAGGTGGTTGTCAAATAACAGCATGTATAGTGAGTCAATATCTAGCGGCTGCTAATTATTGTAAATATTATCCTCTTACGTAGGGTTAGCTAGTAAGTGTGGCTGTCATTTAATCAGCCCTGTAATCTGGCGAAGAATTTATATGGGGATGTAAATATGGGATTGTGATGTGTAACTTACAATTTATTTAGGAAATTATTGTATGGGGCTATCTCTCGTGTATAATTGTATATGATGACAGAAAAGCATTGAAGATATTTATAGAATCTTCCTTCAAATTTCTTTTTGTCTTGTTACCAAGGTCATTTAATTCTGGATTTATGGAGATCTATACAGCCCAACAAGTTTATGTAACAAATCTGCACAATTTATGAAAAGACCTTAAAAGAATGATACTATCAACTTGTGACCGCACGTCTTTGGTATACCAAGTTTCAATGAAACTTCGTCATTCTTCATCGTTCGAGGAAAAGAAGATCTCCAGGTTGATGCAAACTTCATTGATGTAGAACTCAGAATGGAGACAGAGACAAAACAAGGGACAAACTAAAGTGTGTAAAGAAAGAGCAGAAACTAATCCTCAGAAATATATATTTCTCAAATAATTAGAATTAGGATACTAATCTAATGAGGAACTATACAATCACAACTTCCTACAAATCCTATGTTTTTACATTTATATTTTTCCTAAAATTAAGTACTCTAAAAATCCCTCTATGGAAACTCACGGATGTTGCAACCAGTATATAACTGCCCTCATTTTAGGTTTAAAGTAGTGTCAAACAAAAGATTTATTGGGGATGTAAATATGGGATGTGATGTGCTTAAATTTAGGAATATTGTAGGCTATCTCTTGTATAAATGTATATGATACAGAAGCATGAAGATATATAGAATTTTCTCCAAATTCTTTTGTCTTGTTACCAAGGTCATAATGTCCTGGTATTTATGGAGACATAAAGCCCAACAAGTTTTGTTTAACCAAACTGAAATTTATGAAAGATTAAAAGAAGATACTATCAACTTGTACCGAGCTAGGGTAACAAGTTCATGAACTTCGTCATTCTTCATCGTCGAGAAAGAAGACTTCCATTGACAACTCATTGATGTAGAACCAGAATGAACAGAGACAAAACAAGGAACAAATTGTAAAGGAAGAGAGAAACTAATCCTCAATAATATTATTCTCAAATAATTAGAATTAGGATACTAATCTAATGAGGAATATACAATCACAACTTCCTACAATTCCTATGTTTTACATTTATATTTTTCCTAAAATAAGTACTCCTAAAATCCCCAGGAATAGGATGTGCACCACGTATATAACTGCCCTCATTTTAGGTTTAAAGTAGTGTCAAACAAGAACACCCAACAAGAGGAGGTGATCCAGCCAGACCTTCCACTATCGATACCTTGTTATGGCTTCATAAGTGTGGCTTCATAATAATATCAGATTCATCATTGCCCGAATAAGACTGTATTCAATTCATAAGTCATCTATATTTCAAGTGATAGCTGCGGTAGCATAAATGCATTTCAAAATAGGTTAATAGATAAAAATTCTAATCATATGAATCCATCAACTTGCAGAAGTAAAAATAAATCAAGATATTAAATCAATTTCAAAAGAAATGCTGAACAAACCTCTTCTGAATGTCGGTCTCCACTCAATATCAAGTCCAATGGCAACTTGATCTGTTTCTCCTCTTTTAGCTTCTAGACTAAATAAAAGCTCATTAGCAGCTTCCTCTACATCCATCGGAGTTCTGCTATATAAGATGCGACCTCCAAACTTCATTGACGGATATCTCATCTTTATGTTTGCTGTAATCCAAAACATGATAACAATTGCAATGTCACAGTCTATTCCTTCTCTTCATATAATTTAATTCTTAATATAAATATGAAAAAATTGTACTTATGTCTTAAGAAAATTTGAACAAGAAAGAAATATGTTAGAAATCTATGCATCGAATTGGGCAAAATGGGATTCATGTATGTGGAGAAATGTATAGAGTAATTTACCTTGACAAGGAGATAGTGAAAACGGTCTAGAAAGGCCCAAAACTGAATTAGGCAACTGGCGACGAGTTTTCTGAAGATTATGGTCGTTTTGGAGAGTTGATTGTCGTTTCCTGATTGCGGAAGAGGAAGGAGTAGTAGTCGTTAATGCGGGCCGTTGAAATGACGCTTCTATGGCGTCAATTGCTTGGAGCTCTTCGTCTGTTAACGGTTGATCCCACTCTGAAATTGAAGGAAATGGAGAAGAAGAAGGAGGAAGAGAAGGAGAAGAGGAAACGATTTTGCATTCAGTGTTGGTAGTCTCCTGGGATTGCATAGTAAATTTGACTTTGGGCGTGGTTGGAGGAAAGGAAAGCAAGCCGGAGTTCCAATCAGAGAAAAGGCCTTTTTCCAGCGCGAAATCTATTTTTTGGGATTTTCCCACGTCCTTCTTCGCGCTCGTGATCATTAATTTTGAATCTAAAACCCTAGAATTATTGTTTTTTGCAATTTGCTACTATTAATTATTGTTTTTTATATTTTTAAACAAAAAATTATAGATAGAGTATAATTATAATTATAAAAACAAAAAAATTATTATTAATATTATTATGTAAATTATTATTATTATTATACAATAGAGTGATATCAAAACACTTCAATTTATAAAATTTTTATCAATTAAACACTTTAATCGTTGAACACTTGAATTTATAAAATTAGATAAATGAAACATCTATTAATGTCTTATAAATATAAAAATTATTTTTTAAAAAATTATACTAGCTATGTATCAAATTAATATTTTTATATAAAAATTAAAAATTTTAAAATTATTATTATTAGTTTGAAAATATGTACAGTGTTGTTAATTATTAATTTATAGGGCACAATAGATCTTTCTCAAAGTTTGGTTGTTATGCTTTTTAGTTAAGTTGATTTCGATTTATTAATAGATGATGTAATCATTTTTGCAGATTGTTTAATTAAGAAGAGAGTGGATGATGCATAACCATTTTTAGCATTGCTATAAAGTTTAATTTTATTTTTGTAATATCGATATGGTTTCTTTTTTTCAGTCTCTTATTGTCTTGAGAAGAGATCTTATGAACATTTCTTATTGTTTTATTATGTCGAGGTAGTTTTTAATATATTTTTTCACTTAAATTTTCTAAGCTAAAATTAAGTTTGGGTATTTAGTTTTTTCTGTCATGCTTTATTATAGTAAATAAATTCACTTTAATCATTAAAAAAACATATATTTCTCAATTTAAGGATGCGACAATATTTAAATAAAAGTTTAAAGATAAATTTATATATTTTATTATTTGAAAAATAAATTTCTAAAACGTAGTTAAATTAAAACATTAGAACCTTCAATTTCAAAAACTAACCAGTAAATTCTTAAATTATAATTTAGTTAATATTTTGATTATTCTGTCTAAATAAAAGGCTTAAAAATAAATGGAATCATAAGTTAGAGATTTCATAATTAGTTTGACTATAATTTAAGAATTAATTTATTTTCTGCCTTTAAAACTTTTTTTACTCAAAGTCAATTTTGTTTTTTATCAATCAATTGACAATAAAAAAAAAATTATTTTATACAGAAATAGTAAAGTGTTAATGAATAATAATTTAGAAATCTTATAATTAGTTTTGATGATAAAGATTCTTATATATTAAGTTGATTATATTTTAGGACCAATTTATATTTTTTCTTATTAACATAAAGGAGATCTCTTGGTTATATATGTGGCACTAATGCGGTTGGTCGTTCATGTTTTTTAAGCAGTCGTTCGACGACCGAAGAAAGAGCAAATTATCTAACGGCAAATTTACCCATCGACGTTTTCTTCACGCAGCTCTCTCAAACCTGTTATATTAGTAAACGTCGTCGTTTCTTAAGTTGCTTGTCTTTTGGGAAGGCCCTTAGCATACCCGCCTTTTTCCTTCTTCACTCTCTTCCAGTAGCAACTAGCAAGTCCTCCGAAAAGCATCAAAACACCATTTTCCCTCCCTTTTACAAACTCAAAAATCATCATCATCTTCTTCTCTCTACTGAAAAAATTGCTCTGAATAACGATCAAATAGCAACCAGCAGTGATTGCTTTCTCTAATTCCACTGTCTAAATTAAGATTGAGTAACTTTCATGGCTCCATTATATATTACAGTGCTCGCAACACATATATAAAGTTTCCTCAGTCAAAAAATATATATAGAGCTTTAAGAGAAGATGAGTACGGTTGATAAGATGCTGATAAAAGGAATCCGGAGTTTCGATCCGGAGAACAAAAACGTTGTTACCTTCTTCAAGCCCTTAACCCTAATCGTTGGCCCAAACGGCGCTGGCAAAACCGTAATATCTCCTTCTTCTTCTGTTTGTTTTTTCTTTATATTTTTTGGAGTTTGTTTTGATTTTGTATTTATTTTTTGCCTTTCTATTTGTAGACGATTATAGAGTGTTTAAAGCTTTCTTGCACGGGAGAACTGCCGCCAAATGCGAGGTCTGGCCATAGTTTTATTCACGATCCAAAGGTGCATCTTCCTTTCCTTTCTGTTTGGTTGCATAGATTGTAGAAGTAAGAAAATGTCATTTGGAATCTTATGTTTTATGCTAACTGAATATGTGGTTGTTTTATGGTTCTATATTTTCTTTGTTTTCCAAGTAACTGACTATCTACATGCAGCTTAGTTTTATTTCTATATATTTGAATGGAAGCCTATGCATGTGTTGTTTTGATTTATTACAAAATGTTAAATTGTAAAATCAATTAAGGTAATATAGCTGTATGGACTTTGTTCGATTGAGGTATTTTGTCGTGCTCTTGACATCTGGCAATTTCCTTCTTATTTTCTGAATTACTTTGTATGAGAGTAGTTTTCTTTATGTTAATTTTCGTGTATTCATAGCTATATAATTAATTTAATTATTGTCTGTTTATGTTTGTAGGTTGCAGGGGAAACAGAGACAAAAGGGCAAATTAAGCTACGGTTCAAGACTGCAGCTGGGAAAGATGTCGTATGCATAAGGTCATTCCAGCTAACTCAGAAAGCATCAAAAATGGAGTACAAGGCAATTGAAAGTGTGCTTCAAACTATAAATCCACATACTGGAGAGGTTACAATATCACTTTTCGATTTATGGTTTCTGGACATATCATTGTTGAGTGATTTCATATTTATTTTGGTGAAATATACCTGATCATCTCACATTTTCTTTCTTGGTAATGTACACAATTTTGCCTGTAATGAAAGAAAAGATTTATAAAAGTCCCTTGTTTCTTTTGAAATATTGATAGCTCATATATTATGAGTCCTTATACTGGCTAAACATGTTTTTGGCATTAACATTTTTAGTATATTTCCTCATCAAATTATAAATTTTGGCTAAAATGTTTATACTGATAAAATAAGCTGTCTATGGATCTAGATGCTGAATACCTTCATTTGAAATTACACAGTGAAGTAGAAATAACTTAACTATAGCCATTGTTCTACCGTCTTTATTTCTTCTATCTGTATGTCATGCTTTTGTTAGGCAAATCTTCCTACTGTTTACTCTCAAATCTAAAATCTACTTCAATCTTCTTGTTTATTACTGCACTGCAGAAAGTTTGCCTCAGCTATAGATGTGCTGACATGGACCGAGAAATCCCTGCTTTAATGGGTGTCTCAAAGGCCATTCTGGAGAATGTTATATTTGTTCACCAAGATGAAGCTAACTGGCCGTTGCAGGATCCTTCCACATTAAAAAAGAAGTTTGATGATATCTTCTCTGCCACTCGGTATCCTTTGTGCTTCCTCCTGTGCCATTAGGATAAATTTTAAACTCTGTACTGCAATTGATTTTGCTAAAAAATGCTGTTTGAGGTAAATCTTTCATTCTCACCAATCTTACAATGAAGCAGATATACAAAAGCCTTAGAGGTCATTAAAAAACTTCACAAGGATCAAGCTCAAGAGATAAAGACATACAAACTAAAGTTGGAGAATCTTCAAACCTTAAAGGACTCTGCATATAAGGTTCCAATCCCTTTTCCCATCTATGGTTTGGACAGTTATATTTGGACTTTTAAGTTTTTAGTTCTTAATTTTTTCTTCATTTTTCACTTTAATCGATCTTTCTAATAGTTCATAGGGCAGCAAAAGTTCATTTCATTGGCAGTAAAATAGACTGCTCATCATTTTTATTTAGTGATTCATTTTCCACTGAAAAGGGGTATTCCAGAGCAATGAATGAACACCAACTTCTTTTTCTATGTGCTAGCCTGGTAGGTTTCCCCTTTCTTTATCTCCCTGAGTGGTAGACATTTTTTTATGTTGGGACTGCATAAAGTTTTGTTTCACAGAGGAGGGAAGTTTTTATTGGTTTTCCTAATGACTGGAATCAGTGAATTTCTTTTGCTTAGTCATCATTATTGTAGCTTGTTTTGTTTTACCTCTTATTGCTTATTATTCATCGACTGTATATTATCAAACAAAGATCATTCTGTTCTGGATACTTAAAAGTAACTGCTGCATATACTGTTACCAAGAGTTTGTTGCTTCTCAAACTGTCAAGTGTTTTCACACTACTCTTATGCTACCGAGTAAACCTAGTGTTACCAGGATTGCTCAACTCCCTGTGGAGTTGCAATCCTCATGTGTTTGGGAAAGCGATATGTTCGTGATCGAGAACCTTAGCTTTCTTTATCCCAATTTGTAAGAAGAATATTAAGATGAAATGAAATCCAGATATAGAAGATAAAAGCTATATATTTTAAAGGAAAGAATACATAAAATAGTATCATATTTTATTTGAAATTTGAAGCAACAGTGACGTGCTGGACTCTTGATTCTTGATTTTGGTACAGAGTCTAAAATCTGAATCTGATTCTTCAAATATTTCATTGTTGGGTTTCATTGAATTCTCACATACATTTCTTGATTGTTGATTTGATTTGAGAAATAATAATAAGAGAGAGAGAGAGGGGAGAGAGATGGAATTTGAAGTTATGAAAGGTACATTAGTCAAAGTGGATATGTTTTTTTTTTTTTTTTTAATCACATCATTTTGAATTCTCACATACATTTCTTGATTGTTTGATGTGGATTTGAGAAATAATTAATTAAGAGACAGAGAGAGGGGAGAGAGATAATTTGATTAGTTATGAAAGACATTAGTCAAAGTGTCGATATTGATTTATTTTTTTCTTTTTAACACATCAAGTTGTGTTTTTACCGCTTCGTGAAAAACATTGTTCAAGATGAAGAGGAAAAACGTGAAGTCATGTACAAAGTCCAAATGCAAGATTTCCAGAACAAAATAAAGTTCAGAATGTGATGGCAAAAATTCATCAAATTGAAACCACTCTGAAAGATTTAGATTTTTTTTTTTTTTTTTAATCACATCAAGTTGTGTTTTTACAGCTTCGGGAAAACATTGTTCAAGATGAAGAGAGAACTGAGTCTTTAAAAGTCCAAATGCAAGATTTAGAAAATAAAGTTCAGAATGTTGATGCAAAAATTCATCAAATTGAAACCACTCTGAAAGATCTTAGAAAGCTACAGGAGCAGGTATCAACAAAAACCGCTGAAAGGAGAACTTGGTTTGAGCAGCAGCAGAGGCAATATGAAGCTCTTGAAGAGGAAAATGAAGGTTTTCTATATTTAGGAGGCCCATAATGATCTCTGTCCTGGTTTTTGAATCAATTCTTTATCTGCTCACCTCTCATCTGAATATATCCTGCACAGTTGCACTAACAGATATACACATGCTTGATTGTGCTCATCATATTGTCTGTAGAATAATTTCCTTGAGATGGTTGCTGCAGTTCTTTTGTGTTGCTTCTAATGTTGCACTTTTTTTACCAATTGTTTAGACACTGATGAAGAGATGATTGAATGGAAAACAAAGTTTGATGAAAAGATTGCATCATTGGAATCTAAAGTTAGAAAGTTGGAGAGGGAAATGAATGACATGGAGACAAAAAGTTCTTTTCTGAAGCAGAGCATTACTGAGTATACCCAAGAGAATTTCAGGCTTCAGACAGAAGCTGACGTAATCTCCGTGAAAGCCTTTCAGATTTTGAAAGTTTGATTGTTTTCCAATTAAGGTGGAATGTTAAAATGACTTCTTTTTTTTGAAATTAGGCTCACATTTCGCTGAAGAATGAAAGGGATTCTACCATCCAAAAACTTTATGCAAAACATAATTTAGGGTCTCTTCCACATGCCCCTTTCAGCGATGATGTTGCTTTGAACCTCACAAATAGACTAAAATCAAGGTTAATAGATCTCGAGAAGGATTTAAAAGATAAAAAGGTCTCTCTCTCTCTCTGTCTTTGTGTGTGTGTGTGTGTGTGTGTGTGTGTGTGTGTTGTGTGTGAGTTACCTGAATGCATGAGTGTGTGCACAAGCTCATGTAATCGTTCTCATGTTTGGCTGGATATATTGTTTCTTTACATGCCAGCATGCACGTATATATGCATCTATATACTCGTATGCATGGATGTACTTCATAATAGCAATTTTAAGATTCCAAAATTGTTTCTCTGTATGCCTTGAACTTGAAGTTTCTTTTGAGGAAAAATATAAATGTCATTTCAGACATCAAACAACAATGAAGTTAAGACGGCAGAGGATCACTATTGGGATGCAAATGACCGTTGGAAAAACATTGAGGCCCAAAAGCATGCTAAACTGGAGATAAAGGTGCATATATAACACCCTCGCAACCCCGCCTGCAATTGCTTTTTCCCCATCCTTTCTCTCTGGGTGGATTTATGTGTGTTGATATGTTTCCTAGGGCTATTTTCTTCATGTTTGATAATGTTTTATAAATATTGATATTTTTATGCAGAATGGCATTATGAATCGCATTACAGAGAAGGAACTTGAGCATGCTTCATTTGAAGAAAAAGTTGTTCATGTTAACCTTTCTCATCTGGATGAAAAAGAAAAGAACTTGGTGAGGATGACTCACTTTCTGCAAAATTTCTTGCTCGGAATCCAATATCTTTCTCTTATCAAACAAAATGAGGCTGTTTAAGAACCAAAACAGAAATAACTAAAAGAGTTGTATCTTTGCAGAAACTTGAAGTTGAGAGAAAGACAAACCAGCTTGCTGAAAGAGATTTTGAATCAAACATTCTTCGAAAGGAAAGTGAGCGATATGGCATAGAGCAACAGATTAAGGCAGTTGAACGGGAGAGAGAAATCTTGGCTCGAGACTCCGAGGACAGAGTCAAACTGAACCTGAAGAAGGAAGAGTTGGAGAATATCAAGAAGAAGCATAGGAAAATGTAATAGAATCTTTCTTGCCTGTTTTTGGCGTTTTGCGAGTCTCTGGTATGTTCTTATGTAGTTTTCTTTTCTTTCTCTTTTTTGGCTAATGCCTGTTCATTTTTTATTTTGGCCCTAGAATTGATGAGTGGAAGGACAGAATCAAAGGAGTGCTAAAGGGGAGACTTCCTGCTGATAAGGATATGAAGAAGGAAATTATTCAAGCCCAAAGGTTCCCCTACCTCTTTAATTTGACTTTATATTTGGGGATGACATCTCCATGACAATTCATGAGCTTGTGCTACTATTGCATACGCCTCATTTAGGCTCTGCAGCAAATTAGTTTGACCGTGATTGTTCTCATGGTTTTTTATTTATCAGTGTCATTTACAAAACTACATGAGATTATTGATAGTGCTACTTTTATTCTTCCCCACTCTCCCTTCCCACCCTTTCCAAGTTGTATCTCTGTATTAAATTATGTATATTATACACTCTCCTTTCAGTTTTTAGTGGTGTGTGAGTAGAGGTGAGCCAACAGTCAATTCGGTTCAAAACCGAACCGAACCGCACCAAGGCAGAGAAAGGCAAACTGAACTTCCAGGAGTAAAATCGAATCGAACCTGCTCATTTTGGTTGGTTTTTGCAGTATTTGTTTGGGTCGGTTCGGTTTTAAGCCTAACTGATCATCTCTGATCATCTTTGTAAAACTGAGCTGAATCAAAAGAAAACTTCAGTTTGAACCGAATACCAATCTTCTTTATAAGCAACCAACCGAACTGTTCGGTTGATCATTTTGCTTACCCTTATATGTGAGTGTGTTGTATCCTTGCCTAGTAGCCTGCTAAATGATATTACATTATGCATCTTTAACCATTCCTTTATTTTATTCCTTCCTCTTTCTGTTCCCCCCCCCCCCCCCCCCTAGTTGTAGTGTGTTGTATCCTATGCCTAGTAGCCTGCTAGAATGATATTTTACATTTATGCATCTTTAAAAAACGCATCTCTCCCCTTTATTTTTTTTTATTCCTTTCCTCTTTCTGTTCCCCCCCCCCCCCCCTAAATTAAAATTTTAAAGTTTGCCTATATTAGTTGGTTTGTATGTATTTATATTTCCATTTTCCACTGCTATCAATTTGGGTGGTATGTTTAAATGTATTTTGAATTCTGCCTATGTTAGGAGGTGTATGATAATGTAATACAGCATTTAAAACTAAATTTTTATCACTTTTATTTTAAGTTGTTTGATAGTACTTATCTGCATATCACTTAAAAAGTTTCTATTAAGTTAATGTTGCTTAAACATTAAGTCAAAAAGCATTTAACATAAAATTTGCACCATGTACCCTCAAATATTCGAGTTTTAAACACACTTTAATGTTCAGCATTTTAACCATTCAGAGCTTAAATTTCAACTCTTAATTTCCAAGTACTTTATTTTCAGTTTTATTTTGTGGTTCTTCTTCTTTTAAACTTTTAAATTGTGCCTTTCTTCTTTTTAAAATTCTAAACTCTGGCTTAGTGGGTTTATGTGTATGCATTGAGTGTTTGCACTGCAATGTATCTGGATCCTGTTCTCAAAATGGAACCTTGGTTTCTGCCTATGTTAGTGGTTCTTCTTCTTTGAAATTTGAAATTCTGATGTTTAGTCAACTCAAATAGGTATATAACTGCTTGAAGAGGTATCTGAGATACCTTTGGTTGATTTTGAATTCTCCCCTGATATGTTGGTCAATCAGTTTTTGTTGCTGGTTAATAAGTCAGAGTTTGCCCTGCAGGGTTCTTGGGTGTTTTAAACTCTCTAAATTAAATGTTTTCAATAAGATATTGACTTCTTCCTTAAGTTGATTTTGCTTCTGGCACAGGGCTCTTGGAACAGAATATGATGACTTGAATTCAAAATCTAGAGAAGCTGAGAAGGAAGTAAATGTGTTGCAGATGAAAATACAAGAAGCTAATAATAACCTGTCCAAACTTCGCAAGGATATGGATTGTGAGTATTGATTCATAAGCTGAAATGATGTTGGAATTTTGGGCCCGGGGAAGTTCTTAAATTTTAATTTTAATTATTTGCTTTTGTTTTAATTGGGCCTAACACCAAGATAATTCAAATTACCAAAGGGAGTTTGCCCTTTCATTTTGTTTTTACCCGTTGTAGTACTTTTGTTCCCTTTCAACTTCTCATTGACAACAATGAAGTGGAAGATGATACAATGGATAAGCTAGAGTTTTTAAGAAACCTTTTTTGTTATTTTTTTTGTGGTTCAGACATTCATTTTTCTTGAAGAATTTGTATGATTCAGTAGTTGTCATAAAGGATCTAACTAGAATCTTTTTGTACGCATATGTATCCTGTTCAAAACATGATCTTGTACAATCATTTCTGGTTAGTAAAACCTTAATTCATGAATTTGGTTATCTTTCCTCAGACTTTCAGACTGTCAGTTAGATTTGAAGGGCTTTGGCATTGTATACCAACCATATCAACTGTATGGCTTTACATGAACCAGTGAACCGCATAGGATCTTAGTGAGCCTTAGCATATGGTATTTTCAGATTATATTGATACTAATAGATTTACCTTACATAGCTGATTTTATATTTATCTATTGATACCAAATCAGAGTAGCGTTGCTGTGGAGCAGTACTTGTATCTGCTTTTATGTAAGGATTATAATGGTGTTGAAGTACGTCTGCTTAATTTACTCTTGAATTCATGTAGGGCTCGGTTTTGATTGGGACAATTTTCTGTATTTTTTTTGTTAGTAAAGCCTGTAAGGCTAGTCTTATCTGCATTTCATGCTTCCCAAGTAATCCTGGATTACCCTGCCAGTTACCTAGAATATGGAACAGAATGGGTGACTAAGTTCCAAGGGCTTACAAGTAAAAATCCCACATCATGCTCCAGGCTGTGATTTCTTGTCATCAATTAAAAGAAGAGTGAAGTTTAACCTTTTTGGCTTTTCTAAGTTTTTTAAGAACTTAGGTTCATGATGCCATTGCATTTTCCATAAAGAAACTTTGGCTTTCATGGAAATAATAGAACACCTTGCTGTATTTGTTCCACAGCTATGGTAGTTAAGAATCACATGGGAACTTGGCATTTTTGCTTGGTTATCTCTTTATCATTCTTGTCCTCCTCTACAATTTTTGGCTGATAGTATCTCGTGGTTTGTTTACTTAAGTTTACATATGAATTATATTTTGATGTTTAGCAAGGAAGAGATTTATTGAATCCAAACTCCAGTTCTTGGATCAACAATCAGTTACCATTGATTTGTACCTCAAAGTTTTGGACTCTGCAAAGGAGAAAAAAGATGTCCAGAAAAGGTTCATGGATTTGACTTTCATTTACTCATATGTGTGTGTGTGTGTGCTTTTTACATGATGGCATTCAATTGCTATGGCTATAATGGTGCTAATTATGTGTCTGTGACTTGCCTACAGCAAGTACAATATTGCAGATGGTATGCGGCAGATGTTTGATCCTTTTGAAAGAGTTGCCCGTGCTCATCACATGTGCCCTTGCTGTGAGCGTCCTTTCTCTGTTGAAGAGGAAGATGAATTTGTTAAAAAGGTTAAGTCTGCATTTTTTAAACGGATCATGAATGTAACTGTATTCTCTGATGCCTGTTCTCCTACTCAGACAACTGAAATTTTCCAGGGGATAATCTTGCTTAAGCTTCTTATGATTTTTTCTGAACATGCTGATATCGTCATGTGAAATACAGCAAAGAGTGAAGGCTGCAAGTTCTGCTGAGCACATGAAAGTGTTGGCTGTAGAGTCCTCAAATGCAGATTCTTATTTTCAGCAGCTGGACAAGCTCCGTATGGTTTATGAGGAATACATCAAAATTGGCAAGGAAACAATTCCTTCTGCAGAAAAAAATTTGCAAGCACTTACCGAGGAGTTGGACCAGAAGTCTCAAGCCCTTGACGATGTAAGTATTAGCTTTGGCACTTTTAATCTTTAGAATATGTGAATCTGTTGTATTAAATTTATTTCATAGCCATCTTCTGATTTTAGTTCATAATAAAAATTAGTGTCTATCCTACACAAACTTGGTAATTTCCCATAGTAGTATCTCTAGCAATATAACGTGACAGATGAGTATGAAATTGTTATTGTACCTATTCAAAATTATTGTACATGGAAGAGAATGGTCGTCCTTCGTATTATTTTGTCAAAGATGGGACAAGAGTTCTTTCATTTGTTTCCATAGAAGAGGGTGAAGGAGCAACATGGAAGAGAATGGTGATGGAAATTATTGTATACAGAAAGAGAAGGGCCAAGAATTCTTTGTCAAAGATGGGACAAGAGTTCTTTCATTTGTTTCCATAGAAGAGGGTGAAGGAGCAACATGGAAGAGAATGGTGATGGAAATTATTGTATACAGAAAGAGAAGGGCCAAGAATTCTTTGTCAAAGATGGGACAAGAGTTCTTTCAGATGGGACAAGAGTTCTTTCATTTGTTTCCATAGAGAAGAAATTATTGTATTAATATTATTGTTTCAGTAATGGCTGGGTATCCCTTGACTGTGCTTGGCATTCAGGGAGTCCACGTACAGTTTATCCCATATGATAAACCATAGAAACATGAGTACGTGTATGATGATGCAGAGAGTTTTTGGTAGGGGAAAAATGTGCATAATGTAATCATTTAGCCAACAGAAAGCATGTCAAATAATCAAACATAAGTTTGCTGAATTGACTGGCTAATGATGTAGCCTTTCTTAATTCTTAAACATACTTGTATAAGCTATATTTGATTTTGTGTTTCTCTTTTTCATTTTTTTTTTCTAACTTTTTTCCATCAATTTTTCTGCTCTTGTTGTTATGGGCCACTTACCAATGGGAAAGCGACTCAGTAATGCCTTTTTGAATCAAAGGGTTTTTATTTTACAGGAATAATTGTTTTTTGTGACGTCATGTTGACATGTCATTACTTGTTAATGATGATGTTTTATTATTAGTTTTGGCTATGTTAAGAATTATTTTGCCTATAGGTGTTGGGTGGCAATGTTAAGAATGATTTTGCTTATAGGTATTGGGTGTTTTAGCTCAAATAAAGGCTGAGAAGGACTCAGTTGAGGCCCTGGTACAGCCTATTGAAACTGCTGATAGGCTTTATCAAGAAATTCAAACCTTGCAAGTATTTGTTGATGATTTGGAGTACAAGCTTGACTTTCGAGGGCAAGGCATCAGATCTACAGAAGAAATTCAGTCAGAACTTAGCAGTTTGCAGGACAAAAGGTCTATATAATTTCAACTTATCCAGTAATTATTTCTGTTTTTTATTGTAAGCCTCATTAAATTATCAAGGGACTAGTGAGCATGCTCATTATTTCAAATGCTTTCCCATTTTTACAAAATGATTTTTAAGCCAGCTTTGAATTTCATACGACCATTCATATTGGTTTCCAGAATTGAGATTGATATCCTTATTTGCTTGCTATTTATTTTCTTAAATTTCATCTTTGTCTTGTCAACCAGGGATGCTTTGCGTACTGAACTGGAAAAGTTAAGGGATGAACAAAGATACATGGAAAATGATCTGTCCAACATTCAATTGCGATGGCATTCTCTAAGGGAGGAAAAACTTAATGTAGCTAACACCTTGATTAATGTCAAAAAAGCAGAAGAAGAATTGGAACGGTTGGTTGAAGAAAAAAAACAAGTTGAGCTTGATGAGAAGGTTGTATTTCATCTGGCTGGTTATTGATATCACTTGTCTTAATTATCAAAAGTTTATGATGCATATGTGCACTTCCATGCTGGTGCTTGTTGATTGCATTTCAGAATCAAGTTTATCATATGAGTATCTTAAGAGTTTCTTTTTTCTCTTGAGTTTAATGAAATATAGCTCAATAGGCATGAGAAAACATTATTGCAAATCATATCACTGAATTTAAGGGCTAATAATAATTACCAAAAAAAACTCAAAAGATTGTTCCAGCTGTGCAGGTATTAATAGGGTTTATAGTATCAATTATATACACTTAATGGTGTCAATTGTGGCTGCTGGCTTAGAATGGAGGTGTCTGTTAAAGCACCTCTTGTGCTGAAATGGACTGTAAAAAAAAAGGGAAAAAAGAAAGGAAGCAATATGTTGTACACAAGACTACAAGAGTGAGAAAGGTTTATTAAGTATTAAAATAATTCAAAATGTCATGGGAACAAACCTTTTTTTCCATATTTTATGCATATAATATAGTCGTCTCTGCCAGTAGACTGTGTAATATGGATATAGGATAATGTGCTAAGGAAAAAAGTGGTGTGGAGTTTCCAAAAAAAAATTTCAAGCAGGTCTGCTTGAATCATAGCATTAAGGAATTTAATCTGTTGCACTGGATTTTGTTTCTATTAAGGTAATTCAGGGCTTATTTAAGCATTTTTGCTAGTGGAATTTGAACTCTTTGTGTTTATGAAAGCGTGCAGTTATTTCAGCACCTTAGTCATTGACTCGTTAGGTAGGTTTTGAGAAAACTGATCAAGTATCAGTATCAGTTGGTGATGCTTTGTGCTATATTTTCATGATTTTATACATTTTGGATTAGGTTATCAACTGATACTGAATATAAAATTCCATGGCTTAAGTTTTCCAGCTTGATGTTGTTAACTCTAGTTTAAAATTTAATAAATGAAAATCTCACTGAAAAGCCTAGTGCACAGTAAATTGACTTTCTTGTTACCGTTTCAGCATTTGGCAGAGGCTCTTGGCCCTTTATCTAAGGAGAGAGAAAAATTACAGAGTTACCTTAGTGAACTGAAAGTCAAACTTGAGCAGGAATACGATGAGCAGAAAAAACAATTAGACAATTATCAGTTCGAAGTTGAAGCATTGCTTAAAATTAATTCTATAATTAAGGAGTGAGTTTTATTGAACCGAGGATTCATTTACAAGATTACATCTTGTCATTTCTTAAAGCACTAATTTTGTTCTTCTAGGTACCGTGACTTAAAAAAAGGGGAGAAATTTAAGGAGGTTCAAGAAAAACTCTCTCTATCTCAGTCTCAACTTCAAATTTGTGAAAATAGGAGCAAGGAGATTTTGGCTGATTTAAACCGAAGTAAAGAGATTTTGCTGAAACAAGATTCCATAAAAAGGAATATTGAGGATAACTTGAATTACAGGAAGACAAAAGCTGAAGTGGATAAGCTTACCCAGGAGATTGAATCATTGGAAGAGAGAATACTGAATATTGGTGGGGTTTCTACTGTTGAAGCTGAACTTATTAGACACTCACAAGAAAGAGAGAGACTTCTTTCAGAGGTACAAATTAAAATTGAGAAACAATTTCATGCATCCATTATAATGTAATTAAGATTGCCAGTTAGTATAAAGCTGTTTTGCATTTCAGTGATGGTATGCTTGCTCACTTTGTTAAAAATATTTAGTCAATTAAGTTATCAAAAGGTTCAAGAACTTTATTTTTGTAGCGATGGCTTGTCATATTAAGTTTTTTTAATATGCATAAAATTACTTGGACATTCAAGAAGAGGAGAATAATATTCTAAGACTTGCAAGTTGTTTATTTTCAAGCTGACCCTTTTACTATCTACTATTTGATTAACCAATCCTTTATATTGGAATGAGTGAAGAGTCAAATGTTTTGGCAAGTCCTCCTTGGGAGATGAATGAAGATAATTTTGAATCATAGCTCAAGAGTTTTGTTCTTCCCTTGTTGCAGTAATATCTTGGGGTTTGCAATAATAACTTGAAGCCCTAAATGTATGTTTTAATCTTGTTGAAAAATACAGTATTGTTCCTTTTGTAGGTTGTTGCAATTGGTAAATTAGATAGTTTAACTTTGATATTCTCAGAAAAAGGTTAAACCATATATATTAGCATGGATTAGATAATTACTTCATCCCAGTCACCACTCCCTCAGTTCCTTCTTTCTACATTGCAAAATTGTTTACTCTATTTGGTTTGTAATGGCAATAATCCTATTTAAGGGTTTACCTTGGGATGGTTTCATAACACAATGTTTCAATCTTAACTTATTTGCATTTGCTCGGAAAGGTAGTCAAGGATAATTTGTTGCACTCAAGAACTTGGTAATAAATCGTGTCCCTGAATTAGGGTATTATTGTTGCTGATTTTAAATTCATATTCCATGTAAATCACAACAGCGAAATTTCAGTAACAGATATTCTGGACATGTGTTGAGAATTCATGCAGTAAGGCCGGAGATCAAACTTTTGTGATTCACACCAGCAATTTAGAATGCTATCGTCGGATAAAATACTCATGTTACTGATATTTTTAAATAGTTTCATGATGCCCCCCACTGAACATGTATCTCTCTTTTTTTTTTTTTTTTTTTTTTTTTTTTTTTTTTTTTTTTTCCCCCACTGAACATGTATCTTCTTTTTTTTTTTTTTTTTTTTTTTTTTTTTTTTTTTTTTTTTTTTTTTTTTTTTTTTTTTTTTTTTTTTTGTTGAGATTCCCCACCCCCCTTTTTTAGAGCTTTGTGTATGTGAAGTGGATTTGGTGTATTAGGCAGTTATAGATATAATTATTTGCTTCCCATGCTGGATAGAAGTGTGGGAAGACCCATTTGACACGATTTGTGTTCTATTATTCGGTGTATAATTTGCTTTGGAAGAACCATAGGATCTTCTGACGCATTGTAATTTTGTGCGGTAAACATCTATTATGTTACTCATGGTTTGGACACTTGGCCAATTCTTGATGTGTTGAATTCTTGTTTTTTTTTTTTTTTTAATGGGTGGGGGTGTGCCAGAGGAAAAAATGGGATCTGTATCAGATGGAGAGAGAGAGATCCAAAAATTTTCTAATGAACATGCTGATGCTGTACATCTTGGACCCTCCCCAAAGCCTGTTGTAGGGGAAGGATGGTCCTCTTGGACACTTTTTAATTCTATGCATGCAGAGGAGTTCTATGGCTGTAAACAATTTGAAGGGGTTTTTTACGAACACTAAAGGTTGTCCCAGTTCTTCCCAGTGGGAAAATGTTGTGGATTCACCATTTTGTATATTTTTCTCCCATATTATTTCTCCTGTCAAACGTTCTGTTGTTACTGATTTCCTGTCTAAAAAACTGTCTTATGCCACCATTTTGACTAATTTGTAAAGGATTAACCTTTTTGTCTCTTTTTAACTGAAAACAGTTAAACAAGTGTCGTGGTACAATGTCAGTTTACCAGAGCAATATTTCAAAGAATAAGATTGATCTTAAACAGTCCCAATACAAGGACATTGACAAGCGATATTTTGACCAACTAATTCAGCTTAAGGTAGGACAGCTTTCTGATTACTTGAACTTGTGCTTCTTTGTTTCTCTTTCTAATCTATTAGTGACTTAAACATTATGTGACAGACAACTGAAATGGCAAACAAGGACCTGGACAGATACTACAATGCCCTTGACAAGTGAGCTTTTTCTGAACGAGTTCTTTTGTGTTCTTGCATGTTTGTTTCTCTGCTTGAGCTGGTCGTTTATTGTTTGGACTTATTTTACAAGTGCATATGCAAAATTATTGCTGTCTTCCAATTGTTTGCTACTTTGCTCCGATTACATTTATCACCTATACCGTTATGATTTTTAAGAAAGCCTCCTGATGTTTTTAGAGCATTGATGCGCTTCCATACAATGAAAATGGAAGAAATAAATAAAATCATAAGGGAATTGTGGCAACAAACATACAGAGGACAAGATATAGATTACATTAGCATTCATTCAGATTCGGAAGGTGCTGGGACTCGTTCTTACAGCTATAAGGTATGGACTATGGAATATCTTCACAACAATGCTCACTTCTTACAATTCTGTCTCTGAATTCGCCTGAATAAATATGCCTGAATGAAACCAAGCAACCCGAAACTCTACTTTGTCAACTTAACTTAAATCACATAAAGACACATATCTGCACTTATCTTTCCCCAGCCATCTCTTTCTCATTTAGACGTGGATAATAGTCTTCAACTTTGCTAGAAACTTAAATCACATAAAGACACATATCTGCACTTATCTTTCCCCAGCCATCTCTTTCTCATTTAGACGTGGATAATAGTCTTCAACTTTGCTAGAAACTTAAATCACATAAAGACACATATCTGCACTTATCTTTCCCCAGCCATCTCTTTCTCATTTAGACGTGGATAATAGTCTTCAACTTTGCTAGAAACTTAAATCACATAAAGACACATATCTGCACTTATCTTTCCCCAGCCATCTCTTTCTCATTTAGACGTGGATAATAGTCTTCAACTTTGCTAGAAACTTAAATCACATAAAGACACATATGTGCACTTCTCTTTCCCCAGCCATCTCTTTCTCATTTAATCTCTACCATTAAATGCTGTGAAAAACAGGTTCTAATGCAGACTGGAGATGCAGAGCTGGAAATGAGAGGGCGGTGCAGTGCTGGTCAGAAGGTGAGTAATAATCAAAAGTTGCTTCCCTTTGTTTTCTTATGAAAAAAAAAAAATTGTAAAAGAAAAAGGAGAGCGAAAGACTTCTTGGGCTTTGGTTTCAGGTCCTAGCTTCTCTCATCATTCGGTTAGCTTTAGCCGAGACATTCTGCCTCAACTGTGGAATACTAGCCCTAGATGAGCCTACAACAAACTTGGATGGCCCAAACGCAGAGTCTCTTGCTGCAGCTCTTCTTAGGTATGATCTCTCTATTTTCGTCCTTTTTAACAGGATAGTGTAACTAACCAATTTGAGACATCTCACAAATTTTGGTGCAACTTATAATTATCTTCACTTTCTCAAGAATCATGGAGGATAGAAAAGGCCAGGAGAATTTTCAACTTATTGTAATTACTCATGATGAACGCTTTGCTCAACTAATTGGTCAACGGCAGCACGCAGAAAGATATTATAGAGTCGCAAAAGATGATCAGTAAGGCTTTTTTTTTTTTTCTTAATTTGATATTTTTTTTTTGTACGTGATTTGCAGACTGTTAACTTATGTAGCTCTGTTTTTCAGTCAGCATAGCATAATTGAAGCCCAAGAAATTTTTGATTGATAAATCCCTTCAAGATGAGGTAGAAGCATCTTGCGCTCGGGTGGAGAAAGACATGAAATTCTTGGTTTCAAATTGCTTGATTTCAGTTATCTGTATGTAAATTAATTGTCATATAGCAATTTTCCCCTCTTATTATATAATATTTTGATTTTCTTAATTGAAAGCTATGAACAGAACAAAATGAAATTGGCTGCACTGCATGCGCTGTAATTAAAATAAAATAGCCTATCAAATTTGACAGTAAATGTAAATTAATGAACTCCCATTTGCAATAGCTGATGTACAGTTAAGCAAGTGTCGGAAGACTGGAGATCCGTTTCACCCGAAACAAAAATGGAAAATTAAAAAATAATGCTTCAAAGTTCATTTATGTTATCAGTGAAATTGACTTAAAAGATAAAGGTAATTATAGTGTTATCAACAGCTATATACATATATTAAAAGCAGTACAAGTTACCTCAAAAATAGATTTTGATGATTTTTTAAAAGTGTTCCTTTTTTCTAACAGCAGTACAAATAACAATGTCAAATAATAACGCTGAACGTGCTCTTTTTGTTGGCGATTGATGCAACAACTACTTACTAAGGCATTTAAATAAATAGCCCCAAAAAAAGGTAGTATTATTTATTGCTCAAATTTATAAATTTACTCCTATATTTTGTAAAAATAATGACACCTCAATTTTTGTTTAATTGATTTAATAAGTGTTTACAGATTTTACTAATTCACATTTTTTTAACAAATTAAAAGGTGTTTCCCCAGCTGTTGGTCCACTGTATGCATAAAAGTGTTTTGGTGCAGGGATATATTGATGGGAGCATCCAGTAGACCACTTGACATACAACAAAATTAATAAGGTTTCATTTAAAGTTCAAAATGAAAGCTTAAAAATTTTTAACCAAATGCTTTATTTGTTAGGGGAATAAGCACAAAATGAGAACAATATATGAAACAGGTAATGTGATACATCCACAAGTCATTGAGAGGATGAAACATCCTTTAACCCAATAACAAAACATGACGACCAACATGAACTTCAAATCAAATGAAAAATTGGCAGCTAACCTATAAAGACCAGAAAAGAAATCATAGAAGCCTCTTTTTCTTTTTTTCTTTCTTTCTTTCTCTTGGATATTGAAGGTAATTTTCATTGATTTAGAAGCTAAATAGTAAAAAGTATTTAGATCTAATCCTTGTACTTCATTTCAGAGACGAGGAAACCAGGCATGTCGAAGGAGAGAGCAAACTTCTCAACATCAGCCTTGAGGGCTTCGATGTCCTTGTTGTTAACCAGACCCTTGTTGAAGTCCTTCAAGAGCTTTCCGTGTTCCTTCTGGATCTTCAAAGTGATCGTCACAGCACGGTGGAGAAATTCTCCAATCTGCTCGAAATCTTTCTCAACCAAGCCTCTTGAAGTCATGGCTGGGGTGCCTGCAAACAGAAACTCCAATCACTAATGCATACTAGATGCTACTAATAAGGGGTTGTTTTCGCCCCAAATTAAACATCTTTCTACCCATCAGAGATATTGAGAAGTGGAATCATTTCATTAGATAAGATGTGACAGTCTTACCAATTCTTACTCCTCCAGGAGCCAAGGCGCTGCTGTCACCGAACACGGCATTCTTGTTTACAGTGATGTTGCAAAGGTCACATAGCTTTTCAACCTTGTTGCCTGCAAGGAAAGCATTAAAGAATCACATTACATGATTAAGCAAATGCAAGTAGCCAGTAAATTCCTCAAGCCAAGTAAATCCAAATCTATTTACCAGTCAAGCCAAGAGGTCTAAGATCCCAAAGGACAAGGTGGTTCTCAGTTCCTCCAGTGACCAGCTTGTATCCCTGGCTCATCAAGTAGTTTCCAAGAGCAACTGCATTAGCCTTGACTTGTTTGGCATAAACCTTGAACCCCGGGGTTGTGGCTTGTTTCAATGCAACAGCCAGTGCACCAATCTGGTGATTGTGAGGACCACCCTGAAGAGAGGGGAAAACTGAAAAGTTGATCTTGTCTTCGAAGTCATAAACTGCATCTTCTGGCTGGCCCTTCTTGGGTGGTTTAGGCCCCTTTCGATAGAAGATCATACCAGCCCTAGGACCCCTCAAACTTTTGTGGGTGGTGGTTGTGACAATGTCACAGTACTCAAAAGGGTTGGCGGCTTCCTGAACACAAAAAATTGATAAAATTAAACAAACTGAGATCTTAAAAATATTGCAACACTCAAAATGATAAAATGATTATCTATCTACACATATGATGATGCAAGTTCATTTATAGGAACATCAAATTTGAAGCTATAATCCTGCACAAATTTTGAACTCAAACCAATTTACATCTTCATTGCTAATTCAAAACTAGATGCATTTATAAGTATACTAATCCCATTAAATTGCGAAAGTGCATCTTGAGTACAACCTAGAGTAACGTTAAAATCAATTAGATAAACCTCTCCATGATTCTACAAGGAACATAGTTACATTTCAACCAATCCATCTTGCTCGAGCCAACGAAACTTTAATATCTCAGAAACCCAGATCTATAATTTGGAAATGAACCTAAGTTACACGAGAACTAGATCCAATCTTTCACAGTTTTAGTCTCCTCAAATAACTACTAACCAAAGCAAAAAATCAGATCCAGTAAAACCAATCAAGCAGTAAACTTAGAAACAGAGATCCAGCACGAACAACCACCAAAGTAAATAAATATATGTACATACCTGAGCAGCAACGAGACCACTAATGTGAGCCATATCACAAAGCAAGAGAGCACCACACTTATCAGCGACAGACTTGAACTTAGCATAATCCCAGTCCCTAGGGTAAGCACTACCACCACAGATAATCAACTTGGGCCTAAAATCAAGTGCCTTCTCCTCCAACTTATCATAATCAATAAACCCAGTTTGAGAGTTAACCTTATAAGGCAAACTCTCAAAGTAAATCGAGGTAGCAGAGATCTTCTTTCCACCAGAGGTGTAATACCCATGAGTCAAATGACCACCAGAAGGAAGGTCCAAACCCATGATCCTATCATGAGGCTGAAGAACGGCGGTGTAAGCGGCGAAGTTAGCCGGAGAACCAGAGTAAGGCTGGACGTTGACACCCCACTTAGTAGGATCAAGATGGAATGCCTGGAGAGCGCGGGAACGGCAGAGATTCTCGATCTCATCAATAAATTCATTCCCACCGTAGTAGCGGTTTCCGGGCATGCCCTCAGAGTACTTGTTAGTGAGGGCACTACCGAGAGCCTCAATGACAGCAAAGGAAGTGAAGTTCTCGGAGGCGATAAGCTCGATGCCGCTGCATTGACGGCGCTTCTCCTTCTCAATCAAATCGTGGATATCTGGGTCCACAGTTTGTAGAGAAGAATTGCCCCATACACTAACGGGATCCATATCGAGATCGCTAAACAGAGAGGGAAAGGAGAGAAATGATTTGCAAGTGAAGAGATACGAAAATTGGAGGATTTTGAGAGGTTTATAATCGAGATGGTGAAGATGACAAAATTACGTTTATGGCCTTCGATTCCTTTTTTTTTCTTTCTTTTAATTAATTGAATAATCTGGTGGAGGTAGGTAACTGGTGGCTCCGCACTGCTCTAAAGAGTTTTTTTTTTTTTTTTTTTTTTTTTTTTTAAGAGTTTTTTTTGTTTTTTTTTTTTGTTTTTTTTTCTTTTTAAAAGGTAAAAAATAAAAAATAGAATTACAGTTTTAACTGTCCTAACCAGTCATGGTTTTCTTTCTTCCCTTTGAGTGGTTAATTAAGCTTTACTAACATTGGTTTGGGTTTAAAATGTAGATTTTGTATTTGAAATTAAAAATTTTATAAGTCTGCTTTTTAATTATTTTACTTCAAAAAATTTTTGTATACAGTACTATGATGGTAAATAAAATAATATAGTTTTACTTTTAATTATCAATAAGTTAATATTACCATAACCATTTTAATTCCGCCATCAACAATCAATTTTTTGCTAAAACGATAAATATAGAAGAGGGGTTTTAAATTCCGTATTCCCCCGGTGCCAATTATAACTGCGTTTGCTCACATACCATCAAAATCTTCAAGGTCCTCAATAACAAAGGATGCAAATGCAGAAACGTTTTAAGAGTTATCCCATATTATTATTACTTTTTTTTTTTTTTTTTTTTTTTTCTTTTTAAAAGTAAAAATAAAAAATAAATTACAGTTTAACTGTCTAACCATCATGGTTTTCTTCTTCTTTGAGTGGTTAATTAACTTTACTAACATTGGTTGGGTTTAAATGTAATTTGTATTTGAAATTAAAATTTTATAAGTCTGCCTTAATTATTTTACCTTCAAAAATTTTTGTATACAGTAACTAATGGTAAAAAAATAAATATAGTTTACTTTTATTATCATAAAGTTATATTACCATAACCATTTTATTCCCATCAACATCAATTTTTTTCTAAAACATAATATAAAGAGGGTTTAAATTCGTATTCCTGCATTAAACTGCGTGCTCACATACCATCAAATCTCAAGTCCTCAATAACAAAGGATGCAATGCAGAAACGTTTTAAGAGTTCATCCATATTATTATTACTATCACCCAAACATATTAAAACAAATTTTTTAATTATAAAGAGAATATCTCTAATCATTTATTAAAAAACGATAAAATAATAATAGCAAATAATAATTACTCGCTAATATTATGATCGATTATCCCAAAACTCGATAAAATGTTGAAAAATTGGGATTCAAATTGAAGTGTAATTAGATGAAGTTTAGCCAAATACTCTAACCTATAAAAAAAGTGTTGCTTAATGACTTAGAAAGAGAAGTCGTTTTCATGTTAGATATTAGAAAGACTACTTCCAATTTCATAAATGGTTAGGATTTCACCAACTCCCAATGTCGTTTTTCGAGTTGGTGTGCAAAACTTTCTTCTTCTTTTTTTTTTTTTTTCATAACATATTGGAGGAAAAAAAAAAAAAGGAGTAAACGTTTGAAGTTGGTGGACTATGGTTGTTGAAGGGCCATTTTGGTCATTTGATACTGACACTTCCTTTCTCCGATCTGTTACTTTGTTCGCCCTTTCCAGCATGGGTGGTGGGTTTCCCTTTCTCAGCCGGTAGTAGGTTAACATCCTCTTTTCTATTTCCTATGGAAGTAATTTTTAATGGGAAAAAATTTTGGTAATCCAACCTCAATTAGTGTTGAATTTGAAATTTTTAATAAGCAGTAACATTAGAATTATTTTTTAATTTATTGAAGGCTTTTATAAGCCGAAATAACACTGTGAGCGGGGTAACTCTCAATTGTCTTACTAAATCAGTGAAAATAACTGTGATTGAAATGACTCGAATTCGAGACCACCCACTCCTCACATAAATATTAAATATATTATTTATAAAAAACTCAAAATCGACTATTCCTCAATAATATATAATCGATTTTTAAAAAACGTGAATTTTCTAAAATCAAGCAAAAGTCTAATTATTAATAAAAAAAACAAAATATTGTCGTGATTTAACAAAATTGGCCACTTGCTATATGTATATATAGCACCTAACAATTTATCTTTATAGATAAAAACTACAAAATGACCTCTTTCATTCTGGGAATAATGTAATTGGAGTTTATGAAATTATATCGTTTGACTGTTTAATAAAGCAAAGACATAATAATATGTACTTACGTGTCACTCATTCTAATTAATTTCATATATGTAATTTTTCAATTAATGGAAATTAATGTCTAAATATTAAATAATTGACTAATAATTTGCAAAAGCTAAAGCTTGTCTTCTCTTCTCTCATATTAAAATTCTTACACATACATATATAGTACAAAGATATTTAAACATTTTATTCATATCTAATAATAAATCTCTTGAAATATAATATTTTAATAGTTGTATGAATTAAAATTTTTAACTTTTTTTAAGTTAATTTTTGATATTACAATCAAATGATAGACAATAAATCATTTAAAACATATTTTTTTCTATTTATTTATTAGAAATTAATTATTATTTTTTTTAAAAAAGGATCCTTAATCGTAACTCGTACAACTTTCATTGCAAATATTGCAATAAACAATATTAAATAGACAAAATCTCCCCAAAAAAATTCCAAAAGTGCTTTACCAACCTCACTGCGTTGAAGCACGCCAAATTGAGGTTGGTTGTAATTGAAGTTTGACCATAAAAATAAATAAATAACAATAAAGAAGCCATAAGATGGATTAAACATGAGAATTTTATTATTTTTGTTGCAATTCACATTTCTTTTCCATTCTCTAAATTTTGTGAAAAAGACAAAATTAACATTGCTATATAGATGGATATCTATCACCAATTTCTATATTACTCTTTTCTTTTGGGTTCTACCTATGTTATTTTATCTTTATTACTTGTCATTCTATATTTTTCTATTTTTTAATATTTTTTTTATTTTAATCATTTGGCCTCTGAAATCTACAGGCTCGATTAATTAGGATTCGCGCTGAGCAAATCCACACAGAGGAATAAAGCATTTTTTCCAAAGTATTTAAAGGAATTTCATATCCAAAGTTTAAACTCAAGATTTCTAATTAAGAGAAAAAAGATTTCTGTCATCTTATTTTACCGTTGAATATTAAATTAATTTTTTAATTACAGTAGAAAAGAATTTTATTTTGCATGTTATTTAATAATTTAACATGAAATTCATAACAATATTAAATTAATACATTTTCGTAACATCCGGATCCTCGTTGTCGTTAGTCGTTCAAATGATAATACTGTACTCCCCTAGTCCTGCTGCCTGATGTGGTCAAGTTAGGACCGGTACCCTTTTACGTGCCAACGAAAGATAAACAATATGGGACACACATTGCACGATCACGTTTTTTTATCTTTTTCCCCTTTTCTCGGCCACATTTTGCAGAGATATTTTTATTTTTTTATTTATTTCCTTTCGGATCACCGACGAAACGGGTCGCGATTTCTTTCATGATTGGAACTATATATATATATATATATATATATTTCAATCTTTCAACCAAAATAGTTTATTTAACTCGATGAGTGTAAAATTTCGAGCACGCACTTATTATTATTTAGGGCATATTTATCTATAAATAATTGGAATAAAGTAATTTTAATTATTAAATTAGAAAATAACACTTTTTTTTTATTTAGACGCTCAAGAGCTAATATTATTGTAAGTGATTATATGTTTGTTTTTTATAAATCATAATTCATGAATTGAAATTTTCTGTTAATTTCTTATCTTGGAAATTTTCAAAATTATATGCTACAAAAAGTTTCTATTAACTAAATTGTAAATGTTTTTTATAAATATATATTTTAAACGGTTTTAAATATTATAATTTTAGGGTATTATTTCTGATTTTTAAATTAACGAAAAGAATTTTAATAAATTATAATGAGTTGAATATTGCTTCATTAACTTTTTACTTACAATAAATGAATTCTATAAAATTTTATGGTATTTATTTATAGACTCATTTTTTGTGTTTGATATAAAAAAAATGCATTGATCGTTTGAATTTAATTTAATGATAAAATTTTTATCCTTGTAACATTCTAACATTATTATGTGAAAAACATTTTTAAAATAAAAATATATTTTTTAAAATTTTTATCTATGAATAAAATTTAATTCGTTTATACCAAACAAAATATTAATTAAGCTTAAAAGTCAACTTATTTATTGAATTCGGTGATAAATAAATTTGAATTCCGCTTATTAAATTTATGAAATCAACCTTTTTTCTAATTAAACTCCGAATATCTTACTTGTGGCAACAAAGTGGTCTAAAGTATTCTAGTTGTACGGTCGTGATTAAAGGAGACAGTAAACGTGCAATCAGATCAAGTGCACGACAGACGTGATACGGAAATGACGACATTACAATAATGCAAATAACTATTTATGGACCGATTATTTTATTTTAATTATGACAAATAAATTTATTGATTTCGTGAAAATGACGGCTTGCTGTAATTTCAAGTACATCAAATACAGCAAATTGTCACTTTCATGTTTTTTACCTTGCTGTAAAAAGGATAAAAAGAATAAAAAAAGTAGGAGGTATTGCTGATCAATAGCAAGGTTAGACAACTAGAGAGAAATCTACTATCTCTGAAGATATTATTTTTTAAAATATTTAAAATCTCTTATATTTTGAGATAAAATAATTATCGTAAAACGTATTTCTTCGAATAAAAAAAGTATAATAATATACAGGCCAAAGTTGGATGCAGAGGTGGCCACGGTTCTTGAATTTTCAGTTTCGGTTCCAGAGCCGAAAATTAATGGTTTCGGTTATAGTTTGGAACCAAAAGGTTCCAGTTTCGATTTCAGTTCCAAAATCGATAGTTCCGACCGGTTTCAGACGGAATTAGAATCGTAGGTTCCGACTGGAGCTAGAACCGATTTTGGATTGGTTCTGATTCCAGTTCAAACCAATTTTGATTTTCACCGATTTCGGTTTCGATTCCCACTGGTTCGGAATCGACCATTATGGTTCCGAAAATCGAATTTTGGCCACCCCTCGTTGGATGGAAGAAAGAAACCGACAATCTTCTCCTCCTCTTAACACCGATTGAAGAGGAGGATGAGCAAAAGGGGAAAAAAAACAAACATATACAGAAAAAAAATTATATCCAAACACACTATGTACAGAGTCATCATTTAATGTTCAATGAATGCTTACCAAATTTACCATATACTGTCAACCATTATCACTCCAGAATAACATTATACTATTAAACTATCAAACTTGATTCGAATCCTTTGCTTTTTCTTCATTTTGGTAAATGCGGTTATATTTAGATAAATTTGGATAATCATTACATTATTTTTTTAAATAAAATAAAATACAATTCAAACTTAATAAAAATAAAGTTCAACTTACTATTCAAAAAAAAAAAACGATAAGATAAACATTTTAATTCAAATTACTCATGAATTTGTATTCACATCCAATTTGTTGTAAAAAATTCAAATTGAATTTAGATAATTTGCACATGAATTATAAATTCAGAAAATGAATGAAATTAAAAGGTTAATTTTGTATTTTTTTTTAAATAACAAGTTCAAAAAATAAATTGATTTTTATTAGTATATAAAAAAATTATCATATATTGAGCCGTTAATAGTAGTCAAACCCAAGTCCAAAATTATTTAAATTTTTTCTTAAATTTAGACTCTTAATTTTTGAAAAATCGTCTCTCTAACTTTGAAAAATACATGTCCATTGTTGTTAAGCATATTAGGCTAGAACATGATTGAATTGAATATCAATTTAAATACTAGTCGAACCTGATTATTATAAATTAATTATCTAAATCTATTTAAAAATTTATTTTTATCACTGAAATTTGTTTGAACCTTACCCGTTTATATCTGAATACATTCAATCTATTACATTAAAAATATTATTTTATTTTTTAAAATAAAAAATAAGCAAACATTATAAAATTCTATTTTTACTTAATAAAAAACATATAACATCAATGCTAAATAAGATTATAACATTGATTATAAAAGGTATATATATAAAATAAAACTAATTATTTCAAATATTTTAATTGCAAGGATGATAAATAAGGGATATTCAAGCTTTTGAATCTGAACCCAATATGAATAATAAAATACTGCTCGAACCTGTTCTGATCCATTTATTTACTTTTCCAAACTCGTTAAAATCGAGTTGAATCGAATCCGATATTCATCACTCGGATAAAATTACCATCCCTAAGCAGCCAAAAGAAGCTGTGCAGTAAGCAAGCTTTACGAATACTTACCGCCTTGATTTACCGAAATTACCATTGATTAACAGATCTTATTGTTCAGTAGACAGTCGTACACAACACACCCCACCCCACCTCACCAAATAACCACCAATCATATAAAGGACGCGTGTTAATCTAACCAAAGAACTGGTCCGATCATCGTCCATTTCCACTTGCAAAGGGCCCGCATAAACATCCGTCCCCTACGCCAACGATTTTCTACACTTACCAGATCTACCAACCCCCCAAAAGAAAACCCTCAAAGCCGATAGATCCCTACCGTCCATTTGACCCATCTAAACTATATATACGGCCTCACTACAACCATATTTTTCGCACAAATCCCATCTCTCTCTAATACCATAAACCACAGAGAGAGAGTGAGGTTGCATTTCTCCCTATCTCTTAACAATTCTCAGATCTAAACCCCTTCTAAACCCTTAACAATGGCGTTGGTAGTGGAGAAGACCACCGGTGGCCGTGAGTACAAGGTAAAGGACTTGTCTCAGGCTGATTTCGGTCGCCTTGAGATCGAATTGGCCGAAGTCGAAATGCCTGGTCTCATGGCTTGTAGAGCCGAATATGGTCCTTCACAGCCTTTTAAGGGGGCTAAAATCACCGGCTCTCTCCACATGACTATCCAAACCGCTGTTCTTATCGAAACCCTCACTGCCTTAGGTGCTGAGGTCCGTTGGTGCTCTTGCAACATTTTCAGCACTCAGGACCACGCCGCCGCCGCCATCGCTCGTGACTCCGCCGCAGTCTTTGCCTGGAAAGGTGAGACTCTCCAGGAGTACTGGTGGTGTACTGAGCGCGCTCTTGACTGGGGTCCTGGTGGTGGCCCAGATCTGATCGTTGATGATGGTGGTGACGCTACTCTCTTGATCCATGAAGGAGTTAAGGCTGAGGAGATTTATGAGAAGACTGGTCAGCTTCCTGACCCATCTTCGACTGATAATGCAGAGTTCCAAATTGTGTTGACCATTATTAGAGATGGATTGAAGACAGATCCTAAGAAATACCACAAGATGAAGGAAAGATTGGTTGGTGTTTCTGAGGAGACTACCACTGGAGTTAAGAGGTTGTACCAGATGCAAGTTAATGGAACCTTATTGTTCCCTGCTATTAATGTTAACGACTCTGTCACTAAGAGCAAGGTATTGCTTTTGCTTATTAATCTTTTTACGGTTTTAGATCTAATTGTTATGGTTTAGATCTGTTGTTTTTTTAGTGTTTGTTTAGTACAATCTGTGTCTAGATTAAATTGATTTGGATAATGAACTGTATGCTCCCAAAATGATTTAGTTTCAGGTTGCAGGTCTGCTATAGTGTACTTAGTCATTAATGATTTTGCAGCTCATTAATCTGGTTAGGAAATTTTAACAGTTCCAAAAATGGTTTATGATCTGGATCTACTATGTCTACTGAGTTTTGCTTCAGATCTTAAGTTTTGGATAATGACTTTAGATCTCAACACTAGTAAAAGCTTTCTGTTTGATTTCTTTATCTTGTTTAACACTTGCAAATAACTGTCTATTTTATATTGCAGTTCGATAACTTGTATGGTTGCCGCCACTCTCTCCCTGACGGTTTGATGAGGGCTACTGATGTCATGATTGCCGGCAAGGTTGCTGTTGTCTGTGGTTATGGTGATGTGGGTAAGGGCTGTGCTGCTGCTTTGAAGCAGGCTGGAGCTCGTGTGATTGTCACAGAAATTGACCCCATCTGTGCCCTTCAGGCTCTCATGGAAGGACTCCAAGTCTTGACCCTTGAAGATGTTGTCTCTGACGCTGACATCTTCGTCACAACCACCGGTAACAAGGACATCATCATGGTTGATCACATGAAGAAGATGAAGAACAATGCCATTGTTTGCAACATTGGTCACTTTGATAACGAAATCGATATGCACGGACTTGAGACCTACCCTGGTGTTAAGCGCATTACCATCAAGCCCCAAACTGATAGGTGGGTTTTCCCTGAAACAAAAACAGGCATCATCGTGTTGGCTGAGGGGCGTCTAATGAATTTGGGTTGTGCCACTGGTCACCCTAGCTTTGTGATGTCCTGCTCTTTCACCAACCAGGTGATTGCACAGCTGGAGTTATGGAGGGAGAAGGCAACGGGAAAGTATGAGAAGAAGGTGTATGTGTTGCCTAAGCACCTTGATGAGAAGGTCGCAGCCCTCCATCTTGGGAAGCTTGGAGCTAGGCTTACTAAGCTCTCAAAGGATCAGGCCGATTACATCAGCGTTCCAGTTGAGGGTCCTTACAAGCCTCCTCACTACAGGTACTAGAAAAGAAGAAAGAGAGTGTAAGAAAACCATGTATTTGGACGGCTTGATTGTTTCATTTACAATTGGATGATGATGATTGTGGTAGAATTTTAGGTTTTAAATTTTTGTAGGATATTATTATGTGTTTGGGTGGGGAAAAGTTGGGAGGAATGAATGGGATTGGTCTCTTCTGTTGGAGAAGACCACATGGGATTGAATAAGGTTTTGGATGGGATTGTGTGGGATGTGTATTGTAACTGCTGCCATTGGAGTTTTGCTGCAGCAGCTTTTCATTTTATTCACCCAAAAACAGAAACAAAATGTTACTTGTCAACTTCTTTCTTGATGGATGGCTTTTGTTTTTTTTTATACTAAATTTGGGTAAAATCGTAAAACATAAGGAGGTGAAAATGAATAATAGATTAGGAGATTTGATTATTGTTTTTATTCAGAAAATTCCACAAACATAGTCGTTAGGTAAACATGAATAATAGATTAGGAGATTTGATTATTGTTTTTATTCAGAAAATTCCACAAACATAGTCGTTAGGTAAACATGAATAATAGATTAGGAGATTTGATTATTGTTTTTATTCAGAAAATTCCACAAACATAGTCGTTAGGTAAACATGAATAATAGATTAGGAGATTTGATTATTGTTTTTATTCAGAAAATTCCACAAACATAGTCGTTAGGTAAACATGAATAATAGATTAGGAGATTTGATTATTGTTTTTATTCAGAAAATTCCACAAACATAGTCGTTAGGTAAACATGAATAATAGATTAGGAGATTTGATTATTGTTTTTATTCAGAAAATTCCACAAACATAGTCGTTAGGTAAACATGAATAATAGATTAGGAGATTTGATTATTGTTTTTATTCAGAAAATTCCACAAACATAGTCGTTAGGTAAACAATAATGATGGTACTCTCTTATCTTACTATATTTAAATAGAAAAGACAACGGAAAATGGAAGTACTACGAAATTACTGCTTGAAACTGAGACACTACACTATTACTGGTTGATTTCATTTTCTTTATTTATCCCAAATCTAATTGGTAGTCCGGAGAAGTAAAAAAGATCGTTTCATGTCATCCACTGAGTTGGGTCAAGATCATTCCTTTTAATGACCTAAGAAAGATTATTTCATATTTGAATCGTTGGGCCATAGCCCATAGCACCATTTGGAGATGCCCAACAGCCAACCCCGAAGCTAATGGAAAGGAAATATCAAATGTGGAAACAGATTTTAACTTTTGGGCCGAGTTAAAGTTTCCATATTAATGCATCAGTTAAAGTTTCCTGATTCGTGTACCACTGCACTACCGCTTATGTGATTACACCTTATCATCAATAATAATAATAATAAAATACTCATATTTCTCTCTATTATCTCTCACACTTGCACCTTATTAAAACATCACTTGAAAATCTCCAGGGGTTGAAAAGATTTTACTTAAATTTGAGGACCCGGGAGAAAATAAAGATAAAATAGGAACAATTTATAAATAATCTTTAATTTTATTGATTTGGTCGTAAGTGGACTATGGATACGATCGAGACATGTATTTTTCAGGGAATATTTCTTTATATTTTATATCCTATTGGACCAGGAAAGAAAGTTTTTGGTCAGAGTTTCCTGATGATTAAACTTTCACTGCAGAAATCAAAATCTAAAAAGAAAACAATCAAGATTAAAGCAAAACGAAATACCTGTAAAATTTTGACAGTATTCAGATAGAATTTTAACCACAAAATTATCTGTCAGTATAAGCAAATCAAGCTACTTTTTCAATTAAAGACTTCAAGAGCACATCAAATATTTACTGTCTATGATTTGCATAAACATTACAAAGAAGAAGAAGAAGAAGAAGAAGAAGAAGAACCTTTTATTTAATGAGACGACAAACTGACAGTTGCCAGATATATCAAGCCCATATGCTGTTATATCACCAAGAACTTGTATATTTATGCATTTCACAGAAGTCGATAATAAAAGGAAAAAAAAAAAAATCTCACTTAAGAGATCATGCGCGATCATAAACTCCTGACCAGAACCAATGCAAGAACATCAATTGTTTATGCAATTTGTAAGAAGTAAAGAAAGATTTGAAAAGGGGAGGATCCTTAATAATTTAATTTGATTCAATTTGAGGGGAATAATAGGCTAACAAGAAAAAGAAATCAAGCCATGACTCTGTGTCAAGCAAGGCAAACTTTAAGCTTCTTGAAGATCTCAGTATCTGTTCCTAGAAAATCAAGGGCGTTAATGCAAGTACGTTAAAGATAAGGTTAAGAAAAGGGAATTCTGCATTATAAGTTTAAGTCATTTCTCTTTTAGGTCATTTCTTCTGGGTTAATCCTGTTGAATTATGAATGAAAGATATTATAAGGAGAATATGTGTGTGTATATATATATATATATAGAAAGAAATTGCTTTTGTGTTGATGGTCTGCCCAGAAAGAGATTTTTTTTTTTTTTTCATAACCATTCCAATATGAAATTTTAATTTTATTGATGTAAAGAGGATATACTTTAAATAGAGCATATTATCTGTCTAATATCCACACGAAAAGAAAAATTAGAAACCTTAAAATCTCCAGAAAAAGAATGCTGAAAATTCAAAGATATACGAAGAAGTAATAACAATTTATTTATATAACCTTAAAAGGATAGCTCAGATCTCCCCAAAAATTAAGATTATATTAATTCATATGGCAAATCAAAACAAGATTCTTACAAATTTCATCAAGAAAAGCCCCGATCAAAGACACCAAATCTAGAGACGTAATAGCTCATTACCAATTTCACAAGATCATGTCAATTTTAAACTAATTCCTTGTCAAATTTTAAGGGCCTCTACATCTTGTAATGACCTCACAACCTCTGCTATAAGGATTAGCTTCTCCAGCATGACAATCATAGTAAGAAGCTCCTGGCTTTGCACATGGAACCATGTCTCTCTTCAGTGTCTCGTAGCTTATGTACTTCTTTTGCATCAAAAGAACTCTCCTGCTAATCTCTGACTCCATCTCTGCCTCTTCAAGGCAGTCTCCAATTTTCCTGGTACAAGGCCTACTCACAATAGCATCAATTTCAGTGATTTCAAGTGAATTGAGGCCTGAAACTGAAACCCCATTACAAATTGAGAAATGGGTGTAGAGGAAAATGAGTGCAAGGATATAAAGTTTGGGTCTTGACATTTTCTTTGGTTGATTTTGGGTAGAGTTTGCTGTTTTCTTATGTTTCTTGAGTTTCTTGTAGAGCTCTGGAAGTGAGATCTTTGGTAGTTGGGATGGTCAGAGATGGGACAAGACAGTGCAAAATAGTTTCAAGCGCTTGTGAAGTGTGTGAACATTTTCTGGTTGGCACCAAAGAAATTATTACTTTGCCACTGAGATCAATGTCCAGTAAGACATATACAGTGGCTCTTCTCCTCCTCCTGTAAAAAGATTTTAACTTGGAAGTAAAAACTACATCGGGTATTAAAATTTTGAAATGGATAAAATAAATTCAGGGTCAAGGTGTTAAGTAATTTTCAAGGGTGAAATTATGAGTTTAACTCTTTATTGAAAATTTAAATAATCAAAGAGTAAATTTTGGGATTATATAATATTAACTAAAACCGTAAAACAGTTCTGTATCTCATGACATTAATGGAAGAATCATTTTAATTTTCTATTGGCATTAAATCAATATTTTAAGAGGATAGCATAAAAAAAAAAAAAGACTTTTATACTGAGCACTGAAAAATTCAACATTTTTAAAGGTATTTCATTTAATTAAGACTGGAAATTCTAATTACTGAAGAAAAAAGAAAAGCAATTTAAAAAAATTTGTGCATTTTCATTTTATGATTGTTATTTTTAAATTTGATATTGACAAAGATTTATTAGTTACTACATGTATTTACATTGCTTTATACATGCAGCTAGCACAGTAAATCATTTTCAGGGTGAGAGGTCACAGTCTCAACAACTGGATATCTGTCTGGGTATTTGTGATTAAGTGGCAGGGCACAACCAACCACCTTTTTAGAGACTTTATTGAATTTTGCTGAGCTTCTCCCTTATAACCTTGCACATGCTTTTGCCTTTTTTGCCCTTTGGGGAATTGTGAATCAGCTTTAACAAAGTAGACATAAATTAGAACCTATAACAATCAAAATGATTTCCTTCATAAAGTATAGTATATTCCACCATTTCTTTTATATCTTATTAACCTTGCACATGCTTTTGCCTTTTTTGCCCTTTGGGGATTGTGAATCAGCTTTAACAAACAGTAGACATAAAATTAAACCTATAACACAATCAAAAAATGATTTCCTTCATAAAGTTATAGTATATTCCACCATCTTTATATAATATAAAATAACTATATAGTACTATATATATATATAATATATTATACGGATATATATATTCAAAATTGAAAATTTAATTATCAAAATTGAAAATTTAATTATTGTTGTTGATTACATTTGGAAATAGAAGCGGGAGAAGGCTGCGTCTGTGTACAGCAGCTCCATCCTAAAAGCCTCCTAGGAGTCGCTCCTGACTCAGACACCTTACCCTGACGTTATTCTTCGTTCTCATCGAACCGCTTTCTCGGACTGAATTATCACATTATTAACGTGAGATGTTCAGCACACTGAACCAGTTTTTTTACACTTAGGCATCTAAGTTACGAAACAACCTAATCTAGTAGATGGAGGACCAAAACTTGGCAATGATTAGAGTGGACACATAAGGACCACAATGGATCCGAAATATCTAGAATTATTGGATAAAAGTGATCGGTGAATAACCATAAGAAATTAGAGAATTTAATTTTGTTTTACAGTGGTAAAGACGTTGATCATCTCTCCTTGATTCAGGGTCGATCATGATATTCTCAGAAGCCACGGCCCACTTTATGAGCTGTCTTAAACTCTATTATTGTGGGTTGAAGAGAATCCTACAGAAATGAAACGTAAACAACTGACCCTTGATTCAGGGTCGATCATGATATTCTCAGAAGCCACGGCCCACTTTATGAGCTGTCTTAAACTCTATTATTGTGGGTTGAAGAGAATCCTACAGAAATGAAACGTAAACAACTGACCCTTGATTCAGGGTCGATCATGATATTCTCAGAAGCCACGGCCCACTTTATGAGCTGTCTTAAACTCTATTATTGTGGGTTGAAGAGAATCCTACAGAAATGAAACGTAAACAACTGACCCTTGATTCAGGGTCGATCATGATATTCTCAGAAGCCACGGCCCACTTTATGAGCTGTCTTAAACTCTATTATTGTGGGTTGAAGAGAATCCTACAGAAATGAAACGTAAACAACTGACCCTTGATTCAGGGTCGATCATGATATTCTCAGAAGCCACGGCCCACTTTATGAGCTGTCTTAAACTCTATTATTGTGGGTTGAAGAGAATCCTACAGAAATGAAACGTAAACAACTGACCCTTGATTCAGGGTCGATCATGATATTCTCTTATGTACATGTATATGAACATTCAAATGTCTACCAAGAAGTAATAACAGTTTATTATATAATCTGAAAAGGATAGCTCAAATCTCCCCAAAAGCTAAGCTTATATTAATTCATATTGCAAAAATAAAAAGCAAGATTCTTAACTAAATTTACAAATAGCATCAAGAAAAGCCCCCCATTAAAGACACCAAATTTAGAATTGTAATATGTCATCACCAAATTTCACAAGGTGATGTCAATTTTGAACTAATTCCCTGTCAAATTTTAAGGGCCTCTACATCTTGTAATGACCTCGCAACCTCTGCTGTAAGGATTAGCTTCTCCAGCATGACAATCATAGTAAGAGGCTCCTGGCTTTGCACATGGAACCATGTCTCTCTTCAATGTCTCGTAGCTTATATACTTTTGCATCAAAAGAACTCTCCTGCTGATCTCTGACTCCATCTCTGCCTCTTCAAGCCAGTCGACCCTACGCATAACAGCATCAATTTCAGTGTTTTCAAGTGAATTGAGGCCTGAAACTGAAACCCCATTACAAATTGCGAAATGGGTGTGCAGGAAAATGAGAGCAAGAATATAAAGTTCGGTTCTTGACATTTTCTTGGGTTGTGTTGTGTAGAGTTGAGTTGTCTTGCGTTTCTTGAGTTTCTTAAGGAGTTCTGGAACGGGAAGTGAGACCTGTTGTCGTTGGGATTCGGGAAGGTTAGATGAGACAAGACAGTGCAATACAGTTTAAAGCGTCGGTGCAATATAGTTTAAAGCGTCGGTGAAGATGAACATTTTCTGGTTACCACTAAAGAAATTGTTATATGCCACCTTTTATTTTCATAGTTGCAAGTACTGAAACTCACGTGCTCGGTGTCAGAACATTATCATGGCTCTTTTGACACGCTTGATGCATTTATGCAGCCTGACCAAACTTTTCTGTTGGTATTCTCTTCATCTTCATTCGTAAATAAAGGACATATATAGGTACAAAAATCAACGCAGAAACTTCCATTTAAGAGCACGTAAGAGATTATGCCTGTTTCTGGGTTCTCATTCTTTAATCTTTAGGAACACTTTCAACGATTTGCTTGTCCTTCCAGCACTTGATACTATGTGCAGTATTAGTGGCATAAGTCTAAAATGAAACTCTAATTAACAAATCAAGATTAGTAGTAATAGTTTAATGGTAATTTCTTCTTTTTGGTACTCAGTAAGCATCCTTTTTAGATTCAGCTTAAAAACATCAAGATATGTTAGTAATTTAAGCCTTAAAACAGCTCTTCATGAATTTCAGTGTATAAAAAGAAAAAAAAAACATCTCTTCAGAGAAATAGAAGGGAATAGAAAGAGGCACTTCCTGGTTGTGGGCAAGTAGGAGAGGCTATAATCATTGCATACCATACCAGAGAGGATTCCAGCTGAGGGTTTCGCAAAACAGCTCAGGGCGCATATAGTAAAAGGTGATATGATAACATTGCAATAGGAACTCTTTTTCTATCATTAAAACTTGTGTATAAAATTTGACTTATTGGGCACAAGTTCACACTACAATCTGAAATTAACAAATAATAAAGTCAGATTTCTTCACTGTGGGCAATAAGGGGATTTGGCTAAATGCAGATATACCCCTATGCTTATAGCACTTTCAACTTTTGCTTCAACCGGTTGAACACTTCAATGTACAAAAATTTTATTGACCGTTCCAACTTTTCATTCTATGAAATGCTGAAATGCTGTAGAAAAATTTGCTATTGCATACCGTTCATTGTTAAAAATGTACCAAATACCCACATAATCTTCTTCCTCTACATCAAAATGAATGTAATCATTGGATAACAATGACAATCCGTATGATATGAACAATAGCAGCAACCACTAGGAAAATAAGAATTTCAACATTATTCTACTAACCATACATATGGTCTTACACCTAGTTTTTGTCATATATTGTTGTCAAATGTATGTAGTGAAAATCCAAATCATTGGATGTAGTAGCAAAAAACTTTACAAACCTGTCATACGCCTTTACATAACAATGGCGCTCAAAGAGAGAGATTCTCCACATTTTTAGCGTTTCTCAGCATTACATGGCTTGACCTTCTATCTTCCTTATCATCATATGGATTTGCTCTATAATTAGAACTTGCCTCTTCATTTTCAGAAGAGCCTGGTCTTTCAGTTAGGAACTGTTCCCAGAAGACATCATTTACTCTAGGAGGTGCAGCAGCAGGCCCTTGATTGTTATTTGGGGCCTCCTTTGATGAAGATAAAGTTGTGTCGCCATTGCCGCCTGTCCTGTCTTTTGAAGTAACCAACATATTGGATTCTTTACCATCGTCGTTTAACTTCGATTCTGGAGATTTGCAAAATTCCTGATGCAGTTCAGCCATCCTAGCTGAATAAGGACTCCTATTGGCTTGAAGTGGAGAAGATGCTAGAGTTAGATTTAGATGGCAGGAAATATGCCCATCAGCTTCTTCATTAGAAATCAGATTTGGCTGCAGCGAGTGCAGTTCTAAGGTTTTATTTGTTGTCAATTTTCTCGGGAAAGCTGGATCAACTTTATATGAATAAGATGTCCCAGTATCAGAAAGATCAAATGTTTCAGATGCAAATAGTAGACATGGTGTTCTTGGTGGTGTGTCTTTTGGATCACCTCCAGATGCTTTCCTCTGTGGACTCCCCATATCTTCATTGGAACTCTGTGTGCTATTTGAGACCAAATTAATATCTGAAACAGCTGGTGATAATTCCAGTCTCAGCTTATTTGAGAAATCTTGATGAATAACATTCCCAAACTCAGACCTAGAATTACTTTGATTGTCCACAAAACTATTTTCTGCATTTGACTTCGAGTGATCAACTTGAGGCAGCCGTCTTTTCTTGCTATATGCTGAAAAATCCATAGAATCAATTTTCCGAGCAAGATGTTCAATAAAGGTAGGGTTCTGAACAGCCTTCTCTAACAAGGCCAACAATTTTTCCTGCCTCTGCTCCATGCTATTCACCCGCTGAGTTAGATCTTCCAACTGAAGCTTTTCAGCAGATCTCTGATGCTTGCTTCCCACAACACTTTCCTCAAGTGTGGCTTTTTCACGTGCAAGCCTATCTATTTCTACATCAAATGCTGCTCTTTCTGGATCCACCAAAGAACCATGAGGATGACTGTGGCTATGAATTGGTTTCCTTCGGTGGATATTCTTAAGGAGATGCTTTTGATCTTTCACAAAATCTTCATTGGCAAATTCCCATTTCTCAGGATCAATCTTTCTAAATCCCTGTCATCAAATTAAGCTATGTGCTAAGGCATACATAAAACTCTAAGTCAATCACAGAATACAAAACCTTCTCCAAGGAACTTACAGAAAATCAAGCCATCTAAAAAGATAATTAGCTATCCAAATTACGCAAAACCAAGAAATTTTCCTCAACAAGGAATCAAAAGTTGAAAATATTGAAATCAAATAATTACTAACAAGGTGTACTAGAAAGTTCAAGATTAAATAAATTCTTCACCAATAACCAGGATCAAAGAACATGAATCTAGCAGGCCATCACAGGTGGAACTCAAGTGGAGGTCAAGTAAAGATTTGCAGTCAATCTTTGCATAGAACGCTCTGGACTCTTCTATCATGTCTGAAAATAACAAGAAGCACACATATGGACATGTTCAAATGTTTATTAAAACAAGAAACATTTAAGTTGATCCACATATGCGGCATGCTTATAAGGACAATTATATTCATCTAACTATTGTTCCAAAGCTAATTCGTTCCTAGTTAACCTTAATCTTGCCACTGGATACAAGCGTTGCTTCCATAATTCTCCTTTCATTACCTCAATCACTAACCTGGGTTCGAATACAAACCAAAAATAACTAAATTTCTCCAAATAAAAATAATGTACTCACATATGACAACCATTTCACCACCTCTCCTCCACTGTGAAGCCATAACTCAAGTTTGAAGATTCCAATATAAATGCACACAATTAGGAAACTGGAAGGTCTCTAATTTTTCATTCAAATATAAAATAATCAAATCAACAACAAAAATTAATCAAAAAAGATATCAATAAGATCTCTGTAAACATCAGAAAACAAACATATATATATATATAAAGAAAAACTCACATAGGTATTCAACTGTCTTATGAAGCTAGAGAAGTTGTTGTGCTTGAAATACGTAGGAAGGAGAACTCTTGCAAATTCTGGAGGGTTCCAAACGACAAAGCTGTTCTTGCTAGAGCTCCACGACACGATCTCATCCGTCGATGAATCATCCACCATGTCATACGTCTTTAACAAGAACGGCGCCGGTCCTCCACCACCTCCTCCGCCTCCTACGCAGCCGCTATTGGTGGCTGAGGGCGGGGCCGCTTCCATTTGACTAGAAATTTTCTCTTTCTTTTTCTGATTGGAGACGAGTGAAATTGAAGGATTAATTGAATTGAGAAGAAACCCTAATTAATAGATTATGGAGGGAAGATTGGGAGATGACGGAGAAGGATATCGCAAACATCGAACCTTTCAGGCAAATCACGTCACTTTACTGGAATAAGATCTTTTTTTTTTTTTTTTTTTTATAGGGCGTAGGCCGCTTCCATTTGACTCAGAAATGGTTCTCTTTCTTTTTTCGTGATCTGGGCAGCACGTAGTAAATGAAGGAGAATTAATTGAATCTTGAGAAGGAAACCCTAAATTGAATAGACTTATGGAGGAAGATTGGGAGATGACGGAGGACATGATATTCACGCAAACACGAACCTTTCAGGCAAACTCACGGCTCACATTTACTGGATAAGATTCTTTTTTTTTTTTTTTTATTGTTTCCTCTCTTTGCCTTATCCTGGCATTTTTTTTTTTTTTTTTTTTTTTTTTGTTTTCTCTCTTTCCTTCCTTCATTTTTTTTTCTCAAAACAGAGTTCTTAAATTTAATTATTGTCATTATTATTCTAAAAAATTTTCAATATTTAATCAAATCTGGATATTGATTCAATCAATTAATTTTTATATTATTTTTATTTGTATAATACAATGATTTAAGAGTAAATTAATTTTTAACTATTTATTCTAATTACTTTTATATGATTATTTAATGTGAATTGATATTGAGATGTTTAATAAACTTGGAGAATCTATGTAAATTATACTAGTACTGTCATAGGATTTTCTTTTTTCTTTTTTTTTTTTTCCCTTTTGTGATCCCTAATGAAGCTAAGGAAAAATTACTAAATAGTAAATGGCCAAATATATGCCTTAGCCCTAATAAAAAAAAAAAAATCATCAAAAATACATATGTTTTTTTCCTATTCACATTAAAATAAACTCTTTCAGCTATAACACATTGTAAAAAAAAAAAAAAAAAAAAAAAAAAGGGAAAGATACGATTTTTTGTTTATGGGCCAGAAACTCTGTAAACTAGTTCGGCTCAAGTTGGCTCAATCTATCAGCCCAAGGCCCACAATCTTCTTAAAGACGGATCCGGACGTTGAAGATTCTGTCCAACAACAGGAATGACAAGTGGACAAAAATTGGAAAAAAACCAATTACGTACGGCGCGTCAAAATAGATAAATGGCGCCATACAATACGTTATCGATAAAGCCCGGTGTAAGAAAAAAAAAAAAAAAAAAAAAAAAGGAAAGATACATTTTTTGTATGGGCCAAAACTCTGTAAACTAGTTCGGCTCAGTTGGCTCAATTATCAGCCCAAGCCCATCTTCTAAAGACGGATCGGCGTTGAAGATTCTGTCCAACAACAGGAATGACAAGTGAGCAAAAATTGGAAAAACCAATACGTGGCGTCAAAATAGATAAATGGCGCCAAATTTCATAAAGCGGTTAACCGTTCAGATTTTACAGAAACCAAGAAGAAGTTGCCTCAAAGTTCAAGAATTAAACTAATTAAATTATATAGAACCAGAAGTCCAATGAAATTTAAACAAATGATATATTGTGGAAACTCTTCAAAGTTCATCTAGCGTGTATCTGATGACCTTACCCAAAGTTTCATTTCCCATTCTAATGTTCAAAAAACTTATGACTTAACTGCAAAATCCCAGAAATCATTTGGATTCAAGTGCAATCGAATATCATACGTATCAGTTCTCAACTGTTTCGGGGAGCATTTTGTGCTCTGTCAACTGTCCATCTAGTTCTGACGAATCTCCTCCACAAAGCCTGCAGCGCTTTGTTTGGATGAGTTTCAATGGCCTTTGCAAGCTTGTCATAAGTTTTCCTCTCATATTCTGCATATATACCCTGCATATACACACATCATTATCCTAATGAATGATCAAAGACATCTTAGTAACAAAAATATCGTTCCAACTTTCTTGCATCTAAAACAGTAGGTCTTGCTGCTTTCATATAACACAACTTAAAAATGGACATTAGACGTTCCTTGATAATGGATATCCAAAGTAGTGAGTGATTGTTGTAATAGCCAAGAATTGATACTTGATTTAAGCGAGGAAGGAGTGAACTAAATTTGTGTTTTAAGTCAAAGAAAAGAGCGCAATTTCGTATTCTATAAGCCAGAAAAACTTTCCTTGTAAACATAAAGTAGAAATTGAAAGCATTAAGACAAACCTGAAGATCAAGAATTCTATAAAGTTCTTTCACTTTTGCGACACAGCCTGGATCTGTTTTCCCATAGTTTTCCTGGAAAAATTAATGAATTGTTTAGGATAACTAGTTCTACTCGTGTTATTCCAGAATATAGTGCAAAACTGGAATAATGAATTATCTTGCTTACATACATATAATAGTTTCTTTTGTTCCTCATTAGCAAGTTCTAGTGCTTTAACAACAAACCAAGTGCACTTGCAATCCTCAATATCTGTTCCAACCTAATAACACAGAAACCCAGGGTCTTCAGTTATCGAATAATACAAGTGGTAGATATAAAGCAAGGCAAATGTATCGGCAAGAGCCAAGTAAGTCCACAAACTTACCTTACCAGTTATTTCTGGGTCTCCAAAACAATCTTGATAATCATCCTACAGCATAAATAGGCACAATATCATCTCTGGCAATTTATTAAGAAAAAAATAGAGATCTCTTGTCAGGTTCTGACTAGAGTTCAAAGACGACGTCTCTGCAATCAAATGAAGAAAAGAGAATCCTTTTGCTCAGTGATTAACCTGGACTTGAAAATAGATAGTAATTTCAATAAGGATCTTCTTTGCTTCGGCATGGCTCTCAAGATTCTCACCTGCCATAAGCAATGAGCATGCAACCTGGGGGCATACAAAGATCACAACCGAAAAAATGAAAAATGTCAATCCAATAAACCTCATGCAAGCAGCTGTATCTTAAAAGTTAAAGTAACTTTATTCGAAGATAGTTAATATCTAAGCATTACAGATAATCAAGGTGCTATAATTCAAATTGGTCCACATGGAGAGATAAGAGTGAAATTTCCTATAGTGAGAGCATATACTTCCTGGACAACACATACATAATCTGAAGTCCCACAATGAGCAGCAATTATACAAACAAAGGCATATGTGAGCACACATAATGGCAAATCCAATTTAACAATTACTATGAAAATAAGTTTCATTATGGGTCATTATAATGGAATGCAACAATAAATAAAATTGCCAATTAACCAGCAAAAGCAATGATGAAAGCATATATAAAGGAATTGCAACTCACCGGAAGGTAAATGGAATAATAAGCACTTTTGTACTCAACTATGCGATGATAACTGCATGAACACATAAAAGAAACAAGAAAAAAACAAAACCAATTTGATTAATATTTTATTTAATGTATAAAACACAAGCATTATCTATTACCACTTACAGTGACAATGAGTAGTTGGATAGATCCTGTTCACCTTTATGTGTGCTAATTAAATCTATCATTTCTCCACAGACTGATTGGAATTCCACCTGCGTAGACATGATTATTCATTACAGTCAATACTTGATTATAATGCTTAAATGGGGGAGGAAAATATTCCTCCAAACTGACACCACAAAGATTGTACTACCTCATGAAATAATTCCAGCAGATGCACATAATAAGGCTTTTCTCTGAAATACATCTTCAGAATTCTGCGGACTTGATTGGGGAGTATTATTCCATCATTTATAGCGATAAAACCAACCTATAATAGAAAGAGGATAGAACAAACTCAGAATTTCATTGCAGGTGCTGCTCTAATTCACAAATCATAATAGTAACCAATTTCTTTTCTAGAATAATTGGAGAATAGATATCATTCACACCTTTGGTAGCATGTACCAACAAGGTTGACCACGGCGTGTATGAGAGTTGTCCATAATGTCGTCAAGCACCACTGCACATGCTTGAAGCTGGAATAGTTGGCGTCCAAAAGGGTTACCACAATAGAAATGAAATCATGCATAGCAGTAGACCTGGCTAAATCAAATTATATGGTAATCAATAATCCTACAAACCCATTCGATGCACCAACCAAGCACGCAAGCAAGAAGCATTTCATCATTAGTCAGTTCTTTTCCTTCCTTAAGTGACTTGTAGCAATCAATGACAGCCAGTCCTCGGTATAACTTTCCTGCCAAGAGTACAAACATGGAATTTGTTAAATTAAGATGGCGAAGTCCCTTATGCTACCATTAAATTGAGCTCCAATCTTCTTCCTTGAAGGATAGAAGCTATAAGATGCAGCATTTGATAACCCCACCTCTAGGTACATTGTAATCCAGCATCTGCAACAAATGGGCGTAGAATCATAATTGGGACCTCTAAATATTTTATATTGCAGTGCACTTATAACAAAACAGTATAAACTAATAGGATTACCAATACATGGAGGCATAACAATATCCAGTGAAGTGAATCAGAGGGTGCAGACACAGCCTCAATCCATGATAAGATCAATTCATGTGTTGCACCAACAACATGGCAAAAAATAATGTTGTGGCATTTGGGGCCCAACATGTTTATAAAATGAATGTTGCAGAAATATTTATGTTAAAATAGATACATGGTCATACATGATTAAACAAGATTAGAAATAACCACATCTAACAAGAGATGCAAGTAGCATAAGTTAGGAATAAAATGAGAAAACGATGTCTGAAATGGTTTAGTCATGTCATACGTAGATCTAATGTGCTCCGGTTAGTAATTGTAAAATATTGATGGAAGAGGGTATTAAATAGGGAAGAGGTAGACCTAGAACCACATGAATGGAAGTTATCTCAAAAGATCTACTACTACTTTAACATTAATGTACACTTAGTTATGAATAGAGCGGAAAAGAAATAAAGGATTCATTTAGCAGAACCCAAATAGTTAGGGATTAAGGCGTAGTTGTAGTTGTTATTGTTGGTTTAATTGATTCAACCTGTGAAATGCAATTACTTACTTGCTTACCAATGGAAATTTAAAATTATCTATAATCTAATTCTGGTAATCCCTACTTAATTTCAAGTTTACTTTTTGATCATCAATGTTCACAATCAACTAACAGAAGCGAAAATTAGTTGTAAACCCAAACAAATCCAAATTTGAATCCCAATCTGTAAAATATTTAAGTTACGAAACTTTTTCTTCACTTACCAAACTATCACACGATTAAGTCCATTTCAACTGAAAGTGTAATAAGTACCAAAAGACTTCCAATTCAATATTTGTCATTTAACTTCCCAAATCAAACTTGGAAGGCAGGAAGCACATTATTCAACAAGTGAATCTTGACCCATTATCAAGAACTGTTTCAAGACATCAGACTGCATATAAAACTCTCCTGTTCTTACCATAATTGCAGAAATTAACGAAACAAAAGTAACTATGACATGAACACAAGTATAACAAAACCATCTGAAATTCAAACAAATCAAAATGAACAAAACACAGAAAGATAAGAGAAGAGAGAGTTACATACACGGTCGAGCCATTGGCGAGAATCATCAGTGAATTCAAAAGCAGGGTCATTTAATAGCTGTGATTTGAGCGTTGAATAGACTTCCAAGAACTTGGATTTCAGATCGCTCATTTTCTGTGTAAAAACGTTATAAGAGACAGGAAAATGTAAAAAACAGAATTTTGCCGGTATGAAATGTTATTACCGTTCGATATGAAAGGGCGCCATCTCCAATGGCTATTTTGTAAATACATTAAAGTGAAATCCAGATCTCTATCTGCCGTGCCGCCTCTGATAAAAAAATTAAAAACATGCGTCCACCCATTTTGACAGAGATGACCTCAATATTGATATTTTATAGTGGAATAACGTTAAATTAGCCCCTGAATTTAAGAATAATATTTATCTAAAAATTAGTATTTATATAATTTCGTCGTAGAAAGATCTCTTTTTTTTCAAAAATAATAAATATTTAATTTAAATCATACATAACTAAAAATAATTAGTATTCTTTAAAAATCAAATATTTCCAAATCAAATATTTTACTTGATTATTTTTTACATTAAAGAGATTGTATAGTTCTGCAATTTTTTTATAATTATTTTTATTGCCTAATTTTTAAAAAATTTGAACTTTTTAAAACAATTTTATTAATTAATATTGTTAAAAGTTATTATTTAATTTTTTGGTTGAAAATTGGATTTTATATTTATATGATGCAAAGTTTAAAATGATAATTATATAAGTTAATTTTTGAATAAATTGTATAATTACGATGATCATCCCTTTTATAACCCAAGTAGATCATAAAATGCTTCCTTGTAAAAAATAGTATGACAATTAGTCTGAAGAAGAGAATCATTGCTCATCAAACAAAGTGTATTGCATATACTGAAATTTTATGTATTTGTACACGTATTCAAAGTACCATTACAGTGTGAAAAATTGATATGCAGAATTCTGGTTTTCTTGAGGAGTAAATGACTCTGCTACCCTTGGGAAGCAAGCACTTGTCCATCATTTTCCCAACATATCTCAAGACATAGTATGGGTATATGGTTACTGGTGAGCACCACTGTACAAGCAAATAACTCCCTCAAGTAACCATGTAAATATACATAATTTCTTGGCTTTGAGGGGAAAGAAAAATAGCAAAAACCATGTAAATACGTATGAATCACTCGCAGTTTAAAGAAGAAAAAGAAAAAGTCTAATAAAAACTTGTGCTTTCTGTTGTTGTCTTGCTATCTACCTCTCTAGTTCTTGTTTGCAAAGAGGGCAACATGATATAATTTTTAGCCAATGATCTACACACTTCAGGTGAAACATATGGGAACATGGTAATTGTCTCACTTCTTCCTTGTCTTTGTACTTGGCTAGGCAAATACAGCATTCCTGTCAATGTCATTTAAACAATATTATAAATTTGAATGATGATGATAGGTTTATAAGTAACCTTAGTACTGGTACTCGAATTCAATATACTAGGACTTTACCGGATCTTCACTTGCAAGGGTTGAATTGCAATCAACACTGTTGCTACGCTCTGAATTGGTTTCGATTGCTTTATATTTCCAGCTTGGTAGACTGGAGATTTGATCATCAGATGCCCCTCTTTCTGCAGATCCCATTTGCATATTGTAACCAAGGACGGTACTAATGAGTGGCACGCAACAGCAAAGCAGCAGAAACAGTAGAAATGGAAATGAGTAGCTTAAAGCATTCCAAGCCAGCAGAGAGATGCAGAGCACATGTAGTTTTGGTGCTCGGTGAAAAGATCCGAAGCGAGAATCAAAGACCCAAACATTACCCATCACAAACCATATTGCAAATAATAGTTCTAGTGAAGTCCGGCATTTGTTAATCAAATGTGGGTACCTGTACAGACTATATTCAAATCAATGGACATATGAATAAGTTCAATGGTTCCTTCTCATTCCTATCAACTTATCATGAATTTTAAATGTTGAACACAGGAGTATGGTTTCTTCTCTTTTTCTCCCCCCAAATTTGGTTCAATTCTTCTTCAAAATAATAATAATAATAATAATAATAATATTCATCTTTGAACACCAATCTTGGTTAATATTAATTATTAAGATTTGCTATATGATTAGCCACTGACACACAGCCTTTCCATTAATCATAAAGTCTTTTCATGATTATGTTATAGAAATTACTTGAGAATTCTAAATCATTCAATAATCAAAATTCTTGGTTCCAAATTTTGTTATGCACAGGATAGTTTCTATTTATATGACACCAAAAGTGTAAATATAGAATTAACTTTTACCAAATTAATTTTTCATAGGGAGTTAAAGTATAAGATACCTGGAGTCCTCACTGCCTCTTTGCTGTTCCAAATCAGAAAGGCCAAAACCATCTCCTTGATTTATATGAACCTGGCGGTAGCGCCCATATAATACCAGCAGGCTAAGAAGACATCCAATATCATAACCAACAATCCATATTCTCATAGGCCAAACAGGTTTCTCTGTCTGCGAAATAGCCAATGTGATTGTCGTCATACTTATTTGAACAATCAAAGCTATAAACTCCAGCATCATCCAAGTACTAGAATTGAATGGATTAGACCCAAGATTGGATCTTGAACCATTCTGGTAGTGGAATACTCTTCTCAAGAAAGTGAACCACCTAGCTCTTGATATTCTCATTGCGATCCTTATCAAAAAAGTAGAAGGTGGAGAGCGAGAAGGCCTATTTCTAGTGGTCATAGCCCCACGATCCTCTCCTATTGCAGAATTTGCTGAAAATGAAACTGTGGTACCTGAATTACACAACGAGTCTGGTGTGGAGAAGTACCGGGTATTCATTTATGAATGTTGGTGTAAATTTTGGTATTTGAGATCTAAAGATAGAGATTATACTGGTTTGGTGAATATATACAAGAGTTAGTTACCAGTCAATAGCATGATCTTACACAAGTTTTGCGTGAAATTAACTGGAAAAGGAAAACCAGCATGGATTCTATGTGACTATTATAGGAATCAAAGATATTTTATTGCGATCAGAGGAATGAATTCGTAATAGATTGTAATTGATTGATGGATTTAGATGATCATAAGAATTGAGTGACGCAAAACTTCAAATACCATCTGGGCGGAATAGTAGGGGACCAAATTCTTGAGTCTTGTTAGCTTCAATTCTTGAAATCCCAGAATTTAATCTGCACCAACTGCAAAATCTCTCAAAACCGACAAACCAAGAACACCAAGAATTCAAAAACTGAATAGGAATACCAAAACAGGCCTCAATATAACAAAAAGGAAAGAACTTTTTTCTCAAAGCTTTTGACTTCAGAAAGGACTTGAAACAAAGATCCTCCAATCACACAAAAACTGAAAAACTCAAGTGGGTATTTAAGCAAAGGCCTGAATATGCACCAAAGACACAGAACTGAAGTGTATAAAGGAAGTTAGTAGAGAAAAAAGAAACAGAAGTGGGTTGGGAGAATATGACAGGAAGGTGAAGGTTGGGTTTCAGACGGTGACCAAGAATCAACTGCAAAAGCCAAAACAGCTTTGCTTCGATGCCAAGGGAAAAAGCAGTTTGGAGAGAAGCTTAATTAGCTAATCGTTGGCCTAACTTCCCTCTAGTTTTTGTTTCTTAAGAAAGCAAAGGTGAGATAGAGGTAGAGCAGCCAGCAACTGCTTCTTCAAACACAAATCTCCCTCTTTCTTTCTATTTCACTCGCATGCTAAAATGAATGCACAAGGAAGGATATTGTTTTAAAAGTTAAGCTAATGTCACTTTGGCCTTAATTGGATAAGAGGCAAAGAGATTATTACAAATTGATATTTATTTTTTGTTGATTATATTATATACAAATGGGGATTTTGAATTCTGGCGGGTACAGTAATTTTGTGCTGTGAGATTTTGATTCAATGGTGGGAGGTTGGCCACCTAATCCAACAGAGCCGTTCTCATCTCACCATATCATGGCCCATTGGCCCCTCTTTGTTTGTTATTTAATTGCTTTGCATTATGGACACATTTTCCTCCTTTTGTGGGGCTACCTTTTGGCAAGTGTATGATATGCTTAGTATATCATCCAAGTCAATGTCCAGATAATGTGACCATTTTATTAATATTAATTAGTCATGATAAAAAATTTTGTTAGTTTTCTTCATATATATATAATTATACTCTACTTATATTTATTATATACTATTATATAATATATATATTATATTATATATTATTATATAGTATAGTGAGATAAAGTGGAGGTCAGGTATGGATTGCGATTCAGTTTGGGTGGAGATGTTCTTTAAGATTGTCGAGGATGGGTTGAGTACTCTCTATCGCAGCCGGCAGAAATTTTGTCGATCGATTTGCTGGTTTTTTGAATTTTAAGGAATGCCTGACCCTCTCATCTCCAGTCCTCTCTTCACCAACTCTCACTAGTCAATCTCCTACGCGATCTATTCTCTTGTCCTCAACACACAGTTAAAATCGTTTTTATAGGTAATGTGTAAGGAGTGAATGAAGATGGAATATTTGGTTGTTTCGAAGTATTGAACTTTGATTAAAATAATTAGATATAATAACTATATTTCCACAATTACTTTTATTGATTTTGAGAAATGAAAGGTATTAATTTGATCAACTTAATTTTTCTATTTTTTTATAAATTTTTAAAAAATTTAAATATTTAACTATTATTAATTTTGTGTGCAGAATATATAACTTGAGAAATGGATCAGGTATGATTCGATTAGTTTGGTAATGTTCTTTAAGGATGTCGAGGATGGGTTGAGTACTCTCTATCGCACCGCAGAAATTTTCATCGATTTACTGAGTTTTTGACTTTTAATTGATTATTAGTCTCTTTAAATATAAGTCATTTCTAGAGATTATTTTGTCCTAAAACATAAATCGTTTTAAGTAATTTAAGAGTAATAAATTATATTTTTTTCAATATTACTTTTATTTATATTAGATATAATAACTATTTTCACAAATTACTTTTGATTTTGAGATGAAAGGTAATTTGATCAAATTATTTCTATTTTTTTATAATTTAAAAAATTTAATTACTTTATTAATCTTTGTGCAAAAAATTTAAACGATTAATATTTTGTATCGAGGGAGCAGCGAATAACTAATTTTTTGGCAAATTTTGTAAAAATTATGAATTTCCCATTCTTAAAGGAAGCACAATTTGATCAAATTGATATTGGGTAGCATTATAATTATTTTAAAACAAGAAGAAGCTTACTTTGTTTGTGAATGAGGAATTCGGTTGAAAGATTATTTCAATTAAGATGGTCATTCAAGGCAGTATCTCTTGATTCATTCCGTAATCAAATTATATATTTTTAAAAATAATTAATAAAGACAATTAGATTTTGATTGTCGTTACAAATGTCAATCTTCCGTTTGATGTATTATGCATTTTATATAATATATTGAATTTTATAAAGCTTATGTATCTGAAATTCAGTTTGGACCTTTTTTCTATTTCTTCTAGATCGGTACAAACGTCTTGTCGTGAAAGGATGGCCAGACTAGATTTTTTCTTTTATTACAAAATAAAGGGTTGAATATTCTACCCAAAAAAAAAAGAAGGTTGAATATTAATTATTAACACGCATATGCATTAATTTCTAAGAGGTTACGTGAAAATCTTTTTTTCTTTTTAGTTTATTTTTAGATTTTTAAATTGTATTTTTTTAATTAAACATTTACCACTACAATCTAAAAAATTTAATACTAAATCTAAAATTTTTTATTTATTTAATTCAAATTAATAAATCAAAATCAAGTTCTTATATTATGTGGTTATCATATTTAATCATATAATATAATTTCTTCTATTTTTCCGGTCATATATGATTCTTTTTTTTTTTTTAAGTTAGCAAAATTGCTCCTTTAAATCTTAGATATTTAATAATGAAACAAATTCAAAAATTTGACTATTTTAAATCAAATTAAATATTAATAATAAACCAAATTTAAATCGTGTATTATGTTTGTGACCTTATTTAATATATAATTTAGTTTTTTATTGAATTTATTAGCAAATATAATTTTAATTTTAAATTAAACACCGACAATAAAATGCAATATTATATCTTCACAATTTTTAATAAATATCATATGCTAATGTATAATATAATTTCTTTTTTTTTAGCTAATCTTATTAATTTTTTAGCTAATAGAATTTAGATTTAAAATATGATAATTATTTGATTTAAGTATGAAATATAGAACCAATGGGATTCAATGCCAATTAGTATTGTAGTCAAATTCTTCATAACTTCCACTATAGTTGTCATAATAGAAACTTTAAATATTTTTATTTTTGATTACAAATTTGCTGTCATAAATCTAAAAATAATTAAATAAAAAACCAATAACAAATATAATTATATCCTTACCATATTTAATGTATAACATAATTTCTTATTTTTATTCAACCAATAAAATTTAAATCTAAAATTAAACATCAATAACAAACCAAATTGAATTCTTATATTATTTTCTTACCGTATTTAATAAAAATCATATATTATTTTTTATCTAATTGAATTTAGATTAAAAAGAATAGAAAAACAATATAAACAATCAAATTAAATTACCTCAAAGATGTTTTTTCCGATTCATAAATTTAGTAGGATTATAGTTATAGATTATAGATATACGTATAAACAAACATGGGTTTGATTCACACTCCATGTTCTGAGAAATATTTACTGGATCTACTCATGCTGGACCGACTGTGCAATACCAAGAATTCCGCACGCTGCCCGTCCGCAGAGACATTCTGGTAGAAATCATTGTCTTGTCAGCTTCATATTCTTATTTTATTTTAATAAGATGATTGGGCCCTACAGTGGTATAACCGGTGAACCTCTCTCCTATAGGCCACTCAAACATAGAGAGATTAGGGATCGACTGGCCACCAGAGGTGCGTCCTTCCCGGTCCTCTCGTACTAGGGAAATGTCCTCTCAATGCTCTAATGCCCACACCGGATATGGACCGAACTGTCTCACGACGTTTTGGGCATTTCCCATTTTTATAGGAACTTCTGTACTAGAAATAATGGTATCTTGGACCGAACTGTCTCACGACGTTTTGGGCATTTCCCATTTTTATAGGAACTTCTGTACTAGAAATAATGGTATCTTCAATTATAGCCCCTCTGGGATGTAAAATATATCTCTTCTGAAAAGACTATAGATTTTCATTATAATATAATGTATTTAATAAATATAAAAATAAAAAAATTACCTTTAATAGATTATACATTAATCCCTATTAGTCAATAATCAATATTGAAAATTATAAAAAAATTGAAATTACAAGTCAATTTCAATTTTCAACTGCTCAAACGGCAAAAACTATAAATTGCCAGATTCTAATGCGGAGTCACATTGCTGACTAAGTTATGTATACATCAAAATCAAAATATACTAGAAAGGAAGATTCTTAGTAAAATAAAATATACTTTACTCTCATGTTTCCTTAATTGACTTGTATTTGACCATTCAATTGCAACGTGTGATGATTTTAATGCACCATGTTTAAGACAATATGAACATGGAAAATTCCATTATTAAAAAAAAAAAAAAAAAAAAAAAGAAAGAAAATCTAAATGTTACTTTAACTTCTAAATATATTTTGTATTGAACATTTTTGACCAATTGTAAAATGCCAACGGTGATTAATTTTTCTGGGCATTCTCCAGCCCTTGTGTAAGCACGGTCATTTTTTCTACCATGTATTATTGGATTATGCTTATACATCGTGACTGGTTGCGTATAATATCCGAAATCTTCAGACAAATCTCTTATATGCTCAATCTGGGATGATAAGTGAGGTTTTGACCCAAACCTTGTCCTTTAGTCTCTTCTGTATAGTTAACACAGAAAACTCACTAAGCCCATGACTGAACCATATGGAAAAATTTTCAGATTGACAAAAATCTTATTGTGACTAAACCCTGAGTTAGATTTAAGGTCGGTCCCCCTAAATAATTATTGTCCGTTAAAAAAAAAAAAAAAAAAAAAAGAAAGAAATCTATGTTACTTCAATAGATTTGTATTGAACATTTTGACCAATTGTAAAATGCCACGTATTATTTTATCTGGGATTCTCCATGCCTTGTGTAAGAAAACGGTCATTTTTCTACATGTATTATTGGATATGATATAATGTGATGGTTGCGTATAATATGAAATCTTAGACAATTTTTATGCTCAATTGGATGATAAGTGAGGTTTTGACAAAACCTTGTCCTTAGTTCTTTGTATATTAAAAAGAAAACTACTAAGCAGACTGAACATATGGAAAAAATTTTCAGATTGAAAAAATCTTAATTGTGACTAAACCCGAGTTAGATTTAGTCGGCCCCTAATAATTATTGTCCGAATATCGGTGGTTTAAAAAAAAAAAACTATATGTATATAATCTCAGTCTTGCTTACGCTCAATAATATTGCACAAGTAATCTAAGCTTTCAATTAATTTTAAGACAATCTTAAAAACTTATATCATGTGAAGAATGATAGCTTTATTGATAATTTAATGTCAACTAAGAGACATGGAGGACAAGAGCATTAATCTAATAAACCAATTAAATAATTATTTATTCTAACTAAGGTTTGAGCGGTTTGATTTACTGATTTCTTAACAAAAATTATACAAATCAACTGGACCAACGTTCTTTTAAACTTAATTTCTCTATTTTATATTGTTTGTGGAAAAACCACGAAACCTTTTTATAACCTATTACCCCTCTTACTCCGATGTCTAATTTGGATTTATAAAATGTGAAATCCATGAAATTTTTAAGTATATTATCGATCAAGAAAATTAAGTGGTTTAAATTCCATCATTAATAAAAAATAATAAATTTTAGAAATCCTACATTTGAAATGAAAAAATATATATACACACAAATAGAGGAATTTAATAAATTCATGAAATGTTTAAAATTCAATCACGTAAATTTCATTAAACCAATCCATCTATAAAGTTTGAAGTTAGTTTGGATTTCTAATATAATGTTAGAACTTATTTCTTCTTGACTACTAAGATCAAAATGAGTAAATTTGGTTCTCTTTTTCATTTAAAAATAGTTCATCCAAAGATATTTATTTATTTTAAAAGAATAACTTATAAATTATATCAATTATTGCGATATCTTCAATTTTAATAAAAAAATAATAATTTAAATAATTAGAGAAAATGACTTATTTGTACTAACTTGGTGCACGATGAGCCAACCCCATCATCTGTTTGTCTCTAATTATTCACTCCTTTAAATATGCTTGATATACAAAAATAAAAAAAAAATAAATTGAAATAATAAAAATATAATAGAACGGAAAAACTTACCTTGACCCGGTCTAGGCAAATTGTTTCTATAGATTCCTTACTGGGCTCTTCAAACTCGATGGGCTAAAACTTGAACAGAAACGAACCAAAAGGCCCATTATACGAACCGACTCCAGCTCTCTTTTATGATCCTCTCTGTTTATCCTGTTTTCCGTTCTTCTCTTTCCCCTTCCGTTAGCGGGATATCAAACACACAGAAAACCTTGATCGAGCCAAATTTGAAGAACTGAATTAAAGGTATGTTCGTAATTTCTTTAATTCGTATTATATGTGGGTATCTGTTGTTTAATTGAATAAAAATCTCTGAATTAGGTTTGCCTCGATTATGCTACTTAAAACCTAATATTTGTTTTTAGGCTCGGTGTTTTTAAATTATCTTTTTTCTGTTTGGTTGATGAAAAAAAGCCTGAAAACGAAAAGAAAAGGCTGTTATTAGTCTAAATTGTTCTCTCTTTGTTTGTTTTTTTTTTTTTTTCGTCCTAAATTTAAAAGCAGGTAAGTGTTTTTCCTTAGCTGGTGAAATGGATTGTTAGATATTGGGATTAACATATGTTACTATGAAATTGTTGAAGTAAAGAATCTGTTTTTGTAGGCAATTGAAGGATAATTAGAAACAATGACTACTGCAGCTAGACCCACATGGGCACCAGCAAAAGGTGGTAATGAACAAGGTGGTACTCGCATTTTCGGTCCTTCTCAGAAGTACTCGTCCAGGGACCTTGCTGCTCATACTAATCTAAAACCTAGGTGGGTACTTTTCACCTTTCACCACCAACAATTTATGTTGTTAAGCGTGCTTGGAATTTGTTTTCAAACAGCATTAACTTTTTGATTCTGAGCTTGTTACTCAAGGATTAGTGCTAACTGAACTTGTCACAAGATGAATCTGCTAGTTTCCTTTTCCTATCTGATAGTTTCTTATTTGTGCAATACAAGAACTTGGGTAGGACCTAGTAGATTGCTTTGCTAATGGTGTAAGTGGCATGCACCTTCCCTATGGATCTATGGGTAATTTCGTAAATGGCGTTTGACCCTCTATGTGGATAAAAAAGTTACTTGGAGATATGAAGAAACATTCTTAAAGTGTAGTAGTTATGATGGTCTATGGCTTATATAGCTGGAAGATGTTGTACAACAGGTATCTAGTGGTGGTGCGAATTTTACAACATGATTAATTTGCTCAGTTAAAGTTGCTCTCTCTCTCTCTCTCTCTCTCTCTCTCTCTCTCTCTCTCTCTACGCCGCATGTGCGTGTATCTGTGCTTACTTCAATAAAATGTTGCTTATGCCTACATCTATTATCATCTATAAATTGACTTGTCTTTTCATTCTTTATAATGCATCTACATCTATATATCTGTTTGCACATGAAATGAGGTTCCATTATCCAAGTGTTTGTTCCTCGTATAAACTATATACCTCGTCGTCGCATTCATATGCATAGTAGTGCTTCTATGTCTGATTTTTGTTGTGAATTTATTTTTGACTCCTATGAATGCATTACAGAAAGGAAGGGCAAGACACACAAGAGGAATTGCAGAAGAGGAACCTCCGTGATGAGCTGGAAGAGCGTGAAAGGAGACATTTCTCATCGAAGGATAAGTCTTATAATGGTAACATATCTTTTGTATGGTATCCTGAATTCATCTTTACATTTTGGTGGTGGCTATACAGTTTGCTATTTTTGCTTTCTTATTGAAATTTTATCTATGGTAGATGATAGAGACAGTAGAAAGAGTAATCAACTTCTCTTGGAAGGTGAGCATCCTTGCTGACTGGTTACTGTTCCCATTTATATATAAACTAAGCAAGTTCTATGATCACTTAACTAACTACCCAAACAATTTATAGGGAATAAGAGGGACACTGAGGACCGTATAATGCCACGTACTGTGGATGCCGATGATTCTGATGTGGAAGTCAACAATGACAATGAGAGGTTATTACTCTTGCTTGATAAATCCAAATTACACTTAATTAGCGATTGCTTCATTAGTGAAGTTAGCCAACTATTTCCTCCTCTTTAATGGTTTATAATGCTCCAAGTAATATTTTCTACATCTATTTATACATATTATTACATTTTCCAGTTTTTCTAGTTCTGTGGTCTTCCACTTCTTTGTAGCTTCCAGTTTTTGCTGTTATTGTGCATGTGGTTACCTATTCATTAATCACTCGGTTTTGAGAATTTGTTAAAATATAGGAATTTTTGCTGTTATTGTGTATGTCGTCACCTATTCATTGATCATGTGGTTTTGATGTGGGAGTCATTCACAATCACAACATCTTACATTACCTGTTTAATAAGTATCATTTGGACTATCTATAGCTGAGGAAAACCATCTTTGAGATTTATACTATAAACCTTTATCCACATTCTGCAAAGCTTGTTAAATTAAAAGTTACTAATCATCTGTTTCCCAATTGACTTTTCAATTTGAATATATTAGCATAACACACTACCTTAATTTTTTGCTTTAGCGATGATGACGAAGACGATGATGATGAAGAAGATGATACAGAAGCTCTTATGGCTGAGCTTGAAAGAATAAAGAAGGAAAGAGCAGAGGAGAAGCTGCGGCAGGTAAAACTAACTGATTGGAAGTAATGGATGATTGTTAGTCAAATTATACTGCACTAATGGAAAATCTAAGGCCTGAATGTTTTGTTCTAAGTTAGAAGAATTTTGCTGTTAATTAGCCAGTGGCTTTCGTTATCTGACCACTGGTTAATGTTCATGATTTTTGTAGGAACAACTACGGGCAGCCGAAGAGCTGAAAGTCAAGGAAGAGCAGCTTCTCAGAGGAAATCCATTGCTGAATAATCCAACATCTTTTAGCGTAAAAAGAAGGTAAGCAACTGGAATACCTAAATTCCAATTGGTTCTAGAAGCAAGTTAAATTTTCTTTTATTGCTGGACTTTGATGCGCCATTCCAGTGCAATAATACCCAAATTCTTTCTATGACTTCATTGTCTCAGGTGGGATGATGATGTTGTATTCAAGAATCAGGCTCGGGGTGAAACTAAAACTCCTAAACGCTTCATCAATGACACCATCAGAAATGACTTCCACAGAAAATTCCTGCAGAAATATATGAAATAATTTGGCTAATAAAATCCTTTAAGTGTACGCTGAAAAGTTACAATGAAATTTAAGGATAATTCTGAATTTTTATCATGGATCTGTTGAAGAGTAACAATTAAATTTGATGGTTTGAATTAATGTATTTTAGAATTAAGAGTTCCTTTATGCTGATTCTATGTTTGGTCTTGTCAAATATAAATACAGATATGAGAAATCGTTTATCAATGAAACTTCCAGGCACTTTACTATGCTTTTGATTGATTCCTGGAGTCATTGATTTCTCTCTCTACCTTGCACAATTAAAGTCAACATTTTCTCTTATATTGATTGTTACGTGAGCAACATGATTATATGAAATATAATAATGCTCTAGTCTTCAGTTGCATCCACAAGCGTGTCTGTGCTTTGCCCTTTTCCATTCCGGTAAACCAGGTATCGATTCTTTCTAGGAAAGCAACTTTCATGGGGCTATCACCAAGTTGCAACTGGAAGTTGGTCAGTCCCTGGATTTCCTATTGTTATGATCCCAATTGCCTTTGGAATAATAAATTTGCTTGCTCCTCGATGTGAGGAATATAAAATGGTGGTCTTAATCCAGAGGCTGCATTATTAATGAAATCGTTACTCATATGTTATGTCATGTCAAATGTCCAAAAATTCAACAGTGCACGTTTCAGTAAACTGGAATAAATGAATTGTTCAACAGCTTCATCCGAGGAGTTCAGGTGCTACAATTTCACTCCAAATTTGGAAACTTGTCACAATCAAGATTCTCATATAAATACATCACCGTCCAACACAAGAATCCTTATATCAATAAATACACAAGGAAAATGTACAAATTAATTCTCAATAAGCTGCCAACAATCAAGAAAATACAAGATAGCCACATATTTCTACAAAGAAAGAAACCAAAACAACTATAGTTGATTATGAGCAGACCATGCGGTAGAGATTGCCGAAACGAAAAGATTGGCTGAGAATTATATGCTTTTGCTTAAAGTGGCTCAAAGTAATATACAACATTTCACATGTTGCAAACAAAAGAAAATGAAATAGACTAGGGAAGAGCTTCGGACTAACGCTATTCATTTTTCGGCTTCTGTTCTCCCAATACAAATTCAGCGTATAAATCCTTAAGACCAATCAGGACAGTAGTTATCAAAGGCCCCATTATTGCTCCCTGCCAAGCAATATATTCAAACAACTCAACTAATAGTTCATACAATATCAAATCAAGTGATGCATGATATTCACATTTATCTTTTATCAGCATAACTGTACTTCATCCAGACCAAATTTTAATAGAAAAAAGGACTGGAAAGAAATATATGTACATAAATGCCATCTAATAACCTAAGACTTATGTATCAGGAAGTTTCTAGAATCAGAGTCGCTTAAAATTGTCACCCAAGGAGTTGGAAGTGGACTTTCCTCTAATCTGATTTCAAATTTGTGATCATTGACATAGCTTCTTGAGTGGAAAACAAGATTATTAGCACTTAACAGGACCAAAATTTCTCTCTCTAAGAAATTGGACTGAAAATCCTTAGAATTATCTAGATTGCAGCATCAAATGCATATTCAAACCAAATTGTTGACTTCTAGAAGAAATGTCAAATCATTTCAGTTCTTAACCTAAGCCAGCCACCAACAAATAATTTAAACCTGTCATTATTTTAGGCATCCTTTACTTCAGGAGTCGGTCAAATTATGTAATTTTCTTTTTAGTGCCTGCAAACAGACACACAGAAACACCACTCTGTTTTCGATGATGAATTGGCACAAGTGTAATTCAAAGCAGTAAATTGAGAATTGCACACCAGGACATAAACAGTAAGAGCCTACCTCAACTGCAGATGGGAACAATGTCATTCCACCAAGAATGCTGAGCCCAGTCAGATATTCACTGTAACCTGGTATATCCTCTTGAATTTCGGATGCACCATAATCCATAAGCAGCACGTGAATAATGGAAAAGCTAACAGCCAGTACGTATCTACTTTCCATCACAAGTTGCAAAGTAGCTGGAATTGTTGCAAACCAAGGTGGAAAGATGGGCAACAGTGGACTGAGGAATGCGAGCACAGTGGATACATATACGAAATGTATTTTATACAGTCTAAATAACAGCCATGTGAGACATCCCTGGAACAATGCAATTTCAGCAGTAGCCAAAAGAACTCCAGAGATAGCATCTTCAAGAACTTCAACACACCTAACCCTTGCCGATTCTGGAATGGGAAGCATGTACATCACTTGTTCAGTTACCCCACCAGACTCTGATGTGATTAAATAATACAAAACCCAAAAGAACACCATTGACTGAGACACAAAATTGAAAACCTCTGCTGCACCAGAGATGACGGAATTTCCAACAGAGAACATGACCTTAAAACCCCCGCCTAAAACTGATGCGCTACTAGCAAATATACGCTGCGACACATCCATCCCTCGAACAGCAAATGCTTTAGCCTTCTCAACAAGATCCTCCTGGGTGATTATCAATTCCCTGAAAATTGCATCTAATTCTGTATAAATCTCACTCCACTGCCGATTACTAACTTTGGTTCTTAAATTCACAAGCTTCTGTGTGAATGGAGATGGGATCATCAAAGAAGATGATTCCACAGAAGAATTAGCTGGGGAACTAATGACAAAATGCTTAATCCCAGTGACAAGTTCAGTCATATTATATTGCTCCGCCAAACTATCTATTTGATCAGATACTGTTACATATAACGCAGTGGTGTACTTATCTACCATTCCAGGAACATCATTATCATCCATCCACTGCTTAATACCAATCCTCTCTGCATAATTATTCTCTTCCACATGTGATTTCAATGAAATAACTGCATTTTTGCCTTCAACACCAATTTTATAAGAGAAAAAAATCAACCCCACCAAAGACCCCACAATCATTCCAACAATTAACCCAACTGCTACAATAGTTTTCAATTTCTTCAATATCCTTCTTGTAAAAAAAGCACTAATTGCAGAACGCTTAAAGCTATTGTTCTTAAAAGAAGATACAACAGAAAATGTAGAATCTGCCGTTGTGGTACTACACATAAACCCCAAGCCAATAATCAATAATGAACCAATACCACCAATTCTTTCATAAGCTAACACAAAAACCCCAAATGACACTAACCATCTAACTAATTTTGAAAATCCACTTCTTCTAGTTCTTCTAGGATCCTCTCTTTTGGGTCTTTTAAGGAAAACCCTTAAAAGAACCTCCTTAAAATCAACAAGAGTACCCACAAAAGCTTTAAAAATGGCAACAGGAACAGCAAGAACAGTCTCAGTGAGGCCTAATTGTAAAGGTTCACTCCAAAATTCAACGAGGGTCTCTTGAATTCCTCTCAAAGGAATTGAACACAAAATAGCCCATTGAAGAGGCCTCCAATACTCTTGCAAAAGCTTACCCACGAAATAAATGATAAAAATAGTGAAGGCAAGACCCGCATGAGCCATGGCTATGTAAAGAGCAAGGCGTACCTGAGGATCACCAGAAAAGGTAGTTTTTTTATCTGAGTCTGACGATTGTGGTGGCTCGGTGGATGTATTTGAAGGCGGTTTGGGCGGATTTGTGGTAGTGGGTTTGCGAAATGAACCGGATCTGAACATGTCCTGCCACGGAAGAGTTGAAGATTCTGGCTTTGAATTAGGGTCTCCATAGGGGACTAACTCCATTGTAATACAAAGAGAAGGAGGAGGAATAAATCTTGGGTTGACAAGAAGCCTCTGCTATGTTAGTTACAGAAAGATTGGATATTATATTACTATACTCCGTGCATGTGAAGCACAGAGAGAGAGAGAGAGAGAGAGAGAGAGAGTCAAGAGAGACTCGCCAATGGAATACTTACGATTGGGAACAGATAAAATGAAAGGTTTGGGGAAATTATTTCTCAGTGTGTAAAGAAGCTGTGGATTTTATTCTGTTATGCGAATGGTAGAGAAAGAAACTGCAAAGATAAATTGTGGTGTCAGTGACTTTTTTGACTATATTTAGATTATGCTGGTTGATTGATGATGGGAGAGAACCAGTAACCAGAGGAATGAACCTTTTATGTGGGACATGGAAGACAGTTTGTTTTTTTTCTTTTTTTCTTTTTTTTTTCATATTAAGAGGGAAGTCCTTGAACACAGATATCTATTGACTAAAATGACATTACCTATGCTTGCAATTGGTCCTGGTGGATGACGTGGATACAGGGATATTTATGTCCATTGCATGGATCTATCTCCACCTGTTCACCATACAATGATAAAAAAAATAAAACAGTAATATTTTTTTTCAAAAATTCTTCTTTAGCTATAGATAAAAATTTTCCTTGGATATACTTGAGTTTGAAAGTTATCAAATTTAAGAAAGACCTATTTCATATAATTTAATTCATGATTTCCTTATAAATTGAAATTGTGTGTGAATTGTTAACATATTACTTGTAATTTTAATCTCTATTTGATCAATGAGATTCACCTTCCCCTAATAGCCTAGGATTATTCCCCATATACCTTCGTTGCTTCTTCTCCAAAAAAAGAAGTTCATGACCAGTAGGCTTTTTACCTCCACCCGGCGTTGTCAAGCTTTCGTCAATTTCCTTATAATTGAAATTGTAGGGTTCTATCCATTTATTAACTCGACCAAACTTTGAATTCATTGTTTTATGTTCTGCATTTTTCTTTGCAAGTTAAGAGAAAGGCGTACATACTAACATTCAGTTAATATGAAACCAATTTAAAAGTTTCGAGAAGATCGGCATTTAACTATAATTGATTGAATTTTCAAAAAGATATATAATTATAAAATTTCATTTATATGGGAGTTAATTAATTAACAAATTAAAATCTAAGTCATCATTTCTTTTCGTTTGAGTATCAGGGAAGAAGATTCAAATCTGTGCACACTGAACTTTAATAGCAAAACATATACTTAAATAATAAAAAAAACGTGGGTGCCATAAAGGGATATGTTAGCCATTATAGGAAATGTGAAGAATGCTGAATTGAATAGAAAAATGTTAAAAAGATGCTGGATGTTAAAGTTGCACAGTATGTCTTTCTTTTTCAAGGCAGCTCTGCGCCAATAATTTCATTTCCCTTCTTTTTCTTTTTTTCACTTCCTCTATAATTCAACACTTTTAGAGTTCAAGTACATTATTTTTTTTTTGAAAGCAAGAGTTCAAGTACATTATTGTTTTCCTTTTAATTGTAGTTAGACAACCTAAAAATTAGCATATTCATGAGAAAAATATCTACCAATCAAACCAACCATTTGATTCTCTAAGAAAATTGAATTTATTTGTAATTGTTGAATTGTTTTGATTCTATTCTTTGTAACCTTTTGTCTTCCTTTTATTAAGCATGACAACTTTTTTTCAAAAAATAATTAAAAAAAGAAAAATAATTAACTCAATAATTAAGCCAACTAATTTGATTGATATGTAACTTTCCTAAATAGATAATTTTATATGATGATATTGTTTTGCTTTCTCTTATTCTTCAATAAATTATGGATGAGGTTTAATTTGAATCTACGGTGGATTTAAGAACACATGAAAGAGTCGAAAAAATTTCAAAAATTAAATGAGACGAAATAAAAAAAATTCGTTTAAAAAAAAGAATTCTTTAATAAATTAATGGATCTAGGATCCCTCCCTTTATTTAATAAGTATATATACACTCAAAGATGGTATACTTTTTTTGGTTTATAACCACTGATATCCGAAAATTCACTCCGACTACGTTGGGCTTAAACACTGCAAGGACCATATATACTCAAAGATGGCATATTTTAATCCTCCTGCCAAGGCAAAAATATGCAATGATTCTGAATCCTAGAGCCATGGCTAATAGCACCCAAACTTCTTGGAGTCCACCTTTCAAGTTCACTGTATCAAAAGAAGGTGAACTCTGTAGAGGTCTACATCCTTCTTTGCTTCCACACTCAAATAATTCATCACCATCATATTGCACTTTCAATAGAAGCCTAAACCCATAGTATATGAAAGAAATGTACTTCAACCATTGCATAAATTTTGGTATGTGCTGCAACAGAAAAAAAAAAAAAAATTTATGGTCTCTAATTAACATATTTTATAGTATAATATTTTTCCTGAATGGTAGTTAAAACAACAATGCCAAATAGATCCTTACCTGAACATAGTAACCTCCAGTGAGAAGAAACAACATTAAAAACAAAGAAGCACACATCCCAGCTCTTTTTATGCTCAAACTTGCAGCTCCAAATAGCTCTCCTGCGCCCTTTTCTTACACAAAAATAAACAAATTTCTTTAAATTTCTCGAATAAATAATAAAAACCCAGCATTGATTTAACTTCAATTTGTTTTCTACTTACCTGGCTTGTAATTGCTATCAATTGAATAGTAAACAATGTGAAGAAGAAGCAAGGAACTGTCCTCTTAAACCCAGCCATGAAATACAGTATGACCATGAAAATTGCAGGATAGAGTACATGAGCCATCATGTCACAGATAGTGCTACAAACATAGTACACACTTAATCTATACATGTCTGCTTTTCTTTCCTTCACCAAATAAATCTTCTCAAATGGAAAAACATATACTGCTCCGAAGATCGATGATGATGTCCAGAAAATGCAAATGTAGAATATTAAACCAACCTGAAATTTAGATATCATAGTTTATATATTACATTCGTTGATGTGTCATAAAATGAAGTTGATCAAGAAGTTTACTTGGTCTCTAAGTTGAGCCTCAGTTCGTGTTTGGGATTTCCACCAAATAAGGCCTAGCAAGACTGCAACACCAAGAGCTTGAGCTAATCTTAGCTTATCAAAATAATCTCTACACCTCTCTTTATATGTTCTTTTTAGTAATATCATAAACTGTGCTTGCCAACTTAATGTCCAATCTTTCTTGACTTGGATTGCAGATTGCAGATGTTCAGGCGCCTTTGAGCACCGATGATTCTCTTCTTTCTCTCTTGGCTCCAGCTGAGTTTTGTATTTGAGTTGAAGGTACTAATAATACAATACGTAAAGAAATATGAAAGAGACAGGAAGATATATATGCAATGTTTTGTTAAAAAAAGAGTTCATGAGTTATAATTTTCTCACTTTGATTACTGCTTTATCAGAATCAGGAGCTCCAGGAGATGCTGATAAATCATGAGGCACACTTACATCATTTACTTGTCCGGTTGCTAAATCGAGCAAGAATTCTGCAGGGTTCATGGCAATTTCTGGGATAAATCTTAAAGAAGAAAAATAATCCATACAATCTCTTGCTTTCCCATAATAAACAGGATAGCCTTCTGATATTAGCAGAAGCTTGTCAAACATGTGGAACATTCTACTCGAAGGCTGATGGATTGTCGTAATTATTGTCCTTCCTCCCTTCAGACAAGGATTTTCAGTTGAAGTAAAAAGAAATTAGGAACTTAAATTGTTATGTAATATTCATGAAAATGAAATGGAAATGCATACCTTAGCTAGTCCTTGAAGAACCTCAAGGAGTCTATTTGCTGAAGTTGAATCTAAACCTGAAGTTGGTTCATCAAGCAATAATAATGAAGGATCAACGAGAATTTCATAGCCAATGCTAGTTCTTTTCCTTTCTCCTCCTGATATTCCCTTAATGAATCCTCCTCCAACTCTCGTCTGTCGACATCTGTATATAGATACAGAAGAAATTTGGTAACACTATAAAGGCATGAAATATATAACCACTCGAGCTTTATCTCAGTGGCTCCAGCAATTATCTTCAGGATTGTGAGACAGCAAGTTCAAACCCAGTTAGACGAAAATTAGCCACAAGAAAAAACAATACCTTTCAAGGCCTAGCTCCTTTATAATGATCTCTACTCTAGCATATTTCTGTTGTGGGCTCATGTTTCCAGGAAGTCTTAAAAATGCAGAATAGACTAAAGTTTCTTCCACTGTAAGTTGTGGGAATAGCACATCATCTTGTGTCACAAATCCAATCCTGTGCACAATTTGTTTTTAAAGTAATGTTTTTTAATGAAAAATCAGGATATAATTTTCTTTAAACTTGGACTAACCTTCTCTTAACAGATGCATTATAAGGAATTTCATTGTAAGTTATCCTTCCTTCAACATTATCTGTCAATCGTCCTCCAATTATTTTCAGCAGGGTTGTTTTACCACTACCAGAAGGACCCATTAGAGCAAGGATTTCACCAGGACCAATGCTTCCTGTTATACCTTTCAAAATTTTCTTGTAGTTATCTTGCTCCAAGCTCAGCTGTGAAGATACCTTCGACACTACTGCCTTCACAGGATTTGCAGAGAAAGCTTGGCTGTTCCTCGCTTTATATACCACATCTTCAAACTGCAAAATAGAGCATCGGAAATGAAATAGACAAAGTGTGTATGAGCTTTCTCTGTAGAAAACGTTAAGCATTAATTATACCTTGAGAAATATGGGAAGAGGGGCATCTATAACCATATTCAAGCTGTCATCTCCTATATCAATCTCTGAATACCTATTTCTAAGGTATGCTTGAGACATAAACTCTATGTTGTGACCAAAGCCAGTGCTCCCTGCAATATGCATAGACCCCATTGTTGGAGGAGACAGTGACATGTCTTCAATTTCATCTTCTTGTCTGTTTTCCATATTCCAAGACATAAACTACCCAAAACTTGATGAAAATGGAGAGTTTATATTTGTGGGTGATGAATCAAGAAAACCTGCAATTTAAATGAATTAACTGTAATAAACCAAATGCCTAAGTATTTATTGAGGATGGACTTTGGTTGGTAGGCAACATGCTTTTCATGGTTCAAGTTTAAGAAAAGGAAGAATTAGCTTTATATATATATAGAAACACATACACAAATATTATTGTATACACAATTTTTACTTGCTATGTCTTTTTTTGGTTCTTTAATTTTTTTTTTTTTTTTTGAACCTAGTTCTCTAAAATTTTATTATGTTAATGTATCCATATAAGCATTCCAAGAATGTTAAGAAAGTTGATAAAGCATCTAAAGAATGTTGTAGCTGAAGGTTCTAAGATCGTAATATGTAATAAGATTTAAGAACAAGAGAGACCGAGAGAATTGAAAAAATAAATAAATAAATAAAACTTGCAATATACATATATATAGTCCAATTATAAAATTATAAACCTAAGTAGAAAGCATTTAGCTCCTTTAAATAAGAGATTGAGTGTTCAATATGTTATAATGTTTGGATATTTCAAAGAAAAATATCGAGAAAAAGTGATTTTATAAACAGTAAAATTATGACTTTAATCTTTATTTTTTTTTCAAAAAGTACAAAAAAATAGGATAAAATTATATTTTTAATTATTTTCCCGTAACTTTTTTTATTTGGAGGGAAATTGACACGTGGGTCCTTTTAATTTATTTTTTCTTCATATTTTTCTTTCTCAATGTTTTTTTTTATTCCCAAACAAGTAAAGGAAAAACAAACTTTGTACTATTTTCCTTGTCAAATTTTTTTCCCATATTTTCCATCAATCCAAACATAATGCGAGATGAACCAAGGAATGAGATTCTCCCTTGGCCATTTGGTGTTCCAACGAAAAAAAGAAATTTTTTTGACAGTCCATCGTTCCCTTCTTTTTTTTATTAATAAAAATCAGAATAATAGAGATTATTCAATTTATTCAATTTATTTACATTTAAATGGCCTGTTTAAGCATTTTAATATATACACTTTTATTGCCACGCGGAGAATAATAATAGGACGGAAAGAAGCTTCACTCCTGCAGTGATCGTACACTAACATTTCTGCCCAAGACACAATTGAGAGATTGGTATCTTGCGATCTCAGACAGGTAATCAGTCCTACAAACGTAGAAGAAGAATCATAGTTGAAAACGAGAACACACAAAGGAGACTCAGTCCATCGATCGATCGACCAAAACAGAGGCTTAATGGAGGAGTACGAAGATATATTGTTGAAGTCGCTCCAGAATGCTGGCGTTTCAATCCCAACCGATGTTTCTTCGATGCCAGACTTGAATCCGGCAACCGTGGTCTCGATCTGCAGTCAGTGTCTTAACCTTCTCGATGAAACGGCATCGTTCCCAACATCTTTCCCCGATTCGCTGGTCGATAAATTCAAGATCTGTACGGACATCGCGTTAGCTATTAAAAGACTCGGTTACATTGGGGATATGACCTACTATAAGGTATTACTGGCTTTTGGATTTTGTTTTTCTGCTGAGAAAATGGAGGAAAGGAAAGAAATGGATGTATTTTGTTTGATTTTTTTTTTCTTCTGTTTATTGTTAATTGGGAAATATGTTTGCATTTTGATTTGGTACTTGCTCTATTTGAGGTGGATTTTTACTTTAAGTCAATATCAATAGAAGAATGATTTTGCATTTGTTTATTTGTTTTCTTTTCTTTTCTTTTCTAATTTGTGTTACTTGGGTAGTTAATGTAACTAGGGCAACGTCAAAACTGAAATAAGTTCATTTGGCTCTAAATTGGTTTAATAAAATTGATAAAAGAGTCAAGTTCGTAATAAGGATCAGTTCATTTGTACTAAAAGAGTAACTTGGGCACAAATACTTAAAAGAAATAAGAAAAGTTAGCACAAGGTAAGCAATTTTCCGAAGTGACAACTGCAGTAAGTAGACCCTTTAGAATTCTTGTCATGGGAACTTTTAGGAAAAAGATAATGCATTGAATGCAAATTTAAAGGAGTGTAATGAAAATTAAGCAAAGCAACAAAGTTTGCTTTGTGTTTTTATATGAGTAGTGGGGGAAATGGGTCATTACTCATTTTACTCTTTAGAGAGAGCGTTTAATTGGGATTAGGTCTGTTTCTTGATTCATATAGCTTTTAAGAAGTAGGACCTATCGTCATGACTCAAGGTCGGTTGATTTTTGCTCATAAGATCAGCATTCTACAATGTAAAAGTTCATTAATCTATTAGAGTCATTAACATCCATCATATCATATGCATACAGCATCCCATAACGTTGCAGCAACCCTAAAGGGAAGTAGCCTACTCAATCAAACCATTACTAATTTTGAGCTTTGACCAAATATAGGGTTACAAATAAATTCTAGAGATAAATACCAATTCTAGAAGTTGGTTGTACTTTGTGGCCATAGACCTTTCCTGTAGGTCGTTTAGTTTTTGGCGTAATTGAATTATTTAGGGAGTCTAGAAAAATTGTGTTTTTGGGTTGTATCTATTTTATTCTATATGTTTGATCTTGCTGAATCTGCTTCGTTTATATTGCTATTCTTATTGTTTTAAAATTATGCTCTGAACAGATTATATGTCTTGCTTACGGCAGCTCCTGTATCCATCTGAAGAGGACTTGTACAAGTTGGTAAGGTTCTTGGTCGAGAGGCTCTCTGAGTCGTCTAATGTTGTTAAAATCCCTCATCTGAATAATGTGAAAGCCACGAACAAAATAAATGAGAATAACTCTATGGGTAATTTGGAGGACTGGATTGAGAAGACTGATAGCAAAGGATTTGATCTGGACCATCCGCAAGAAAAATTGGAAGACCTTAGTCTTAGTAATGTATTATCAGAGTCATCTGAATCCAAGGTTGAAGATGCATCCTTTGGTGGGTCAATACCACAAAATGTCATTGAGGACAAGCTACCTGGTAAAGTTAATGGCAGCTTTTTGGCTGCAGAAGAAGATGAATCAGGAAGGAATACATTTGGAAGTGAAGAAACTCTTGATCAGAAAGATGATAAGCATGTCCAGAAAGTGACTCCTTCCGAGGACCATTTATGTGAGGTACGTGTTCATTTTGCATGGAGGGTTTTTAACTATTTTCATGGTTGTGCAAGTTAAGATGAAATATGTGGTTAAGCTGATTACTTTTTTCCAAGACCATTCTGAGCATGTTGCATCAAAATAAAAAGCATAAATTTTGATAGAGAAAGGAAGATCCAAAAGCTTTATTTTTCATAGTTGCTAAATGAGATTTGAAGTGAAAAAAATGCTGATGCTCTCTTTTGCCGTTATTTGCTCCACTAGACAAGACATGAGACTGAAATGTTACAAGATCAAGAAAGAGTTCTTTTGAAAGAGGTGACTGCAAGAACTTCAGAATTGCAGAAGCTTGAAGAAGAGTTTAAGATGTTAAAGGCCGCAGCACATTTGGCATTTGATGACCAGTATCCTATAGACTTTCACCTTGAGCAGCTTAGCAAGCATGTGGATTCCCGAAAGTGTAATATTATGGAATTGGAGTCCGAGTGGTGGGTTATTCCTGATATATAAGCTGTTTATTTAAATTCTCTCCACAAAGAAATCATTTTGTGGAATTCACTTGGGTTAAAAAACAAATTATGTTGCAAGTGTTGATTTTTCCTGATACATGATTCTTCCAGGGATGCTTTCAGAAAGCCTCTGGAGGAGAAAAAGAGAAGCCTCGAAGAGTCTCTTTATGCAGACATTCCAGAGGCTCAAAAGAAGCTCCAAAAGCTGAGGGAAGTTGAGCTGGAAAAGCAGTTGATCTTGTCTGAAATTAGGAGGCGGTATATACTTTCAAAACTAAATCTGATGAAGTCATTTATCAATATCTTTGCTCATTCTTAGCCAGATACTTTGTTATTCTATAGGGAGGAGGAACAATCAAAACTTTCTGAAGATCTTGATAAGCAGCCTAGACAGTCGACTAGAACATCATATATAGAGCGGATAAAGGAAATCACCAAAAACAGTCGGAAACAGGATGCTGACATAGAGCGAATTTTAAAGGAAACCCGAGACCTGCAGTTAGAAAGTAATTCTATCCAAGAACGTCTTCATAGAACCTATGCTGTTCTGGATGAAATAGTATTCAGGTATGAATTGTTCGGCTCTCCTCTTTGTATTCCACTTTGAGCCTTAAGAATACGGGGATGTCTTCCTTTTTCAGAGGATACAACTATGTATTGCATGCTTAACTGAAAAGATGCATATTTGTACAGGGAAGCAAAGAAGGACCCAGTAGGGCGTCAAGCTTATAGGCTACTCACGAGTATACACGAGTGCTTTGAACAAATTTCTGAGAAAATCCTCATGGCAGACAGGGTACAAAGAGAAGTGGCTGGATATGAAAAGAAGCTAACATCCGTGACCTCCCGTAGCTTAAATGTAGATAAACTGCAAGCCGATCTTGATGCCATTATAAAGGAAAATGAGCACCTCGCACATCGTCAAAATAATTGATTAAACCCACAACCCATTTTTTGTCTATGATATTATGTTCTTTCAATTGTTGTTCCATGGCATAAACCGGCTGTAATTGTTTCTGGGGAATTTGAATTCACAGACGATAAAATCATTAGTCACTTTATCAAATGATAGCAATAGTACGTTTATGATCACACGCTTGATAAAGATGCTGGCAGGTCTCAAATTGGATTATCTTTTGTTTAACTTTGCCAGGAAATTGAAGACTGAAGTATCTGACCCATTATATTCCTAAAACTCAGGTGTCAAACCCTAACATCTACTGTTTGAAAGGGGATGCAAAATTGTATGATATTTTCAACTCTTAACACTTTCATTGGGTGAGTTGTAATGTAATGCAATATAAGAAACTCAGAATATATTTCTAATATGAAAATTGCCCTAGAAACGAAATTGATCATATTATATTTCATTATGGCTCACCAAATGGAAGTCTAAAACTAGAGGGTTAAGAAAGTTGTGCAGGGAGAATATCCCTTGGTGGTTGTTATAATGGGGAGCGAAGAACGTTCTTTAGGTGAAACTTCAATATTTTGGGGAGGAGGTTTATCACTTTCACTTGAATTCTTATACCAAAAAAAGTACTTCTAGTTAGTTTGTTGGAACTACTAGTTGGTCAGTCACTGCACAATTCTTTTGCATTTAAAATATTTGATAGAAATGCAAACCTGGAATTATATTTTTCAGTTTATTTGTCTTTTAGCTTTTATTTTTTGGGTGTGGATTAATAATTATGGTACTTAATAGCAGATCAAGTTAACCCATTTGGCAACAAATTAGAGATTTTTATAGCAATAGTGCCAAATCCAACAGATTATCACTGTGATCTAGAGACTAGTTAGCGGTCATGATCAATTGTTGACTCTTTCTAGATCTTATACATAACAATTGATGTTCCCAAATCATTTAAAAGAATAATAATAAATCATTAGTAGTAATTTATTTATTATTGATGTTTCCTTAACTTCTCCGTAAACCCACATCATTTGAAATGTTTATACAAAGACAAGAGCTACTTGGCTCTCTTGCCAATGTATACCTACTTGACAATTTGGAGCTTAATAAGCAAATGCTAGGTGGCACTTCATAATTGGACTTTAATTTCATACCTTTTTTTTTTTTTTTTAATATTCATTTCTTAAAATAACAACTCCCCATTTCTAGAGATGTAGGACTCTTCTTCTCTCCCCATATCTCCTAGCTCCATTTGTTTCATATCCATCAAACCACTCGTTATTAACTTCTCCTCTGTGTTTTTCTTTCTTTTTTTTTTCTTTTTAATGTGATCTTTCTTCTTTGTGTTCTTCACGTTCATTACTTTTTTAATTAAACTTCTTGTTATGGTCACCAATGTTTTTTTCTTCTTTTTGCTAAATATGTGATTAAAAGAATATCCTGTTTGGTTGCTATGGGGTTGATTGGATCATTATTACAGAATGGTGCAAGAAAATTCATCAAGAGAAAAGATAGCGATGCAGGAGAGACGGGTTTTTTCCTTTTCTTTTTCTTTTTTTTATCAAATCAATAATTTTCTTGTGCCTTCTTCTTGCACTTTCTTGATTCTTCATGTTTTGCATACGTAAAAGAGTACATTTTGTTACCATTTTCTTCATATTTGATTATTTGATGATTATAACATTTCTCATAAATCATCATTTCTTTTGAATCTTTTCAAATTATAAAATATGCATTTTTCATTTCGCACATTCTTAGTTCATACCATTCTGTACATTCTATAAATATTTCATTTTCCAATGTATAATTATATAACAGTTGAGTGCTTGCCTATCTGATCAATATTCAAATCCTGATAACAGTTCCATTTAAAAAAACATGATCAGGTCGAGCATTGGAAGAACTTAGAAGCTCTCTTTACAATGAATTTCGAACTTCAGAAGGAGCCAAGAAGCATCAGCAAAGGTTTTGTGGGCCTATTGTGGCAATGACCTTCAATTTTTTGGTTGCTGTTGGAGTTATTATGACAAACAAATTAGTTAGTGCCTTTTCATTCGCTCATCCACACACCCATTTTGGATTGTTGCTTTTTCTTGACAGATTAGTGCTAAAGATTACTCTTTTACTGCTAAAGATTACACCTTTGTTCCTCAACAGAAGTTTTTTTCTTTAAAAAGCTTAATTTTTTTGGGAAATCTTATGTTTGATTGCTTAACTATTCAGGTGATGGGAAAAATTGGGTTTAACTTTCCAATCTTTCTGACATTAATCCATTATACAACAGCATGGATTCTGCTTGCCATTTTTAAGAGCTTGGCGCTGCTTCCGGTCTCTCCTCCTTCTAAAAGTACTCCTTTCACTTCCCTTTTCTGCTTAGGAGTTGTTATGTCTTTTGCCTCAGGTCTTGCCAATGCTAGCCTTAAGCATAACAGGTAACAATTCAGACTTCAGCTTTGTTCTTATTCAGACTTACGTTCTTGCATTTACTTGCTCTTCTGCTCGCTTGCAGCATTGGTTTCTACCAAATGGCTAAAATTGCAGTCACTCCTACCATTGTTCTTGCAGAGTTTGTTCTGTTCAGGAAAACCATTTCTTATAAAAAGGTCTGCCCATTTCGCATTTCTTGTAATGTCTTTTTGGTTGCCAGAACCACATGTGGTCTCCCAATTGATAGAAATGTTTAATTTTTTTGTGATGTTTCTTTCCAAGCAAACAGAATTTCAATTTCTTATTTTCACTATTCCTGACAAGTTTGCAGGTTTTATCTCTAGCTGTTGTATCAGCAGGAGTAGCAGTTGCAACGGTAACAGATTTACAGTTCAATATATTTGGTGCTTGCATTGCAATTATATGGATAATTCCAAGTGCAATAAACAAAATTTTGTGGTCAAATCTGCAACAGCAAGCCAATTGGACTGCACTTGCGTAAGTAATTACAATCTACATTTCCCTTCTGGAAACAAGAAATTCATAAATATATAAATATTTTCGTCATCTTAATGATTTTAGGTTGATGTGGAAGACTACACCAGTGACAATTTTATTTTTACTAGCCTTAATGCCATGGCTAGATCCACCAGGAGCACTATTATTCAAGTGGGATCTCCATAACTCATCTGCAATTTTCATTTCAGCTCTTTTAGGATTTCTCTTGCAATGGTCTGGTGCTTTGGCTCTTGGGTCAGTCTCTAATCATATGCAATTCTCGTGTTTATTCTTGATTTTCGGGTAGGAGACTAATCTCGTTTCAGGCTTCGTGACTATTTAATCAATTTGATTAACAATGTTGTAATAATGCAGGGCAACATCAGCAACATCTCATGTGGTGTTGGGACAATTCAAGACATGTGTAATTCTATTGGGTGGGTTTTTAATATTCAATTCAGATCCAGGTTTAGTAAGCATTGGAGGAGCAATTTTAGCTCTTGGTGGAATGTCAACTTATACATCACTTAATTTACAAGAGTCTCATGAAAATTTGAATAGCCAGAATCAGAAGCAAGCCTTACCTTTATCAAAATCCAAAACTGAAGCTGAACCACCTACTGAAGATGCTACTAGTTCAACTTCAACTGCAACTAGTAATGCAAATGCTGTCTAGCTAGGTTTCTATTTTGTTTTAAGCTTCTTGATGTGTAAGGTTATGGTTAAGGTTGTAAGAGAGAATATAGAATCATAGGAATTTTGATTTGGTTAATGAAAGATAATTATGTACAGAAAAGATTTATTTAGTTAAATTTGGCTATCCTTTTTTTCAAATAGTTCAAATAGAAAATCTGAAATTTCGTACACAACAGAAAGTTTTCCTTCTTGTTCATGAGTTTTTGTTCATCATTATGTTGTTATTGTATCTCTTTTCCGTAAGACCTTATTAAATTCTTAATTTGGGCAGGAAAATCCTTACTGTGAAAGTAAGGAATTATGCATTAAAATTGATTCAGTAATTGTCCAACCTCAACTCAATTAGAAAATATAAAATTCACAACATTACTTGACTTTTGATTCAATAAATAAAATATTCGAAATATTCAAACTCGACTCAATTGAATTTTATTATTCTCAAATTAAAATGGCTAATAAAAAAAATGTTATAGGTAAAAACAATATTTTGTCTTTCGTGCAAAATATCATCCAATATGAAATGCATACTACCAGCTATGAATTTTCAGTCCCCAGGAGTATCATTTATGTTAACTTGAACTTGATGATGGATATTCTGAGATTCTATGGACATGAGAGTTACTGGAAACCACATAAATGGTATAGAAAACTAATCATAAGAACTCTGTAGGGATATAGAAAATCTAGAAGTGTACCAATGACTTAATAACTGGTCTATTGATAAACAGTGGATGGGTGTCATGCAGTGTCAACAGCCTGAGGTCGTTGCAGATGTTTATTAACAGTTGCGGGAGGAGGAGCAACTATTGTCTGCACTGGGGAATAAATTCCAGGAAATGGGCCACGACCAGCCTGTGCATGGGAGAATGTAAGGTGCTGTTCCTGAGGGGTGATGTGGTACAAAGGATTATTAAGACACAAGCTGGATAACTCCTGTCCGGGTAGAGAATCCACGCTGAACTATTTCATTCTGCAGAAACAAAATCAAACTATTTCAAATCAAAGATTATATATTACTAAGAAAATATTTAAAATACACACTACAGACCACCAATTCTTATATGCTGGTCTGGCACCTAACAGTATCAAGAGAATTTTGCTTTTCAATATAATCTTGGATAGTAAAGTTTAACAATAACCAGTGGCCTTGTCGTGTCGATTTGGCTTTCCTTCAAACTGAGAGGCTGATAGATCCTCATTGCTGGCAGAGCTCTAATAGAGGAGGAACCATGCGAACCATATAAAGGCTGCATTCTGGCTTGAATTGTTGAAGAGGAAGTCTCATGTATGGTTCCCTGAGAAGGGAGTGGCTACCTACTGGAGCTTTGACCAAACACGACTGGTCGGAACTTCACAGTTCACATCAGGTGCAGTAGCAGCGGGTATAAGATATGCATCGTCAGTTGATGGCTGTTTAGGGAGTCCGTTGTGGCTGTTAAAGTAATTGTCCATATGGGAAATAGCTAGGAGGAAATTGTGGCCTGAAAACCACTGGCCATGGAGAAGCAGCTACAGAATTCTATATCGGTGGACTTGGACTTGATGAAGCCGTAGGTTTCTCACCCTACATTCAGTGTGGCACAATTTAGAACAAAAGGGCAGCAAGTCAATTTTTAACACCCCAGGCCCCAGGGGGCTCTCATAAAATACATACGTGATCAGTTACCACATCATCACAGAAGGAAAAAAAATTTAAGAGTGACAATGCCTACAGATCAAAACAGACTGCCATAAGAAAATTTTATAATTGTTCAGCCAAGGGATTCTCACATTGCTCATGAATATTATATTGCAAATAGAAAGTTAGTTTACTCCATGGCAATCAATCAATCATTAAGTTGAGTTTTAATTCAAAAGGCAGTGGATAAAGATAAATTTGAATAAGCACCACTAGCAATTATGGCTATGGAATTGAGGCCTTACGACAAAGCCTGAAAGACGAGACACATCCTGTTTTGTGTTTCACATCCTTCAATCTGCCAAAGGTGAACCCCCTGCACGGTTGACATGATTCCAAACCCATAGTTTGGAGCAATTTGAACCTTGAGATACTGGTGGCCTTCCCGAAGTATCATTGTTGCTTTATCACACTTGTTCAGGAGGGTCTAGTTCATCAGGATGATCCAATTGAACAGTTGAAGACATCTTTGATTACTGTAAGGAATTTATTAAAAAACTGATGATCAATTACTCCCCAAATCAAATAAATGCCAATTTCTTAACCAATTCTTTTTATTAATGCTTTGGCCTGGTAAGTCAAATTGTTCACCCTAGGTACACTAAATAAAAGGTACAAAGCAAACTAAGGATACAATCAACAACTAATAATGGAATAATATGATGTTAAAGATGAAAAAGAAAAATACTGGATAACAGGTTCAGAAAACCTCAAACACAGCTAGCTTAAGCACAAAACACGACCTGCCACACCCAAACCCAGGAAGACCGCCATTTTTATGAAATTACAGTCATCCATAGAGAAATCTTCGCTCCGAAAGGCAAAAAGCACAGCTAATACTCCAACAGATATGTTACTAACAGAAAACAAAACTGCAATATCCTAATTTTTTGCATTTAAAAAGCCCAAATTTGCACCAAATTAGGCAAAACTGAAACAAACAGCGAAATTACTTATCAAACTACAAATGGTTAGCAATGAAACCTCAAAAATCAAACAAAAGATAAAAAATATTTAATGGAATAAAAGCAAAATTTTCCAATATCCAACAACAGAGTTATTCTGATAATAAAGAGGATTATTTTGATAACAGAATAATTGCATGGTGATCTCTGCTACGATTCCTAAAGCGTATACAAAGAAACCTAACAAAATCAATTAACCAAGAAAAGCATACCGATTGATCAATTAATTTGCAGTAGGCATCTGATAGCGACAAAGAGGGCACGTATTACTTTTCTTGAGCCACTCAACTATGCACTTTTGATGGTAGACATGAGAGCACGGCATCCGCGTTGCTTCTGATCCAATAGAAAGTTCTTCCAGACAAACTGAACACACCAAAATCTCCGATCCTTCGATTCTAATCTTGTCCAGCTTTTTAACGGAATCTACAGAGGCACCGCATGTAAAATCTGCAACCGTATGCAAATCGTAATCGTCGTCGTCGTTTCCCATCAGCAACAGTAACGGAATTACAGAAGCAGCACCGGAATAGGACTCAGGTGGGAGATGAAGATCGTCGCTGAGAAAAGATTCAAATTCATCGTTATCCCCAAACATAAGCGTCCTGAAAAATTCAGGAGGAAGCAGAGTCGACATTGGGAATTGCAAACAAGAACAGAAATAGAAATTTGTGAAAGGTTCAGATATATGAACGAAACCCTTCTCGTCAATTCTAGTGCTCTAGAGATTAACAAGTGCCAATATGAATAGGAATAGCTTGATCTTGGCGCCATGAACCATTAATTGAAAATCCATAGTTAAATGGATGGCATCGGGTCGGGTATTTCCGGTTACGCGCTATCCGATAACAGTTATTTATTATAGCTATCAAATTTTAAATTCAAAAATAGTCCAACGTTGTTAATATTAATTATAGATTAATTTTCGATAATATTGTTGGATAGTGAAAATGTAGATTAGTTTTATAATATTAATTGTATTTGTAATTAATATTGTTGGATAGTGAAAAATAATAATAACGAGTATTTTTATTATTAAAATTAAATAATTATATACTTTCTTATATATAATAATTTAATTGAGTTTTATATGTAATTTTCTAAATACTAGTTTTTAAACGTGCATTACACGTTATTTATACTCACTTTTATAAGTTGCAAGTAATTTAATATATATATAATAATTTAATTGAGTTTAATATGTAATTTTCTAAAATACTAGTTTTTAAAAACGTGCATTAACACGTTATTTAATACTCACTTTTATTAAGTTTGCAAGTAATTTAATATAATAAATATATAATTTAATTAATTTTTATAATTTAATTTTATAATTAATTGTTACAAATTATAATATTATGATAATTTAATAATTAATATTTATCAATTATATAATCACTTAAGGTTGGTCAAAGAATTTTATTAATTTAAATTAATTTTAAAAACTAATAAGATGTAAATGTATAAATTTTTATAATTTAATTTTATAATTATTGTTACAAATTATAATATTATGAATAATTTAATATTATATTTATCAATTATATAATCACTTAGGTGGTCAAGAATTTTATTATTTAAATTAATTTTAAACTAATAAATGTAAATGTATAGACATATATTATAAATAATTTAACTATTTCATATCAATTACCTATAAATAAGTATGATTATTATATTTATTTAGCATTTTCATCTACGTGTTATAAATTAGGATAACTAGTACTATGATTGGCTTAGTGGATTGGAATCAACAAAAATAGTGGCATAGGCATATAGAAAATGTAGAAGTGATTGCACCAATTAATTAAAACTGCCAATTCTAAAAATTATACCAATTACAGTTGTATAAAATGACTGTTCCCAAAATTTAATTTACAGGTGAGACATCTGACTGGAAAAATTTGCTAAATCTCACCTACTCTCACTCAACCTTTCAAATTCCTATTAGGATTCCATAGAAGTCCCACTGTCAAAGATAAAACATACTAGGAAAAGGTGGGGAGAAAAATAACTAAGTCAAAGCTGAACAACAAAAACCTGCACCTATCATTCTGTTCTGTAACTTAAATGTCAGCATTTTGTATCCCACCTATTGTATTAACCTAAAGTCTCTGGCGGCACTTTATATTTACACTCAAATATCTGGCCAATCGTTTCCACAACACTGAGATTTTAACCTTGTTATCTATTTTACTTTTTGTTGGCTTAATAAGAGTTCCAGTTGATTTGTCCGAGATGAGTTTGTTGATAAGCACTGGATGGGTGTGCTGAAGTTTCAACAGCTGCTGAAACAGCCTGAGGTTGTTGCAGATGTGGATTCACAGTTGAAGGAGCAGCAGCTATTGCCTGCACTGGTGGATAAATTCCAGGGAATGGGCCATGACCAGCCTGCGCAGGGGAGAAAGCAAGATGCTGTCCTTGAGGGGTGATGTGGTACAAAGAATTAAGATGCAAGCTGGATAACTCTTGCCCTGGTGGAGAAATCCAGGCTGAACCGTCATTCTGCACAAACAAAATAGAACCATCTCAAATCAACACTTATATTATATGCTGGTCTAGCACCTAAAAGTACCAAGAGAATGTTGCTTTTCAATATAATCTTAGACAGCAAAGTTTAACAGAATTACTTAAACTAACAAATCAAAATTAGCACAACTGCTGGACACAATCAAAAGAGAAATATAGTAACACATTAATGTATTAGGAAAACACTTTTAAAAAGTAAGACGGGAAGTAAAACCAACCAATGGTCCTGTCGTGTAGATTTGGCTTTCCTTCAACTGAGATGCTGATACATCCTCATTGCTGGCAGGGCTCCCAGAGGTCACAGCTGGAACAGGATTGAAACTAACAGGGGAGGAACCATATGAACCATATATGGGCTGCATTCCAATAGGAGTCGGATTTCCAGTACTAGTTCCTGGCTTGAATTGTTGGAAAGGGAATTTAACACCAGGTGCAGGTGCAGTTGCAGTAGGTGTAAGATATGCATTGCCAGTTGATGGCTGTTGAGCCAGTCCATTGTGGCTCAAGAATTGATGCATAGGCGGTATAAAATAAGGGTTAAAGAAATGCCCATACGGGAAATAGCTAGGAGGATAAGGTGGCCTGAAGACCATTGGCTGTGGAGAAACAGCTACAGAGTTCTGTACTGGTGGACTTGGACTAGGACTTGGAATTGATGAAGCCATAGGATTTTCACTCTACATCCAATTTATAACAGGAGGTTAAGGGCGAGATAACAAGAATTACAAGCAGCAAAAAAATAATAAAACAATAACATAACCACATAGCAAAAATGTTGCAAAAACTAAAAATTACAGATCTGCACTGGAAAATGTTAAAACTGAGTCATAATGTATAAAAGAAACCTTCAAAAATAATTATTTCTTTTTTTACAATTCCCCAACTCATGCTCCTCCTTAACTCCCCCCAAAACTCTCGCATAAAAAACATATGTAATCAGTACCGCAAAATCACAAAGGAAAAAAATTCCTACTGCATTGGAACTTATTCACACTATAGGTACCCCAGATCAGTAGCTTGTCCATCACCAAGAAGATCATTGATGGGCTTTGGGCAAGTAATCATATGGGTAACAATGCCTATAGTTCTAAACTGACTGCCAGTAGAAAATTTTATAATGGCTCAGCTAAGGGATTTGTGCCCATATATATTATCACTTTGCTCAGGAATACTTATTATATGCCAAAAAGAATGTTCGTTTACTCTACAGTTTTAAGGAAAAACAGTTTTCAATGACCAAAGCTAATCAATCATTAATTTGAATTTTACTTCAAAAATAAGAGGATAAAGATAAGCTTGAATGAACACCACTGTTAAGAGCACAAACGAATAAGAATTATAGCCATGGAATTAAGGCCTTACAACAAAGCCTGAAAGACAAGAGACATCCTGTGTCTGACTTTCATATCCTTCGATCTGTACAAGTTGACCCCCTGGCACGGTTGACACGATCCCAAACCCATAGCTTGGAGCAATTTGAACCACAGAGTTCTGTTGGCCTTCTGGAAGTAGCATCATTTCTTGTGATGCTTTATTACTTTTTGGGTCTGCATCAGAAGTAGCAATGCCTTCTGACTTTGTTGCGTTTTCAAACACTTGTTCAGGAGATTCTAGTTGATCAGGATGATCCACTAATACAGTTGAAGAAATACTTTGATTGCTGCAAGGAATTTATTAAGAAAACTTAAGAGCAATAAATTCCAAAATCAAATAATGCCATTCTTAACCCTTTTTTTGTTTTGTTCTGCTATGTCATATTGTTCACCATATTTATACTAAATAAAAGGCCCAAAGAAATCTAAGGGTATCATCAACAGCTAATAATAGGAATATAGGATAATATAATGTAAAAGATGAAACAGCAATGGATGACAGGTTCAAAACATACAACACTACTACCTTAACCACATAACATGACCAACCACGCCCAACCCCAGGAAAATCTCCATATTTATGCAATTAGAGTCATCTATATATAAATTTTTGCTCCAAGAAGGCAAAACCATACTTAAGGTGATGGTTAATTGGAAACTATGTAATTGTCAATCATATCCTTAACTAAAACCACAATGGCAAAATTATCAGCCAAGACAACTCAGAAACCCAATATAAAATATGAACCAAGTAAAAAATGCCATATAATATTCACCAACCTAGACGAAGTTTCTCTAGCAGTTTCATCAGTCCCATGAGATGATTCAGTAGCATGTGTAGAGTTAATGTCACAGCTATTACCATTGCAATTTTTTGTTCCCGGTCCAGAATTAACATCAAAGCTTCCAAAAGTCAACCCACTCTTTAAAGCTTCAGGTACCTTGAAGTGATTTGGAAATGTAACATGTCCATTGGTGACAGTTTGTACAGGCAACAAGCAAGAACTGTCATCAGTGTGCGCATCCTCAGATGAGACTGCTTTTTTTTTTTTTTTTTTTGTCCATTGGTGACAGTTTTGTACAGGCAACAAGCAAAGAAACTGTCATCAAGTGTGCGCATCCTCAGATGGAGACTCCTTTTTTTTTTTTTTTTTTAAGAAAAAATAAAGAGGCAAGTTCAGAATGCAAATATATATAATATATATATATTATTTAAAGCATTTTTTTTTTTTTTTTTTAAGAAAAAATAAAGAGCAAGTTCAGATGCAAATATATATATATATATATATATTAAAGCATAAAAACAAGAAAGGGAGGAGAGGGAGTAGGGAGCTCTTTACTTCAGTGTTACCAGTTCAACTAGCAACATTTACCTTTTGAAGGGATATCTGAATCTTGTGATGAACTAGAAGACCCAACAGCCAAAGAAGTGTCATCTGCTGGCAAAGAAGGCTGCAGAGTTTCTGATGACTCCGGCTTTTCATTTGCGGATTTGCCTGGTACCTTTCTTTTGATCACAGAGTGAATAATTGTAGAAGCCGATATTTCATTCTTGGGCAACTCTGATCCAACATCGTCGGAAACAAGGTTATTTCCTTGAATTTGATTTGATCCTGCAGCTCTTTGCTGGCTTCCTACTTCCTGTTTAATTGCACCAATTGTACCAGAAATCCAAGTCATAGTTGGTGCCAATACAGGGTCTGAAGCAGAGGAATAAACACCAGGTACAGATGCTGAAATGGTAGAAGTTGGTTGGTCATTTGAACTTGATGCGGGCTTTCCTTGCTGAACTTGAATCATATGCTCAGATATCTGATTAGTTGCAGGTGATGATGGAGTAGGGAGCAGTGCAGTGCCTGGCTTCTTTTTATCAATATCTGAGCCATCTTTAGTGGAATGGACAACTCCACGGGCAGGTGATTCTGGGCTATGTCCAAGAGAAGAGCCACCATTGGGTAAACTTGAAGGACCGTTAGGTGTGACAGTTGAAGCTCTATATCAATAGAAGATATGAATCAATTTTAACTGCATATAAACAAAAACACGAGTTCCACATAGATGCTATAAACAATAACCCAACAAACATTAAATAATGTTTACTTTATCTCAGTGACTGCCTTATTATTTGTTTTCTGCCCAGCTGTTGAAGGAGCCCTCTCTGTCATGTGAGTGGCTCCATTTTCCCTTCGAGGAGCTGCATTCCTTACACCCACTGCATCTGATAACAGTAGTTCGCAACACAATTTGTCAGTTACAGAACCACAAGCTAACATTTCTTACGGTTGATGATCTTGCAAATTGTATGCCATCAATTTTTCTTTAATATCAGAAAGTCCACAAGAAACAAGATAGCCATTTAAAAAACAAACTTTTCATAGAAAATACTAGGATAATGAAAAACGAAGATTATAAACTTTATACTACAAGATGTAAAACTCACTTTTCAAGAAGCATTAGAGTGACATCATCCTCTTTAATAACTTCTACAGTTCAGGAAAAGAGAGGAACCTTAGCTTCTATCTTTACTCAATGAAATTTTTCTCTTTTTTTAGGGAAGAGAGGGATGGGAAGGACAAGCAAAGTGACTACTGGCTAGTGGAAAGAACGAGCTATATTCAATAATGGGCTCAACTTAAAGATAATATTATAACAGGATGAACTCATCAAGATTTCCATGCTCAGCTCTCATGCTAATATTAAGGTGGAAATAAAAATCTAAGTGCATATATGTTAGTCTCATGGTAGGGAAATCACAAAATGACAGCTTATACTTTGAATGGTATGCAGTAGTACCAGGATATGCATGATTTGCAGAATGGTTTCCTCGACCACCCCTAGCTCCTCTACCTTGGGTGCCTGGCATCTACAACAACACAAGACTGAGTTATGAATCATTCTAGCCACCAAAAGAACTGCAAAATTTAGATATCATTAATCATTCTAATGATTCCCATATATGTTCGATAATTGGTAGCAACGAAAGCAACATTTAATATAACAAAGTAATTATCAAGGTGGCTTGGCAAACTTAGATATATCCAAAACCTAGGTGACCAACATTTTCCAGAAGTAATCTGATAATAGAGATTGAGTGATCAATTTAAGATCATTGCAACAGCAGAATAGAGAATATCTGTCTGCTGCATGGATCAGTCATGACAATCAACAGACCTATGAATGTTAAAAATTTCAGAGATTACAATTTTTTCAACCTTAACTAAAAATGTTGCAGGAAACAAAATCTGATACTGAAAGCAGAAAAATAATGTAAGTAACATATCTATTTTCTTCAACATTAACATATTACATCCACATGCTTCTTCAAGGAATTGTTTTGCATACCAATTTATTCCCTCTCCAATCTCGTCTTCCTAATAATTGATGTCCAGGAAGAATGAAGACGAGTCTTTTCATATAAGAGGGACAGGATTCAAAAGAGAAAGTTGCATGTCATGCCATGGATAATATCATGGGATCTTTCAGAGAGGGCAAGATACCGTACCTCCTTTTTCCGCTCACGTTTTCTTTTGACCTCATGAAATGTATCTGCCGACCCAGAATTGTTATTCATCAGAAAATTTGAAACATTAATGACACAAATAAGCTAATCTAATAAAGATGCATAGTCAAAACAAGAAAATTTCTTATCTAATATTGTACAATCTATATTAAGAAAATAAAGTTCCATTTAGCTAATAAATAGAAAATTCTCATCTAAGCTCATACAATTTGTGTACATTAGAGTAAGTAACGCTCAATTAGCTAATATGTCAAAGCATAAAAAAGAAAACAAATCACAAACTCAAATATTGGTACTTGGGATTTTCTAATAAAATAAAACAAATCACAAATTGTCAAATATAGATGGCCGAGTCAAGTCCTTTGATCATTGTAGTTATACGCTACATAATTTTAGAGCTATCAAAGAGCCAAAACAGAGACAGCAGAACAAATGTCTTCATTTTGCTCAAATAGAACTTCGAATAACACAAGCACTAGACAGAAAAGACCATTCTCATGATATTCCTTCTGTGAGTTCAAACTGTCTATGAATCAAAAGCGTGTTCTAGCAAAGGACAATCGCCAAAGAGGAAACAAATATTATCAAGCTAAAACTTTTACAAGTCAATCAATGAAAACAGCCATCTTTACACCATAAAATACAGCCTTTCATGATTATAAACAAAAACCACAAACCAACAGATCATAATCATGAAAATACACGAAACAAACATAAGAACAGATAACACCCATTAAACCCTAATGCACAAACAAAACGAACAAAATAACAAAAACCCTAATGTGTTTTATCACACATATATATGTGTATATACCTAAATAAAGAAGCTTTTGGGCGGTATCGTTGGGATCCATGGAGCAGTCTGTAAGAACAGAGTAGATATCTTCATCGCTGTGTTGTTTTCCTGTGATCTCCCTAATGCTTTGTATCGTTTTCCGTACGCTCTCCGGGATCGTGACCCTAGCAGCCCCGCCGCCGCCGCTGCTATTGCTCATATCGCCTTCTTTCCTATGTTTGATATTATTTATGCTCCTCTCTTACGTCGCTCTGTTGTGGAGGGAGAGTTGTGTAGAGAGGGGTGGGGCGAGGAGAGAGACACTGAATTTTGGTATTGTAATTTGACCTAACAATTTTTGATGGGAAGATGGTGAAATGTGTTTATATATGGAGAGAGAAAGGAGAGGTTTTGGGAGTTTTCAAGGATCCTCTCAAGCAAGGGCTACATGAAGCTTTCATGAGTTTTTTTTCTTTTTTAAGAAAAGAATAAATAAATAATTTTATATTTCCAAATTTTGATTTTTCATTATAGAAAATATCCTTCACTCGCAAGCTCAAGACTAATCTTGCACTGATATATTCTAAATTTTAATTAAATAAATAAATTTAGACATAATTCCTCGTGAGCAAAGATTTTGACTTCTTTTTCCTTAATTAAATTTTTCTTGACTTCTTTTTTTAATAGTAAAAATACAATATAACAATAATGAAAAATGATTAAGTTGTGTTTAGTTGGAGGCGAGTACACCAGTGAAATATAATTTCTCAAAAAAACATAACATATAAAATACTATGTATTTATCTTGCATTATCAATTATATTTTTTGAAATTAAATTCTTTAATTAAATGAATGAATTTACTAATTAAATGAAATTTCAAATATAATAAGTTTACATACCATATGTAATAATCTTTATATGTAATGGCTCGAATTTTTTGAAATGTTTTTTATTTATTTAGTGTGATTATTATTGTTTCTTTTTTCTTTTTTTTTTTTTTAATAAAGCAATAAAGCACAAGCCTATTGGAGCTTCTACTACATGAAATAGTCATGGTGGATGGAATTAAATTAACTGTACTGTTGTTGTCTCAATTGGGTACATTCCAATTTGAAGTTCTTAAATTAGAGCGCCATCATCATCTTTAAGGGCTATTTCGGTTTTTCAAATGTTTTTCTCTTTTTTTCTATTGCATTTATTAGCCATACAGGTTAAGGAAATTTGTAGTTAATGTTACCCAAAAAATACGTTAGATACTGATAATCAGGTCTTACATATTATTGTCAACTTGTGAACGTAGATTGTCTTCCTGTCGCATTAAGGGACTATTCATAAAAAAATTTAGACTCAATATCCCAAATATATAAATTCAACTTTACTTTTCATAATAAAATTTTATAACATTCTAAATTTTAGTAATATTTTTTATGTCTCTAAGCAGGGATGGAAGATATCAGCAAATTTTGAACTACCTATAACTATATTTAATAAAATTTTATCATTCGTATCCGAAGTCGTTTAAAATTTTACTATCCATATTTGTTCAAAATCTGTTTAAAATACCTTTAAACAGGTAGAGTACGCCAATTTTAAACTATTTAAATCCAAATTTATTTAAAGTGCATTTTTTTTACTAGTAAATGCGTAGAATATCCGCGCCAAAATTGTTTATTATAGCGGAAAATGGGTATTTAGAGTCTAACACCCGTATTCGTTAAAATGGATCAAAGTGGAGCGAGTACCTTAAAATACCGGTCTCATTTCCATCTCTATCTCTAAGGTGAAACATTTTTATAATATTTCATGTTTATCCCTATTAATAACAAACAATTTTCAGGGATTACTTTTTATATAAAATAGTAATTTGATATATAATTAATATAATTTTAGAACAATAACTTTACATTTTTTAGTTATCCAATAAGTATTTAATCAGCAAGATGAAAAGTTAAAGGTTAGCGCCATGACCTTTGGAAATTTAGCATTTTAAAACATTTTTGCTTAATTGGATAGTAATCATAGAGCGTAAAGTTTGTGGCTCTCCCAATAAAATGAGCCTCCCGGATGTCTCTGGATATCCAACGTATATTTTCATCCTTATGATATTAAGATGTGATATAAAATACTCAATAATTTAGTTTAAGGTACGGTATTATTGAGTGTGGGATGCGATTTTTCGTGAAAATATATATATAGGCTAAGTCAATATCAACATGATAATGATAAATTAACACAATTCAAAAATCTAAATATAAACATAATTCATTTAATAAATAGATGATACGACACAGTATTTAAAATACTCATCACTTAAGAGAATAACAAGAAAATATTATTCATTGCCCGACACTTATTACCAAACAAGTCTCAATTTATACTCAAAAGAGAATTAATCCTTTTATATATATTTTTTTATTTGTAAGAAATAGTAATTTTCCCTTTTTGGTCAAAAATCAATGTTTTAAAGGTCGTAAGAAACTCTAAAAATTATTATTGATATTGTAAAAAATATTTAATTTACTAAAAATTTATAAATTGAGTAAGCTCAATAATTATCGATCAAGGTATAAAATATTTGAGTAAGCTCACTTTTAGTAGTTTTAATTATTTTTTTTATAAGGATTTGCATTAGAACTTTTTTTTTAACTATTTTGAATAATCTCACTCAAGTTTATTTACAATATAGAAATTACTAATTTAAATTTACTTTATATTATATAATCTATTAATGTTTTGTGTTGCTATTATTTTGGTTAGTATAATTTGAATTTCATACCAACTATACACAATGTAATGCATGATTAAAAAGACAATATTGCCATTTATTTTATAATTTGTATTTACGTTAAAATGGTGTTTGGTTTGACTTTTTAGCCGGTCAAACTTACTTTTAAGTAGAAAGTCATGAGTATAATCTTCTTTAATTTGAATTATAAGTTAATAGGGTACTTAAAATTAATCAAAAGTGATAACTAAGGTACATTTACTTATGATTATTTATTTATTTTAAATATACTATTTGATCAAGTAAAAAACTATTATTCTAATAAATTTTAAAAAACTATTTTTTAATGAATTATTAGATTATTATATGTTATATTTGATTAATGTCTCCTTTTTGGTAACTGTAACAAACTAAATTACTTGTAAATACCTATTAACCAAACACAAAACTACTTAAAAATAACTTTTAATTAATTTTACCGAATAGTACTTTAATTGTTTATTTTGGTCAAAAGTTAAAAGTTAAAAGGTTTCGTACCCAACAGTTAAGTTGTAGGTGTTTGATACGATGTTTTAATCATAAAAGTCCCAACCAACTATTGTTTCTATAAGTTACTTTTAGGAATTTTTTCGTATCGGTTGATAGTTGATTCGTATTTGTATTATTTTAGATTTCATTAACCTCATAAAAAAAATATTAATGAAATTATTTTTTTCAAATTAATATTTTTTATGATAATTTTGTTTATAAGTATTTAAATTATTTTCTTAAATATTATTTTAAAAACTTAATGAAGATTTTTATTTATAGAATACATTAAAATAAAAAAATACTATATTCATCTTAAATTAAAAACATATATATACATTACACATCATAACATATAAAAATAATTATGCCTATAATAGTTATTTTATATTTTAGTAGCAATCAATATTAAAATTTTACCAAACACGAACAATAATCAGCTAACCGCTATTAGCTATTAACCACTAATTATTAGCAAACTCTATCGGCTATTGGCCGATATAAACCACTGAACCAAAGGGCCCTAAATAATATAAACCTGCCTGGAGTTGTAAGCGTAATTTTCACAACCCGAACTTATTACCCGCGAAGTGAACCGGATCCAGTTATCCTACGTGGCATATTATAAAGTCGGTAGATGTATCCGTCTATATATTAAAGGCTCAAATAGCAGAGTCAGCAGTTCAATACAGGCGCAATCTATTTTATTTACCACTCGCATAGCCTTCGAACGAAACCCTAATCCTTATTTTTCTACCTCAAACCTTCTTCCTTGAACCCCGACCGAGTCTCTACCGATCGACAAGTTTCTGCTTTTGAATAATTTCCTCGACAAATTAGCACCTTAAATTAGTGATATGGGTTCGAAATCGAAGAGCGAGAACCCTCACTCTGGCGATGGTGCTAGCCCTGGGTTTGTCTCTCTCTCTCTCTCTCTCTAGATACTGTAGTATTCATAAATTTTGTTGGGTTTTCTTTGGTCTATGAACAACTGATTAGAAAATCGGCTCAATCAGAAATATTTGATATTCGTACTTTGATTTTTTTGTTTTGATTCGTATTTTGTTGATTTTTTTTGTCAAACACAGGAAGATTTTTATAGGAGGATTGGCTAAAGATACGACATATGGTAAGATGTTTTATCGGATTATCTGTATTATGGTGGATTTTCTATAGAACTGGAACATTCAGGGTTAGATTTATGTTTTTTTATGCTTACTCTGCGATAATTTAATTGCAGCAACTTTTAACAAGCATTTTGGGAAATATGGCGAGATAACTGATTCTGTGATAATGAAAGATCGATACACTGGTCAGCCTAGGGGTTTTGGTTTTATTACCTATGCCGATCCTTCAGTTGTTGACCAAGTTATAGAAGATACCCATATCATCAATGGGAAGCAGGTAAAACAATCTCTCTGTTGTACGGTCTGGTTCGTCAGTTTAGCCTCGTCTTTTAAGGTTAAGGCTTAGGGAAGGCTGGTGAGGTCCAGTATCGAGGTCTAGCTTGACTGACTAACCGGCCTGTGTGCTTTTCTTAAAAATCTATTTTGGACTAGGTGGTGTTTTTTTCTTATATTGTTTAGAGACTGTACTTTTTTGTATCAGCTTTTCTTTGAGGTTCAGCGTCTTTGAGACAATATTAACAATGGTTCATGCAAATTAAGATATAGATTTTCTGTGGATGAGCATCTAATTAACCGTGTTTTATGCAATCGTTTGTCTTGGTTTAAATTGTATAGCCTGATTGTTAAAAATAAAAAAACTAAGCAATAGAATTGCTATGAAGTTTTCATTATTATTTGCTCCTACTTGGTTTTAAAACATTAATCAAATAGACATGAACCCTGTTGCTGTTATGATGTGATGTCTAATATGATGGCTCCTACACAGCTATGTTTATAAATTATGCTGTAATAATCAAGTGAATTAACTAATTAACAAGTTACAATGAAACAGGTTGAGATAAAGAGGACAATTCCTAAAGGTTCAGGTCAATCAAAGGATTTTAAAACTAAGAAGATATTTGTTGGTGGAATCCCATCATCTGTCACAGAAGGTAAGAAATCCTAAATTGTTGTGATGTGATTTGGAGTATTGTTTTTTTCCTGTGCGTTTGTTTAACACTCTTCAATCTTCAACTTCTAGATGAGTTCAAGAATTTCTTTTCTAAATATGGGAAAGTGGTGGAGCACCAGATAATTCGTGATCATGAAACAAACCGATCTCGAGGATTTGGATTTATAATTTTTGATAGTGAAGAAGTTGTAGATGAAATGTTATCCAAGGGAAATATGATTGATATGGCTGGTACTCAGGTGAGATTATTTAGACGACCTCAAAGAAATAAGAATGGAAATGGATCCCTCTTTGTTGTGCTGCCTGCTTACTTGCTTTATCGTTGTTTTTTATCACCACGCAACTTATTCTATTCTCCTTCCCTTAATTTATAGATTGTTAAAGTGTATTAGTTGTTCTGCTTACATATTTCTGATATAGCAGCGGAGATCATTACTACAGGTATAGATTTCAGGAAAGGGCTCATGATAGTTTGCCTCCTGCAGAACCTAGGTTAACTAAGTTGCTTTGTTGTAGGTGGAGATCAAGAAAGCTGAACCAAAGAAAGCCTCAAACCCACCACCTGCTCCTGCATACGGTAGCAACTCTAGGAGTCGTTCTTATAATGACGGCTTTGGTGGATTTGGAGGTTCTTATGGGGGATTTGATGGAGGTTTTGCTCCTGGTCCCTATAGGAATCCCGGGGGTCTGGGTGGTAGACTGGGTGGGTATGGGTATGGTAGTAGTGGTGGGGATTTTGGTGGTAGCTATGGGAGTTTTGGAGGTAGTAGCTTAGGAGGTTACCGAGGTGAATCTGCCCTTGGTTATTCTGGTCGCTTTGGACCTTATGGTGGCGGGTTTGGTGGAAGTTATGGTGGTAGTGGTTTAGGCAGTTATGGTCGGGGAGGCGAGGGATATGGAAGTTATGGAGGTGCAGGCTATGGCGGGAGTTACGAATCTGGTCCAGGTGCTAGTTATGGAGGAGCAGGTGGTCTGTATGGAAGGGGAGGCTATAGTGGCAGTAGTCGATATCATCCTTATGCAAGATAGAATCAAGGCATTTTGATGCAGTTCCTTAAGCTTTGCCTAGAAGTTCCAAACAGGGTCATCTAGTTTAAAGCCTCATGATATTGATAGGCACTTTCCCACATGAACTAGAAGTCTCCTATCACTGCAATTGAGGAAGCTTTTAAGGATCAGAAGCTCTACTTTATTAGATTATTTCATCTATGTATGTTTTAGACAGACTGCTTAGTTTTTGCTTAAACTTAGTTCATGCTGGCTCTTGCTTTACTTTTTCTAGTTATTTTTAATTTAGCGATGTGTTGTAGAATATAGTATCTTGATTTGGAGCTTGTTGCTATTCTCTTAGTTTGATTTAGATAGACATCTTAATAATTTATACCTGTTTGTTCTATGTATCCAGCATAGCAGTTGGGTGTCTTATGGCGATATTTATTCTTATTTATTTTGAGCTAGATGCATTAAATCCAGTAGGCTAATATTTAGATGAGTCGGACTGTTAGCTTTGTCTAACCCCCTAAGAGAGAAAGAAAGAACTGGCTGCAAATTATATCGACAAACTTCATTTACGCCAAGTATAGTATGAATCACCTTGATGCTAACTAGGTAAACCTTTTATAGCGTTTGAACTATGTTTGCCTGGCGGAGATGAGTGGTGGATGGTAATAGGGGTTTTTTAACTTATTCTGGCTCTGATCTTGCTTGTGTTTGAATATTTTTCCATGTATTTGAATCAGCCCTATTCATATTTTGCTTGGAGAAAAGGTATAGGTTTCTTTTAATTTTTTTTTTCCTTCACATATTATCGGGTTCTCTTTTCTTTACTTTTTTTTTTTCTTTGTATAGCCATAGTTTCTATTGGTCAATAGACATGATGATTAAACATCTGTAATTGTTGCTATTGTTGATTCCTTGGTTTGTTGTACTCGGGTGATCATTTGACATGTGGATATGGGGAGGGCTATCCCCGTTGTGTAGCCCAATAGTGAATGAAAAGAACTGACATGCTATTGAGGCTCTGCTAATGCTTTTTACTATTATGGTACGATGTGGAGTAACTTCTGTTATAAGCTTTTGACGGGTTTTTATCACCCTTGTGCTCGATTATATTTTGTTCATTTCATTTGGGGTATTGTGCATCAGCTTCCTCCCTGTTTCCTTTTTTTTAAAAAAAATTTCTTTTTGTGAACTCTATAAAAACAATTGGAGAGTTTCAGAGTAAACAAGGAATCAAAAACCCCACGTTTCAGAGTACTTGAACTTTGTTGTTTTTGCAATTTCATCCCATTTAGACATTTATTGGCGAGAGAGTGGTGAGGGAGATTAATTGTTCTGTGCAGGTTAACTTTATTATTTACAAGTTATCAGCAACTTATATTTGTAGCTGGCAATTGTTACTTTTCAGCCTTTAAATTGTAAAGGAGATCAAAGAAGAGGAGAAAACAACGTTAACGACACTTTCTAAAATTTCTAAAAAAAACCTTGACAGGTTGAATTGGAATATGGCCCATTAGCAATATTTCAGAATAAGTTATGTCAAAGACAATTTTAAAGGTGAGAGCTACTAAATATTTAAACATTTTAGTATTTATATATAATTAAAAAAATCATAATTTATTCATAAAAAAGAAAAGATTCTATTGACAGGTTGAATTGAGTATGTGGGTTTACCTGGCTAGTAAAGTTGTAACTCGACATACAGATGATCCTTTTACTTAAATCTACTATGTTTTCGGATTACGGATTAGGTTGTGTCAGTGAAGTCGACTTACAATGGGTTTTGTGTAGTCCTAATAGGGACCTATAATTTCTCTTTTAGCAAAGCAAATGCTCCAAAAGAAACTCAAATAACTTGCTGCTCGTTAAATTAATATTGTGATGTTTTTTTTATTAATTATATATTATTTTCGAACTTTATTCCTTGTTAATAATAAAATTGCTTTTTTCAAATTAATATTAAATATTATTTTTATCATCGTTTAAGTATAATAAGGTTAAATGTTATTTTAAATTTTTATTTATAATATATGCAAATAAAAAATAATATATTGATTTTAAAAAATTTAAGAAAATATAGTGTATGATTATATATAAAAATTATTTTGTAAAAAAAAATATAAAATAGTAATCGTAACTTTATGATCATTTACCATTTTAATGATGCTAAGTAATTTGAATAATGAAATAGAATGGATTATTTATTTTATTTTAGTAATAATCATGATTTTATAAAATATCGTGTCAATTCCTGCTCTTTCATCATATCGGAATGCAGAATGACTATATTGTTTATATTTTTGGTTTAGGAACGACGTCGTGGGGAATATTCTTGCTGAGCATAAAACAAATCTCCGTCTACTCTATTCTCTCCCCCCTGAGTCCACAACACAGACTTACGGAGGCCAGATAAAAAACAAGGACAGACCCGGTGGTTTATTGTCGCCGGCAATTCTAAATACCGAACTGGACGAAGGATTAAATTGAGAGAATAAAATGGGTGGTGGAGATCTGAAATACGAGGTGTCACAGAACGCTTACATAAAGCTGGTGCTTCACTCCCTCAAGCACAAGTCCTCCGCCGTTAACGGGGTTTTACTCGGTCGATCTAGTGACGACGTCGTGGAGATCACCGATTCCGTCCCTCTTTTTCACAACCACCTCGGGCTTCTGCCTCCTCTCGAGATCTCCCTTATCATGGTATGTTTAGATTTACAACCCAAAAACACAATCTCTGCATTTATTTTTAGATTTAGAACACCAAAACAACTTATGTATGTTGCAATTGAGAATAGTTGCTAATTTTATAACTTTAATATCCAAAATGATTGTATATCATGCGTTTTTCCATTTTTTAGTTCGATATCTTCTCTTGCAGAGATAAGAATTGGTTTAAGTTGAGATGTTTGGTTAGTTTCCATTTGTTAAGCTACTACTTCAGCAATTCGTCATAGAGTTTTGGACGTTTCAATTTTCTCTTAATTTCTGAAAACAGATAGAGGAGTATTATGGTGCTCAAGGATTGGGTATAGTGGGTTACTTTCATGCAAATGAGAGGTTTGATGACGCGGAGCTTGGTAATGTGGCCAAGAATATTGGGGATCACATTTACCGCTACTTTCCTCAAGCTGCCATTCTCTTGGTGGGTATAATGGATTTTGATCTTCCTTTGTGCTTGTCTTTGTTTCTGGAGTTAGATTTTGAGTTTCATTTTATTTTTCTTGTATTTTCTAAATTCCTCTGTAGTTAGATAACAAAAAGCTTGAAGCACTACCCAATGGGAAAGACCGGAGCCCTGTTCTGCAGGTCAGTTTCATTATTTATATTCTGTTATTTGGAAGAAATAATATAAACAAATGAAGTTCTTTTAATGTTGCTTGGATGAATTAACCATTAGTACTAAATTGGCGAGAACGGAAAACTCTGTCTGTGTTTATAGCCTTGTGGGCCTTAATTGCTAAGCTTGCAGATACTGAAATCTACCATTCCCTGCTAGATAACGCAACACATTCCACTGATGGGATAATGGCCTTAGACTTTTAGTGAAAAGGATAATGAGTTTGGAACTTCAAGAATAATATTTTATATTGATTGTAGCACTACATAAATTAGTTGATGGTTCTGTTTTGGCTTACACTGACAAATGAGAAGTGGGATAGATTCTGAGTTCTAGTTGAGGTACTTCAGTTTCCATGTTTACTAATTTGAGGCACTTTCATAACAGCATTTGCGTGATCTTATTTCAGTTTAATTGTTTATTGTGAAGATTTGATGATTAAGGTCAAATTCTTAGTTCTAATTTTCTGATGCGCATATTGTATTAGAAACTACACTAAATGTTTTGAGTTCCAACATTTTGGGTTGGCAATTTGATTTCTTTTATTAGCATTGTATAGAACATACATTTGCCATCCTTTTTTGGCAGTATTGTTTTTACAGTTTGTGTTCCCCTAAATTTAGTCCTTGATTCAGTTATAGGTAACAGTCATCATCTTCCTTTTTTTTTTTTTTTGATACGAATTAACTGATCAGTCTTTCTCTCTTGCCCTAGCTTTATACGAGGGATGCATCAAAGAACTGGAAGCTAGCTGGACCGGATGGGGGTAATAGATTGATACTGAAGGAACCAGCAGCAAATATTGTATTGTTGGATTTTATTTCATCCAAGAAATGGCAGGATGTGGTAGATTTTGACGATCACCTTGATGATATTACCAAGTAAGGTCACATAAATGCATGTTCTGAATAATCTGAATCTTATCAGGACTATTTAATTAATCATTTATCTCTGTTTGCAGGGACTGGCTGAATCCAGAACTCTTCAAGTAGTGTTTGCCTGAGATGTTGATTTATAGTGGAGCAGACATGGTTAGAATTACAATGACATGGATAGGCAAAAAGGCTCTGTTTTCTTGTTCAGGAGTAAATTTTGTAGCATGTATCAACTGAATTAAGTTTTGAAGTCTCTCGACAAATAACTCTTTGTCTTCTTGATGGCGATAGCCTTGTTGAAGCTATGGATTTAAAATTAATACTTGACATGTTTAGAATTAATAGTTTCCAGGACTTGTGAACATGGATGCATGTTGTGTTCAGAAGATTAATTTGACGATAGGGGAAAGTTTAATTCTTAGTTTAATACCTATGATAGATCACAGGACTATTTTGCCGAAGACTCTACTTTTACATCTCCAATTCCAACAATTTGTTTGGCTATGAACCAGTTTTATATGAACCAGTTTCAGTGTTAATTTTCAATTTTTAATTTTAAGATAAGATGATATGAATCAGTTAAATCCTTGATTGGCTGGGAGATCTGTTTACATATATAGCATGAAGCTACCTTTAGCCTCAACCACCAACAACCTACTTGAGATAGTGGGAGATTTGTTTATTTATCTTTTTCAGATTGCTATTATCAATTAGTAATGGTTTCTTTATCAAAATGTTACACTATAATATCTTTGGAAGAGTATTAGTTTGTATGTTTCTTTACGAACTTACCAAGTCCTATGTTATGCACTTTGCAGACTGCACATTCTTATGATCGTGTTGTTGGAAATTTGGAAAGATATAAGTCATAAACAGAGGGTATTATTTCGAATTGGAGAGCAAATTTAAAGTAAAAAAAAAAAACATAATATGCTAAAAGAATTACATTATTTAATTATGAAGAAAACGAGGCACATAATTTAAACTGTTCATTTTACTTCCAAATTCAAGAAAGGTACAATGTAAGATCTGTCATGCCACAAAATAAGAAATGATGTTATGAATTACAAATCGTCCAGTAGCACAACAAAAATGCTTGTGTAGTCAAACTGAGAGAAGGCAGAGATTGCAACAAGCTCCTTGTATAGTCTTCCATTGGTTATTTACATGAACACGACCTCGATGACAAGTTTTGTGTCTATGGATTCGCAATGGACACGACAACATTGAAGAATTCTGTCGACCGGGTAAAGGAATGAACAATTCTGTCAACCAGGTAAAGGATCGAACGACCTCTTATCAAGATAGTCATGTGAGATTTCTCTAAATGACAGCTTCAGGAAACAACTTCCAGCCAGAATCTGTAGTTCAGCATCTAATAAAAAACTAGACAATTCAATACTGTCAATCTACTAAATCAAAAGGGCATGTTTTGTGGGGGAGATCAGAATGTGACTTTGAACATCAAAGAAAAAATCTACTGCAAGTACATACCGTTTCTGTATTTGCATCCTTTAGTGTCTTTGGCAAGAACTAATGATTAGAAAAGGCATCCAGAAACCATATAACTGTGGCTTTCAAGAGAATTATGTGCACAAGTTACTACTTTTCATAAGGCCCTAATTAGACGAGCTGCAAACGCCCCATCAATTGAATGTTTTACTGGGTTAGAGGAAAAGAAACCACGTTCTGTCACAAAATCAGATGGCACATATATGTCGACAGGATCTATTTGAAATTCCTGGCAAAAAACAAAAAAAAGAGCAAGCATAAGGCATTAATTAATGGCAGTAAAATATTTCTCAATTGTTCTTCAATTCAATGAGCAGTAGCCAAAATGAAGTCGCTTTTTAGTATCTGCTCATAAGTTGAATCTTATTCTTCAGAATCTCTAGATTACAAGAAACTTTGCATCTCTTCAAATTATATATGTTAAATAGACATATTAGACACTATGAATGCTAGTTCTTACGGGATGCCTGAGAAGAAATGCGTCCACCCTCCCTTCATTCTCTTCATGATCTATTGAACAGGTACTATATACTAAAATTCCACCAGGTTTTACCAATCTACAATGCAAAACAAAGTTAATAAGGCAAATAAACAAGGATAATACACCTGATCAAAGAACAAGATCCTGGCTTCTTTGGTCTTTTCTATTTCACATTGCATCAAGTCTTTTAAATTTAAAAGGTGCTGATTGACTTTTCCTCTGAAATCATGTTGTACTGGTTTAAACAAAAACACGTGTTCTTGTGTGTTTTGCTTTTGGACACACGGGGTGTGAGTTGCGTGAGAGGGAAAGGCAAAGCATGCGATAAGAGGAAATTTGAAGCTCACTTAGAAGCTGCATCAAGAAGCTCATCCTGTAGACGTTTGAGTTCTTCCAGATCCTCCAATCTTCTATTCCAACGCAAGTCCGCTCTCTAGAACAGGGAAAGACAACCACATGCATTAAGTGGATGTTTTATGTATTTCCATTAAGAAAAGGAAACAAAGAAACAAACATCAGATAATCAAAAAGGTTTAGTTGATTAATCATTTTAGTGTCAGTAGACTAACCTTGGAGAGAACACCAAGTCCAGAACAAGGAGCATCCAACAGTACTTTATCAGACTTCATTGGACATTTTTCCTAAAAGTTCGGGGAAAAAAAGAAAGAAATTAGGACTCCCTCTTCCTAGAAGTTTCAGCCTTTTATAGAATGACGACAACTCACAGCAAAGACTCGAAGGTCAGAAGGGACAGTCGTGATGACTGCATCAACTTGGTGCAACTTGGCTGTCTCTCGAAGGATTCTCAACCGGCCTTTATTTATGTCAATTGCATAAACCATGCCTACAACCAAAATGGTACCATTATATATTGTACAACATTGCTCAACTACAAAACAAGGAAAAATTAAAATAATAATAGTGTAGCCACAAAAAAAGAAAGCTTGGTTAGAGAGAAGGGCTTGGTCTTCAAGGGGGCGTTTGCATCATGGGAAGGTTTAGTCAAAACTCTTCAACATGGGAGAGGATCTTGGTCAGAAAATACATGTATTGATGTGTGTCTATATATAGGGAGAAAGAGAAATCTAGACAAATATTAAATATATAAAATGCTTTGTCAATGGAAAAATTTGTATATGAGTTGACAGACTCCTGCAAAATCATAACAGATATCAAGTATCATTCCATGTTTTTAACATCCTAGATTGCCAGTTACTATGCAGACACCACCACCTTTGCAGACATGTCTAGATGCGATCATGCTAAAATCTAAACCGAAATAAAGAGTATAACCATTAACAAGAGAGTTTGATCAAAAGAGTAGCTAAAGGATGAAAAACAATGATGCAAAATCCAAGGATGCAAGCATATGACCCACAAAAACAAATGCAGCTAATTTATGAAGCAAGACTACAGGACATAGATGTGTCAGGCGCAGTACAGTTAATTTAAGATATGAAGGGGTGAAAATGTGACAACTGCAACTAGTCAATAAATGTCAGAAGTGCAGCAGAAGAGAAAGCAACAACTCTAAAAAATACCTTGCCCATCCATTAGGGATGCCATGTACAGCGTCTTCCCTCCAGGAGCAGCACAACAATCAACAATACTTTCACCTGGTTGTGGATTCACAACAGAAACTACCAAACCTGCAGAATTTGTGTTATAATATTTGAGGAAAAGAAAATGCCGGACCTTTCAAACTCTATGACAGTAATTAAGCAAAATTAGACAGGATTACAAAAAAAAAAAAAAGAAATGCTTCTTTTCCTTTTTCTTCCTCCAGCCAATTTTCTTTTATTTTTTCCTCTGTTTTTTTTGGCTGGGGGAGCAGAGCAGGGCATGGTGTCTATTAAGCTGCAATCGAAATTTCAGAACATCATCATTTATTGATTTATGGCACACTGCCATAGGTCATGTCTAATAATCTAATAAGCAGGAAAAATATAACTGGTTAAGATTTATGACTATTGCATCCTACTATAATCCAATACTAAGGTTGTAAGATCCTTTTCCTATCTGGTCGAGATGTATGAAGGGAGAATGAATGTAAACCTGCACTCTCATCCTGAACTGAACAAAGACCTTGTTTCAGTAATCCATCTCGTATGACAATCTGAAATTAGGAAAAAGCAAGTAATCAGGACCCTGAAAAGCACTACAAAGGAACACGGTAAATTAATATCAGCTACAGGCACATTATTGCTGTTCTATTGCTTTACAAGCTTTGCAATTTGGTAAACTGTAAGAAAAAGGCATTTGCACGTTCAAGGACATGACAATGCATGTGCACATATATTGTCTGTGTCTGATAAAGATGTTCTATTGCATACAACAAGAGCTGTGATATAGTTCTAACTCTTCATTTTTACTCATCAATGAACTGTGGCTCTAAAGTTTCTTCTAATGCTAACAATTTAAGTTTATTTATGTATTTGCACTTCTCTATGCAGACTGTCTGCCAACTAGCTCCTAGGAGAACAACTTTATTGTATAACAGCAAGCACAATGGATAAAGACGTTTAAGACTGAGAATATCATAAAGTACCTGCAATCCTATTTTGATGCGAACAAAATGATCCAAATGCAAAGAAAGCTCATAGGGAACCTGGCACTCAAGAACGGACAATCAATGGCTAAAAATAATAATCCAGCGGAAAGCCAAAGATAAAACAAGTGACAATTCTTCAATTTCTGCATCTATGCATGCATGTATCTTTTGTTTGTGTATTTGTAAGCACGATACTACTCCGAATTTTTGGGAAAAAGCAATTTCACTAGACCAATTGCGAAGAATACTTCTAGGACCCCATGAGAAGGCACCTTAATAAATCTTTTCAGGGCATTAAAATATTTTGTGTGTTTGTATTTGCATGCACATACACATGATGTGCACCTTCAAAGAATTCAGCCGCATCACAAGGTCATCTCTTGTCACACCTTTCCCACTGTTTGCCCTGAGGTCAGTGCAAGAAAGCTATAAGAACCATGTGATATGACTTTATGAACAAAGAGGGAAATTTAGCTGAAAACCTCAAACTGAAACTGGGGTCGCTATTGTTCCACATCATCAATCTAATTGCTTCTTCTTGCCCAAGGTACTTTGTCCAGCGCCTCACCATCCACTATAACATTTTAAAAAGTATTAGGGGAAATTGCAAACCTCAGCATGAAAAATACATTCTTCAAACAGAGATTAGCAAAATAAGTCATGCTTTAAATCCTAAATGTATATCAAGCAGGATGCTTCTTCCCAAGCTCTTGAAACAGTGTAGGAAGCTTGACCTGACTGTTGACTGATCCAACAAACACGACCTTCAGATGGATGGAAATGTAGTCAGAGTTTGGATTCTAGGACCTAACATATGAACTTATGCACATGAATGAGGAAACATAACCATGACTTTAGATTCATGTTCAGATGGAACTTAGTAACTTGCCTGAGCATAAATGAGAAGCTATAGAAGTTTCTCAATTTCTACTTTTTTTCTTTTTGGAAGTAAAAACTTATTCCTTGAATTTTCACTCAAATCCATAAACATCTATCCAGAACAATTTCTTAAGGAAATATTAAGCAATTAAGTATCTCAGTTTGATGACGCCATAAATAAAGTGGATTATTTCTAGCACGTCAACATTCACTCTTAGCTATCTCAAGTTATCTTACAAATGTTATCAAAATAGGTTCTTCAAGAAAAGGAAAATGTTATGTCCAACAATAAACTCACCACAGGGTGAGAATAAAGAGTGGCAAGAGCACGTGCTTGTGAGCGATCATCACCATCCAACTCAGGGAGTGGAAGAGAGTTATTTTCCTGCAAAAACAAAAGGCCATTAATTTACTGAATAAGAAGACAAAGTTATAGTCTTCTTTTAGTTTAGGAGGATCAGTTGTACAGGATGGCACACCTTAAGCAACACTAGCTTCCGCAGAATTCCATTGACCATGTTACCAGCGCCAGGCCTTAGTGCAACTTTTGCAAGGTGCACATTCTGCAGTTAAAACGTGAAACAACCAAATAGCTAAATTCCTTGGTATATGATTTTGAAAGACCATTTAGAAAGATGATGATAGCCAAATATCCAAAGACCAAAGGAGTACTAAAGCAATGATCCGGCCTTAATTCAAAACCAACCAAACGTAAAAATTGTAATCTACAATTGCCAAACTTGAAATTTTGAGTCCCTAAAAAGTCAAATACAAGGCCATGCCACATAGCAAAATGTAAAATTTCCTTGTCCAATTCTTCCTCCAATCATCAAAATAGGAAAATATCTAAAATCATCAGTTGCCCAACAGTCATTGAAATATTTCCAATTGACAGGTATGGTTTATGCAAAGTAATCTGTATAAAAGTAAAATATTCATGGTTTATGCAAAGTAATCTGTATAAAAGTAAAATATATATATATATATATATATATATATATACAACTAAAAGAAAAGCCTCAGATAACATAATAAACCTTTTCTTCCTTTTTTTTTTTTTTTTTTTTTTTTTTTTTTTTTTTTTTTTTTTGCCTAATTACATGCAATCGAACCCCGCAAAAAAAAAAAAAAAAAAAAAGAAAACGTGTTAGTTTAATTAAACCTCAATCTACCAAACAGCATATGGCGGCATGTCTAGCTTGACAATCTGCGTAAAAAACCCATTCGGAGGATCTAAGGAAAGAGGGCGGGAAATGTAAGACAAATTCAGGGTCCCAATGTTAGAAAAAAAAAAAAAAAAAAAAGAAACGTGTTAGTTTATTACCTCATCTACAACAGCATATGGCGGCATGTCTAGCTTGACAATCTCGTAAAAACCCATTCGGAGGATCTAAGAAAGAGGGCGGAAATGTAAGACAAATTCAGGTCCCAATGTTTAGATTCGCTTGCACAAAATGCAAGGCAGCAATATATTGCACTCCATGCCAGATTCTAAAAATTAAATAGATAAGCATCAAGCAATAGAAAAGTACCTGCAAGAGGAGAGGTTCCATGCTCCTAAATGTGTTCTCATCATGGCACAATGAGCAAATTAAATGATCAAGATATCTCCTCCATCGAACAGTGCCTCCAACAATTTCTGTGACCTAGATATTTTAACATTGAGGGAATAAAGAAGAAAAAGATTCAAGCGATTAGTAAATCAAGTAACAGTGGAAGTATTTTATCATAATCCAATTATTTTAACATAATCACAATTTCAACATTGTTCATCAATAACATTCCACATGGCTGTAGAAAATAACCTAAATTTCTTCCAGTCTGTCAGCCAGTGCCTTGAACAAAAAATACCAAGAATTGAGAGTAAGATTACCAATCTAAGATCACGATCTTCCAAATCCTTGGTTCGAAAACCAAGAGTTCTTTCAACATATGCCATTTCATTATCACCAGATCCTTTCCCTTTCTCATTCAAGAGATCAGCAAAAGCACCACCCATCTCTATTCTCATCAGCCGCACTGCAGATACTGTAATAACAAACAAAAATCAACATAAGATACTAAAAGATAGAAAGTAAGACAATTGATAAAGTCCAATCCTCAGAGACAATTCACCAGCAACAAAAATGAGGCATGCACAAAAGATAAACTCAATTTAACTGAACAGCAGACCCCAAAAAGAAACATAAGAGAAGCACTAAATTTCACTTTAACAATCTCCTTTGAGAGAAGACGTAATTACCAGCTCTATGAGGGGAAACCTCCAAATTCAATTTCTGGGCTTTGTGCAAGTGACTGAAAGGACCTGAAAAATCAAATCTTTCTTAAATATCATACCATAACAAAATTACGGCAATACAAGAAATAAGAGTCCTAAATAAGCCACATAACAATAGACTGAGACAACCAGAAAATCATATCATTCCAACTAATATATGCTAAAAGTTTTTCCTTTCCTGCATTTTCTCATGACACAAACAAACAGCTTACGTTTCTTAGGAGAAGAAATTGACTTGCTGGCTTTGTTGATTCTCTTGGAAAACTTGGGTGGCTTAGAAGGAGCAGCTTTGCCAGTATGCGCAGAGAGATGGAGATGGAGGGAAGATACGTGTGCCATTGTTCAGTGTTGAGAAACAGCAGCATGCCAGCAGCGGAGTGGAAGGGCAGGGGACAGACAACGTCTTAGCGCTTGCAGATTTATTAATTGACTGAATTACCCTTCGAGTATTTCAGTCAAAGGAGGCTACTTGATAAAACGATGAGTAATTTAGAGGATAAAATAAGTAAAAATCAAAACACACCGTTTTAAACCGAGCTCTCTCTCGCGCAGACAACCCGAGAGTTCGTAAATTGAACGCTTTCTTTGTGAGGTCACTGAGGTGTAACCAAACCCAAATTGCTGTCGGACCCAACAAGTCTCGCTTCCCAGCGCTGCAGGTTGCTTCGTTACCCGACGCTGTTTGACGACCGATGCGGGTGGCCGCCTTATTTTAAGTCGGCCCCGGTTGACAGGACCTTTCCATTCGAAGGTGTTAAACGATAAACGTTAATCGTTTTCTTGAAACCCTACTTTTTCTTTGCTTTTCTGTTATTTTTTTTCGCTTCCGTCCTCTGTCGGCTATCGATTCTGCAATCAAAGGCTCAATTGCTACTCTATAGCTGCTTAGACAAGTTAAAATAGAGCTAAAGTCTCTACTTTTACTTTTAACCATCTTTTTCAGGTAAGCCTGGAGTATTCTCGTAAATTAAATTGTTTCCCTAGTATGTGATTCATTTACAGTTAATTGAAGCTTGGTCTTATGTATTTATTAGTTAAAATGTGAAGATAGAGCAGTGGTCTGCTTGCTATCCAATGAGAGGGAGGTTGTGTGCAAATTGTAAAGGCAGATCATTGTTCTGTTCCCTAGCTAATGTAGGGAGAGAAAAAAGAAAAAAAAGGTGTAATTGCAACTAGTTGAAAAATTCAGAGTATTTTTGCTTATTAAGCCTTTAAATACTGTAAACAGCTTCTACAAAGGATTTCTTGTTTACTCATGTTCATTCTTCTTAAGAAGCATTATAGAAGGTATTTGTATCCATTTTGTATAGAGAACTCAAATGAAGTTCACTTTCTACACAATACAGTTATCTTCTCATGGAAAACAAATCGACAAGGTTTTGCAAGTACTAGATGGGTTATGCACATTATCAGTTTGGCTTTCTTTCCCGTTTTATTTTCTTTTTGAATTTGATTTCCCAAAATTTTATGTAGTCCTCCCCAAATTAAATCCTTTACCAATAGTATTACTGCTTCCTGCTCCTGAATGTAGAAGAACCCTAAAAATATTTTGCATGGGACTTCTATAATGTTTCTTATTTTGTAGCGCATATCAGTACCAGTACTTGTGAAATTGCAGATTTTGAAATTTTATTGACTTGTTGTATTGAATCAAATTAAAAAGTGAACATTTGCTTTTGGATTGCAGATATACTTTGTATTGAAGAGTATGCACATTGATGTTGATCACTATAGTGTTTTGGGCCTACCTTCTGGGGAGGAGGGGGCTAAGCTTACAGAAAAGGAGATTTCGAGAGCATACAAATCAAAGGCTTTAGAGCTGCATCCAGATAAGAGGCCAGATGACCCAAATGCCCATGACAACTTCCAAAAGCTCAAGTCATCATATGAGATTCTCAAGGATGAGAAAGCCCGCAAACTGTTTGATGATCTCCTCCGAGTTAAGCGTGAACGGTATGTTCGTGATTCTCAAAGAGATGCCAAGCGGCAAAAGATGGTTTCTGATCTTGAAGAGAGAGAGCGGGCGGCATTTGCACCAGATCCTGCTGCCAAGGCTCGGGAGGAAGAGGATAGGATCGCTAGGAAGCTTAAAGAAGAGATAGCAAGAATACGTGCAATGCATTCAAGTAAAGGAGTACCTGCAGCATCAGCCTCAAGGAGAGAGACAACAGGAGGGGCAAAGGAGAGTACAAGTGAGACGGATAGGGAGAAGATGCTTAAGGTTTCTTGGGAAAAAGATGGTGAGGATTATACTTTGGAAAGGTTGAAAGAATTGTTTTTGAAGTTTGGTCAAGTAGAGGATGTTGTAATAAGTAGTTCCAAGAAAAAGCGTTCTGCACTTGTTCAAATGGCAACTAAAGAAGCAGCTGTGAGTATATTTGTCATTTAACTAAAATATGGTTTTTATCTTTGCGACTTTGCTTCTGCACATTTGTGATCTTTTTAATCACTTTGTAGATGTTGTTTCTTGTTAGGTTGCTGCTATGGGAAGTGTGTCTGGCAGTCTTTCTAATCCTCTTCTAGTGTTACCTGTTAAACGAGCTAGTGCAACAGAGTTCTCAAGTGTGCAGCAGCCCATGGAATCTACTCGCCTTAATAATTTGGTTGGCACAGGTTATAAGGCATATGAAGATTCTGTCTTAGAGAAACTTCAAAAAGTAAGCTCTTTGTTTTAAATGCCTTTTTTTATAGTATTTATATTTCTTTCTATTGCAGATATTTGCTTTGTTCTACTTTGGGGTGTATAGTTTTATCTATTATATTTTATCAAACAAAATGGAACAATGGATAATTATGGTGTACGCTCAAAACTTTTGGGGTTAATAAAAAATTGAAATATATACTTCAAAATGTTACAATGTCAGCCATGAACATATAAACCATAGCAACTGATACCCTCATTGAACTTTTATTTTCTCAAATTTCCCACAAGATTTTTAAAACTAGAGAATAAAGTAGTATCTCTTATTAAATAGAGAATGTGCATGTCTTAAATTTTTACAAATGATAATATGAAAGCATCACTGGTAAAAGTACTACCTTCTTTTGTAAACAAATATACTTTTAGCAAGGTGCAAAGGACTATAATTTATATTTAGGTGTCATACATAGGGAAATTTGATTGTTGTAATAAACTTGTTGATAAGGGTATTGCATACAACTTATCTGAAAATAGTGAGGAATAGTAGTCTCCTGTTACATTAGGTTATGGCATTTTTGCACAATTGCCATTAAGTTAGGAATGATTTCTGCAAATCAATGTGAACATGATTAGCAATATTTCTATAAGGTTGGCTATTTGGCTTCGTGTAAAAAAGTTAAGTGATTTGATACAAGATGATGATTGGAAAGAAAAGACCAAAAAGGTTGAGATTACAAGGTGGTGGGAAAAAACTCATTTTTGTCAACTTATCTGTCAGGCTAGAAATAAGCTTAGGCTTTCTTTGTCTAAATCTATTATTACGCGGCACTGCTAACCACTGTATTTTGGATTATTATTTTTCATCTTTAGCAAGTTTTCTACCTTATTCTTGTTGGTGGAAGTGTTGAAATTATGTGGTTAACTTGCAAAATGAGATACTCACGTCTTGGCTTGATACGTAAATGTCTAGAAAGGTTAAGTGTGTACTCTTAGTGACAATTACTCATTTGACATTGATATGATCCATATGCAGACAAGATATAACATTCTTATGAGATATCATTTGTTAATGTTAGTAGCATGATATTTGGTGTTGACATCTATCGTGAAGTGCTACTTGCATTGGTGCTAAAGTTGGATCTGCTGAAGTTAGATTGTGTATTTATTGCAAATTGAAGCTAGATTGTTAATTGGTGGAGGCAGATAACTATTCTTCACGTTATGTGTCCTTGTGGGACACAGAGAAAACTAGTGTCTTGGCGAGCTTTAATTCTTTGGTGTGCCCTCTGTTGCTTTTCGTAATCCGACTTTGTAATAACACATCTCTGCTTTTAAACAGGCTGCAGCAGCAAAAAACCCAACAATGAGGTGAAGTGTTTTGAACATCATCCAGACATATCTTCTCCAAGTGAAGTGTAAAGGTAGGAATGATTTGTTCCGATATCAGCCCATTCTCTCACTATTTTAGCACAATCAGTTGTGTACTTCTGGTTTTTGCTTACTGGAGTAGCAATAGAATATCCTTAAACTAAGTGTACATTCAATTGTCTGGTGATAAGGAACAATGTTATCTTTTTTGCCGTCATTGAAGCATGATTCATGGGGAGCTTTAGAGGGTTTACCGGGTCTTCACTTTCTTGCACAAGATCTATTATTTTAAGAAGTGGAAACCACAAATTTACTAAATGTTGGCTGTTTCTATTGGATTTGCAGGACAGATTTGTGTCAATTGTCTTCCAAAATACAGCTTCATAGAAGTTTCCAACTCTTTTCAAGAACCAACTTTGTCAGAATTCTCTTTTATATTGGCATAGTAGTTAACAAGTTAATACTGATTAATGGGGGTGGGGGACATTAGCTATTATTTGCTGAGAGCAGGCTTTGAGGTTCAGACTGTATATTATGAGCTTTTACTAATGTACGAGGAAAAAGCTGTTTTTATTACTGGGACTTCAAATGCTCATGTACCGTTGATATCTGCTGTTCATGTAGGAGTAATATAGAAGTATAATCAGATTGAGAAAATATCTTATATTTTTGCATATTTTCCAATTGAATAGCACAATGCATGTTCAGTTTGCTATTATCCAATAGTAATTGAAAAAGAAATAAAAGTTTTAACTATTTTGTTACATCTGAAAAAATAAATTTATTTCCTTTTTGAGTAGTAACTGAATTGTTCTCTTTTTATTTTTTTATTTGTTATTAGATATTTGGCCCATCAGTTTTATACTCAGTATTCCAATAACATGAGGTATCAAAAAGTTGTGAAATGAAGAAAAAAAAAAAAAAAAAAAAAAAAAAAAAAAAAATGGCTATTATCCAATAGATAATTGGGAAAAAGAAATAAAAAGTTTTAACTATTTTTACATCTGAAAAAATAAATTTACTTTTCCTTTTTTGAGTAGTAAACTGAATTGTTCTCTTTTTATTTTTTTATTTGTTAATTAGTATATTTGGCCCATCAGTTTATTACTCATATTTCCAATAACATGAGGTATCAAAAAGTTGTGGAAATTGAAGAAAAAAAAAAAAAAAAAAAAAAAAAAAAAAAAAAAAAAAAAAAAAAAAAAAAAAAAAAAAAAAAAAAACAGAAAAACAAATAAATAAAAGGAAGAAGAAAGATTTGAGTCTTCTTCAAGAAGAGAAAAAAGAAAGATTTTAGCTAGACAATGTGGGTGGAACAAAGTAGCTTCAATAACCTATAGTATTCTTTAGCATTAAGATAATAATATTTGGGGAATCTCTTAGCCCTTTTTGTGAGTAGAGTTTATAATTTTTATAAAATGAATTTTATTTTTATCTCAAATTTTAAGCTTAAACTTTTAGAATTACAATATAAATATAAACTGTGAAATATAGTAGATGAACTGTTAATTTTGGACCAAATGTGAAATTCTTTGTTATATATAAATATGCTTAACCTCTAAGAAATGTTGCCTATGTTGCAAGTTGCAAGACTATTTTAATTAAACTGCTGCCCTTTTTCTCATCCTTTTGTACCTTTTTTTCTATTCTCACTTTCTTTTTTTTTTCTTCTTTTTTTCCCTTTCAAAGAATTGATGTTTTAGGCTTTAGAAAGCATTTGCAATATCTCAGGGTTAACAACACACATATATATATAATCCTAAAGCAAAAAAAATAATAATAAAAATGCTGACGTGGCGCTTTTCTTTCTCAGTATTCTATTTTTCATTTTTTTAGATGTTTTTGGGTTTTTTCTTTTTTTCTTTATTTTTTATTTTAATTGGATATATAATATATATATATATATATATATATATAATATATAAACTATAATAATATTTATTAAAACTGTAACGTAATAAGTCGCGGCAAAGGCGCGGAGCCTTCGACTTAGTTTTTTCTTAAAAGCAGACATTAACCATTTGAATTTAAGGAGATTATAAATTCAAATTTCAACAAGTTAATTTTACTATAAAATAATATTTATTAAACTGTAACGTAATAAGTCGCGCAAAGCGCGAGCCTTCGCTTAGTTTTTTCTTAAAAGCAGACATTAACCATTGAATTTAAGAGATATAAATTCAAATTTCAACAAGTAATTTTTTAATAATTTCTGATTGTATCTTCCATGTTTGTACTTTATTATTGACTTTATGCTTGGATACTCTTCTTCAAATAAAATAATAAAGTACAATAAACTCAAATTACTACCTGTTTGCATTTTCAAACTATTACTTACATAATCCCCAAATTTTCAATACAATAGTTTTAGAAACTTGAAGTTATTATGTTAATAAATTAATATGTAGAGAGCTCTATTATTTTTTGGAGGAGTCATTTGTGTTTAATTCTTTTATTATTATTATTATTATTTTTTAAAGTCAGTGAAGCAAGAGTCAATGCCATATGGTCATGTGGACTTCTTTGGTTGTTTTATTATTATTCAAACACTTGTCCATAGCAAGGCAAAGGCATTTCTATTCTTTCTTAGCTGAGGGTCTTTTTTATTCTTTCTTTCTTAGCAAGAATGTTCAATCAAATCACCTGGCTCCTTCAGAACAATTTTCGATTTCCGAAAAATATATTTTATTAAAACAGTTAAAAATCTCTCAACAAAATTAAACTCGGTGATTATAAAAAAATATAATAATTTTTGATTTTCTCCTTAAAAAATATTTTATAAACAATTCATTTCTATTATTTAGTTGCCAAATTTAAAATTCACAAAATATCAAAAATTAATAAAATATTATAAATTTAAATTTATATGGGTATAAAAACAGAAAGTAATTTTCGTTCAAAACAACTTAAGACATGTTTACTTATAGAAAATTTATCAACTTTCCAAAATTTAATTAGATTTGAAAAACATATTCAAGCTGATTTCCATATTTTTCATATGTAATAAAGAGTCATGCATGTTTTCTAATTACTATCCATTAAAAGAGAAAGACATTTTATAATAAAAATTATAATATATATGATGACAATGTTTAAGAAATATTTTTATTGAATAATCGAAAAAAGTATGTAAATAATTTATTTATATAATTTATTTATTTTTAATTATTATATTATACTTTATTTTACAATTAATTTTATTATTATAAAAATATATTTATGATGGTAATTTATATTTAAAAAAATTAAATGATAAAAATTGGATAATATTATTATAAATAAATACACATTACACATTGAGAATTTTAAAATGAAAAAGTTTCTAAATATGTTAGACAATATTTTTATCTTCCCAATTAAAATATTATTTTTTTAACAAGTATGCTTTTTTTATTTTCTATTTGGACAGAACTACTTTTTTTAGAAAATGAAAAATAAAAAATGAAAAACTGTTCTTTACAGGGTCACTCTCTTCATTTGATTATTTTTTTTCTGTAGACTAATTTTTCAAAATGTCCTAAATATTAAAAATTTTAAAAAATAGTTTTAGATAAATTATTATTTTGAACAAACGGAGTCTTATTAAAATTTATATTAAAATTTATTTATTTATGTTCTCATATCGCATGGTAAAAAAAAAAAAAGATTTATTTGTTGATATGAAAATAAAAAATAGAAAATTAAATAAAAATAAAAATTAATAAGTGAAAAAAAAGGAAAAGAAATAAAATAAAAACCAATAAATTGGTTTTAGCCATCTAAGCGCCTCTCACTTTTCCGTGCTGGGTTTTCTCTTGCTTTTCTCTGATATAAATACAATGCACTCTCGTTAGCTTTCTTCTCTGTTATAATTCTTCACCACTTCTCTCTCTCTCTTTCTCTCTAAAACCTCTATTTCATCTCTCTCTCTCTCTCTCTAGACGTACAATTCTCTATCTTTATATGATACATAAATACATATTCGATCTCATGGAAAACCCCTAATTTTCGATCGTACAATCAAAATCAATTTTCATCTCAATTTCTAAATTCCCTCTTCTTCAATTTTCTATTGTTTATGTAGTTGCGGGGATCCGATCATTGTCAATAGTGAATGAAAAACCCTACTTTGCCAGTTCAAATTTGATTTCATTCTCTAATTTTTACTATTTTCCCACATCGATCGATTCTCAATTTTGGAGAATTGATTGATTGGTTATCGATCGTTTTGTTTTGTGCCTGCAATGCTCTTTGATTCAAGATGAAGCTCAAGCGGAGGAGGTCCTTGGAAGTGGTCAGTGTTTTCACCAATACTGTGGATATGTGTTGTTGTTCCTTCTTTCGAAGGGTTTATGCTATTTTTTATGGTCTAATCGGTTGTGGAGTTGTTTGAATTTAGGGTGATTGATTGAAAATGAATTACAATATATTTGCAATAGTGTTGTTATTTTCAATGGCCGAGGATTAGTGTCTTTTAGTTGTTGTTGCTGTAAAGGACCTATTTGGAAGAATGCTATGTAAATGTTGTTTTTGCCTTTTAATTTATATTAATTTCCCTGAAGAATGCAACTTACATGTTTAACTTGCTTTGGAAGTTTGAGTTTTTCTTGGACGGAATTGCTCCACCTCTGGCAGTTTGTAAATGCATGTATATTTATCTGTATGTTAATGATTAAAAGCAGCTATATATAGCTTGGGTTGTAGCGACAAATACAGTGCCGGTAATGTTTACCTCTTTCTTTATGCTTTAATGTGATCAAGCTTGTACATTATTCTTCACTGTTCTGTCGACTTGGAATCAATTTTTTCTGTGATAGTTTGTGTTAATGTTTATCGAGTTTAATGGTACTTGTCAATTGTGGCTGTTTAGTTATCAGTATCTAGAAACCTGTGATAGTTTCTGTTATTTTGATTGAGTTTTGATGGTACTTGTCAATTTATGCCTATTTAGTTATCATTATCTACAACTGATATGTAACAGTGTTAAATCGTATCTTCTTTCTATTATTAGGCTGTTAGTATATGTATAGGTTCTTGGTGATCCTTTTTATTTTATTTTATTTATCCATCTCGTTGGGGAGATGTTAAGACTAGGGAAAGCATCTAAGTATCTTTTGAGGTGACCTTTCTTAAACCTGAAGCCAAGATTGCTGTTAAGCTATAAATAATATTTTTATCTTCAGGTAATGTAATAGGGTGAGTTTAAATGAATATAGACTAGAGTGTTTGTTTGGACAATTTTTGTCTGCAAGTGGAAACTTAGCTGCTTTTGTCTCTTTTACCTTGTATTCCTTTTAGTTCATCCTCATTATTTATAGCTGACACATACCAACCAATCTAGTACTTCCTTTAAGAAAAACAAAATTGTAAAATGAATAAGGTTTTTAGTGCTTGAGGATTTTATGTATTTTATCAGTTAGCTCTCTGTCATTTATTTATTTATTTTTGCATTTAAATTTGGTTTGGCAAGATCTTTTGATTCCTACATGTAGTAACTTTTTTTTTCTTATGCTATTTGCATCAGCCTCCTAAAATTAAATCCTTCATCAATACTGTTACTACTATTCCGCTTGAGAATATAGAAGAACCCCTAAAAAGTTTTGTCTGGGAGTTCGACAAGGTGACTTTCTAACCTTTATATGATAAAAAATATCATGGCTGTTATGCAGTTTTATTAGTGTTTTGTTTACGTCTATTGTTTTGTGTTGGTGCAGGGAGATTTTCATCATTGGGTTGATCTTTTTAACCATTTTGATTCATTTTTTGAGAAGCACATAAAACCAAGAAAAGATTTGCAGGTGGAGGACAACTTTTTAGAATCTGATCCTCCCTTTCCAAGAGAAGCTGTCCTACAAATTCTCCGTGTTATCAGAATAATTTTGGAGAATTGCACAAATAAGCATTTTTATAGTTCTTACGAGGTATGTCCTTATCTTTTAGGATTACTTCCTCCGCAGTTTGCAATCCATCAATGGTTATCAACTGTTTGCTATTTAGACTGTAGTGTTCTTGTGATATCATATTTTCTGTTTGCTGATGATCTTATTCATTTACCTCTATCAAGTAATTATAATCTCTTTAATCCTTCATATTCCTTACAAGTTTGGCTTCCTTATTTTTTTGTTGTTGCAGCAGCATCTTTCTTTTCTTATTGCTTCCACCGATGCAGATGTAATTGAGGCTTGCTTGCAGACTTTGGCTGCTTTTCTGAAGAAAACTATTGGAAAATATTCCATTAGAGATACTTCATTGAATGCAAAGTTATTTTCTCTTGCGCAAGGGTGGGGTGGAAAGGAAGAGGGTCTTGGATTGATTGCATGTACTGTGCAAAATGGTTGTGACCCTGTTGCTTATGAGTTAGGTTGCACACTCCATTTTGAGTTCTACGCAGTGGATGAGTCATTTACAAATCATTTTGAGAACCATGGAAAAGAACAATCAAACCAAGGTCTACAAATCATTCATTTACCCAGTGTCAATACTTGTCCAGAAACAGATCTAGATCTTTTGAACAAGTTAGTTGAAGAGTACAAAGTACCTCCCAGTTTAAGATTTTCACTATTGACAAGATTGCGGTTTGCAAGGGCTTTTGGCTCCTTAGCATCTCGACAGCAGTATACTTGCATTCGACTGTATGCTTTCATTGTTCTTGTTCAAGCAAGCAGTGATGCTGATGACCTAGTTTCTTTCTTTAACTCTGAGCCAGAGTTTGTTAATGAATTGGTTTTACTGCTGAGTTATGAAGATGCAATTCCTGAGAAAATTCGTGTGCTTTGTCTTCTGTCGTTGGTTGCTCTTTCTCAAGATCGGTCCCGACAACCAACTGTGTTGGCTGCTGTTACATCTGGTGGGCATCGTGGCATCCTATCTAGCCTTATGCAGAAAGCTATCGATTCTGTTGTTAGTGGTACATCAAAGTGGTCTGTCGTTTTTGCTGAGGCTTTACTATCTCTTGTCACTGTTTTGGTCTCATCATCATCAGGTTGCTCAGCCATGCGAGAGGCAGGGTTTATCCCCACTCTTCTACCTCTCCTTAAGGATACAGATCCCCAGCACTTGCATTTGGTTGGCTCAGCAGTGCATATTCTAGAAACTTTCATGGATTTCAGCAACCCTGCTGCTGCATTGTTTAGAGAATTGGGTGGTTTGGATGATACTATTTCCCGCCTGAAGGTAGAAGTGTCATATGTGGAAAATGGTTCAAAGCAACAAGTTGATGACTCTGATACTGGGGGGAGAAGTGTACAGACAGTTTCTGGTGCTTCTTCTGAGCTAGATAACATACACCCTCTATATTCTGAAGCACTGGTTTCTTATCACCGGCGGTTACTGATGAAAGCGCTGTTACGAGCTATATCCCTTGGAACATATGCCCCTGGAAACACTTCTCGTATCTATGGATCTGAGGAAAGTTTGCTGCCACAATGCTTATGTATAATCTTTAGAAGAGCAAAAGATTTTGGTGGTGGGGTGTTTTCACTAGCAGCAACTGTCATGAGTGATCTAATTCACAAGGATCCTACCTGTTTTCCTGTATTAGATGCGGCTGGTCTTCCTTCTGCTTTCCTAGATGCTATTATGGATGGTGTTCTCTGCTCTGCAGAAGCAATAATGTGCATACCTCAGTGTTTGGATGCCTTGTGCCTGAACAACAATGGTCTTCAGGCTGTGAAAGATCGTAATGCTTTGAGGTGCTTTGTGAAGATATTTGCATCTAGAACGTATTTGCGTGCCCTTCCTGGTGATACGCTAGGGTCACTGTCTACTGGACTGGATGAACTAATGCGCCATGCTTCCTCTCTGCGTGGACCTGGTGTGGATATGGTTATTGAAGTGTTGAATGCCATTTCAAAAATTGGGTCTGGAGTGGATGCCTCTTGCTTATCCTCAGATCCTCCAAGCTGCTCCACACCTGTTCCCATGGAAACTGATGCCGATGAAAGGTGTCCAGTTTCATCTGATGATAGGGAACCTAACAGGATGGATAGTTCAGAGCATGCAGCTGATGTGTCTGCTGATGCTTCAATAGTGAATATTGAGTCATTCCTTCCTGACTGTGTAAGCAATGCAGCTCGTCTTCTAGAAACAATTCTTCAGAATGCTGACACATGTCGTATATTCATTGAGAAGAAGGGAATTGATGCTGTTCTGCAATTATTTAACTTGCCTCTAATGCCCCTTTCAGCATCAATTGGCCAGAGCATTTCTATTGCCTTTAAGAACTTCTCTCAACAGCACTCTGCTTCTTTGGCTCGTGCAGTATGCTCATTCTTGAGAGAACATCTGAAATCCACAAATGAACTTTTCGTTTCAGTTGGAGGAACTCAGCTTGCTGCAATAGAATCTACAAAACAAACAAAGGTCCTGCGATATCTTTCCAGCCTTGAGGGTATACTGTCTCTCTCCAATTTTTTGTTGAAAGGGACTAGTACTGTTGTCTCTGAATTGGGTACTGCAGATGCTGATGTTCTGAAGGACCTTGGGAAGACATACCGGGAGATAATCTGGCAAATTTCTTTATGTAAGGACTCCAAAGTGGAGGAGAAGAGGCATACAGATCAAGAAACTGAGAATGCTGATGCGTCTTCCTCTAATGTTATTGGAAGAGATAGTGATGATGATTCAAATATTCCAGTTGTGAGATACATGAACCCAGTTTCTATCAGGAGCAGTTCTCAGTCTCTTTGGGGTGGAGAACGTGAGTTTCTCTCAGTTCTTCGCTCAGGTGAAGGCCTAAACCGTCGTAGTCGACATGGGCTGGCACGCATACGTGGTGGGAGAACTGGTCGGCACTTGGATGCCTTAAACATTGATTCTGAAGTTCCGCCAAATGTACCAGAAACATCATCACAGGATGTGAAAAAGGTGAGTCCTGATGTTCTTGTCCTGGAAATTCTGAACAAGCTGGCTTCCACACTGCGCTCTTTCTTCACAGCCCTTGTAAAAGGATTTACATCACCAAATCGTCGCAGAGCTGATGTAGGATCATTGAGTGCAGCTTCGAAAACCCTGGGAACTGCCTTAGCAAAAATATTTCTTGAAGCTCTCGGTTTCTCTGGTTATTCTACTTCTGGGCTCGATATGTCATTATCAGTAAAATGTCGATATCTTGGAAAGGCTGTGGATGATATGGCAGCTCTGACATTTGATTCTAGGCGTCGAACTTGCTACACAGCAATGGTAAATAATTTTTATGTACATGGAACCTTTAAGGAACTGCTGACTACATTTGAAGCCACAAGTCAATTGTTATGGACTCTACCTTACCCTTTTCCAACGGCTACTGCTGATCATGAGAAGGCTGTTGAAGGAAATAAATTATCTCACAGCACATGGCTGCTGGATACATTACAAAGCTATTGCCGTGTGCTTGAGTACTTTGTCAATTCCTCTTTACTTTTGTCCCAAACATCTGCATCCCAGGCCCAGCTGCTTGTTCAGCCAGTTGCTGTTGGTTTATCAATTGGTCTGTTTCCTGTTCCAAGGGACCCCGAAGTGTTTGTTCGCATGTTGCAATCTCAAGTTCTGGATGTTGTATTGCCTGTCTGGAACCATAATATGTTTCCAAATTGTAATTCAGGATTTGTTGCTTCTATTGTTTCGGTTATTACACATATATACTCTGGTGTTGGAGATGTCAAAAGGAATCGCAGTGGTGTTGCAGGAAGCACAAATCAAAGGTTCATGCCACCACCTCCTGATGAGGGTACCATTGCCACGATTGTTGAAATGGGGTTTTCAAGGGCAAGAGCTGAGGAAGCATTGAGAAGAGTAGAAACAAATAGTGTTGAATTGGCCATGGAGTGGCTTTTCAGTCATGCTGAGGATCCTGTGCAGGAGGATGATGAACTGGCTCGGGCACTTGCTTTGTCATTAGGGAATTCTTCAGAAGGATCTAAAGTTGACAATGCAGACAAGTCAACAGATCTACTGACAGAAGAAGCTCAAATGAAGGCACCTCCTGTTGATGATATTCTTGCAGCATCGGTTAAATTATTTCAGCGTAGTGATTCAATGGCATTCTCATTGACAGATTTGCTGGTAACCCTCTGCAATCGGAACAAAGGAGAAGACCGTCCAAAGGTGGCATCTTATCTTATTCAGCAGCTAAAGCTCTGTCCATTGGACTTTTCAAAGGATTCTAGTGCATTGTGTATGATATCACATATTTTAGCACTGCTTCTTTTTGAGGATAGCAGTGTACGTGAAATTGCTGCAGAGAATGGTATAATACCTGCTACAATAAATATCCTGATGAATTTCAAGGCTAGCAATGCATCAGCGAGTGAGATTCTTGTCCCCAAATGCATCAGTTCTCTACTGCTTATCCTGGATAACATGTTGCAGTCCAGGCCTAAAATATCTTCTGAAGCTGCTGAAGCAACTCAGACAGGATCTCTGCCAGATTCTTCACTTTCTGCATCAGATACAGAGGAAAAATTACCTTCAGATGTTCCTGAAAAAGAAACTGGCTCAGCTTTTGAGAAGATATTGGGGAAATCTACTGGTTATTTGACTATTGAAGAGAGTCATAAGGTGCTGCTACTTGCTTGTGACTTGATGAAGCAGCATGTTCCGGCTGTCATTATGCAGGCTGTTTTGCAGCTTTCTGCCCGCTTGACCAAAACTCATGCTCTAGCACTTCAATTTCTTGAAAATGGAGGCTTATCAGCTCTTTTTAATCTTCCAAGGAGTTGCTTTTTCCCTGGATATGACACTGTTGCTTCTGCTATTGTTCGGCATCTCATTGAAGATCCTCAGACTTTGCAAACAGCTATGGAATTGGAGATACGACAAACTTTGAGTGGAAACAGGCATGCAGGCCGAACTAACTCACGGACATTTTTAACAGCAATGGCACCTGTTATCTCCAGAGACCCTGTGGTATTTATGAGAGCTGCAGCTACTGTTTGTCAGTTGGAATCATCAGGGGGGAGGACTCTTGTGGTGTTATCCAAGGAAAAAGAGAAGGAGAAAGATAAATCTAAGGCATCAGGTGCTGAAGAATCTGTCCGAATTTCTGAAAGTAAGGTAAATGATGGTTCAGGTAAATGTGCCAAAGGTCATAAAAAGGTTCCTGCCAATCTTACTCAAGTAATTGATCAGCTCCTTGACATAATTTTGAAATACCCTTTGCCAAAAAGTGAGGAAGGCTGTGCAAGTGACTTAACTTCTATGGAGGTGGATGAACCTGCCACCAAGGTGAAGGGCAAATCCAAGGTTGATGAGACAAGGAAAAAGGAGTCAGATTCTGAAAGATCTGCAGGGCTGGCAAAGGTGACTTTTGTTCTCAAGTTATTGAGTGATATTCTTCTTATGTATGTACATGCAGTTGGGGTCATACTGAGGCGGGATTCAGAACTGTGTCAACTTCGTGGATCTAATCAAACAGATAGTATGGGGCATGGGGGGTTACTTCATCATGTATTGCATGGGCTGCTTCCGATATCAATTGACAAATCGGCTGGACCTGATGATTGGAGAGACAAGTTGTCTGAAAAGGCTTCATGGTTCCTGGTGGTTCTCTGTGGTCGTTCTGGAGAAGGGCGGAGGCGAGTAATTAATGAACTTGTAAAAGCTATGTCATCATTCTCAAACTTGGAGAGCAATTCAAGTAAAAGCATGTTATTGCCTGATAAAAAGGTTTTTGCATTTGCTGACTTGGTCTACTCTATTCTGTCAAAAAATGCATCCTCTGGGAACTTGCCTAGTTCTGGATGTTCGCCGGATATAGCAAAAAGCATGATTGATGGGGGAATGGTGCAGTGTCTAACAGGTATTTTGCAAGTGATTGATTTGGACCATCCTGATGCTCCCAAGATTGTTAATCTTCTACTTAAGGCTTTGGAAAGCCTGACAAGAGCAGCTAATGCCAGTGAACAAGTTCTAAAATCTGAGGGTCTGAACAAGAAGAAAACCACCGGATCAAATGGAAGACACAATGATCAACCAACTACAACAGCTGCTGAGGCAATAGAGCATAATCAGAATAGTGGTGGAACAACAGAAATTCCAAATGCGGAGGACACTGAGGTACTGCAATGCCAGGTTCCTACTGAAATTGAGAGTAGCAATGATGCCCATCCAAATCAGTCTGCTCAGCAAGATATGAGGATAGAAGTGGAAGAGACGATAACCAACAACCCACCTGGGGAGATAGGGATGGATTTCATGCGTGAAGAAATGGAAGAAGGTGGTGTATTACACAACGCTGACCAAATTGATATGACTTTTAGGGTTGAGAATAGGGCGGATGATGATATGGGTGATGAGGATGATGACATGGGAGATGAGGGTGAGGAGGATGATGATGATGGGGAGGATGAGGATGAGGATATTGCTGAAGATGGTGCTGGCATGATGTCACTAGCAGATACTGATGTGGAAGATCATGATGATACTGGTTTGGGTGATGATTACAATGATGAGATGATTGATGAAGATGATGATTTTCATGAACATCGGGTCATAGAGGTAAGGTGGAGGGAAGCCCTTGATGGGCTAGATCATTTGCAGGTGCTTGGCCAACCTGGAGCTGCAGGCAGTTTAATTGATGTTGCAGCTGAGCCATTTGAAGGGGTGAATGTGGATGACCTTTTTGGTCTTCGGAGGCCATTGGGTTTTGAGCGTCGTCGCCAGAGCGGTAGATCTTCTTTTGAGCGATCTGTCACAGAATCAAATGGATTTCAACATCCCCTTCTGTTAAGGCCATCACAATCAGGGGATCTAGTTTCTATGTGGTCATCAGGTGGGCATTCATCCAGGGATCTAGAAGCTCTCTCAGCTGGGAGCTTTGATGTAGCTCACTTTTACATGTTTGATGCTCCTGTTCTCCCATACGATCATGTGCCGAGTAGTCTGTTTGGTGATCGTTTGGGTAGTGCAGCTCCACCGGCTTTGTCTGATTATTCTGTAGGTATGGACTCATTACAGATACAGGGACGAAGAGGTCCAGGAGATGGCCGGTGGACTGATGATGGTCAGCCCCAAGCAAGTACCCAAGCTGCAGTGATTGCACAAGCAGTGGAGGAACAGTTCCTTTCACAGTTGCGCAGTCTGGCTCCAGCCAGTGGTCATACTGAAAGGCAGTCCCAGCATTCAGGAGTGCAAGAGAGTCAACCATCTAATGACCCCCCTTCCAATGATGGCCAGGTATTGTTGGAAGGTGATAACACCAGCGGCCAGCAAACTGAAGTTCAACAACAGGAAAATGGTAATGAAGGGTCCCATCACCTTAATCCTACAGTTGAGAGATTTTCTTGCCAAGAGCAGGTCAACCCCTCATCCTCAGTTGAAGATGCTGGTGAATGTCTACATGTGCACGAGCCCATGTTAGTTCAAACAATTTCTCTGAACAGTACACCGAATAGTCATGAGAACATGGAGATTGGGGAGGGCAATGGCGCTGCAGGTGATCAGCTGGAGACAATGCCAGAGCCGGTTAATTCATCTTCTCAATATCATGCTACTCTGCAATGTGAAGGGGTTCCTGAAGCACTGCATGATGTGCCTGTTCAGGCTGTAAGTTGTGATGGATCAGCAAGAATGGACAGTCAGTCCAATAATCACGAGTTCATGGATTCTGGTTTGGTAATGCCTAATGTTGATTGCGCAAATGTTGATGTTGATATGAGTGGTACTGATGCTGAAGGAGGTCAATCTCAGCAACCCATTCCTGCTTCTGAACATGGTGTCGATGAGCCATCATCTGGGCAAGAAACGGTGGTTCTTGAGGAAGCTAATCAAGCTGAGCAACTTAATTCAAATAATGAATCTTCTGGTGCAAATGCAATTGATCCAACCTTCTTGGAGGCTCTACCTGAAGATTTAAGGGCAGAAGTTCTAGCTTCTCAGCAAGCTCAATCAGTCCAACCTCCAACTTATACGCCACCTCCTGTTGATGATATTGATCCCGAGTTTTTGGCTGCCCTTCCTCCGGATATCCAAGCAGAAGTTTTGGCGCAGCAAAGGGCACAGAGGATTGCACAGCAGGCTGAAGGACAGCCTGTTGACATGGATAATGCTTCAATAATTGCTACTTTTCCTGCTGATTTGCGTGAAGAGGTTAGCATTTTGAACTTTTTTTTTTCATTACCTATTGATAGATAGTAACCATTTTGTGTTTTGCTTTTATTCCAGGTACTTTTGACTTCTTCAGAAGCAGTATTATCAGCATTGCCTTCTCCATTGCTTGCTGAAGCCCAAATGCTAAGGGATCGGGCAATGAGTCATTACCAGGCTCGCAGCCTCTTTGGAAGCAGCCACAGGCTGACTAGTCGCAGAAATGGCTTGGGGTTTGATAGGCAGACAGTGATGGACAGGGGTGTAGGAGTTACCATTGGACGTAGGGCAGCTTCTGCTATAGCAGCAGATAGCTTGAAGGTGAAGGAAGTTGAAGGTGAGCCACTTCTGGATGCTAATGCATTGAAAGCATTGATCCGACTCCTACGGTTGGCACAGGTAAATGGTGTTTCCTTCTTCATGGTTTCTTGGGAATTGATCGTTCTAGCTGGAAGTTCTTTTATATATATGTGTGTGTGTGTGTGTGTGTTCCCTTTTTATTCAATAACTACAATGCCAAAGTGGTTTAGAATCTGGACTAAATATTTTAATTTAATGTAAGTTCATTTTTTATATGTGAGAAACATGTGAATAGAGTCACGTTAACCTTCAACATACCATAAATCACATACTTTAGGTCGGTCTGGGACTGGGTGTACCAGGCACATACTTTAGGTTGGTCTGGGTTTACATGAAAGAGATCTATAGTTGGGTTATGCATGTGGATACTTTTGGAAAGTTGAAGACATAGATAAAGAAGGTTTATAGTATTAAGTACTAAGATATTTAATGAATAAGGATTGCTTGCATTGTTCCAGGAATTTTAGAGATATGTTTCAGCCATTTTTCTAATAATTAATGTTTTATTATTTGAAAATCTCTGAACAAATCCTTCTATCAACCAAACATTGGAAACTGACTGCTAGCTTGACTGTAAATGATTGCCTTGTTTATGATGGATGGCTTATAATATATTTGATTGTGCTTCAGGACTATACATTCAATTGACCTGTTTGCTATAAACCACATTCCATAAGCATTGTAGTAGTAACTGTTTGTCTCCTCCTTATCTAGCCATCAAAATTAAATGAATCGATGGACAAGAGGATGGAGTAAAGTAGCAAACTTTCGCAATGTGATAACCCATTTCTGGTTCAGTTCATTAGACCTTTACATGCTTAAATCCTAGATGCATTAAACCGGTTTTATTGTTCAAAAGTTTCATTATTTGGGTATGTTTGCAAGGTTCTCTTTATTGCATAAAATCTTATATATTTAAGGAATTGTTTAGTTTATTGCTGGAAATTTATGCTTGAATAAATCAACATTGTCCAATTGTACAGAATGCCAAATTTTTGTTATTTCTGGGAAAGTTTGCAATGCACCTTAACTAGAAGGGTCTTTCCAATTTATTTTGCAGTATCATGTCTCCTGAGCATTTTAATTTTCTGCTAATTTGGTGATTATTGTTTCTCTCTATATGGTTAGCCCCTTGGGAAAGGCCTTCTGCAGAGACTTCTGTTAAACCTTTGTGCGCATAGCATTACAAGGGCAACATTAGTCCGTCTTTTGCTTGATATGATTAAACCTGAGGCTGAAGGGTCAGTTAGTGGATTGGCAAGCATCAATTCGCAGAGGCTTTATGGCTGTCAATCAAATGTTGTTTATGGTCGATCTCAGTTATTGGATGGTATTTCCTTGATCTCTTGGAATCACTTTCACCTGACTTTATGTTTTAGCTTCAATTAATCTTTCTGTTACCTCACAGGTCTTCCTCCCTTGGTTTTGCATCGGATTCTTGAAATTTTGACATATTTGGCTAAAAATCATTCATCAATTGCAAATATGTTGTTGTATTTGGATCCCTCAATTGTCCCAGAGCATTTAAGTCCAAAGTATTTGGAAACTAAGATGGATAAGGGAAAGGAGAAAATTGAGGATGAAGGTGATCCATCAAAACCGTTGGTAAATGTAGATCATGTTCCACTGATTCTATTCCTGAAGCTCTTGAACCAACCAATTTTTTTACGCAGCACTGCCCACCTTGAGCAGGTAATGCAATCCCTGTTTGAGCCGCCTTTTATTAACCTAATAAATCTATGTTGACAATATCTTGGACCATTGTTTTCACATGGTCTGCTGTCATATATTTAAAACTTGTAGCTTTGAGTAAAATCCTCCCTCTCTTTTGGGTGTAATAATTTTCTTTATGGTGCAGGTTATGGGATTGCTTCAAGTAGTAATTTATACAGCTGCATCAAAATTAGAGTGCCGGTCCCTATATGGAACAGCAACCAAGAACTCCGAAAAGCAAACTGCCACTGAAGCTTCAGGTGATGTTCAAAAGGATCCTCCATTGGAACCAGAATGTAGTCAAGAAGATAAATCTGCTAGTGAATTATCCATTTCAGATGGGAAGAAGAACCTTGATACATGTAGCATTTTCCTGCAACTGCCACTACCTGATTTGCGCAATCTGGGCAGCCTTCTTGGTCGTGAAGGGTACTACTCAGACACTGGTTCTTATAGTTGAATGTTGTAACTTTGTTATACATGTTAGCTTGCTGATAATATGTTGGTCGATTTATCATCATTAGTTCTCCATTCATTGTGTGTCTGCTTCCTTCTCTTTTTTTTTTTTTTTTTTTTTGCGCAATTCGGGCAGCCTTTCTTGGTCGTGAAGGGTACTTACTCAGACACTGTTTTATAGTTGAATGTTGTAACTTTGTTTATACATGTTAGTTGTGATTAATAATGTTGGTCGATTTATCATATTAGTTCTCTCCATTCATTGTGTGTCTGCTTCCTTCTCTTTTTTTTTTTTTTTTTTCGATTTGTTTCCTCTCTCCTTCAACAATTTTGGTCACTCCTATTTTTACTGATGCAATGAAAGTAAATGAATAACTAACCTTGGTCTGTTAACCTTTTTTTTTTTTTTTTCGATTTGTTTCCCTCTCTCCCTTCAAACATTTGGTCACTCTATTTTTACTGATGCAATGAAGTAAATGAATAACTAACCTTGTCTGTTAACCAATTCAGGCTGTCAGATAAAGTTTACATGCTAGCTGGAGAAGTGCTGAAGAAATTGGCCTCAGTTGCTGCATCTCATAGAAAGTTTTTTACTTCAGAGCTTTCAGAATTGGCCCATGGTTTGAGCAGTTCAGCAGTCAGTGAGCTTGTCACTCTGAGGAATACACAGATGCTGGGTCTTAGTGCTGGCTCCATGGCTGGTGCTGCAATTCTGCGTGTATTACAGGCGCTCAGTTCACTCATTTCAGCCAGTACTAATGAGAATATTGAGCTTGAGGGTGATGGAGGACAGGAGGAGCAGGCCACCACCATGTGGAACTTGAATATTGCACTTGAGCCTTTGTGGCGAGAACTGAGTGAATGCATAAGTGTTACTGAGACGCAGTTGGGTCAGAGCTCTTTCAGTCCAACCATGTCACACATAAATTTGGGGGACCATGTGCAGGGAACTTCTTCATCTCCTCTTCCTCCTGGAACCCAGAGATTACTGCCTTTTATTGAAGCATTCTTTGTTTTGTGTGAAAAGCTGCAAGTGAACAATTCTTTCATGCAGCAAGATCATGCTGATGTAACTGCAAGAGAAGTCAAAGAGTCTGCCGGGGGTTCGGTTTCATTGACCACATGCAGTACAGATTCTCAGAGAAAGCTTGACGGTTCTGTCACATTTGCTAGGTTTGCTGAGAAGCATCGTAGGCTATTGAATACTTTTATTAGACAGAATCCTGGCTTGTTGGAGAAATCACTTTCTATGATGTTGAAAGTACCCAGACTGATTGATTTTGACAACAAGAGGGCTTATTTCCGCTCGAGAATAAGGCAGCAGCATGAGCAACACCTCTCTGGCCCTTTGCGGATCAGTGTTCGGCGGGCATATGTCTTGGAGGATTCATATAATCAGTTAAGGATGCGACCTAGTCTGGATCTTAAGGGACGGTTAAATGTACAGTTCCAGGGTGAAGAGGGTATTGATGCTGGGGGTTTGACCAGAGAATGGTATCAACTACTGTCAAGGGTTATTTTTGACAAGGGAGCATTGCTTTTTACTACTGTGGGGAGTAATGCAACTTTCCAGCCAAACCCTAATTCTGTATATCAAACCGAGCACCTTTCTTACTTCAAGTTTGTGGGTCGTGTGGTAATTCTCCAGAATTCAATATAAACAACTTCTATTCATGATTATGCACTTTTGTTTTTGTGGTGTATTGTGGAATAGATTTTTTGAAGTTTTTGTTATGGTCACTTGTGTAGGTTGCAAAGGCACTATTTGATGGGCAACTTTTGGATGTTTATTTTACACGGTCTTTCTACAAGCACATTCTTGGAGTAAAGGTGACCTACCATGACATAGAGGCAGTCGATCCTGACTATTACAAAAATTTGAAGTGGATGCTGGAGGTATGTAAAGTGTATTATGTTCTTTGATTTCATTTGTTGTTATGCCAACTTTTTTTGTTATGAGCAAGTGTTTTTGCTCTTCTGAGAAATGAAAATTTTATCCCTCTGTGTCCATCTATTTCAGAATGATGTGAGTGACATACCTGACTTGACATTCAGCATGGATGCTGATGAGGAGAAGCACATCCTTTATGAGAAAACTGAGGTACTCTAAATACGTTAAAGATATTCAATGTTCTTTTGTGCATGTGTTTTACTTGTTTCTGAACAGGTTAGAATTTTGTTTTTCTCGGCATAAATATTAATATTTCCACTGTTTTCTTGGAAAAGGTTACTGATTATGAGCTTAAACCTGGAGGAAGAAATATAAGGGTTACAGAAGAGACCAAACATGAGTATGTAGACCTTGTTGCTGATCATATCTTGACAAATGCTATTCGTCCTCAAATCAATTCCTTCTTGGACGGGTTCACTGAGTTGGTTCCCCGTGAACTTATTTCCATTTTTAATGATAAAGAGCTGGAGCTACTAATCAGCGGACTTCCTGAAATTGATTGTGAGTTGGCTTCTAAATTCCTCTTAAATTTTGTGTATGCAGTTACATTGGTTTTTGCTTGCAAGTATCTGAATGATTTCATTCTTTTTCAGTGGATGATCTAAAAGCCAACACCGAGTATACTGGCTATACTGCAGCATCCAGTGTTGTTCAGTGGTTTTGGGAGGTTGTTAAAGGTTTTAACAAGGAAGACATGGCAAGACTGCTTCAATTTGTTACTGGAACATCAAAGGTTATGTGTTGAACTTGCACCTTCCTAGTCATATGCAAAATGAATATTTTATGTTGTACTTGATATGCTTTTGCTGAGTTATATTTGGTCTTGTATGACACTTGACACCAAATTATGGGTTTTCAGGTTCCACTAGAGGGTTTCAAGGCTCTGCAGGGTATATCAGGCCCTCAAAGGTTTCAGATTCACAAGGCATATGGAGCTCCTGAGCGGCTGCCCTCAGCTCACACATGGTTGGTTGAAAACAAATGATCCATTTTCAATTAGAATGTCCCCTTCCGTTTTTGAGTGCCAGACTGTTGGAAAGTGGGGAATCTGCTTCTAATTTTGTTTTTATATTTTTGCTTTTTCAGCTTTAACCAGCTTGACCTCCCCGAGTATACCACCAAGGAACAGCTTCAAGAAAGATTGCTACTTGCTATACATGAAGCAAGTGAAGGTTTTGGATTTGGTTAATGACATAGTTTAATGCAACGCTGTTGGCCAGAAATTCTAGCATTCAGTCTTTAGATTTTGTGTACATGTGAGTTACAATTATTTTTCCCTTGATTATACCTGAATTATCATTTCTTATTTTTCCCTTGATTATACCTGATTTATCATTTCTTTTCAATTTTTGCTTCCTCGTATTTTTGACCTGATTTATAAAATTTATTTCCTTGTTAAAATTCAATCCAGACAGGGGATTGATTGAGGAAGGAGGATAGGAATGATTTAGAATAAATGCGGAATTACATATGCTCATCATAGTTGGATTTCAAGGCATTGCTGCTCTGCAGAGGTGGGAGGAGAAGCTCTGTAGCAACTAGCAAAAATGGGGTTGGGTTTGTATATCATTTTTGGGGTTTCTTGCATGACAGCAGCGTTATATCTTCTTTTCAGAGCATACAAAATGTTGATAGACAAATGTTACTTCAATGTTTATATTAGTAGGATTTTTCCTTTACTAATATTCTTTAATGTCTCTCTCTCTCTCTCTCTCTCTGTGTATTTGATGGAAAATTGCCTTTTTTGATAGTCAGCCTGTGCTTGAAATCGTTGTAACTGCTGATAGGGTTGTTTTCTGACAGATGGGCTTTGAAATAAAGCAATTTACTGCATTTTAACAAAACAAGAGAATAAACCATTTTCTTTTAAATTCGGATTTTTTTTCTCTCTCAAACAAACTGGAGGCAATAAGTGAAGTTTAATAGCTATTTATAATTTTAATTTTTAGATGTGAAATAATTATTTATGATAGAAAGAATAAAGACTAATTGGATTGATCCGGCGAATTTATCCATCCGGAAAAGATTTATTTACACTCATTGAAGACACGTGTAAGTCAAATTTGTTTTGGTGGGCCCATACTTTCCTGAACGTAATATATCAGTGCCAAACTGAGACTTGTTAGACTTGTTTTGTAATGGATTCTGAACAAATATTATGGGCTAAAATTAGTAAGCTCAAATATTTGATTTGGGCTTTTTGAATCCATATTTCATTAGTAGAAACAATAAAGTTCCGTTTCCTGCTGCTGCTCCAGAAACTATTTCATACTTCTAGTCTTCTAGAGCCACCGGAGAAGTCACATATACAGACAGACACACACTGACCTCTCTCATTTCAAGTCACAATATCTTTATGAGCTCCCGTCAGTAATTTCATCGCTCACGATAAGTTTATAAAATCGCTTCCCATATTTGTCAAAGAATCCAAGAAGTCCGGTAACTTCATAGGAAAACTGTTTCCTTTTACCTTTTTCTGGTCAAATTCAGCAAGTTGTGGCCAAAGCTACGATTTTGATTATTGGTGCATGCAGTTATTTGGGTGTAAGCTATTGTTTGCTTAGATGAGTTTGTTGAACACCGTATATTTGTTGAATTTTCTGAACGAAATTGTAAGTGTCACTTTATCATTATTTTAGTTTTTGAACTTATCGATTTTGTCACATGGTAATTGCAAACTCTTTCTCTGCACAAAGGAAGCCAAAAACATACAGATTTTTATTTTCATAAGAAGGAATTGAAGAGTTAAGGGAGACTTTAGAGAATGTTTTAAATTGGTTGCACTTATTCTATGACTTACAACATCATGATTTTACCTGAATTTGTGTTTTTGGTGGGTGCAGACACTGTGCGACAACTAAACTGGACCACACATAGTCGAGAAGAAACTCAAGTTTTATCTGGACTTTTTTTTTTTTTTTTTTTTTTTTTTACAACATCAATGATTTTCCTGAAATTTGTGTTTTTGGTGGGGTGCACAGACACTGGTGCGACAACTACTGGGACCACACATAGTCGAGAAGAAACTCAGTTTTTATCTGGACTTTTTTTTTTTTTTTTTTTTTTTTTTTTTTTAATTTCTAAAATTTGTAATGGCAAAATCAGACTTTGTCAAAATACGTTTTTCCTTTGCCATTATCCTTCGAGCTGCTGTTTACTAACATAAAAATGCTATCATGCTTAACTTCTTCAACATCCCAAAAAATCTCTCATTTTACCTATCAATTATCAAAATTTAGGCCAGCTTCCCACAAGGCCTTCTCATATTATACCAAACAAAGACTGCAAAATGATCATAAAAATCCAGAATTTACTGGTCCACTGGCCCCAGGTATAGCACCTCTCTGTGTTTTTCCATATACACTTTATTTATCTATTCTATGTTTGCATGTTTATGCATGAATTGTAGGCTCATTCTGAAGCTTTAATTTTTGGAGCAATAGGTGTAGATATGGAGAGAAGTATATATGAAATGCTCACAATAGAACGTTGGGAGTCACTAAACCACATGAACTATAGGCTGGCTTCACTGAGGCCAGTCCATGGGAGGCTTGCTCTAAAATTCCTCAATTGGCTTGTTAGGCAACCTGGTCTGGAAATTGTTCACCTTGCTCACATGTTTTCCATCACCACTCATATACTTGTCAGAGCTAGAATGTATGAGCATGCCAAATCCATCTTAAAACATCTCTCGAAAATGGGTGTTGGTTCAAAGGCTGTTTTTGATGCTTTAATGAACACTTACCCACTTTGCGGGTCAAACCCTTCAGTTTTTGATCTTTTGATTAGGGTTTATTTGAGAGAAGGAATGGTAGGTGATGCTTTGGAGACCTTCTATTTCATGGGTTCTCGAGGGTTTAACCCTTCTGTTTATACTTGTAATATGGTGCTAGGGTCAATGGTGAAAGATCAGAGAGCTGGGACGGTTTGGTTGTTATTTAAGGAAATGCTTGCTAGGAGAATTTGCCCTAATGTTGCTACTTTTAATATATTGATCAACATTTTGTGTCTGGAAGGGAAGCTTCAGAAAGCTGGTTACCTTTTAAGAAAGATGGGAGAGAGTGGGTATGTGCCAAATGTAGTTACTTATAATAGTGTGCTCAATTGGTACTGCAAGAAGAGATGGTATAAGGCAGCTTTTGAGTTGATTGAACAAATGGGGTCTAAGGGTATTGAAGCGGATGTATGCACCTATAACATGCTTATCGATGATTTGTGTAGAAATAGTAGGAGTGCGAAAGGATATCTACTCTTAAAAAAAATGAGGAAGAGAATGATATCTCCTAATGAAGTCACCTATAATACTATAATAAATGGTTTTGTGAAGGAGGGGAAGATTGGAATTGCAACTCGGGTTTTTGATGAGATGTCTATGATTAATCTTTTGCCTAACCATGTTACTTACAATGCTTTGATTGATGGGCATTGTGAAGAGGGTAATTTTGAACAAGCTTTGAGGCTTTTGGATATGATGGAAGCAACAGGACTAAGGCCTAATGAAGTCAGTTATACAACCCTTTTAAATGGTTTGTGCAAGCATGCCAAATTTGAGTTAGCTGGAAACCTTCTTGAGAGGATGAGAATAAATAGCATGTTTATTGGTCGCATAGCGTACACAACAATTATTAATGGCTTATGCAAAAGTGGACTACTTAATGAATCTGTGCAGTTGCTTGATAAGATGTTCAAGGCTAGTGTAAGTCCTGATATAATCACATTTTCTGTGCTCATAAATGGATTTTGCAGAGTGGGGAAAATTAAAAATGTGAAGGAAATCATATGTAAAATGTATAAAGCTGGATTTTCCCCAAACAATATCATATATGCTACATTAATATACAATTATTGCAAGATGGGAAATGTTATGGAAGCATTTAAGGTCTTTGCAGCTATGAGTCGTAGTGGCTGTGACATAAATACCTTCACATGTAATGTGTTAGTGTCATCTCTATGTAGAGATGGAAAGGTCAGAGAGGCAGAGGATTTCTTGCATCACATGAGAAGGATTGCCATTGTTCCTAACTCCATCACTTTTGATTGTATTATAAATGGTTTTGGGAATCTGGGTAATGGATTAAAAGCATTTTCTGTATTTGATGAAATGATCAAATTGGGTTATCATCCTAGTCATTTCACATATGGCAGTCTACTTAAAGGACTATGCAGGGGTGGAAATTTGGGAGAAGCGAAGAAATTGTTGGATGAACTCCACTATATTCCTTCCATTGTCAGTACTGCTTTCTATAATATGATTCTTGCAGCGACATTTAAATTGGGGAAGTTGTCAGATGCAATGGCTCTTTTTGATGAAATGGTCCAACGTAATGTGCTACCTGATAATTATACATACACTATTATTCTTGCTGGGTTATGTAGGAGGGGCAAGACTGTTGCTGCACTTCTTTATTTGGGGAAATTGCTGGGTAAGGGAGTTCTGTATCCAGATAAGGTCATGTACACTAGTTTGGTTGATGGTCTTTTCAAGGCTGGTCAACCAAAGGCTGCCTTTTATGTTTGTGAAGAGATGGAGAAAAATGGGATATGCCCCGATACTATTGCATTCAATGCAGTTATGGATGGATACTCAAGGATGGGAAATATGGCAAAGGTGGGTGATCTCTTCACAGTGATGAGCAATGGTAGTAGGATATCCCCTACTTTGGCTACATATAATATTCTCTTGCATGGGTATGCAAGGAAAAAGGATTTGCAAAAATGCTCTAATTTATTCAATATCATGATGAGGACAGGTATTTTGCCTGACAAATTGACTTGCCATTCTCTCATTCTTGGACTTTGTGAATCGGCTACATTGGATATTGGTCTTAAAATGTTGAAAAAGATGATAATGCAGGGTTTTGTAGTTGATCAGTGTACGCTTAACATGCTTATCATGGAATCTTGTGAAACAGGTGAAATGGGAAAAGCCTTTGAGCTGTTGAATATTATGAGCTTATTTGGGATTATTCCTGATGCAAATACACACAATGCCCTCATTAAGGGACTCAACAAAGTTTCTGCTGTCCGAGAATCCCATCTTCTATTGCATGAAATGTTGGAGAGGGGTATTATTCCTCAGTGCAACCAATATATTACTTTAATTAATTTTTTGTGTAGAATGGGTGATGTACAGGGAGCATTCAAGCTAAAAGATGAAATGGAAGAACTTGGTGTGAGTTCTAGGGATGTCGCTGAGAGTGCCATGGTAAGAGGGCTTGCCAAGTGTGGGAAGGTTGATGAAGCAAAGCTGGTTCTTGATTTCATGCTTCGGAAGAGCCTTATTCCAACTATTGCTACTTTTACAACTCTAATGCACATGTTCTGTAGGAATAATAACCTTTTGGAGGCCTTAAAGTTGAGGGATATAATGGAGCTTTGTGGTGTGAAACTTGATATTGTTGCATACAATGTTTTGATATCTGGCCTTAGTGATAATGGTGATGTTGCATCTGCATTTACACTGTATGAAGAGATAAAACGAAGGGGTCTCTTACCCAATACCACAACCTATTGCATTCTCGTCAATTCCATTATCACAGATGATGATAATCTTGTTAATGGTGAAATTCTTTTGAAAGATTTAGAGGACAGGGGAGTGATATCTGGGCATCGGAATCAAAGCATCAGACAAAGTTTGGTTGTTGCCATGAGAAAGTTGAAGTCCTTGAGGCAAAACAGAATTAGATGATGCCAAAATCTAGCAGGGAAGCAAAGTAAGAATGTTGAGAATGCAAAATCTAAATCATTCTATGAAAGGCAGAAGAGGAGGAGATGGATGGACTTCCATTACGTAGTCAGTGTGCTATTCATCACCTGGTATGTGTTTCACAGTTTGCACAAGTCAGTTTTCCTATTATGGCTAGTTTCCCATTTCAAATGAAAAGCAACCATATCTAGTATGAGCTTGTGATCAGTATGTATATGGATAGACCTTGTAGCAGGCTCTCGAAAAATAAGTAATTTCTGCTGGGCCTTCATACTTTTTTCAGGTTCAGTGGAGTTTCTTTTTGTTCTCATGTTTTCGCCCTGAGTAGTTGGCTGTTTTGTGCCTGTCAGGTGGACTGCACCTGATCAATACAAGGGGAATCACCACTGTCCATTAAATGTTGAGTAGGCTTTACACCTCATGTTGAGATATTTGGGGTGCAAAAAAAATTGTAGCTCGGACATAATTTGTAGCTCTTATGTTCTGATGATTTGGTGATGCCAACATGACTTGATGAGCTATGTAAGTCCATTTATTTTACTTATGTGCTTCTATTTTTTCATGTTTTTCCATGATGATAAAAGCTTTGACAGCTTGAGACTTTCAGTACCTACCGATATTTCTTTATACAGGACCTTCTTGTGTTAGCATCAGTGACTGGAAGATACCGAAAATGTTCACATGTTTGGAATGTAACTCACTATTTTTGTTTTAAATTCTTTAGCTTATTATTTGGTTCTTGGATTTCTCATTTCAGCTTAGCACCCTTCAACTTCACATCAAATTAGTCCGCTCATGGCATATTGGTTGTTGCAACTGAAATGAAATTAACGGGCATGTTAATTGCTAGATGATTTTTGTTTGACTTATATCTGATATTATGCAGCAAAGAATTGTCTTTATTGCATGTTACAATGACGAGTATCACAGGAGTTGTTTTCAACTAACCAGTTCATGCTCTACACTGGATTAATGAAACTTTGTCCTGAGGCTATTGTCTTATGGGAAATGCAGGACACTACTGTTTGTAGGTTGGACTTAGGATGAAGAGCTGTCTTCTCTTCATTTTTTAAATGTTCTTGCCCATGCAAGGGGCTAGCAGTTGTCTAGATTACCAACATGGTTACATGTTGTTAAGACCATCAGTAATGTGAAGCAAAAGGGACCAATAGTTTAAGCAGGCTAATTTGTTGTCTAATGTTGTTCTTCGTAACAAAACGGAAGATGCAAAATTGTCCTTACTGCATGTGGGTGCCATCTAGCAGATGCAGCATATCCATCATTAATTAGTTTAAACAGGCTAATTTATGATGAACACTATCTTATGGCCTGCCAATCAAGTCTTGTGGTCTATGGCGATAAGATAACCAAACTGCGAGATTCACTCATACCTTTCTTTTCAAGATCTTTCTTATTTAATCTTTTTGTCTGTAGTCTTAATTTCTGGAAAAACTTAAATCTTTTTTCCTTTGTCATGATTTCAGGAGAGTGACATGTCCATATAGATTGCAGCCCAATGAAGGTGTTTTGGGAGCAACTTGCTGAACATGAGATGTAAGAGGCGGCCACTTAGGGAACCAAATCAAATGGTATGTCTGAATCTCTCTATTCTGTTTCCAACAGATATAGGGCATGCAGAAAAAGACTCATAAACTTTGTTGATACTTGATAGTGTACCCTTAAAATCAGGCATCTCATTGTACAAAATATAATGCTTTGTTCCTAGCATGGCTGACAGAATCTAGCAATTGCTATTATCGACTTTGTTTTTCAATTTCACAATTGCTATTACCACTCAGGAAATGTCTTGGACACGCTGGGTGTCCTTTATATGTATAAACTCTTTCATCGATCTACAGTTTAATTAGGTGTGGTCTGATTAATCTTTTTATCTCTCGTAAAAATATATATAGAGAGTGGGAGGACTCTCCACCACAAAGGTTATCACCAATTTGATGCAAAAGGGATGGCTATCCCTACTGTATAGCCTACAACATTGTTCCTGTCCGTTGGATTAGTTGTTTACAAGGCATTAATATATTAAGTACCCCTTCAATTATTTTCCTTTTATGTCTATCATTTTTTATTGTGATGGCAGGGGAGAAAAAAGTTAAAACTGCTGCATTTATTTTATTCGTTTGCACATATTTTTAATGTCGAATGCAAACACTTAAAATTTGGTATTTATTTAATCTCAATCAACAAAGTTATATCCAACAATTTGGTATTTTGGATCTAAATTTGAATTTGTTGAGTTGGCTACATAATTAATTAATTTTGGTGATCCAGCTATGTTGGCAAAGATGTGCTAATCTGTCTTTTTCCTTATAGCCTTTATTTTGTCCTTTCTCATATCATACCGTTATTTTATTTCCAACGTTAGCTACATATTTTTGGACCAACCATTCTTTATTACTTAGTTTTATATATAATTTAATTACTTAGTCATAAATATAAGAATCTTTTGGAGCCTATGTCACATCTACTACAACCTTTCACTAGTGATTTTTTTTTTTTTTTAAATATTCTTTGCATCTTTATTTGATGGATAAATGACTATATAAAAATCAATGGATGAATTTAGCTATATGAAAGAATACAAACAAAGCTTACAGATTAAATAATTTGAAATATTTATTAGGATTTATTTATAAAGTTGCAATCGATTGATTTACCATAAGATTGATCTTATAATAAATAAATTACAAATTGTAAATAAAATATTTTCTTTTTATAAATAATTTAATTTAAATTATTTGCCTTTGATTGAAGTTTTTTTTTTTTTTTTAAAAAATGAATTTAACATATTAGTAAATATTGACATGTAATTCCCTCTATTTGGATAGAAAATAAAATCTAGACAATTTTTTTTTAATTAATGTGCTAATATTACAATTATTTGGTTTCATCTTAAAACTATAAAAACTATATAAAATTTGTAAACCCAAAAAATTAAAAACAGTGCCAGCAAATCAATTGTCCCAAAGCCAACATTTTTCTCCCAAAGTCCCAGTCACACCGCTTGCCAGTTCACCCTCCATCCCGTTCACTGACCTGTTTTTGTCACGTCACCGCTGACGGTGGATTAACGGCGACGTTTGAGTTGTCCATTGCCGTTAAAATAGCACCCCTGTTCAACAAGTTTACAGTAGAATCAGCCCACTTCAGGCCCAATTCTAACTCTCCAAAAGTCTAAAAGAGAAGTTCTCTCTAGCTCTCGCTCTTTCTCTCTCTCTTGCGTTATACATTTTCTTTACCCAGAAAGACTTCTCTCTATAGAATTCATGTCGGTATGTATCTTTCTTTATATTTATTATTGTACATATGGGTATATGTGTGTGTATGCGTTTGCTTATTTATGGGCACAATTTTTATTTTTCTTTTTCTTTCCTTTTTCTTGTTTTCAAATTTTTTAATGCTTGTTTTGGTATTTGGTGTTCAAGTTTCTGATCGATTTGATTGGATATTTGGTTTCTTAGTTGAATAAATCACGTAAAGTTATTTTCTTTAATAGAAACTTTTTGAATTCTACTGATTTGATCTTGGGTTGTCTCTAGATTGGATATAATTTGATCAATTTTTTTCCCAATTTTGTATTTTTTTTTTTTTCTTTTTCTTTCCTTTTTCTTGTTTTCAAATTTTTTAATGCTTGTTTTGGTATTTGGTGTTCAAGTTTCTGATCGATTTGATTGGATATTTGGTTTCTTAGTTGAATAAATCACGTAAAGTTATTTTCTTTAATAGAAACTTTTTGAATTCTACTGATTTGATCTTGGGTTGTCTCTAGATTGGATATAATTTGATCAATTTTTTTCCCAATTTTGTATTTTTTTTTTTCCATTCATTTCTACCCTCTACTCAGGATTTATTCAAGGTTACTCAATTTTGCGTTCTTTGTACAAAAGTTGATGCTTTGTGTGTGTGCGCGCGCGCGCGAGCTGTTTTTTGGGGAGAACTTTTAGTTGTTGCATTTGAACACTTTATGTGTGCGAGTGTTACTAAGCAATTTTTAATTTTTATTAAGACGTCTACTTTGCTCAGAAAGCTGAAGTTTTTCTTTAATGTAATAGTTGAGCCTGAACAGCCAATTTATGAGGAAATGTCAAGTAATAGGTCATGTCTTTGCTGCTTTGCTGTGGTGTTATCAAGAAATTCATGCTACAATTCTATGTGTTACAGGGAACTGGCAGTGTAATTAGTAGTGTAGATTTCAGTAATGAAAGTGGAACCAGTTTGAATTTTTTTAGAACATAATGGGAATTGGCGCCTATGAATTGGAATAATTACCATATTTCAGAAATTATATATGGTATACTTTTAGTTTTTTCATGGAAAATCAATGCGCCTATTTGTATTCAAGCAACGTTCCGTCCATTAAGTTCTATTATTTTTTAATAGTAAAATGAACTTGATCTCCTTTGAGATGCTAGGTATAAATATTGGATGCTATGTAGGGTATGACTGCCATTTGAGTCTATGAACCCTGACTGGTGGTTCCTTGTGTTGAGGGATTACCTATGCTTACAGAGATAAGTATTGTACGGGACACAATATTTGCTCTTAAGCTCTTGCTCTTACACATGCAATGGTTTCTGATTAATCACACAAAATCATTACTGAATAGAAGTTATGATATCTCCTGGTGGCTGGGCCAACTATTTCTTCTTTTCCAAAGTGTCATATTTGGACAGTTTAGTCTTATTATATTGTCCAGTATCATATTTTAAACTTTGTACTTGTATCTAGCATCATAGGTGGCTAGAACTAGACAGAAGAGAACACACTGCTTGCTTGCTGTACTTAGTCCCGTACTGCTCTGAAAATCTTGATTGAAGCTCTTCTTATTTCTCTCTCTCTCTCTCTCTCTCTCTCTCTCTCTAAACAGGACACTGGTCGACCATTGCCAAAATTTGGTGAATGGGATGTTAATGACCCTGCTTCAGCTGAGGGATTTACTGTGATCTTTAACAAGGCTAGGGATGAGAAGAAGACAGGTGGCAAACCAGAGTCACCTGCACAGGTTGATTCTCATATCAAGCCTGGAGTCGATCCTGGCAAACCTCAGGTTCTAAGTTCTCTGATATTCACTGCTTAAAATGGCCTAACTTTGACAAACTCTGAAAAAAAAAAGTGCACATGCGCATACACTTGCAGAGCGCTAATTATATATATATATATATATATATACACAATAGCGCATACACTTGCAGAAGCGCTAATTATATATACTATATATATATATATATATATAATCACATTCGTATGGTGGCCTATGATAATTTTTCCGCAGAAAATTTGTTGGTTAACATTTTTAAGTTCTTTCTGATATATATATATATATATATATAATCACATTCGTTGGTGGCCTATGATATTTTTCCGCAGAAATTTGTTGGTTTAACATTTATAGTTCTTTCTGGATCCTGACATGGATATTGTATTTGTTTTCAGAAAAAATGGTTTTGCTGCATTCAGAGCCCGGCTGCAGATTCTTGACAATGCCATTTCCCCGTAAGAGCTTCAATGAAGGAGTAATTTCATGTATAAGTGTCCCCACCATATATTTAGTAAAGAAGTTAGAAGCTGTAGAGTGATGATGAGTCCTGCTGGAACTTGTTATGTTGTAAGACTGAATTGTGGGGAAAAGGGCGAATACGTAATTATTGTATTTATCAAGATGCACTCATCTCTTTCCTAATCTATACTTCCTCGTGTTATTAGTTGTAGAGCTTTTGAGGCATTTTGTTTCTTCTGTTGTATTTGGTAAACGGGCTTTGTTTGTGAAATATACATATTTTCAAGTTTCTTTTCCAAGGAAACTACTTCAATATAGTGCATAAAATGATAATTGGAAAATGATTTAAGCCATTATACTGTGCAACTCTGTGATCTTGATGTCAAGCCAATGCAACAGTAAATCGAGAAAATCAAATCATTTTGAAAAATTAATCTTTTGTAATTCAATAATTTAAAGAACAAAGGTTCCAAAATGGATGGTTTATACTCTATACACGTCCTTTTCCCCTAATTGATGAGGAAAGAAAATCAGTTTAACTCTGATATGAGAGACACTTTGCTTAATACTACAACTATTTCGCAGCAGTGCTTAATTTAAACTCTAAACTCTGGACATCCCAAGCTTCCGTTCGAACAGTCGTCGGAGAAGGTAAACTTGCAGAACACTAGCACCGATGAGTGCTGCAGATTCATAGAAGGCCTTGTGAATAGCCCTTTTGCTCATTGCTTCATTTACTGCAACAATAACCAAAGAGATGGTGAATAAGTTGACAAATGACTAATTCATACATTTCCCTATTAGACCAGCATAAACTGATGTAACAATGACAATTCAGAGCTTGTTTTGCCCTTGCGTTGATTGGATAATCAAATATTTCCTTTCAACTGAACAAGGGTGTGATAGCTATGACAATCAATTGACTGTCACAAGTTGCCTTATGCCAAGGGATAAGAGTTTTAAGAGAATTTGTCATGTCCCATTATGTTCAGAGGCATATAGTCTTGCTATTCACAAAATTCAAGTGTTATTAGCACTACCGAATCAAAAAGGAAAAGGAAATAGCAGGACATTTATCTCCAACTGGAATACAACATAAGAAAGATCTCAAAAACAGACCTATTGCCTGACGTTCAGTCTGAGCCTCCAGCCAGTGCTGTTCAAATTGAATGTTGTAAAGAGCCTCTTCAAGCTTCCATATCTGATCCAACAAAGGTTTAAAATGTTCTGCAAATGCACAATGCAAACATATTAAGTCTGCCTCTTGAGGACTCAGTCTGAATTAAAAGAATATATATATCGAGAGAGAAGCATCATTCACCATCTTTCGCATGCTCATCATAGTATGAAAAATGGCCCACATGTATATCAAAGTCAATGGTTTCATGGTATGGAGACTTGTTAGTGAAGCAAAACCGGTGGACTCCTCTTTGACGAGCCATAAACTCGAACTTATCACTTGTCTTGTCACGAAAATCATGAATTTGATCACCAGAAGGCCCCTTTATCTGAAAATATGAAAAACACATTCAAAAGATAAGAGGCATGGCTGGTAGGAGAGAAAGATAAAAGCATAAGAGTTAAAATTGTACCAGGTTTATTCTCAACTATGTTATCAATCATGACCATAAATTGCCACAAAATTTGCATACTTGAAAATATTTGGTCAAGATTAGAAAAAGACGAAGTATTGAACTTTTTCAATCATTTTTATATATAATGAGCAAGAACAGATTGGAATTCTATTCCAAGGAACAAGAACAGGTTGGAATTCTAAATTAAAAAACTCTTTCAAACTGATAGTAAATGCATGATGCCTTACTGCCCACTTAAAGGAGCTCAGAATTTTTTCATATGGGAAAGTAAATCATGATTTGGAAGATCTGAACTGCTGAACTTAGACTCAAAGTTTGGTTCTCCACTAAAAGTAACCGAACATTCCTGTTGTCACCCTAAATGCCAATATTTTTATTATGGAAATCAAAAGTCCAAACCTCTATAATTTCCATCAAACCATTAACACCAAATCCCTTGCTGCTATGAAATCTATTGAAGAACACAAATAGGGAATGTAGTCCAGGTAATTAACAGATGCTAGATAGATACACATCGTGCCAAAGAGTATTATGTGGCTCAATTTACTCTTCTATTTTGGCTGTTACACCTTTAGAATGCTGTTAACTAATTATAAAATAGATGCATGTTATTTGAAGTAATCTTCAGTCTATAGAAGACTAAAAAAAAGGTTTAACTACAAAGTACCATACAAAAAGTTAAAAAATTTAGCATACCAGAAATAAATGAATCATAAGATACATGGCAAAAGGGGGGGAAATTTTCCCCAACCTAGCTAGATAACCATTTCGACTTCAATCCCAAAATGTAAACCTCAACCATTTTAAATATAGCATATAACCATGCAAACAATTATCTCAACTTAATTTCCATTTCACATTACATATAATTGCTTAACAAATTCATGTCTCAGATAACACAGAGCAGTAATGAACTGTTTCTCAAAAGAATACTTTCCCTCTAAATTTGTGAATAGCCCAATGAAGAAAGAGAAGAGGCAGGGAATGGAAAAAGAGGTCTAAAAGAGATGGATGGGTTATGGGCGTCAATGATTCGGCGGCTAGAAATAGATTGCCGCCAGGATGAAACTGCCCCTAATTTGTTTGTTTTTCAAGAAAATTTTGTACTAAAGCTCATATGGGCTCAAGGTAAGTTGAATTTGGAAAAGCAAGTGATATCTATTGAAGATTGTTTTGACATTGGGCTGAAGTAAGCTAAACAATTTAAACCGAGCTAATGTAAGTCAATTTTTTTTCTCAAAAAATGTCTAACAAGAAAACAAAATTGAAAATGAGCTGGTAGGCTAAGTGATGAGCTTGACCCAAGTATGTTAAGGCACAGCTCAAGCACATTTAACTCAGCTCATTGATAGTTTTATTTTAGCAAGAAAGTCCTAGGTATATTCATGATGAAACCATTTGCACTACAAAACTACAAATAATAGTTCTCTGCACAGTAAATATTGCCTAATTTTCCATAGGTGAAAAGCAAAATATGTTATAATACATTTGAAAATAAGCTTTCATGTGTATTTGTGCTTTCCATAATTTCTAATATGCCCAAAAAATTATAAAGCTTAAATTTTAATTAAATACAAAAAACCCAACCAAGAAAGATGAGAATTACCACAAGATCAACACCATCATTGGTATAATGCCAAGATGAATCTGTCTTGATGACAACAAAGGAAACATGAACTGTATCCCCTTCAAATTTAACATCATGAGAGAAGCACTCTTCCCTATCAATCACGAATCTAATTCCAAAAACTGCTTGTTGGCTCAACAATATTTCCAGCAATACAACAGCACAGAGTTCCTTTAGCCCAATACCCATCTGCAGAGTATAAAGGCAACAACATTTCAAGTCAGAAGAAGAAGTTACCAATCACATTACCCCAATAGTGGGGCTAAATTCCACACTGAAAGAATCTGTATAATAGCTAAAACTTCACAATGAGTTAAATCAACCAATAGAACTCACATTTAACACCAGCCTAAACCATACATTGATGAGATATAAAATTTAATGAGAAAAAGAAAGTAAAAAAAAAAAAAAAAAAAAATAGAACTTCACATTTAACACCAGCCTAAACCATACATTGATGAGATATAATTTAATGAGAAAAAAGAAAGTAAAAAAAAAAAAAAAAAAAAAATCAAACCAGTTAGCGATTAACCACAATTATATTTAAGTCCACACGGATTGATTAGATTGCTTCCGCTTGGCAGTTAAGGAAAAAGAAAATGTCGAAATTCCCATAAAATTCAAAAAGGGTTTTCCATTATCCATCTTCAAAAAAATGGAACGACAGAAAAAAAATTCAATAATTTTCTCCATTCAAAAAAAAAAAAAAAAAAATCAAACCAGTTAGCGATAAACCAACAATTATATTTAAGTCCACACGATTGATTAGATGCTCCGCTTGGCAGTTAAGGAAAAGAAAATGTCGAAATTCCCATAAAATCAAAAGGGTTTTCCATTATCCATCTTCAAAAAATGGAACGACAGAAAAAAAATTCAAAATTTTCTCCATTCCGAATCCAATCGTGGAAAACAATCTCGATCTATAAAAGATAAAATTTGAACGAGAAAATAAAAGAATATTGAAGCGAAACAAATAATTAGAAAGAAGAAAATAAATTACCTTTCGAGTTGGATTAAGAGGATCGTTAAGGTTCTTTTAAAGCCAAACTCACTTATCAAAGAATCGAACTTGAGAATCAGACCTTGCGACGTTCGAGACTTTTGAGGTGTAGCGTTGTGTTGTGTTCTGTCGTAATGGGCTTTGATTCTATGTGTTTCACTGCACCGGTTATAATTTTGCATCTATACGTTAATAAGCCTCCACGTATACTCGTGCAATCGATCTTTGCCACCTACCTTGTTTGACAGCAATTGGCCCATTAGGATGTAACTAGAGGGGAAAAAAAGTCAACTAGAATTAGCAAAGTGTTCACTTAAAATAAATATTTAGCTAAGAGATTTCAAGATAATAAACAAAAAAAAAAAAAAATAAAAAATAAAACCAAATGAATTAAAATATGTTGAGTAAAAAATAGTTATTAAATTACTTATTTTCACAAAAAAATATTAAAACTACTACTAATATTATTATTTACAAATAAATAATCCATAAAATTTGAATTGCTTAATAGTTTAAACGTAAAAGTTTTACGGCATAAAATATAATCAATTATATATTAATACATATTATGGATTAGGAGATCAGCCAACCAGGAAATTCATTTTTTTGTTAGAGCTTTCTATTCTTATATTCGTTTTTTAGGAATTGAATTCCGTTCTTTATTGTTTGTTATCTTTTTATAATTATTAATGCAAGCAGCCGTGTTTTGCTTTAAAAAAAATATATATACATTATTGCATATATTTATAGAGTGAATTTTATAAGGATAAAATAATTTTAAAAGAAGAAGTGCGGTTAATTAATTTTGCTAGTATATATAAAAATGATTTCAAAAGTCCAATTGGGCTTAGAGTTGTTTTCTTTTGTGAATAGATTTGTTCATTGTCTATTCTCCAATTCTGACATTGGACAAGTCCACTAGCCCAGTTGGTAGTTTCACATATTGATTAATCATTCATGGGCTAATAAGGCCCATTCACCAGAATTTTTTAAAATATATTTATTTTAATGTTCATTCAGCAATCTTGGCAGCATGTACAATTTTTTTTTTTTTTTTTTAGGTGACATTTGTGACTAATTACATTCTGCTCTTCAAACTTTACTCTTAACTCTCAGCACTATTCAATTAAGCAAATTTATTTACAAGTTCATTTCAGCATCTCCAATCATGGCGGAACCCTCAGTTGTTTTAACCATTGCTACACTTGTAATATTTATTTCATTGATACCTCCAAAAGTGGTTTCAGTGTTGAATTAATTAGTAGAGATTCTACAGACTCTCCTTTCTACGACCCTGATGAAACTCCTACTCAACGATTAGCTTATGTTCTTCGTCGATCCATACCGTATTCAACGTTTCAGCCCAAAGACACACTCTTCCAAAAATGTTAGAGTCTCTGGCAAAAATGTCATCGTATCAAGGTCAATACTGATGAGAATTTCAAATGGAACTCCTCCTTTCAAAATATGGGGAAAAGTTGATACAGGAAGTAACCTAATGTGGACTCAGTGCAAGCCTTGTAAAACATGTTACGAACAAGATGATCCTTTTTTTGACCCAATAAATTCCTCTGCATATAGAAACTTATCTTGCACTACAAAGCAATGTCAGATCCTAGGAGAATCTGCCAGTTGCTCTAGTGAAGACAGGACTTGCCAGGATAAATATTCCTAGGGGGATGGTTCTTTATCTGATGGAACTGTTGCTGCTGATACATTAACTCTACGTTCAACCTCAGTTACTTCCATTACACTTCCTAATTTTATTATGGGTCGTGGACATAATAATAGAGGACTTTTTAGTCCAGAAACCTCTGGTACTATCGGCCTTGGTGGGTCGAAACCTTCTATTGTTTCTCGATTGGGAGATCTAAGTGATAGGAAATTCTTTTGTTGTTTGTTGCCATATTCATCTAAAGTTGGGAAATCGAGCAAGCTCAATTTTGGACAAAAGGCGTCGTTTCAGGCGAAAGAGTACAATCCACACCATTAAAATTCAAACATCCTCCGTATAATGGATTCTATTTTCTGATACTAGAGGCAATAAGTGTAGGAAATAAAAGAATAAAATTTAGCAGTTCTTCTTCTACTACGGAAGGAAACATAATCATAGATTCTGGAACTGCATTGACATTCTTCCCTGATGCTTCCTTCTCAGAATTGGCTACGGCATTCGCCGCTGGTGTTACCGGCGGGAAACGTGTCAAAGACCCATCTGGTTTTCTTCCAGTTTGTTATAACTCTACTACTGAATCTAGAATAAAAAATTTCCAAGGGTTACAGTTCATTTTAGGGGGTCCGGATGTGAAACTGAAACGCGTTAATAGGTTTATTAGAGTTGCAGAAGGTGTTATTTGTAAACCTGGTGGTGGTGATTCTGCTGCATTATATGGGAATTTCGCACAGATGAATTTTCTGGTGGGGTATGACCTTGTAAAGAAAACGATACCGTTTAAGCCAACTGATTGCGGGAAGGAGGAAGTAACTTGATAAGTTATTAAAATTTTGTGAGTGAAATAACGTGAATAGCCTTTAAATTAGGGTTGGGTTGTATTATGGGATTGTGATTGATGGCAGAAACCGCTGGCATTTTGTGAAAATTAATATAAATCATTTATAGGATAGGATAGTTTGTACTCGTATAAAAATCAGCTTCTGTATGATGTTGTCATTTGAAAAGAATCAAGACATATCAGATTTCATGTTTTCTTTGAAAAACAGAAAATCTCAAGCCATAAATATGGATTAATTAGATAAAATCAAAAACAGAATTGTGAATACAAAACTATGGTTACACATTTTCCAAAAATTTACAAATGAGATGACCCTCAGATTTTTATCCATTCCATCTGTGGAATTTGGGCAGTTTTTATCATGGGTCTCTCTATATTTAATTTTAATCAATTAATATATATATTGACTATTGAATATGTAATAAAAGTTGAATAATAGAAACATATATTTGTAAGCTCATCTTAATATTTCACTATATTACAGAAATATGGTTCTTGAGTAATATATAAAATTAAAATAAAAAGAGAAGACTCAGTATAGGAGAGTGAAGCTGATACAGGCAAGAAGGGCCAATGCAAACGATTTTACTGTTACAGAACCTGGCAACTTACCCTTGTCCTTCCTTAGGAAAAGGGCTTGGTACAAAGGCAAGTTTATGAGAACTAAAGCACCACAAAGAATAATTTGTGAAAGCATTGCCTCAAAAAACCTAAAACTAATCTCTTTCATGATCACTTTCTGAACCACCCCAACAAAGCAGAACAAATTGAGCATTGCAAGTGTAGCTAAAATGGTAAACATTGGAGATGAAGCTCCAAACTCCATTATCTCTTTTTCGTACCTTTTCAATACATCTTCATCAGCAGCTTTTGCAGTGATTATGAATGTTGAATTGGTAAATCCTAGCATCTTTGAAATGGTGTCAATGAAGGCAAAGACGTAAGAGGTACCTCTTTTATATAGCCATATTCTTTGGTCATTCAACCATCCAAGGATTGTGCCCCGACACCACAGGAACTCAGCTAAGCTACAAATATAGCTTGCAGATATCACATAAGCAAATGGTAGAAACCATGGACTTGATACCTGAAACCAACAAAAATATAATTTTGAATATTCATACATGCTGTGAACTACCACTAATTGCTATCATTAAAATGAATGCAATATGTGGTCCCTTTTTTGCAGTTAGACAAAGTATAAGATAACAATCTGTATCTCTAATGAAGCAATCCGTGTATTTTATGCAGTAACACTTAAGTGTACCAATAATATACAAATGTAGTAATACAAATATATTAGCAACAAATGTTTTCTTTTCTTTTTTCACAATTTCTGATGAAAGATTCTATTGATCAATAGAGTTGAGGCAAATGAAGTGTTTAAATTTTTAGTCATGGTTTGATGACATAGAACATTTTCGTAAATTTTCTTTTCATTAAGTTGCATATGCAGAACCAAAAGTATTGAAATGATTGCTGCAAAAAAGGAGAACATGCACCTGTGGAAACAAGGATATGCCTTTGAGGAGACAAAGTGATGGAACAATAGAGTAATATAGGGTTGGAAAGCAGTTTGGAGGCCACAGACCATAGACGAAATATGCCATTCGCAGGCCAAGGCTAATCTTTCCGTGTGCATACCATGCAGGGCTACACTTGGAAAACAAAACCTGGAAATCACCTTCAGCCCATCTTTTATGCTGCACTAGTGTCTCAGACAACGTGATAGGTGCAATGCCTAAGAATGCATTCCTTTCTGGATTGAAATACACGGATTTCCATCCTTTGCATTGGATTGACAAACCTGTGATCACATCTTCCACAGGACACCCGTATATCAATCCCATCTGCAATAAGAAATTCTTTCATTTTATTAGTTACAAAACGATGTTTCAATTAAAGACTTGTATTTTTTTTTTTTCAAGTTCAAATTAGAAAAGGAGATTCTGAACAGACCTCAATTCCCCATTTAGTATTTTGCTCATAAGTACAGCTTGCAAGAGGCTTTGTTTCTTCTTCTAATTCTTCTATATTCAGTTGTATCTTATAATCATCATTTCTTGTCCATTCAAATTTACAATCTTTACTGAATTTTTTTCCACATAGAGTATCTCTCCTATGAAAACAGCCAGTTCCAATGTATAAAGGACCCCCAAAACCATCCAAACCATGGAAGTCCACCTTCATTGCCAAAATTAACAAAAAGGCAAAATGAACTATCAACTAATATGAAAAATTAATATATATATATATACATATATATATGGAAAATGCACTTACATCCATTATCACTCGTAATAAGGAACTGTATATGTCATTCTTAGTGATGTTCTCGAAATTCTGAGGGAATTGCACAAAAGCAATGTCATGACCCTTCTCTTCGTCCATAAAGAAACAGAGTGCATCCATAACAGAAAGTGAATTGTTTGAGTACATATCACAATCTAGAGTTAAAATAATCTCTCCATTGCTAATCTTTGATGACACTCTAATCTGAATATTATACCACAAAAGAAAAACAACCGAATAAATGAACTTTTTTTGTCAAATTTTATGGTGTAAGACCAAAACTTAAGAATGAGCATACATACAACTCACCAAGGCATTCAAGGCACCAGCTTTAAAATGATGGGGATGTTTGGGCCTTTTCTCTCTAGCAAGATACACTAGAGTAGGCAATCGACACCCATCAATATCTATGGAATTTGGAGCTTTCCCATTTATCAAAACCTGGCAAAAAAGGTAAAAAATTCAAATATCAAACGATTAGAGTGCAGAAAATTTTGGCAACGGTTGTCAATGAGAAATTGCTGTATTACCTGTAGAATTGTGCCATGATCAAGCCGTGAAGAGTAGGAATTCCACTGCGAAAATCCTTTATGATTGAATTGTTCTTCTTCAGGGATCCGACCGAGATTGTTTGCATTTTCAATTCTGTTTTCCATGTCTTCATATAAATTCTACAAGAACAGAGTAAAAACTGATACTATTACTATCATATAATATCATTGCTGTGCCTGTCACCAAAGATTGTCATTTTCTGGAGCCGTCGTTTTTCTCATCTTGTTAGCTATCAGCAACAAGCTAAGAGTAAGAGTAAGAGTAAGAGTAAGAGCTAAATTAAACAGGCCCTAAGCCTGTCGTTCAAAATGTGACCGATTTAAACAAGTCTACCATCTGATTTTCCCATCCTGTCGTTGGATGACAGCTTGTATTAAACGACAGCCTGACTTTAATGTTTAACAAGTTTTCCCCCCAATGCATAAATTCAGCTCATTTATTTAAAGAAAGTGGAAGAAAAGAAAACTTTTTTTCTTTTTTCTTTCGTGTAAAACCGCCTATCACTGTCAGAGACTGTCTAATCTGGCTCTAGATTTAATTACCCCCAATCTAAAAGTACGTTTAGTGGAAAATGAACCTGAAAACTCTTTTCACATACTTAACATGCGTTACCAATTGAGCTATAATTCATAGATAAAGAAAAAAAAAAAAACTTTGATTCAAAGTGTACTTCCTTCCCAGTATTGTTTCTCCCTCCTCAAATTGTTTAAGTATTTTAATGCACTTACAAAATTAAACAGTATTTTGTTGAATCATAATTCATAACAAAAGTAAATTAAATAAAAATCATTCTTCTGTTTATTTTTAGTACTGTCATTCAATGATATGTAAAATACTTATTTAGGCCGGTATATCGATCCATTTATATACTAAACTAATTACAATAGTGTTTTGATTTAAATAATGATGTTTCTGACTATATACTAAAATGAAAAGTAAAACAGAAAATTTTGAAATAATTTTTTTTTTTAATTGGCTTGGTGTATGGATGATGCAATTAAATCACCTCAATTATAAACTAAATATTGCTTATATTTTACTAAATTATCTTTTTATCACGCTTAACTATTCTAACTTTAACAATTCTCTATGCATTAATTAAAATAATTAAGAGAGAAATAGTAAGATGATAATATATATTCTAAGAACTTATAAAAAAATAGTTATTGTGTTTAGTAGTGATAAAAATAAAATTAGAAAAAAGTTAATTAATATTCTATAATCATTTTAAAATGATAGATAATTTTTTAGAAAAAAGAACTTCTAAATAATTACATATAAAAATAAAAATGAAGAGAGTCCTTGATTTATAACTTGTTCGATTTTTTAAAAATAGTTTATGGAGGGAGATAAAGTAATCCCAATTAAGAAATAAAAAAAAAAAATGAATGTAATTTTTATTTGTAGAGATTTTTCTCCTTTAGAAATAAAAAATATTATATTAAAAAATAAATTTCTTTAAATTATATATTTTAATTATAAAAATTTTATAAAAAAAAATTCAATATTTAAAATAATAATTTTAACAAAAAAAATTAATCTCAATGTCAAACATGCTGCTGAGTGCTAACCACACAAGTGTGAAAAAAAAAGAAAAGAAAAATATCACCTTAATAGCTGCATAAGCCTTTGTTTGATCCAGATTAGGTTTTAAAGCAAAATAAGCAGCAGGAGACCTTGGCTCCACATGGAATCTCTTACAATATGGTATCCAATGTCTTGCAAATCTTGATGCTTCCATTAGAGCATAGAATGTAACATCTGATCCTCCATCATCAGATAAATACACACTTAACTTTTCTGCAGGATAATCATAAGCCATTACTGACAGAACAGTGTTCATCACCATTAATGGGGGCTCAATTGCAGGATTTGCCGTGCACACAAATATGTCTACTCCTGGTAAATCATTCTTGTACCTGTTCTTGAGCATAATATAATATAATTCCAAATTCAAATTTATTTTTCAATAATTAAAAATAAAAAGGATATAACTATCTAAACAAAGTACCTAGTAAAGAGTCTCTCCTTGAAGGTGAACCTATAGATCTTGTTCCACCTTGGAGCTTGAGTAAACAACCAGTAAAAACCAAACCATAATTCAGCTCCAAGTAATCCAATCCAAACCCATCTCCCATCTTCTTCTTTACTTGGTATGTTTCTTACTCTGTAATACCAAACTAAACAAATACCTAAAAACACAGTTCCTGCAAAGATTCTATACAAGATACTTCCTTTTGCTTTCTTTGTTTCGAACAGAGGATTCAACTGTTCGCTTCCCATCTCTTGGTGCTTAATATGGATGAGAAAATGCAACAGCCGGCTATCCCATATATAATGGAAGCAGTTTAACTTTCCTTTTCTTTTGTTTATCTACAGGCAGAAAATTCTTGTTTGGTGCTTCGTAAACGTTGGATATGGATGTCATGTCAGGCCCATAAAGAAAAGCACTACCCTCAGAAATTTTTTTCATCCACAAGAATTAAATACTAAAGCTGTTATCTAAGGGGACGAAATTTTTCTACTCAAACCAATTCTTTTGATAAATATATTTTGTTTTTTTGATATACGAGGAAAGATAGGCTAATAAGGACATATGGGAGTTATGATAAAAATAATGTAATTTTGAAATTTACCTATCAAAATAATGCGTTTTTGAAATTATTTTCAATCATAATGTCGAAATTGGAGAAGATTTTAGTTGCACTAAGTATGTCAATACGGTGAAAAAAAACATTTAGAGCAAACATGAATTACTTTTTGACTTGAATTAATTTATAGGTTACAAAACATTCGATTACAATATAGAATGATAGAGCTGATTTGTCCGGATTAGATTCATGGCTTTTTTTTATGTACCAAATAAATGAAAATATAAATTTTTGTTCATAAAATATTTCTGATTAAACCTACTACAAACAGTAAAAATAATTTGTTCAAACTTTTTATATTCAACTGGACTGGCTTCAAGCAGGAACAAATGAGAAAATAAAATAATGACTGAAAAATTAAAGAGAATAAATAACACGATAATTTAACGTGGAAAACTCTCCAAGTGGACAATATAATGTCACATCGATAGAGCTGATTTGTCCGGGATTAGATTCATGGCTTTTTTAATGTACCAAATAAATTTGAAAATTAAATTTTTGATTCATAAAATATTTCTGACTTAAAACACTACTACAAAACAGTAAATAATTTGTTTCAAACTTTTTTATTTCAACTGGACGGCTTTCAAGCAAGGAAAAATGAGGAATATATAATACTTGAAAAATTTAAAGAGAATGCAGGAACAAATGAGAAAATAAAATAATGACTGAAAAATTAAAGAGAATAAATAACACGATAATTTAACGTGGAAAACTCTCCAAGTGGAAAAAAACCACGGCCGTTGCCAAACGATAACCAAGAAAAATATTCGCTATGCGGCAAATTGTTACAACCACAATTACAAAATATTTTTCTACCCGACACTCTCAAAACACCCCAAATATTTTATACTCCAAGAGATTCCAAGAGACTTACTCTAAATCCCTAATATAAAACACATTCAAGTATTTTTGGTGTGTCTAAAAATCTAAATATTGGCTTCCTTTTATAGCCAATCCATCACCCTCAAATCTCAATCTCCCCCACGTGGGATTGAGCAAACTTTTTTTTTTTTTCTTTTGTTTTCAACAAAGGAGGCTAAGACTATTTTGACCTGGGCAAGTAATTCTGGATGGATTAGTTGCGTTTCACACAACTCTTCTACTGAATCCATCATAGTGTAGAAGAATTGTACGCAAAAAGTTTTGTTTTTTCTAATATTAATTTCATGTGAAAAGCAACATACGGGCTGATTCTTTATCTTCATTGAAACACGGAAATTAAGCATTTACATATGTCCTGTGTCCTGATTCTTTTCTCCCGTGACGGCCTCTTTTCACATTTTTTCTTTTGTCGTAAATTTTTATATTTTTTTATTAAATAAATTATAAATTTATGTCTATTGCTGAGTAGGTTCATGTTATTTATGTTTTTACTATTGTTATTTTATTTTCATCTTATGTAGCGGTTATGATCTTTCCATTTTATATAGAGTATTCATTATATTTTTTATATTTGGACAGATATAGAATTTGTAGAGAATTTTTCAACTAAACAATGATCTTTCTCTTTTCGAGTTTAGTAGAGCGGCATGTTCCTTTATTAGATTTAGTGATTCAATTCTCTGTGTTCGTCATAAGTAACTAGTTCATAGATAATTAGGTCATATATAGAAAATTCGGAAAATCTATCTAACCAGTTACTTTTGAAGATCTATCAGTTTTTTTCAAGTTCAACTTTCAATTTTCATTTTGATTTCTTATTAGATCAGCAAATAATGATTATTTTAGTTATAACAATTTTTGTTCTATGTCTGATTTTTAGGAGAGCGGTCATATCCTGTCTGTATTTATTAGTATTGATTTGAAGTTTTTTAATAAAATCCTAATAATATTATATTAAAAAAATTACACATCTGATAATTATCTCAAACTCCCTACATGTCTAATATTTATGTGTTGCTTAACAAGAGTGTATTCTCATAGAGAGACTGTTTTGGTAACTCCAATCCATCATTTTCAAGTCATTAGTATGTTATATTAAAGTATTCTCTCATTCTTTTAATGATAATTCATAAAATAATAATATTATACATATTCTGAATATCTTCCATTAGTACTTTTCAAAATGAAATGTCCTACATTTAATGGTTATTTTTGACTTTGAGAGTCTGTGCTTGAAGGTGAACCAACAGAGTTGGTGCCATCTAAGAGCTTGAGTGAGCCGATGCAAACGCTGCGTACTCTAGCTAGAGCATTCTATAATTATGTTCGTCTCCAGGTTTGAGAATCTTTTATAATATAAATTAACGCATGATGCATTTTCCTTCTTTTTTTAAAACCAATCCAAACTCATCTCCCATCATCTAAAGCTGGAGCTCATCATCTGCAGTCCAAACTTCAACTACTATGGACTTTAACCCCACATGCTGAGCACAACAAAATTGACTGAACCACGTGGGAACTTTGTAGTTCAAACAAAATAAACAGACGAAAGGTTGAAGACAAGACAATATTGCTTCTATATTATATTATATTATATTTATATATATCACACTATCGTTTCATTTCATTTGTGTGAGGAAAACAGATTGAAAATTACAAGAAGAATGGGAACTTATAATGAGAATACTCCTTTGTTTGAAACAAAAAGAGCTAAGGGAAGAGTTATCTACAGGCTCTTTACAGTGACTCTGTTTATGGCTATATGTTTTATATGGGCGTATAGAGTTCTCAACATACCAAGAGATGGTGAAAATGGGAGATGGGTTTGGATTGGTTTGCTTGGAGCTGAACTATGGTTTGGTATTTACTGGATTCTCACTCAAGCGCTTAGATGGAATCAACTCTATAGGTCCACCTTCAAGCACAGGCTTTCTCAAAGGTACCATGAGAATGAGTTGCCTGGAGTAGATGTATTTGTATGCACAGCAGATCCCAGAATAGAACCGCCAATAATGGTGATAAACACTGTTTTATCAGTGATGGCTTATGATTATCCTTCCAAGAAGCTTAGTGTATATCTTTCTGATGATGGTGGATCAGATTTAACGTTTTATGCTCTTTTGGAGGCATCTAAGTTTGCAAGACATTGGATACCTTATTGCAGAAAATTCAAAGTGGAGCCAAGGTCACCTACGGCTTATTTTGTTACTATTCCTAGTAGTCAACACCATCCTAATCAGATTAAGGAGTTGGAGCTTATCAAGGTAATAGTTGTTTATCATTTATCTATTTTTAAAAAATAATTATTACTTTGATGAGCGGGATAGAGCTAAGATAATTATTTTGGAAAGTTAAACAAAATTTTTAAAATTTTTAAGAGATCAAATATAAATTTTATATATTTTTAAAGATCAAAATGTAATTTTTCATAAGTAATTTTTTTTAAAGAGTTCGATACAGTGGCCAGGGCTCATTGAGCCTCCCTTAAGTTTTGCCGATGTTCGATGAGATGAAATGTTAAGAGAGGACGAGTAGGTATGCTAAATTTCTTTGTCAAATTTCTTTGTCGAGGACAAAATAATTTAAATAGATAATCAAACATAAATTTGAATTAATGAGTAAATTAATAAAGGTGTGTTTGTAAAATTTAATAAGTTTATGGATGTAAACAAAAAAAGAAACATTAATTTCTCTTAATTTTCCGTTACAAACAGAATTTTGGATTTAGGATGTTTTCTTATCAGGGTGTAATTGCAACAAAGTATTAAAATAATGGTATTTTTGATGTTTAAGCCTGATTAACGTCCAATGATATACTCGTAGAAATTGTATGAAGAAATGAAAGATCGAATTGAAAATGCAACGAAGCTAGGTCGAATTCCAGAAGAAGCACGCTTGAAACACAAAGGGTTTTCGCAATGGGATTCATCCTCTTCGCGGCGTGAGCATGACACCATTCTTCAAGTGAACCGTCTAATTTACTCTCAATTGAACTTGCCGTTTTTGTTTTATTATAGACAAGCTGTTTGATGTTTGAATTTCCATGTCGTTTCCCAGATTTTGATAGACGGGAAAGATACAAATGCTACAGATGTTGATGGGTTTACATTGCCTACTCTAGTATACCTTGCCAGAGAGAAAAAAGCCCAGTATCCCCACCATTTCAAAGCTGGGGCTATGAATGCTTTGGTCAGTTATATACATATGCTTGAACATAATCTAGACCTTACTTATCCTCCAATTACAATTTGTTTGCTTGATTTGTTTATGATCCAATATGTGCAGATAAGAGTATCATCAAATATTAGCAATGGAAAAATAATTCTCAATCTAGACTGTGATATGTACTCAAACGATTCATTATCCATATGGGATGCACTCTGCTTCTTCACGGATGAAGAAAATGGCTATGAGATTGCTTTTGTGCAGTTTCCCCAAAGCTTTGAAAATGTTACGAAGAATGACATATACTGTAGTTCACTTCTAGTAATTAGTAATGTAAGTTCCTATATATAAACAAGTGCAACTTAGCAGTATTTCTTCAACTGTCATTGCTTATTGACAGAAAAAACTTGGTCTTATTCAGAGACTGCTTTATTGATGGACAAGTTTCCCCAAAGCTTTGAAAATGTTACGAAGAAAATGACATATACTGTAAGTTCCTTCTAGTAATTAGTATGTAAGTTCCTATATATATATATATATTATTATATTTATTGATATATATTATTGTTTTGTTGTATTAGTTTATATATATATATATATATTATTGTTTTGTTGTATTAGTTTGCTTAATTTTTGTTTTTGCTTTTTTTTGTGGAATGAAGGTGGAGTTCCATGGTATGGATGGTTTTGGGGGCCCTGCGTATGTTGGAACCGGCTGCTTTCATAGAAGAGATACTCTTTGTGGAAGAAAATTCACTGAAGATTGTAAGATTGAATGGAAGGGAAATGAAGACCATATAAGACTAAAGAGTACAGAAGAATTAGAAGAAGAAACAAAGCCTCTTGCAAGCTGTACTTATGAGCAAAACACACAATGGGGAAATGAGGTTGAAGAATGATCTTTCTTTAACAAATTTCTCGTTTTTGGATTTGGAAATTCAAATCTTGAAACTTCTTTATTACTAATCGAATGAAATAATTGATTGCAGATGGGATTGAAATATGGTTGTCCAGTTGAAGATATAATTACAGGGTTGTCAATCCAATGCAATGGGTGGAAATCGGCTTATTTCAATCCTAAAAGGAAAGCATTCTTGGGAGTTGCTCCAACCAGCTTGTCTCAGACACTAGTGCAGCACAAAAGATGGTCCGAAGGCGATTTCCAGGTTTTGCTTTCCAAATACAGCCCTGCATGGTATGCAAATGGAAAAATTAGCCTTGGCCTGCAACTGGGTTATTGCTGCTATTGTTTTTGGGCTTCAACTTCTTTGCCAACTCTATATTACACTGTCATTCCTTCGCTTTGTCTAATGAAAGGCGTAGCCTTGTTTCCACAGGTGCATGCTCTTCCTATTAGAATTGATTATATACAACATTTTTTTTTATGCAACTTACTCAAGAGTAATTGAGACACCCGCTTCCTCGAAAATATATCTTTCAGATGTTACCTAAGGTAGCATTTGGTTATTTTCAATTTTTTTTTTTTTTTTTTTTTTTTTTTTTATTTTATGATAGAACATGTTAAATCACTATAAATTTTTTAATCATAATTGTTAATAACAGCTTTAATGCTAAATATATAGATCCTAATAAATTTTGTCATGTTGGGTTTTTCAATTTTTTTTTTTTTTTTTTTTTATTTTATGAATAGAACATGTTAAATTCACTATAAATTTTTAACATATTGTTAATAACAGCCTTAATGCTAAATATATAGATCCTAATAAATTTTGTCATGTTGGTTTCAGGTGTCTAGCCTATGGTTCCTACCATTTGCTTATGTGATATCTGCCAAGTACATCTACAGCCTAGCTGAGTTTCTTCTGTGTGGAGGCACAATCCTCGGATGGTGGAACGACCAGAGAATATGGCTATATAAAAGAACAAGCTCCTATTTCTTTGCCTTCATTGACACAATTTTAAAGAGACTAGGATTTACCGAGTCAGGATTCGTAATCACTGCAAAAGTCACTGATGAAGATGTGTCACGACGGTATGAGAAAGAGATAATGGAGTTTGGAGATTCTTCTCCAATGGTCACTGTCTTAACTACTGTTGCAATGCTCAATTTATTCTGTTTTGCTGCAGTTGTGAAGAAAGTGATAGTGAAAGAGACTATTATAAGACTCGATGAGTTAATGTCTTTGCAATTTCTTCTTTGTGCTGTTTTAGTTGTAATAAACTGGCCTTTATACCAAGGCCTTTTCCTGAGGAAGGATGAGGGCAAGTTGCCAAGTTTTCTAATAGTTAAATCATTTGTATTAGCTCTTCTTGCCTGTACCAGCTTCACTCTTCTGTATTGAATTGCTGCATATCAAATGACAAAGCATCCACAATAAAGCTAAGAGATTGATATATCTGAGATAGAATGTGTGACTTAGCTAACAGACGAAATTGCCTGTACCTTAGCTAACAGACCAGCAACAACGTTCACAAAGGTTTTAATTTATCGGTATCAAGCATGCCAATGAAGCTAAAACTATAGACTTGAACAAGACAGCCGGCAGTATACGGCCCTTATCGTGGCGGAGAAAGAGGGCATGGTAGACTGGCAAATTAACCAGAATCATGAGTCCAGACAGAAAAATTTGGGGGGCAAACATTTCTATAATCTGGAAATTCATGTCCAAATCAATAATCCTTTTGCTTATTGCACCAACTAAGCTGAAAAGATTGACCAATGCTAGTGTTGCTACCAAGGTGAACTTTATGCTTGAGCTTCCAAACTCCATTACCTCTTTCTGGTACCTCTTTAACACATCGTCTGTTACCACCTTAGGTGTAATGGCGAAAGATGTTTGTGATAAGCCTAATTGTTTGATAACTGTGTCGATGAACGCGAAGAAGTATGACGTCGTTGCTCGAATTACCCACATTCTTTGCAAGTTCCACCAAGCTTTAATACTACTACCACAAGTTAAAGATTCTACCATGCTATAAATATTCTTGGATATGAAAACATATGCAAACGGTATGAACCAGAAGCTTGAGACCTAAGGCATGTAAGGGAGAGGTCAATTATTTAGAACTATAGAAGATAAAAAGTGAATGAAAAGTTAAAGACTGAGATATATACCTGAGGGAATAAGGGAATGCCATGGAGCAAGCAAAGAGGAGGAACAATTACATAGTATAGTGTAGGCAAGGAAATAGGAGCCCATAAAAGATAAGCACAATATCCCAATTGGGCACCAATTTTTATCTTGCCATGCCCATATAACAAAGGGCAATATTTGGATAAGAAAATCTGAAAAAGTCCTTCAGACCACCTCTTATGTTGAATCAAACCCACTTCCAAGGTATTTGGAGCTACACCCAAGAAGCCTTCTCTATCGTTTGGAGAGTAGTGGATTGATTTCCATCCCCTGCATTGGATTGTCAAGCCAGTAACTGTGTCTTCAACTGGACACCCATATATTAATCCCATCTGCAATTTCATGATCATAATCATTTCCGTGAATTTTTGTCAGCTTAACAGTCACTAACATGAAATTTTAGATAGATTTTACAAATTTTTTCAAGTTCATTTATACCAAACAGAGTCTTAAAAGAAAAACGGGAGACCAACAAAATGAGAAAGAGACCTCTTGGCCCCATAGGGTGTCCTTCTCATAGCAACAGCTAGCAACAAGTTTAGATGCTTCTTCTAGTTCATCTACAGTTCTTTTATCATTTCTTTCAGAATCAAAATTGTCCAATTTCAATTTATTTCCCCTAGAGTAATTCTTTCCAGAGAGACTTTCTCTTCTATGGAAGCATCCAGTGCCACAGTACAAGGCTGAACCATATCCACACATGCCAGGAAGTTCAACCTGAAAGATATGATCCATTAATTCATATGTAAAAAATCTTTCTACAAATTACCAAAAACATTGAAAACCCAAGAATGTTTCTGGAGATTTAATTACCTTATTAACAACATAGTACGAATTCGCATAGAGATCATTCTTGGTAATGTTGCTGAAACATTGAGGATATTGAACAAAAGCAATTTCATGGCCTTTTTCTTCATCCATGAAGAAACAGAGTGCATCAAGAACCACATCTGAATCATTTGCATACATGTCACAGTCTAAGTTAAGAATGATAGGCCCATTGCTTATCTCTGATGAAACTCTTATCTGCATACATGGAATTAAATTATAATACTGAGAAACACAAGAAAAGGGAATTCTATTCAAGAGTTTGTAATATATTGTATTACCAAAGCATTCATGGCTCCAGCTTTGAAGTGATGAGGGAAGTGGGGTCTTTTCTCTCTTGCCAAGTACACAAGTGTTGGCAATCGACAACCGTTGATATCTACAGCAGTTTCATCCCTTCCATCAACAACAATCTGCTTAAACATATAATTAATAATTAATTAATTCTAGTAAGTAAACAAAAATGGATTATGACAAAGTAAAATCATAATTACCTGCACAATGGGTTGATGATCTCCTTTTGTAACTTTTGGGTTCCATTCTGAGAATCCTTTGTGTTGATTCCTTATATCCTCTGGAATGGCACCTCTTTTTATCGTTGATTCAATCCTTTTCTTCATTTCTTCATATAAATTCTTCAGATAAAAGAAACTTTTATTAAGGTTAGTAATAATATTAAGGATTTATCTTTTATTTCGACCAGCATTGTGTCCAACACTTACCTTAACAGCTAACCAATCTTGAGCATATTGCACATTACTATCCTGTCCGAAGAAGGCCTCAGGAGATCTTGGTTCAATATTGTTTGATTTGCAGAAAGGAATCCAATATTTGGCGAATTTAGATGCCTCAAGGAGAGCATAGAACGTCAAGTCTGATCCGCCATCGTCGGAAAGATAAACAGCAAGTTTGTCAGTGGGATAATTGTATGACATTAAGGATAAAACTGTGTTGATCACCATAGTTGGTGGCTCCATCGTGGGGTCTGCCGTGCATACAAAAATGTCAACTCCTGGTAATAACTTGTCTTTATACCTGTCATAACCACCATCAGCAGGTAAGTACTAGAGTCAATCTTTAATAATTATCTTTAAAATTTTCAATATAGTCTTTCCTATTACAGGGGTGAGCATTTGATAATATGAACCGAGTCTATGCAAATCGAAAAAATTTAAATTTCATATATAAAAAATTAAACTAAATTGAATTATCTAGAGAAATGAAAATCGGATTGATTAGTTTCGATTTGATTTTTAAAAATTTTGACTTATTTATCGTGTTAAATTAATTTGGTTTTTGGAACTTTAAAAGAACAAACTAAAAAAAAATGTAGCATAGTGTCACTTTCGCCAGGCAAAAACAAAAATGCACTGCGATCCCGTGGAGAACTATTCATTGACATTCTCTATTATATGCTAATAGAAAAAATGCATCACTAAACCTTCAACCGCAAATGAGGCAGATTTTATTGAGTTTGAAATTGGCTCGTTAAAAGTATTTTTCAAGCTTTAATTCGAATCCAAGCTGATTTACATACATATTTACTATAGATCTGTTTGGAAAAACTAGATATTCTGATAATTATCTGTTTTAGCAGCATTTAGCTATTAGTTGTCCGTGTAGCTTTTCGTAAAACACTAAAAACTAAACATTATATGAGTTAATTTTGTAAAGAACGCTACATTAGTTTCTAAAAGTTAGTTTAAATGCTTTGTTACAGAATCTTATAAATAATAATAGCTTTTAATAGCTGTAAAAACGCTAAAACCTACACAAAAGTTGTTGTCCAACGTCCCCTATATCAAAAAAGCTTGCAAATTGCATGGTTTATAAATCATCCCTTAATAACGAGGTTTGTTTATATATAACGAGGCTTAACAAAAAAACCAGCTCGCGCACTTCATAAAGTTCTAGCTCGATCGGTTCATATATTAAGAGAGTTTGATAAGTAGGCTCAAGTTCATTTTGAAGTTTTGAATTAGATCTCCAGCAATTTACAAACGGCTTGGTTTAAATTAAATCCACTATATTAGCTATTAAGCATATTATTATTACAGTATGAGTAGTATCAGAATCGTGTTTAGAACTTTCTTTGCAACTGTTACTGAAGTCATCAACTAAGCTTAATCAAAGCATAATTATCCAACTCACAGAGAGAGAGAGAGAGAGAGAGTGAAGAAACCTTTGTGAGAGCCTGTGTTTGAAAGGGTGAGGATAAGTAACGTTCCAACGAAGAGACTGATTGCAAATCCAGAAAAAACCGAAGCAGAGCTCCGCCATGAACATGACAACCCAAACCCATAATCTTGCTACCGATGATGATGATGATGATATTGGGAAATATATGATTCTATAAATCCATATGAAACATATTCCTACAAAAACTGTACAAGCAAAGAGCCTGAATAGAACTCTTCCTTTGGCTTGCTGGGTTTCAAAAAGAGGAAGTTTCTCCTCTTCTTTTTGTGTAGCCATCTCTCTTAATTTCTGTCAAAAGAATATGCAACTACGTCCACCATAAGTCCATAACATTGCATCTATGTATAGGGTAAACAATTAATTGAAGACCACACATGGGACATGGCGCAGGATAAGAAGGGATTAAGGTCTTCTTCACATGGCCCAGGAGAAAAGGTAGTGATGTGTTTTTGGATGACATCTTTGGAACTAGTTTTTGGCGTTTTCAACAAATCAAAGCTCCATGTAAGCATTTAGTGACATAATTGTCTACAACACACACTTTAACTTAATTTAGTAAAATAATTTTTGGATAACATAATTTTTTTTTTCGGAGGAAACACCCTTTAACTTATAATATCGTTTTCATATTAAAATATCATGAAATCCTAATAAAACTATTTTCTACAATACATAAATACATCATAGGATACTAATCAAATAGTTGAGATTATCCTTAACCCAAAAATCTTAATGGATCAACCACCACGTAGTTGGATGTAGAAAGTCAAATATTTAAAGGTTAAAATTATTATTATCATTAAAAGGGTTTCACTAAATATCACCTCTAGTCGAAGCATAAAATACGTCCGTTAATCAAATTATTTTCAAATAAGTTTATGCTAATTTTAATATTATTTTTCAATTTGAGGAAAAGATAAATATTATTAAACGAGAAAAGGTTCAGAAATAATAATAATAATAATAGAGCTAATATCAGATGAATTTCTCTTCTATCCCACATTTCTTTTGTCTTGTATCCATCCAAATAAAAAAAAAAAAAAATTTATCACAACAAAATATATAATAAATTGTTATAAATAATATAAATTTTAATACAAAAACCTACAAATTAATATAATTACACTAGATCACAATCCATTATCTCACACAAAACATTATCTTACTATATAATCCACTCAAAACCCTAAACAAATCGTTAAGTCTAACCCTAGGGCTAGCTAGTTTTGATATAAAACCCTAACATATATATATATATATATATATATATATTCTTTACTATATTAAAATCCACTTTCAAAACCCTTAAACAAATCGTTAAGTCTAACCCTAGGCTAGCTAGTTTTGATTATAAAAACCCTAACATATATATATTATTATATATATATATTAATATATATATATATATATATATATTAAGGCCCTCCATGCATGTTGGTGTGTGTGCACCTGAAATGGTGAGCTTGTTGAGTGATGCCATGGCACTCTGCCAAATCACCTGAACCATCATCCAACTTGTGACAATCTACAAGATGATCATCTCTGTGATGTTGTTTCTCTTCTTCTTTTAATGACATGCCACTTTTCTTCTTCTTCTTTCCTTATTCTTCTTCGTCTTCTTCTTTTCTTGGGCGTGCCTTGTCGTGATACCGTTCCTCGTCGGTTGCCACTTTTTGTAAACTTTGTTACGAGGATTGTAATAAGTAGGTGCCTTCACTATTTATAAATTGCTGGGTCGGTCGGTTGCAATTCATGTTGATTGACACGTTTGTCTTTTTTCGTGATCATGTGTCCCGAGTATATTGGCCAATAAAGATGGCACAAGTGAGCGATGAACATTTGGCTAACCGAGTTAAATTAAGTTGACTCAGTTCAATTTCAGCCTAATGAGATGAATTTAATATTTGAAACCGATTAATATAAATCGAGCATAATTGATTTCACTTGGTCATAGATAAATTCAATTAGTTATATATGGTGACAAAACTAAAACTATGACTAAATTTTTAAAATGTCTAATTAAATCAACCAAAATGGATCCATTTGATTCGATTTTTAGCTAGAAACCAAACTCATCCTAGCTATGACAGAGGCAGTGACATCATTTTTGACAAGTGGTACGTAGCTACAATGACAAAATAGCACTCTTATATCTAGTGTGAAAATAGAAAAACTTGAGTTGTGTATTTTTCATTTATAATTTTTATCAGAAATAATGAAGCTATGAAGTCATTTCTTAAGATCATAAGTTTGACCTTTGAGCTCTTAATTAATGAAATTTAATTAATAAAATTATTAATTGATGGGATTTAAAATTCGGATTAGCTAATGGTCATATTATTCCAAGTCGTTTGGGCCATAACATCAAAAAAAACAAAAGTCCACTGGGCCATGGGAAAAAGGCACATACTTGTAGTGGAAATGTAAATTTCCATTTCGGCCTAATGTATTTGGATTTTGTACAGGCCCAACCCAAGAAATTAAGCATTCCTTTTATGATGGTTTCGATTTATGGCTGTAATTATATCATATCCTTTTTTTTTTTACATTAAAATATTGCTCGTATATTATTAAGAGAAGAAACGAGCAATACAAGCGGGAACAATATCCCAAGTTCGAAAACAAGCCCCACTAAGAACTGATTTAACCAAAACATGAGCTATATCATTAGTTTGTCTTCTAATCCAAGCCAAAGTGACATTAGACAATTGGAGTAAGAGTAATTTATATTCAGAGATGACAACTCTAAACTCAGACAAGTCTTGGACAGAACTCCTCATAGCATCGATCGTAAACTTGCAGGCAATCGGTCTCAACCTGAAACTGCAAACTAACGTAATCTGACAGCAACCATGACAAAACAGCTAAAGCAACTTTGAAAAAAATGAGATTGGAGCTTGACACAGGATGTGATTATTGTGGTGCTGCTGAATTGGAAGCTTTGACAACAGGATGTGATTATTGTGGTTGCTGCTGAAACATTCAATCGGTCTCAACCTGAAACTGCAAACTAACGTAATCTGACAGCAACCATGACAAAACAGCTAAAGCAACTTTGAAAAAAATGAGATTGGAGCTTGACACAGGATGTGATTATTGTGGTGCTGCTGAAACATTAGTCCATGCTCTTGTTGAGTGTCCAAGAGCAAGTTTTTGTTGGCATTTTTTTGGTATTCAGCTGAATATTGGAATTTTTCCAAATTTCTTACAGATGTTGGAACATTTACACAAGGTGTGGGAGATTGAATTCTTTGAGAGTTTTATAATAGGACTTTGGAGTGTTTGGTTGAGTCGTAATAAATTGAAATGAAACCAAGTAGCAGAAGGACCTTATCATGTGATTACTCGAGCTAGAAGCATGCTAGCCTCTTGGAAGAAAGCCCAGCTGAAGTTGTCTGATTCAGGTATAGATGTTTTTGCGGGTAATCAATGGCTCCCACCACCTGCTAGCACCTTCAAATCAATTTTGATGCAGCTCTCCTCCCCTCTGCTGGCCATGGCGCTTTTGGTGCCGTAATTTCAAACTGTTATGGCGAATTTGTATCATTGTCAGCGTCATCATTGCATGGTTGTTCTTCTCCAGCATTAGCTAAAGCTCAAGCGCTCAGAAATAGAATGTCTTTACATCACCTCCAGAGGAAATGCCTCACTTTCTGTGGAAAGAGAAAAAAAAAATTCCCTAATCATTAATATTTGCAGACTATGTAATGGGATATAAATTTTTTTTTAAATTCACTGAATTGATAAAATTATCTATAGGAAATTTAAAACTCAAAATTTTAGCATTCTCAGGTAAATGAAAAGACAGGACGAAAAGCAACACAAAAAGAAATGATTTGAATATTCATGAGTGGAAAGATGATGACATGAAAAGGCCGCAATGAATAAGGAAATAGAGCCCGTGAATCATCAAACTCTTTTTTACACTCCTTTTCCTTTTATAATGGTCATGTAGCTCAGAGCCTGCTGTCCTTGGCCACTGATTACGTGTTTTGCTCGTGGCATTTCCTTATTTGTACGAAGTACCCTAAATTGCCCTTCCACATCCACTACCAGACAATGTTGCAACCTATAGAATAGCTGCCCCACGTACCATCCCTTTCTCTGAAAGGCTTTCCTATTGTACTTTATGTTACATTATACGCACAAAAAAATATCAAATTAAAACTAATTTTTAGATGATAAATTTATCTTTTCTTATTATATACCCGAGTGAAAAAAAGGAATTAATTCCTTTTTCTACAAATTAATCAGCTTTATATAGATTTCTTTAAAAAATTGGAGAGGTTTATTAAAAAAAAAGACTGAAAATATTAATGATATTATCATTTTATTTATTATTTTTAAATCATATTAATGACGTTATATTACTGTATTTATATTTTATGTAACCCATATATGAAATTGATACCTAAATTTTAAAGAAATAGTAGATAATTTGGCCTCCACATGAATTCTTTTTATTAAATAAATTTGTAAAAAGGACATTATGTGATCCTATAAAATAATAAATGTAAATATTTTCATATTATATACATACAATTGAATTTTGAAGTAATAAAATTTATTTGATAATAATTGAGTTTCGAATTTTTTTTTATTTTAATCATTTGGTATTCATATTTAAAGTTCACTTATCCGACTAATGGACAAATCCAAGAAAACAAAGCTCACTTCAGAATATTTAAAATTCAGTCGGATCTATATTTATGACTTAAATTTGAAATCTCTAATTTACACTGAGATCATCTATCGGGAGTGCTCGAATAAAATTTAAAATTAAGTGTTTCAACTGTTAAAAAGGATAAATGTAAATATAGATTACCCACAAATATTTAATTCATGAGATTTATTTCAGTTGAAAACCCCTAAAGACTCTCTCTCTTTCTTTTTTCTAAAATGTCTCACTCATGCAAAAGTGACTGATGCTTCTCTAAATTGTACATAATAGTCAATATTGCCCTTCTATTCAACCGGAAAAGCCGAAGCAACACGAAGTACGACTTGAGAAAGCAACATATCTATTCTCTCTCTCTCTTCTCCACTTGACTCGCTGATCTGATATAAAATTTGTCTCTGAACAGTTCAAATTTTTTAAAACTCTCTCTCTCTCGGAGTATTTTTAACTTAAATTTTTGTTTCGATTCCCCAAAAGCGTCCCTTTTCCAACTTCTGATTCAAAACTCGTATATAATCCGAGAAAAATTTACTTTCTTGGCTAAGAAAATCATTGCCGAATTTTCTTGGAGATTCTCGCCTCCCCAACCAACTTTAGGATTCCGTGGTGGGTTTGTGTCTTTGTGGCAAAAGATTAAAATGGTTTTTGACTTTCCATGAGATAAAGAAGAAGATCATCAAGAATTATTCCTAGTTTCGAAATTGAGTGAAGATGTCATGATTGTTCATTTTGACCGTTTGGTTTAGATTGTCCCTCCAGCTTGATTAGGGTTTGTTTGGGTAAGTGATTTTAAGGTTTTCCTTTCCTTTTCCTTTTTTGTTATGTTTGTAGTTTTAAAGCTGTTTTTGCCTTTTAAGAAAAAAAGAAAAGAACTTTTTTTGGAGTTTGTTTTGTCTCGCTTTTTGTTTATTGAATTTCATTTTTTGTTTCTTTGTTAATTATGTTATGTAAATAAAATTGAAATAATGGCGACTTAAAAGATTTTTTTTATCAGTAGATGTTTGTTGATGATAATGTAGGTTTAAGCTTGAATTTGGGAACTATTTCTGGGGAAGTATTATTCTGGTGCTCATTGCTAGGAATTTGTATAGTATGGCCTATTTGGATATGAGAAATTGGTTTGTCAAAAAGATGAAAAAGAAATGGTAATATATGGGTTCAATTCTTCGTGAAGATGACATATTTTATTGAAGAGCCATGAAAAATTTTCTTGGAAATAAATTATGAGAAAGAAAATGAATCATGGGGATTTATGCTGAAGGTTCTGGATAGTCCTTGTTACTTTCAGAAGATTTATAAGCATGTTCCTGAGATCTATTTCACATTGTTTTTAAGAGCTTGTTGAACCTAGCTGGCTGTGGAGTCAGATTAGTGGGGATTTTAGAGGGAGGGTCTAGTAGTGGTAGTTGCATGGCTTATTGATCATTTATCACGTTGATAACTTTTTATGTCGTCTAGGTTTCAAGAAATGGTAAGCATCTTTGTCAAATATCCAGTTTGAGCCAGAATGCAGGAGATAATTGTTGTTAGGTGTATACAAAAGCTGCTTCTCTTTGGACATGCTGTGTGTTTACCACACAAATAAAAACTATCAAACTGTCATTTGCCATGTGTTAGGTAAAGTATACTTCTTATGAGTTTATTAGATAGCTGACTTGATTGTGGTTCAGTTTACTTGAATTTTATCAGCCTTTCTCAAGGTGCTGTCTCTATAGGAAAGTCAGTTTTTCTTTTTTAAAAAAGAAATGATTCTGCTTGAATGCATCTACAGAGTGCCTAGGTTTCTCCTTACTTTTCAAGTCCATGTAGTTTAGGTTGTGAAAGAGCAATTATAGAGTTATAAACTCTATACCAGTTATTGAAAAGAAATTCTCGGGAATGGAATAAAAATGCTATAGGTTTTTGCTGGCTTGGTGTTTTTATATGCATGAATTTCTCATGTTTTTCTCCATGAACCCCTGGTATGAACTACATTTGGCTCTTTAGCGAATATGTTCTATCAATTTATAAAACAATAACCAGTGGTTGTAATTTACTTCTATCTGCAAAAAGATTTTCAATGTGCAGTACGTTTGAGATTGTTTTCCAACCATATATCTTATTTCCTGCATATTATTAATGAGAATTGTTTGATTCTCTTTAACAGGAGATTTTTTGACAATTGAAAATACATAAATAAATAAAGTGATATGGGTACAAAAGATAGTCAAGATGCTACGGATTCCCCTCCTAAAGTGGAGGTGGGAGAGATTGATACTAGCGCACCATTTCAATCTGTTAAAGATGCTGTCACACTCTTTGGTGAAGGTGCTTTCTCAGGTGAAAAATTGGCCATCAAGAAGGCAAAACCTACAGAGGTAAAAAAAGTATTATATATAAGTTGTTATAACTTATAAGTGAGCATCTAAATACTCCTTTTACTGCCTGTACAGTATATTAATGAGTAGGTTAAAACTTTGACAACATCTACTTATTTTGTGAAGGTTAATGCAGAGTCTGTGTAGTATGACAATCATAGGATTTGAATACAATGCACAATTTTCCTTTATATGTTGTATGGACTAATCAATCATATATGATGCAAATTTTAGTACTTAAGATTTGGTAAGTAATCTTAAACAAAATTATGTTTGGACTTATGGTGCAAATTTTCTGAGCTTCTCATAAAATTGTTTTCTCTATTATCTGGATATTCATTGTCAAAAGGCCATAAATGTTGGAAGTAAGAATCTTCGGGAATCCCCAACTTATTGCAGAAGATAAAAATATGGTAACTGGTATTTAATATGTTTTCCCTATTACCTTCTTGGATTCTTCATATTTATGACGTTTGTATTCAGTACTCCTCTTGTTAGCTCAATTGACTTATTTTGCTTCATGACTGAAGTCCATCTTGGCCAAGGAGACTCAGCTTCACATATCCAAGAAAGAGCTGAAGAAGTTAAAGGATCAACTGAAGAATGCAGGAACAACAAAGGCGCAAGCACTTACTGAACTTGAAAGTGCTAAAAGAACAGTTGAGGATCTGACTCAAAAACTGAGAACTATCACTGAATTAAAAGATTCAGCAATTAGGTCAAGAGAAACTGCAAAAAATAAGGCAAAACAAATGGAAGACACTAAGACTGGTGATATTTCTGGATCTGATGGTGCTAGGAATCATGACTTGGAATCTGCCAGGGAACAGTATATGAATGTATTTACTGAACTTGACACTGCAAAGCAAGAGCTTCGAAAGATTCGACAGGAATGTGATGCATCATTGGAAGTAAAACTTGCTGCCTTAAACCAAGCTGCTGAAGCAGAAGATGCAGCCAAAGCAAATGTAGAAAAAGCTGGCGAGCTCTCTAAGGAAATCTCAGCTCTACAGGAATCGATTGGGCAAGTGAAGCTTGCTTCTCTTCAAGCCCAGCAAGAGCAAGCACAAATATTTGCTGAAAAGGATGTTCTGAGGCAGTCCTATAAAGCAACCCTGGAAACATCTGCAAGTAAACTGCTTGGATTAAAGAATGAGTTTGATCCTGAACTTGCTCAGAATCTTGAAAAGCAACTAGCTGAAACAATGAATGAGATTGATGCCCTGCAAAAGCAGATGGAAAATGCAAAGGCATCTGATCTAGATTCTGTGAGAACTGTCACGTCAGAGCTGGATGGTGCTAAGGAATCATTGCAGAAAGTAGCAGAAGAGGAAAGTTCCTTGCAAAGCTTGTTGGAATCTCTGAAGCTGGAGCTTGAGAATGTGAAGAAGGAGCATTCTGAATTGAAGGAGAAAGAGGCAGAAACAGAATCCATTGCTGGGAATCTGCATGTTAAGCTCCGAAAAAGCAAGGCTGAGCTTGAAGCAGCCCTTGCACAGGAATCTAAAGCGCGAGGTGCCTCTGAAGAAATGATCTCAACTCTCCACCAGCTATCATCTGAAGCAGAGAATGCACGACAAGAAGCTGAAGAAATGAAGCTCAAGGCTGAGGAGTTGAAGAAGGAAGCTGAAGCAACCAGGATTGCATTTGAGGAAGCAGAAAAGAAGCTAAGGATTGCTCTGGAAGAAGCTGAGGAAGCAAGAACGGCAGAGTCAAGGGCACTTGATCAGATTAGCATGTTATCAGAGAGAACTAATGCTGCACGTGCTTCAACTTCTGGGTCTGGTGCCAATATCACGATCTCAAGGGAAGAGTTTGAGGCCTTGAGCCGGAAAGTTGAGGAGTCTGACTCTTTGGCAGAAATGAAAGTGGCAGCTGCCATGGCTCAGGTCGAAGCTGTAAAGGCTAGTGAAATTGAGTCTCTCAAGAGATTTGAGACAATACAGAAGGAGATTGAGGATATGAAGGTTGCAACTCAGGAGGCTCTTAAGAGGGCAGAGATGGCTGAAGCAGCCAAGAGAGCAGTTGAGGGTGAACTTAGAAGGTGGCGTGAACGAGAGCAAAAGAAGGCAGCTGAAACTGCATCCCGTATTCTTGCAGAAACAGAAAAGTCATTAGAATCATCCCCGCGTCATTATAGGATTCAAAAGCAGAACCCAGCACCACATAAAGTTGAGGTCCGGAAGTTGGAGAAAGAAAAGAATTCTGTTTCCAAGAAAGCACTTTTGCCTAATCTCAGTGGTATTTTCCAGCGGAAGAAAAACCAAATTGAAGGTGGGTCTCCTTCTTACCTGCCTGGTGAGAAGCCTGTCTGAAACTTGTGTTTGCAAGACCTTTGTGTGATTATTAATTGTTGAGAGAGGCGATGTTTATGAGTTGATTGTGTGTACATTTGAAACTAGTGGAATCAAATTGCATGAATCTCTGGTCTCTTTGAGGAAGAAGAGTGAATATTTAAAGGTTAGAAGGGAAGCAAGTTTAGGGAAGTGTGGATTTTGTATATGGGACAAGTTATTAGATAATGATTGAGGATCTGCATTAGGAAATGATTTCTTCCTTTTTAAGATTGTTTCTTCAAGCGATGGAGGCGGAAACAAGTGAGCCCCTTTTAACTTGGGCAGGGTGGCCCTTGACAGATGGGTTGGCAATGGTGAACACCTAACAGTGATGCTTTCTGGACCGCATTGAATCTGTCATCTGACTAGAATTGGGTGAGTGAGAGCCTGCTTTAAGTGGGATAACCCCCAAAAAATCAAGTATCCATCATTTTATTGATTTTAAAAAGCAGAGGTCGGATGATAATTCATTTTCAGGTTTGGTTGGGCTAACTTTCTTCACCAACCCTAACTTGATTTGCTCCTAAACATATACAGCAGGAATGGTTTCTTTTATATCAATTCTTGTCGTGCATTAGCCAGGAAGGACTGACTATATGATATTCCTGAATATTGAAAAATAGGTTATAGATGATACATCTAGAAATAGACTAAGATGTATATGTTTTCGCAATTGGAAATGACATTATCTTGTTTAAAACACAAGTGGTCATCTCCTTAGCCCTAAATCTAAAACACAACTAGAACCACCTAAGACTGCTTTTGACCCTTGCAATAGGCAATAGCAACATATTCCATTTGCAGCCAAACCTACATTATAGCAATTTGGGTCCTTCAAAATCACTTGCCAGCCATAGTTTATCCCCCAATTAATGGTCTAGGCACCAAGCATGTGGTGTAAGAAAACATTTATAATCTACGTGTTAGGCTTTGTTTTCCTGTCTTTTTAGTGGGGGCTTATATTATTGCTAATGCTAAATGGCTGCATGTTTCCAATGTCAGCGACAAGGCAATTGGAGTTTTTCTGATTCAACTGGAGGAGGATATGTTAGGGCTAGAAGTAAAAGCTACAAAATAGGTAGACATCATTTAATAGGGTATCATTATTTTTATTTTTATTTTTTTAGAATATCAATAGGTTATTAGTTTAATGGCTCACGCAATGTTTATTCCTATAATCAAATAAAATGCGAGAACAGAAATGAAATGAAAAACCTAAAATCTATAACACTTTTTCCTTAATTATTCATTACATTAACTCATTGTTTCTTTCTTTTGCATATTGTAAGAAAAACATATTGCTTGTGTGTTAATAGATTAAGAAAATAATTTTACAATAAAAAATAAGAGGAAAATTTAAAAAAATAAAAGAAAAGAAATGAAATGGAAAGAAGCTCACTCACTAAAGGCCTAAAATTATGAGAAAAATTGAAGAAGGCCAGAACAACTGGGAAAATTAACCAAACAAAATGTCCGAGACAGCTTAGTACAACTACAAACTCGGTTCAAAAAAAAAAGGGTGCTTGGTACAAACTACAAACGTATTCTCACTTCCCATACCACTGGAACTAAAGCCTCTTCAGACTCCATCTCTATTCCTTTTGTCCAAATTCCTCTCCAAAAGCCCTTTCTTTTATATGTCTAAAATGTCAAGCAATAGAGAAGACCCACTTCCATACACAAATAACCCATCTTCCTCGTCCTCTCCGATCACAGTTTCTGACCATCTTGACACTACCTTCCTAACTGCAGACCCATCTGGCTCTCACCTCGGCAGCGCCTCCAATAGCTTCCAGAACGACGCCGGTTTTCTCAACGAAAGCGCCAGCAGCAGCGACGTCGAGTTCGGCTTCTCTAGGCCTGAGTTCAGACAGAGCCCGCTTGCTGGGACTGTGCAGTTCTATGAGCGTCATGTGTTCTTATGTTACAAGCATCCTTCTGTCTGGCCACCGAGGATTGAGGCTGCTGAGTTTGATCGGTTGCCTAGGTTGCTCTCTGCTGCTGTCATGGCTAGGAAGAGTTACATGAAGAAAGAGGTCTTCCTTTCCCCTCTTTTTTTATATTTTTTTTATTTTTTTTTTATGGATCGTTTTAATTTGAGTGAAATGAAGTGGGTTTATTTGTTTGTGAATTTAACTATAATTTGCATGGTTGGTTTTGTTTGAGTGAATTTCAACTGAGTTTTTGGATTCTGTTTTGATGTAGATTGTTGTATTTTTCGTGCATTATAGTAGGTTTTTCTTTTGATGATTTTTGGGTTGGTTCTGTTTATGGTGATTTGAAGGTGTAGCTTTTGGCTTCAATTTTGATGTGGGGTGGTCTAGGTAACACATAAATTTGAATGAGATCGTGGTGGTTTATAGATTGTTTGAGTTTCAGAAGTGACCATAGGATCACTTAAATTTTAGGGCTGATTTGGAAGTGGCTGATTTAGATTTTATGAACTTTTATGAAGGCTAATTTCTTTTCGGTTGACTGAGGTTTATAGAATTGTGCTTCCAGACTGTGTTCTTGAATCTCATATTTGGATATTTTAGAATGAGGTGTGTTAATGAGTGATTAATGGTGTGATTTAGTCTGTCTTGGTCTTTGCAGTGGTTGGTCTTAGTGTTAGTTACATATGTTCTCATAGGTCATGGAATGGTTGTACTTCGTTGGCGATCAACTTGAGTTTATGTGTCTTGTGAATTCGCTTTGTTTCTGAACTCATTAAAGAATGTTAATTCTGGATTTTTTTTTTTTTTCATTTAAGTGACGTGGGGTTGATCAATAGCGAACTTGAGTTTTGACAAGGAATGCGTATCAGGATTTGCACAATGAATATGGCCGCATAGGTTAACTGTTTCCAAAATTAATGCTTTTCTTGGAAACTTTGATGTTATTTTCTTGGACTTAGTCAAGGGAGAGTAAATTTCAACCTTGAGATACTATTATTATGTGATCCTGCAAAAGTAAGAATGACAATGTTATGTAGACCATTAATGGTTGGAGCTTACTCATCATATAAACAACATAGTGAGATTTCTGAAATTATGAAATTTATGGGGGTTGAACTTTTGAACCATATACCATCAAGCTAGATAAATTTTATTATCAGCCCCTTCTTGGGATTGTTGAACTGCTTTATTCCTTATGTTACAGGCAAATTTGTCAGTAGTAAAATCTTAAGCAGAATTACTTTAACTGCTTTGGTGAAGCAACTCATGAACAGTACATAAATTTTCGTATTTACATCATAATTTCAGACTTTCTGTACATCTATTACTGGATAAGTTTTTGCATTAAGAATGAGAAGCTGGTTTTGAACTCTTTCGTCTCTTTAGTATCACAGAATCCATGCAGTTCGTTATTATCAGAAGTACAAAATTTTGAGTTTGACAATCAGTGGAGGCTTTTATTCATGACAAGCTTCCTTATTGGGTAAAAAATGTGATTGACAGATTGGCTGCGCTTTCTTTATTCATTTCTATGGTGATCATTCAACACCTTAGCTTTCACTTTCCTTTATGATTTCTTTTTGCTCAACTGTTCATATTTGGATTGTTTGGTCATATTTAGCATAATAGTCCATTGTGATATGTTGTGAAGGAAACAACATAAAAGCTGGAACTTTTTTGTTTGTTGATACAGCACTGCATGTTTGTTTCTTTAATGTGCATGTGACCTGTAAATTGTGTAATGTGACACTTCATATTCACTATGCCTGTGTTGAAATTCAAATTCTCATGTGCCTGCATGAGAAGGATGTAGAAGAAATATGATTTGGATATATAGCATAAATCACAAGATGAATATCATTGTTGGTATCATGCAAAGTTGGTTACATTTTTGTTTCATAAATCATAGAAAAGCAAAAGTATAGAAGTTCAACCAGTGAATGATTATTTTTGGCTAAATGCTTGCCATTGACTTGCTTAGGTTGAATCAGCTTTCTGTTCTCCCATGCTGTTGGATGCCATTTGTGGTTGACTACTTAATAGAGTATGCTGTATATGTGTCCATTTGATAACTGCATGTCTTTATGCAAATATGTATCTGGATGTAAATACGCCTGTGCTAACAGTTACTATTTACCCATACTGGCTGAGAGTCAAGTTAGCTATTGTTTTCTAAAAATAAGTAAATCAGTAAATAGATGAACTTATTAGTTTTCTTTATTTTGCCACTTTCAACATCTAGACTCGCTTGACGATTTGTGAGGGGCATGATGGGATCGAGACATCAAATGGAGATGTATTAATCTTCCCAGATATGATCAGATACAGGTTAATCAATGGCTGATTTTTTGGTTGGAGATCCTATTCTTGAATTTGTTCTTTTCTGCTTTCACACTGATCTTGACCTTAGCAAAGGATGCAGGAGATTGACACATTTTGATGTCGACACATTTGTTGAGGAAGTGCTTGTGAAGGATGGTGAATGGCTGCCTGGAACTCCAGAAATACTAAAGGGTAGTTATGTTTTTGTATGTTCTCATGGGTCCCGAGATCGTCGGTGTGGTGTTTGTGGACCTGCTTTAGTTAGTAAGTTCAAAGAAGAGATAGAATTACATGGACTTCAAGGCAAAGTATCTGTCAGCCCATGCTCTCACATTGGAGGGCACAAGTATGCAGGGAATGTCATTATATTTGGATCAAGTCTCAGTGGGGTCATCACTGGACACTGGTAAGTGGCAGATACATGTTTTGGCAATTGCTTATAACTTCCTCTGTTTCTTTGGTTTATAGATCTATTTTCATATAATTAAGCATTTCTAAAATAATAGTTTTAAATCCTACAGGTATGGATATGTCACTCCTGATGATGTCTCCGTATTACTTGAGCAGCATGTTGAAAAAGGAGAGATAGTAGATTGGCTATGGAGGTAATAATCAAATTTCTGAATGTCTAAGCTTTGCCTTTTGAGTTTTAATTTTCCTTAATGGAGGTAGTTTTGAGGTAATTCTTCTTTGGTGGGCATCTGTATGCTGATACAGGGGCCAAATGGGTTCATCTGAAGAAGAACAAATCAAATCCCAAGAACTAAGGCTCCAACTAAATGGAGAGACAGATGTAGGAAAGAACAGTAAAAAGTTGACACAAACGCAGATAGATGAAGCAAGCACCGGCGCACTAAGTACTAAATTAGAAGTTACAGGATGTTGCCAGCAAAATGGAAGATCTTCTTCTTGCTGCCAAAACCCCGTTTCACCACAAAAGGAGACTCTGGATGCTAATGATAAGGGTATAAAGGTGTCACCCGATAAGAAGAATAGCAAGAGACAACTATCCCGGATGAACAGTGGAAAAGGGTTGTCTACGCGTAGGATTTGTGCTATGCCTACATGGTTTGAGAGCTGGGAGCGTGAAGATACGTATGCGGCTCTTGCTGTGGTCTGCGCTGCAGTGTCGGTTGGTGTTGCCTATAGCTGCTACAAACAGTTGAGATAGAACTTCCAAACCCAGCATGTAGGTTATTGTATGTCCTTGAATCCACTCTTTGCAAGATTGGCTGGCATTAATGGGAAAAGGACCTTAAAGCAAAGTCCTTACTTCCATGTGTGTAAGAATTGTGAATTAATTTCTTTGTTTTGTATTCTTGTAAAACTTGGAGTTTGTAATTATGCATATAATTAATCTATGAGGTCTTTTTCCAAGCCTTATGTCGACAGACACCTTTCATTTATTGTCATATTTTCCTTAAATTACACATCACGTGCAATGCAATTCACTGCTTTGCATGCTAACATCCAATAAAATTAATAATATCATTAAATATTATTTTTAAGTAATAGAAATTTAAAAATTTTAGGTTGTCGAGTACTTATCTTACTTATTCCTATTTCTTATCTTCCTTATTCCTATTTATTGAGGTTTATATTATCATAATGTGATAGTCTGCGAAGGTGTCTTCTAAATAAATTACGTATTTCTATCAATATTAGAAAAATTCAATAGGAATACGCAAGCATAAATTTGTGTCACAAGTCTTTGGAATCCAGTGAACAAGAAGACAAATAATGAACTCATACAATATTATTTTATTTCTTAAAAATAAATGCAACGTGGACACATGACTAGTATATGATAATACCCTTTGATATGTTAAATTAAAATTTTCACAACTTTCTAAGGCTACATTTGTTTAATGACATTTATCTTTATATTGCTGAATATCACATCAGCTTAAACCTTTTCTTCTGTCTGTCTTTCCTAACAAAAAATACATATATTTCCAAATGTAAGATAGATATTATAAGCAGAACTGCCAGCGTAGTTACTTACCTTTTCTTTCGGAAATTTTACAACCAAGGTTTAAAATTTCTTTTCTCCAACCAACAAGGGATCAGGAATTTAGGGTTATGCACTAGGTCTGAGCCAAGCCAACATGAACATTGTTTACACTACTTAGAATGAGGCAAACAGATAATGGAATAGCTTTTTCTCTAGCATAAGCGTGAGAAGGTAATACAAATGCCAGAGTTATAATTATCCACTCCAAAGTGGTAATATCAATCTACAAAAATATTAGCTTCTTATCTTGTGAAACCTGCATCAAGTTGATGCAAGCAAATACTAATAATATATTTAGGCAACTGAAGTACAAAGACTTGCCTCCAAAGCAGTCAGGAATGAATCAGCCAAGTTGGGTTCTGTTATGGTATCAGCAGGTATTTGAAAACTTTATCACCAGACAATTAGTGACCATTAACTTTGAGGCCATTTAAAGAGTTGGCGAGCCCATTCCGATCTCCGAACTTATGGAACTCACATTCAATTGTCTTAGCAATGTTAGTATCTTCTGGGTCTGGCTCGGGGATATCGACATGGACTGACCCTTGTTTGATTGGTGAAATGGATTCTAGAAGAGCAGCTTGCTGTTTGATATAATTGTATACCTGTTGGTGGAAGTCATGATCCAAAGAAAAACAATTTTCAGTAGTTCCGGTTCCTGTGCGGCGAGAGGAGCCAGAGCCTTCTTTTCTACAAAAATGTGGAAGGGATGAATAATCCATTATCTGTAAAGAAATGAGAAATAAACAGGGTCAAACCTCTTATTAGCCTTTTTAAGTACGGCAGAAAAAGAACTAACAGTACAACAACCATCATGGAGAACACTAAAACAACTGCTCCTAGGAGAACCATGAGAAAAAACATAGTTGAGATACATAAAATATAAAATATAAAATCCAGAACACAAAATCTAAAAAACACACTAGTAATATAATATCCCAATTGCTGTTGGCCATAGAAACACACATTCTCCTATTAAGTTGGAAGTTCAAGAGAGAGGTTTTTAGGAAGCAAATTTGGATTTTATCACACTATGGGTACCTTTTGTTCATGGTGGTGGACACATAGATAATTAGCCAACTTCACTGGCAGGTCTGGCTTTTCTGAACATACTCTCATTGTGCTCCACTAAAATAAAAATAAAACATCACCACACTCATATCGGCACTCAACCACACAAAAAAGTACTTTCAAGTCAAGTATTTTTTAGAAAGTTTATTGTGAGCATGGAAGAAGGTGCACTAGAAGATAAATCCCAATTCTTGTATTCAAAAGACGAGCATGCTGAAGTGAAATTCAGAAACTACAGTTATTTAGTTATATTGCCTTGCCTTCAACAATTCATCTCTTCCACAGCCTTGCAACACCTGAATTTTCCTCCTTGTTCTTTCTTGTAAAAGAGGCTTTACAACCTGCAAAAGTATTTTACAATAGGTTCAGTTATTGATAGGACATCTACAGCATCAAGAGAATTTAGAGACTATAAAAAAAAATGTTCACTTGAGAAACAAATTTAAACCTTCCAACATGCTGAAAATACATATGGGACATTGACAATATAATATGTCTCTGTTTTTTCTGGATAGTTTAAGTCATCAACTGTAGATATAGCTGTCAATATCTGCAATAAAAGATAACAAGAGCCAGAACTTAGATCATAGGAAGACTGTTTAGTAAGTGAACAAGCTAATTTGGTTTGAAACCATAGAGCGTATCAAAACCTAATGACAAATTAGATGGCTTTTCAAATAAAAATTTGACTTAAACTCCTCACTTTTGGCTTCAGAATTGAAGAACACATTTTTGTTAATATGCAAGCTACTGTAGTTTTCACAAATATCATGTCTCCTAAATGGTTTGTTGGTGACTTTTAATATGAACATCATTTTCACTGAAAAAAGAACATAGATAATAAATTAGATGGTTACTCGATATGAAAGTTACCTTAATTTGATTCAATGCTGAAAGCTTCAACCCAGTCATATCTAAAACTTTGACACATGTGCTAATATGCCGTCCATACTTTTTGGTTGCAGAAGGCTAAAACAAAAAATAACAAGCCAGGTTACATGGCAAATCATAGAGATTATTAACAATGTTAAGTAGGCATATATCATGCTCACCAAAATCACACGATCTCGATACTCATTCATTTGGATGTGTGACTGCACATAGTAGTGCACCTAAAATGGAAATAAAACAAACGAACACCAGAGACAAACAGTAGGAATTAGAACAAGGTGATGCCAAAGATCAACAGATTTTATTATTAAGTGCAAGTCGACAAAAAAAAAAAAAAAAATCTTACACTTTTCACACTCATATGGGAGTCTCTCTCTCACATGCAAATGCAACCAAAACAAATTTATTGTGTGAATAAGCATCTATAATCACATGACCCACTCATAAAAACTAATCCCAGTGGCTGCTAAGTAAAAATTTTAACTATATCCTTTAGGTAATACCAAATATATAATAAAGTTATAAAATACTTACAGATGCTTTATCAAATGTGCTGAGCCCAGCACCAATGGCAATGACAGGAAGACCCTGTAAGATTCAACAGAGAATAGGGAAAAAATTAGTTTTGTGATCATAAGAGACTAATTTTCACATTGCAGAACCCTTGCTATAAGCAAAACAATAAATTCCACTCAGAAGGAACCAAAATTTTCAAGTGTCACTGGAGAAATGGACTTCAAACCATCAACCCTCTTGGGCAAGCCAGCAATGGAACAATAACAACTATATATGTGAAGAAGGTAAAAACTTGAGCATACCTCTTTCGTATAGCCTGATAATCCTATAAGCTGAGAATCTCGAATTGCACTATACAAATCAGCTGGAATGATTGGTTTCTGTACAGGGATAATCAAATCAAGAATAATTGTTATTGAACACAATGAATGCAAGGTTGTTTCACCAATGTAGTCATTGTGTCATAAATTGTTAGAACTAAAATGCCTGAGACCTCATACATATTCTGATTGAATTTGTTGGATATTCTTGCAAGGTTTAGCTAAAAGAATAATGCAGATCTAGCTGTTTTAAAACATCCAAAAAACCATCTTTTTGTGGATCTTCACAAAAGAAAAACCATGAAGTGAAACTTGAATTTTAGAGTAGAAGAGTTAGACGTGGTCATGAAACTATCTACAGACATCCATTGCATGCTTAGATGTTCTGTTAGTCTTTTGTTTTATTAGATTGATTGTATTTCAGTGCTTCCTATTCCAACCAGCACTCTGAAGGATTAGATATTACATCCTTATGGTATTCAAAGGGGTGAAAGGGAATAATCTATTAAGAAATTTACCAATGATTGAGGTGCTTATTTCAAAGAAGACAATTCTAAATGACAGCTTTTGTTCACAGGGGTATGGGCTTGTCCCATAATGAGTTACTTTTTATATCTTTAAGGTTGTGCCTCTAACAAATAATCTTCCATCCAATAACAATAATGTACAAACTACAGTATCTACCTAACATTTAAGTGCAAATAAACTTACCGCCAATATGTTGTCAATCTCGTTTTGTATTCTCCATTGTAAACAATCAATCAACTGCAACAACAAGGCAATAATAGCAAAGAGTAATAAGACAGATGAAAGCTGTGGAGACTGAAATTTGTGAAGAAGTTGCAACACAAACGATATTCTTAAAAAAGCAAATGGATCAAACCATTTTATGGGCCTTAGCAACATTCCAGTCTCTTGCTTTGAGAAACCGCAAAAATGTTTCATTTGGACAACCCTGGTGCACATTCTGGAGGCCACATAACAAGCCTCAAGTTAATGTTTATTTGATATACTTCACTAGAGTTCATGTCGAGAGCCAAAATAGCCACCTTAATACAACAACAGACTTCCAAACATAAATCTTAAACACAATAAATCAAAAGGGACAAAAAAGTCAACCATTCTAAAAATTCTCTTTGCCATTACCTTGTTGTCTTCCTGCAATTCAAATTCCTCGAAATAAACTATGATAGAGTATCATACCAAAAGACTTTAAAATGAAATCTTGCAGCTCTACATGATTTTTTCAAAAATGAGACAATTTATGATCACTATTCTTTTATGTTACTGCATCTGGATGTAATTATTCATCACTCCGCTTGAAAGCCTCAAACTTAGTCCTTAAATACTAAAATTTATCAAAAGGCAAAGTCTGTGATCCAGTACTCCTATGTGGAAACTACAGCTGCAAATTTAGTCACACATTGAAAAACCAAAAGCTGTTGGGTTCTGCTGAAACACATTCTAGGGCAGACGCCATATAAAGCCATTTAGTTTAGCTAAGTTCAAAAGGAATTTGAAATGTATACTCTCGCAGTCTGTATGATCAAAAAAACAAAAATATTGTATTACAATCCGATTCAAAGTATCACAAAGATTCCAACTAGTCATTGAACATGGAAAGGAACTGAAATCTTCCAATAGAAGGAAATATGCAAGTGGATAAAAGCCCCTGTTTAGTCTATCCAGTATCAACAACTAGTATATAGATTAAAGGACTCCATGCGTTGGTAGGCAACATGACAGAATCATTCTCTTCAGTGAATCATAGAATTCAAGGAATGCAAAGCAATGCAATTTCAAAGCTATATATAGTTCACCTATTTATGAGCAGAAGAAAAAGAAAATAACAACATATAGATCAGACCCAGCAACAAACAAAGGAAATAACAAATGAATATTACAAACTAGATCAAATCCCGCCTCCCATCACCCCAACCCAGAGTAAAAAAACGAACATAATTTGTACTTAATATTGATTTAGTCAATTTCCAAACCAATAAGCGAAAAAAATTAATAATAATAGAGCTATACTAAATTCTTTAACTGTGAACTGAGCTTAATCCTTAAAATTTCAATTCTCAAATCCTCCTTTTTCCTGCAGTTGTATGTTTCTTATTTTTCTTCTCTTTTTTCCTTGTTTTCTTAGTACTCAAACAGAAATCAAATCACTATAACCCAGAAGGAAAAAAAAAAAAAAAATTTTCTTCTCTTTTCCTTGTTTCTTTAGTACTCAAACAGAAATCAAAAATCACTATAACCCAGAAGGAAAAAAAAAAAAAATACTAACCGGAAAAAAAAAAAAAAAATACTAACCTGAAATGTTTTCTTCAGTGGCTCCTCTACTGATAGAATACCAGAGAAAAATGCGAACTTTTCCGTTAATAATTATAGACAAAACCAAAATATAAAAACTAAAATAAATTTTAAAAAAAATGTGAGTTGGGTTTTGAAAGCTGACTTTGTTCCATTAAAGACTGAAATTGCTTGATCGCTTCTTGATTAGCAATGCCCATTTCTTGTTTTATTCTTCTTTTGCAATTGCAGAAAAACAAACGTTGAGTTTTAAAATTTCAAAGTCTTTACAAGAACAGAACTGTCTGTGTTAGACTCCCACTCCTTGTCTCCAGAGATTTCAGTGACCAAATTTAAACTAATTCTTCACCAAACAAGAGAGAGAGAGGGGGAGAGAGAGGGAGAGAGAGCGAGAGATGGGCTTCCTTGAAATCTGGGTTTGTTTTCTTGTTTTAAATCAATGGTTAAAATAGCCAAAAAAGGGAAAAATTTTCATCTTTGAAGATCCACAATGTCTTGGTTAGATTTAACATTTTTTAAAAAAAGTAATTTTTATTGAATATTTTCATAATTGGTAATAAATCACATCAAAGTATTTAATCAGCAAATTATTATTTATACCGACTCTACTTTAATTAGTTACAGTTGTATCACACAAAATTCGATGCATTTAGATTATTATTATTCACGTAATTGCCTTTAGCGTCTTATCACAACTTTTCTCTCATTCATGGAATATTAAGCTTCTGTCTTTTTATAAAATATTTTTCAAAATTTCCAATGTTTAAGGTGGCTAGAAAAATCAAGCAACAAGTTTTCAGGACCAAAAAAAACATTAACTACACTTTTTTTTTTTTTTTTTTTTTTTTCTTTTTTTTTTTTTTTTTTTTTTTAAAGAAAGGGATTATTGATACAATCGTGTTTTTTTTTTTTTTTTTTTTTTAAAGAAGGATTATTGATACACTCGTCGTAATTTTATAAAAACATTTTCACTAATGCATTAATTTTTGATAACCATTATTACCGGTTACGAGTTACTTCCATTTATCACCACTAACTTTTGGGAACTGGTGTAGTGGTGTAGTTATTATTTACGTATTTTTCATATTTGATAATAATAATAATAAATTTTACAAATATGATATTTTTGTAATTCTAAAATTTTTAATATTTTTTATTAGTTTTCAATATTACAAATAGATAATAGAAAATAAATTATTTAAGAATAATATTTTAAGAAAGATAAATTACTTTTCTAAAATACAATAGAGCTTTACTACTATTACAACATTTCCTTAGAATGGACTTTCCACTTTTATTTTTTGTAAAATACTCCTTAGTCCTTGCATATGAGTCATAATTATATATATATATATATATTACATGTAACCTATCATGTGAGGAATATAAAAAGTATCCATGAAAGGATCAAAAGTGGAATCCACATGACACTATGAAGAGATGATATGGTAATGGTACCTTTAGTGATGGGGCCATGTGGGTCATTTGTTGTTGTCAAACTAAGAGGTGAGGTGAAGTTTCCTTCTTTGATCCTATGATTGGTTGGTAACGTATATAATTGCTAATTAATTACTGTACTAATACATAATTAACAAACCATAGTGATTTGGTTGGTCTTCTCACTTATGTGAAGAGTGAAAAGTCTCGAGTTTGAGTCATCTCAATTATAATTGTTTTCATCAATTTGGTAAGATAAGGGAGGAATACCACAATTAGTATTTCCGCCCAATAATGGCCTCCAATAAATTAAAAAAATAAATAAATAATTAACAAATTGTGGAATCCCTAATTGACCCTTTCTCCTCCCATGTGAAAGATTTAATTTCATAGTCAAAAAACTTGGACATGTAGTATAGGTTTCAACATTGATGGGTAATATGGTATTTTAATTAGGAAAAATTCAATTACCATAGAATAAACATATTTAGACCAATATTTTATTTTCAGTCTTCCTTCATATTACAAAAGCATAAATTATAATGTCATTCAAAGTTGGTAATTCTATTATTTGTAGGAAAGTTCATATATATAATTTAAACAATAATAGAGCACTTTATTTAAAATTCAAGCGATATTTCAATCTTTTTCTTTTTTTTTTTAATTGTACTATTTATATATTTTTAAATTTTTTAAATCAGCTTTGACTAATTTACATTTGACCGATGAAATAGGCAAACCATAATATATAAAAATCTAAATTTTGAAATAAAATAATATAATTCGCTAGATTTTAATCCGTTCTATATCTTAGGCCCATAGACTTAATCGTTTATACTTTATTATTCACCCACAAAAAGCATTATTCTAATACTAATATATATAGATATGATTATAATTTTCAACATTTATATTACATAAACGAACAATAATTATGAATTTAATAGAAACCCACTTAAAAAATGTCAACTAAAATACCGTAAAACAACACATAAAAGGCTAAAAGATTAGGCTTGGATGCCAATCAATTATACACCTTTCACCTCAAAAATTTTTGTTCCATTCTTTGCAAATTTTTATATGAGTTCTTGAAGATGGGAATAGATTCTTGAGTTTGTGGGTTAGGGATTTGAATTTTTTGCATACAGTTTCTGTGCACTGCATATCAAAAATAATAATACTAACTAAGAACAAATCTCTAGGTGCCAAGAATGTTCCCATCCCATGTGATCATTACCAATAGCAAAACAATATTCCATAATTTCCATATTTTTAATTTTTTTTTTTTTTTTTTTTTTTCCAAATAATTTTCCCAATATTTTTTAATTTTTTTTTTTTTTTTTTTTTTTGCATAAATTTGTATTCTCACGTGGCTTTATTCACAATGTTTAAATGGTATTTACTAGATTTGTAATTTTGTAAAATTACATTAATTAATTATAAAATAATAAGATCACTTTATGAGTGTATAAAAATTTAATATCATAACAACCTTATTTTAACAAAAAAAAATTAGCATTAAATTTTTTATTTATAATTCAATAGTCCAAATATTATCTAAGCATTAATTTTGTGTAGAATCGATAATATTATTTTTTTTTTTTTTTTTTTTTTTGCATAAATTTTCTATTCTCACGTGGCTTTTCACATGTTTAAATGGGTATTTATAGATTGTAATTTTGTTAGTTACATTAATTAATTATAAAATAAATAAGAGTCACTTTATAGTGTATAAAAATTTACATATCATACAACCTTATTTAACAAAAAAAAAATTACATTAAATTTTTTATTTATAATTCAATAGTCAAATATTATCTTAAGCTTAATTTTGTGTAGATCGATAATATTTAAATATATTCTAATACAATTTTAAATGTAATAAATTGACAAATTTATTCTCATGCAAAATTTAAATTCCATAAAATTTAAGTAAAAAAAATTAAGTAGAAAAATCTAAATCTAACGTGTGTGTGTGTATATATATATATATATATATATTAAAAAAGAAAAAAAAGAAAAGTATTTTTATTTTGGTTTTGAGAGGAGGATCCCATTCTAGTTCCACGTGAACGTTCCACATCAAATTTGACATTTTTGGCACGAATAATAGTTATTTTTTTCTTTTTGGACTTCGCATCTACCGAACAATCAGAATATATTATTAGAAAAAAAAAAATCAGAATATATAATTATATTTTTTTCGACCATGACAGATTGAAAGATTTCTTAAAGATAGTTTGTCACAATCAAATCTATTGTTCCATGTTTTCAAAATGTCAAAAACTTGGTTTAATTAAAGAAGAAATATATATTTTTTTACTCCACACAGTTGCTTTTGATTTTTGAATATTCAATTTTTACGAGCTTTAGAGGATTTATCCTCTCCTTTAAATAATATTTACTAAATTGGTGATAATTTTTATAATGGAAAAGACTTATAACTCGAGACCTCTTATTTTAAAAATATCAACTAAATCACGTGTAATTGGCATGTATTGAGATTCTATTTCTTGTTTAAAATTTAAACTTTAGTTATTTTCCCTTGATATAGAAAAAGACAAAAAAAAAAATATAATTATAGTTGATATTAGCTTCAGAAAATGTTGGTATGTTGTAATTATAATTTATACCCATTTATTATAATTAAAATGAAATATAAATTATTATAAATACTGAATAGTGTAGGATATTAGGTTCCTAAAATGTTGATTTGTTGTAATTACACCCATTTATTATATATTCTGTGCATTTTAGGACATTAGCTTCATAAAAAGTTGATATGTTGTAAATTGTAATTATACCCATTTATTATAATTAAAAATGAATTGTAATTTTTGATATATACTGAATAATTTGGGATGTTAGTTTCATAAAATCTTGATTTTGTTCCAATTATACCCATTTATTATAATTAAAAATAAACAATAATTTATTATATATACTGAATAATTTAGGATAATAGCTTCATAACATGTTGATTTGTAGTAATTATATCCATAATTTTGGTATACGATTGTAAAATTTATAAAAGATTTACAATTTTTTTAATAATTAGCTGATTTAGTAATAAACAACTCAAATATATATAAAAAACTTGAAACTTTATAAATTCTATTTTATTCTATGATATGTATTATTGCAACTTAGTGAATAAGAAACTTCCAAATCGTATGGATCAAACAAAAAACACCAAAAGCGAGTAATTACATCGATAATACCAAACTTCGTTAAGAAGCATGGACATGGTCTTCTTCTTGTTCCTTAAAATTATTTTAATTTAAATACTAAATACAAAGAGTAATTCTTTTTTTTTTTTTTCCATTTTTACTTTAGTCTCCATGCAAATCGAATCAAATGGTGGTAAAATAATTCACAAAATAAATTTGATTAATAGATACATTTATTAGGTATGTGTAAATTTTTTTTTTTTTTTTTTGAATATAGTTTATTTTCGCTAATCTAACGGTTAGTTGATGACGTTAATTTGCATATTAATGTCTAAAATGATAAAGACGACACAAAAATAAAATAAATTAATACAAGACATAATATAGATATATAGATGTAGATATAGTGGGGTAAAATCATTGGATGCATTGGATCAATTTTCAGCTCTTCCAAGGTAATTTTCATTGGTTAAATAAAAATTTTTAGAATAAAAATTTTTATATTTTCAACTAAGTGTTTAATCAATTTAATTTTACAAATTAGAGTATTAAATAAATCTCTTAGTTTAATCAATTTAATTTTACAAGTTAGAGTATTAAATAAATCGATCAAAGTACTTAGTAAGTATGATTTTGATTGAAGTGTTTGGGATTAAAATAAAAGTTGTGAAAAATACAAACCTATATATTGAGCCAATAAGAAGACAAAACGCAAAAACATAGGTTAGAGACAATATACTTTTCTTTCTTGAAATTTTCCAAGAAAAATGCTTTCATCAGTCTACAAAATGAAAATTATTTTGAAAAAACTAATGAAGACACAGAACAAAAAGCTGATCAAAATTTCTCTTGTTGATCAATAGCAGCATCCTGTATTCACCAAAAGAAGAAATCAAATCCATGTTGTACATTTGAGAACATTCACTATAGCAGATATTCAACTTCCTTCAATACAAATATCAAAACGTTTTAAAGCAACATTGAACATATAAAATGACTAATCAATTCAAAAACCCTACTTTCCACAACTTCGATGTTCTAGAGACTCTACATATGGGGGTGAAAAACAAATAGAATATCAGTTCCAAGGACAACTAAAAGAAATCAAATTCCAGATAATTATTCTGCTCAGGAAGAACAGCAGGTGCACCTTTACCACTTGTTGATGGTGGAGCTGGAATATGCTCTATCTCAGGCGGCTTAGGGATCTCAGGTGGACTGGCACATCGAATCAAAGCCCAATTCACCCCTTCAAAGAAAGGATGTTGCTTGATCTCTGTTGCTCCTCGTTTATAAGCCAACCTGTGCTGTGGTTCTTTCACTAGCAATCCCCTTATCAGATCCCTTGCTGAGAAACTTACAACCGGTGACTCAGGAAATCGTAATGGCTGACCCACAACATTGAACAGAGTGGCTCGGTTACCAGATCCCTTGAATGGAGTTTTCCCAAAAAGTAGTTCATATAGAAAGATACCAAAAGTCCACCAATCTACAGCACTTCCATGCCCTTCACCTTTTATAATTTCAGGGGCCAGGTATTCATGTGTTCCTACAAAGGACATGGATCGAGCATCCGTTGGCTCCGCAATAAGCTCAGGCAGTGGAGTGACTTGATTTCCCATTTCATTCTTGGGTTTCCGTTCTTTTCTGGATTTGCTTAAAAAGAGTCTAGGAGAAAAACATGTTGTAGGGGCCACACACGATGGCTGAATACAAGATGGCTCAATGCAAGCCGGTTGAACACAATAAGCTGGGTTCCTGCGCAAGGGATCACCTTCAGGTGCTGAAGATTTGACTAATGTTGGGCTAACTGCACACCGGAGGGAAAGGTCGAAGTCAGAAAGCATTATATGTCCATCTTCACGAACAAGAACATTTTCTGGCTTAAGGTCACGGTAAACAATTCCAAGCATATGAAGATATTCCAGAGCAAGGAGAACTTCTGCTACATAGAACCTGTAGATTAAATTTCAAAGGACATGATTGACTATACTAACAATCACTAAGAAAAGAATATAAGGAAAAATGGTCATTTTATTTGTTTCCAAGTGGTATATGATTACGGAATGTGAATACCAAATGAGTTTTTACCCTTCCATTACATAATCAGAACATCATTACATATCCAGTGCTCTCATCATTTTCCTCAACTTTCTTGCAAATTTTAGTCTAAATTACTAGTGGAAGTATGAACCCATGCACTTGAAGAGTTTAAAGTGACCAATTTTCACAGGGAATTTGTTTCAAATTTAGCTAGCATAGGCAGATTCTCCAATGTCCCATTATGATTGGAAGAAGAGTTTTACAGAAAATATTTGAAAAGGTAGAGATCTAAAACTGACTGTTACTTTTCAAGGTCAGTTAGTTCTAAACGATGTGGAACCCAATGTTTGAAAGGAGTATATGCAAATTCAGTGCACCAATAGCACCGCAAGACAACTCCTCTGAACCATTAAGTAAATTTATCTCTTCATTCTCTCAGCTGGTTCTGAAATAAGAAATGTTTTCCCTCTATCAATATTGGCCACCTAAGAAATGCATACCCATCAGTCTGCAAATCTGGTTAATTTTCACATTCCTTTTATGGATTGTACATCCAATAGCATCTTCAGCATGTCTTTTTATATTTTAATAATTTCACTAATTATACAAAAAGATAAATCAGTTAATAATATTCTGAAAAATCTCTACATAGCTCTTGTATGAAAATCAAAATTATTATTCTCCAATCACTTGAAATAAGTGCCAAGCATCTCCAACATCAATGCATAGCAATAAACCTATCAATACTAAGCAGGATGCAAAGGCAATATGTACCATATTAGGCACTTTTCAAACAAAGCATGCATGACATCAAAAGAATGCAAGCAGATGCAAATCCACTGCCTCATCAACATCATATATAGATTACTTAAAGGGTAGATTTCATACTTCACTGCCCGTTCAGAAAAATGCTTTCCTGGTTGCCTTTGTCGAAGCGTGTGCAAGTCACCACCAGGGCAGAACTCCATTACCAAACATGAGAATTTGTCCGTCTCAAAATGTGTATAGAGTGTTGGAAGGAAGGGATGGTCCAAACATTGGAGTATTTCTCTCTCTGTTTGAGCTCGAAGAAGTTTCTTACGACTTGCCAAAGAAGCTTTGTCCATAACTTTCATTGCAAAATAACACTTTGTTCCACTCAACTCTGAGAGATACACACTTCCAATGTCCCCACAGCCCAACCTCTTCAACAATCTAAAATGGTTCACGCCCAATACACCATCTTTTGCACGCACTGCCTGTATAGCTTCCCACCGTATATCATTGGCTTTATGAGGTTTGTTGATACTACTACTTAAGCTGCTACATGTACTTTCATCACTAATATCACTGCTTGTGCTCCCTCTGTTCACACTGCTTTTCCCACTCTCAACAAAATCAGCTCGTTCACTTACTTTAGCACTTCCACTGGTCTTTGCAAGGCTGCTGGTCCCATCACTAACCTTAGCAGAACCAGGGCTATTTTCGTGCTGTATAACTTTATTTTCTTGTTCTGCACTACTTTCTGGGAAGTCTGTAGTCTCACTTACTTCAGGACCCGCATATGTTGGCCTCTGTTTTGGATCAACAAAGGCCAAACCTGAAGATAGCTTATCAGATAAAAGATTTACATTGTCTGATTTTTGGGAAATCAGTGATTTCTTATCCTCTGTTGTCACTATGGAAACCTGTTTTGATGCAACTTGTACACTCTGAGGTGGTTCTCTTGGGGTAACTGGCTCTGATTTGCTTGTCTTTGTAACCTGTAAAGGTGAAGGCCTGTGGGATTTTCCTTCTGGTGTATGATTACTAGAGGCTTTTCTTTGCTTTACTGGGGAAGTTCCAGAACTGGGTTTTGAGGCCATCGAAACAAAGCAGATTTGTTACATAGATCAGAATCGGAAAACCCATTACTCAGCTCCAAACATGTCCAATTCCCCAGCTGTCCTACTTGCTTTCATCTTCAAACCCATAAGCAGAAGAGTAGTAGATTTCCTACATTAACTAAAGTTTAAAGTGATCACCATGCAATCAAATTTTGAATAATGAAGTATATAATATATTCTATTGTCAAGGGGAAAAAACAGAATAGATTCTGTATTGGAATAAAAATATCATAGTGCATAATCTAGGTTATCAACAAAATAGCAAAATGAGAGACAAATTATGCGGATAATTTCATTTACGTAATCCAAGTACAAGAGCCCAGATTAAATAAATCTAACATATCAGATGGTACAAACATCTGTCATCAGCTCCAAACATACCCCCCCAAAACTGAAAAGTTAAATTCCAGAATTCAATTAATTCAGAACTAAAAATAGAAAAGGGATAATAAGAAGCATAGGATTGCAATCGGACCCAGATCAAATATCATTGCCAAAAGAACAATCAAAAGACACCAAAGAGAAATTTACAAATATATCAGTAAAGTAAAAGCATTATACTCTACCTTAAAATGCCAATCTTTTTTCCATGAAAAGATTGAAACTTTCAGTGAAAATAAAGAGCAAGCGAAAATCAATCAATTCACAAATAAATGCAGTTCCTCTGTTACTCTTAAAACAAGCGAAACCCAAAGAAGTAGAAGATAATAACAATGTAAGGAAGAGATTCGTACAGATCTCAAATCAAAGACCCACCTGTTTGATCCACAACCCCACAAAGACCCAGACGCTAAAAAACAAAACAAATGCAAAGAAAAGATAAGCAAAAACCCACCAAGCAAATCAAAATAGCAGTTAAAAGTGAAGAGAAAAGGAAGCCCAAAAAAGAGAATACCTGACTTCAAAAGATCATAGCTTTGAGAGTGTTTTGCTTTCTCGGTGGGGCTCAATGAGAGCACTCACTACACACTCATTCATTCAAAGGACTGTGGACAGAGATAATAAAAGAAGGGAAATGTGTGAGAGCTCATCCTCCCTGAAAATGTGTGGAGACAAGAGAGAGAAAAGAAGAGAGACAATGGAAAAGCTTTGGTCTTTGAGACTGAGAGTGTGTTAAAAGAGAATTGGGTCTACCAAGTAAAGAAAGAAAGAAAGAGGAGGGGTCAAAGCTAAAGCGACTCTTTTTAGGGGTTCAACACTTTCTTTTTTTTTTTTTTCTTCTTCTTCTTTTACTTCTCATTTTCTTTTAAACATTTTTTTTAAATTTTTTAAATGAGTTCATCTATCTCCAATCTTCCAATTTCATTTTCTGTAGATACATTATTGTTTTCCATATAGGCCTTGTGAGACTTCAAAAAGGTCTCATATATTTTTTGGGCTTTGGATTTTGCCCATTTTTTTATTCTAGCCCGTAAAAATCGATTTTTACATCTTTCCCGATTCTCATACTGAATTAATAATTTAGTAATCGAATAATTTTAAGATAAAAGTGAGAAGCTTTATATTAAATATAAGATCGATGGAGATGTTTTCCTATTTTGGTTATGGATAATTGCATATGGATTTTTGGTAGTATGATTGGCAGGCCTTGGAAGAAAAAAGTTTTCTATAAAAAAGAAACTTGATTTTGAAGATTGTAAGCAATTAGTATCAAAAATGTGCTTTTTGGGTACCTGGAATCTAAACAAACACCAAAGTTGAAGGAAATAGAATTTAGAAGTGCACTATCTCCATAAATGTAATTAATTCCTACAGTAGCAAAATGAGGTGGACTGCATGCTTGCCAGCAGAATTATATCTTTGGAATAGGAATGTTTTACAACACAAAATCTGACACTTGATTCTTTTAAGATTAACTTAGATTTGTTTCTCAACACCACAGCTCATTTATACTCTTCTTGTAGGGGAAAAAAAAGTGAGGAAACAAAATTTGGAGGGAAAATATATAGGTAATTTTCTTTATTTATTTTGTTTGAATGAGAGAAAAGCAAAGGGAGATTTATTTGCTTTCCACCATTTTTCCTCATCTTCTCTCTATATTCAAATTATGTTTACCTAGGAAGGTTTTTGTAAGTATTTTCTTTTTCTTTTCTATTTTCTTAGCTCTTTTGGATAATTTTCCTTTCTATGTTTCTTTATTTTTTTCTAATAAATATTTTTCTTCTGACATATAGAGTCGAGATTAAACCACTTTCCGTATAATTTAGAAATGTATTTATCACATTAATAAGTTTTTTCTCAAATCTTAAGCGAAATATTGAAATAATTAAGATTTTCAAGCTTAGCCATTTTGAATAGTTACATTTGGAGATATAATTAAGTAGCTTAAACTTCCTAAATCAATCTCAACTAACTATTTTAATTAATTATCTATAAAGGCATCGAGGATTTATGACCACAAATGATTATGAAAATCAGTGTAATAGAAGATTTGGCAAATACCTAATCCTGTCCCCACGTAGACAAGAAATCAAAATTAGGGTTTTTCATTTCATGAAAATAAACCCTGCCCTTTAGACTTGCATTGCTTGCTCTCCATTCATTTCTTCTGTGTCTAATAGACATGGCATGTGGGCTGGGTGGTGGGATAAGGGTTACTCCTACTTCTACCAGTACCTTAAGCCCTCCATTTCAGAATCTGGACTACCCATTTTGATATGTGCAATTTCAGGGTAGACCTACGCCAATAGTAGCTTATTTAATTAGATATGTTCATCAAAGGATTATATCATTATTTTGTTATTTCAAAAATGATAAAAAAAATTCAAAATTTCCCCTTCTTATTTGCAAAAATTATTTTGATTTTAAAGTGTCACTTGGTCTTAATTGCTTGTATCACTATATACAAGCAACAGTTGATCTGCCAAACTAGTGGGTGAGATCTAGATATCACCATTTTTGGCAATTTAATTATAGTTTGTGAGTAATTTAAAACTGAAACAATGATTTTTGCATATTTGGGTGCCCCATTCAACATTTCACTTGCTCTGTTCAGTTAGAACTGATAAATGACAACACATTTTTCATCTTTTGCTACTTACAAAATTAGGGTTTTATATATTTTCACTATAAGATAAGCAACCAAATCTTATATAACTTCAAGAAGAAACTCTCATCTTACATAAGTTTGGATCTAAGGTGGAGATTTCTTTAATTAGGTGCTAAATCTGCTATTAGATCCCCATCTAAAATCTTTAATCAATTTGCCTAACAATGATTTCTGTAGTTGACAAGCCTTCCAAACAGCAGAAGAGGCCAAGATTCTTTTGTTCTAATAGCCAGGTATCTAACCACATGCTCAATATGGTCTGATCACATATATAAGGCCATAAAAATAAAATAGAATTCTTTTTATTATTGAAAATTACTCATAAAATATTGAAAATCTGACAAAGAGTTAAGAAAATTATTTTTTTAACAAAAATTCAGTAAACTTTATCGATGTGCAAATATTATATACAAACTCTATACGAATAGACACATTTGGCTTTGGACCACTCTTTGCAGGACTTCACGGATTCGCACATGGTGCACTTCTCTTCTCCAAGCTCCACCTATTTTTGTTATTGATAGCCTGATAACAATGGCCTCACCATCTCTAGTAGTATATCTTTTGAATATCTTAAAAGCAAAAAAAGAAAAAATTACAGGAAAAAGAAATCAAGGGGGCAAAGCGAAAACAACAAAAAAGAAAGGACTTTCTTTAAGAACTTCTGTGACCAAGAGATGAATAAAATTGTTATTTCTCTGAAAAACAAAATTGGATTTACTAGTTTCATTACAATCTTTGCTAGTACATTCTTTGTGTGTCATAAAGAAGGGGAAGGGAAAAAAATAATCAAGAGAGCTCAGTAACTACACGTTCACACTTGTCTTCCAAAATCTTCACAGCTTCAGTAAATAGCACTTCAGGGGGTAATGACCCAGTTGATTCAATGGTAACTAGTAAGAAAAAGAACAGATGAAAAAATAAAAATTTATCTTTTCAAAACTATGCTGTAAATAACAAATGCCAGAAATAAAAATAACTTTCTTTCTATTTTTTATTATTGTTTTTTTTGTTAATAGAGATAGGAGAATTCAAAAATTGGAATCAGTTCAGGTTCAAAGTTGCTTGCTACTGCTTATGTATCATGAACCACAATCGTAAGAATCCACAACTTTCGCAACATCAAAGCATATTCAAATACTGGAAAAAAGCACTCAAGTTCACCAGTCTCCATTTTATGTTACTCTTTTTTCAAAAAATCTTTATAGCTTACATGACAATCAAAAAAAAAAAAAAAAAAAAAAAATTATTATTGTTTTTTTTTGTTAAATAGAGATAGGAGAATTTCAAAAAATTGGAATCAGTTCCAAGGTCAAAGTTGCTTGCTAAGCTGCTTATGTATCATGAACCACAATCGTAAAGAATCCACTAACTTTTCGGCAACATCAAAGCATATTCAAATACTGGAAAAGCACTCAAGTTCACCAGTCTCCATTTTATGTTAAACTACTTTTTTCAATAAAAAATCTTTATAGCTTTACATGACAATCAAAAACAAAAAAAAAAAAATCCTGATAAATGAAAAAAAAAAAAAAAAAAAAAAAAAATCCTGATAAATGATAAATCAATGCGGGCAGAAAATGATTGGTGATAAATAGACTTCTGTTCCAATAATTCACAAGGACTACCCATTCATGAAATTATGATTTTACATCCTGAATACTGGTGTTCATGACAATTATGAATGAAGGCTCTCAAGTGTTATGTTAAAAAGACCAGAGCTGTATAGCCCACCAGAAAGGAATAAGGCCAATACTTGAAGCACATTTCAGTCCCCAAAATCGAAGCTCCAAATTAGTTAATTTTTAGTTGATCCTTGACAGAAAGAGCATTTAGGTGTTATGTTTTATTGTTGGATGTCAACCAATGCATATACACCTTTCTTTGATTTTCAAGCAATCACATCCATCCAACTTATGTTCTTAATGCAAGTTACTGAAATTAATTCTTTCTAGCATCATTTAATGCATATGGATCATGCTACTTACAAATGAAATGATCTTTAACACGTCGCAATGCCACACGTTTCACCCATGTTTCTCCCCCTCTAATACATTCCCTACACAGTGTGCAAGCTCGTGGCCGAGCAACAGTTGCCCTCTTCTTGCCTGCTCAACAGACAAATATTCATCAATTCAATGTACAGCTGAAAGCTAGAATCAGAAGGTTGGCAGTTGTATATATCTGAACCATTTAACAAGAAACCGCACAGCATTGAATGTTGTCCAGACAACTTTTTCACTTGGGCAGATAAGACACACAATTTTCAAGTCAGACATCAAGGAAGGATCACATTTTATATGCACAATCCCAACCCCAATAAGACCGTAGTATTCGTTGTCAATTTCATCAATCAATAACATACATGAATAAGGGAAGAAAATAGCAGCAACATTTTACCATTGCCGATGTCTTCAATGTCAAATACGTTAACGGGGCATTTCCTCTTTAGTTCTTCGGCAACTTCATCTTGAACATCTTCTAATAATACAACCTACAAGGAAAGGATGCGGGAAACAAAGAAAATTTACATTAAGACTAACGACACAAAAAGGAAACTGCATTCTTTAGATGGGGAAAAAGGATATCCTCTCACCTCAGGAAGCATACGATACCAAGCAGTAGCAACAGGGGACCATTTAGCATGTGTTTTACCTATGCCTTTAACAGCATGAGCTTCGAGCTCAATTTCCTGTAAAATGACCATAAATTTAATTTTCATAGAAGTACCTAAATTGTGTCAACAAAATAGCATATCGATTTCAAAGGTAAAAGAGGGGGAAAAAGACCGTAATGGAAATTTAGATAGGATAAAGATTTATATTGAAACTAAATTTCAAGCAATTGAGATTGCAAAGACATGAAATTCAAGGCCATGAGTTACAAACTCAAAAATATACAGCAGGCAATCGAATTTGTTGGGAGTTGATAAATGAGATAATAAGAGATCAATGAAGGCAAACACAAGAGACAACCACATTGCTCACAGAAAAGGGTTGAGGAAAAGCAATTCCAAGAGACAGGCACATTGCTCACAAAAATAAAAATTATGTTCATATTGCACTGTCCTAGGGTGTTAATCAAAGTATGTATGGTAACAATTTTCCTCATTTTAAATTCAGAGAGCTGCTGCTTTTAGTCGGCGTGGTTAATTTAGAAGCATAGGGCATCTTGGAAATTTCTATATTTCTGAACATAAGTTATGCGATAAATCCACAGTTTATATGTTTTGCCACATCAGAGCTGTCAAGTATTTAACTGTAGCTTATAGTTTTGTATATCCTCCATGGTAAATCTTTATGGTCCAACAAGGTCAAACCAATACCAATTTCTATGGCCGTCATGATCTTTCCTGTGTACAAATCCAACAAAAATAGTGCCACTCTGCTTCAGTAGCACATCTATATAAAAGCCTACCCGATCTTTGGTATAGCTCACTTAGAATAACTTCCTGGCATTTGCAATATTCAATCCAAGGACAGATATGATTTCAAATAGATTTTGGACAAAATTGCAGTCATCGTTATTTCTTTTCTTGTTCTTCTTTAATTTTTATTTTTATGAAAAAAGAGAAAGATTTGATTAGAAGAAAAGATGACAACGAAAAACAAAGATGAAAATCTTCTTACCTGTCCGGGACCAAGTTTAGCAACAATAATCTTGTCTTCCCATGGCCTGATTGGATTACTTGAGAAAAGGGAATCTTGGCTGCAACTAAATGAAGTATAGGTACTGGGTTTTGAATCAACTTTTTCTGATTCCTTGGCAAACTCGCTCCCATTTGGTAACCACTTCAGCTCTTCAGAATATACTGCAGTAAGAAATGGCAGGAAATTAAATTGTGACACTAGAGCCAAATGATTGTATTTACATGAAATCAACAGAATATTTGAATTCTACCTGTACGACGGGGCTCGCCTCTTTTGCATTGAGCATGAAGTTTGAAAACAATAGTGTTCTTTTCATTTGGGGTATCACTTGCTATGATTAAGAAGGAAAAGAAGGGAAAAAAGGAATTAATCAAGAGCTGAACAATCAACATAATGATGGGGCTAAGTATGTGTTCATGCATCTTTTTGTTAGAAGGATGAAAAACAGCAAAAAATTAAAGTCATACCTGAAAGATATTCAAACAGCCTAGGGTCAGCATTGATAGGAATGAGACCCAACCTGTGAGCAAGGACTTCATCTTGAATGAGCGATGTATTGTTTGCAACAAGGACTTTCTCGATAGCCATTGTGGGAAGCTACATACATGTGCAACAGCCAGACCAAAAATAAATCATTTCCACACTAAATAAATCTCACAGGCAGGGGAAATCATGAGCATAGGTACCATGGCAACATTTACACATCAAAGTGGTGCTAAAAACAGTGACAAGTATGGACAACAGAGAAGAGATAAATATCTCCTTTCTCAAGCAGCAAACTTAAGTATGATTCGATAAATGAAAGTATTATGAGTAGAAAAAGTTTAAATAAACATGAACACGAGAATCTGAGTACAATAGTGTTATAGGTTAACTACCAAGCAAATAAATTTTACCCTGTTGCTCATGGAATAAGAACAAGGATCCATAGTGTTTTGAATATTATCTTATGTGCAGTTTGGTTCTCATACAGCAATTTGTATAAAAATGTAAGCATGCTAGGGAAATTCAAAAGAGAGAAAACAAAAAATTTCAAATTTCAAAATACATCTCAACATATTAAACATAAAATTCAAGACACCAGGAAATCAATAAAGTAAAAGTATAGAACTATAACTGAGCACCACAATAAAATATGATGCTTGCTTAAATAGTAGAATCAGTAGAGAGAATCAAGCCTACACAAATATGCAGAAACAGTGTGATCCCACAAAACAAGGCATAATAGGCGTACCTCAGAAATGAGAATCCTTCGAAATGCGTTGGCAATTGCTGCATCAATACCAATCATATCAAATACCATTTCATCCTTAGTCAGTCGAATCACTTCTACTTTAAAGTTGTCGCGAAAATAATCTAAACGTAAACTATTATCAATTCCCAGAGAAGCATAGGCACCAGAGTATTGTATGCTATCCGTCTGCAAAAACCCAAATCCTAAATCATAAGAAATACAAGAGACAGATAAAGCCATCAAATCCAGACCCTCACACTTGTTTAATAACCAGTAAGATTGAAGAGCATTACTAGACCATCCAAGTTTCATGCTTACTACCTTCCCTTTTCAAAATGAAAAAATAAAAAGAGAAACATTGCAAAGCCAAATATCTGTATTAGGTCATTAAAGTGAAAATTCTCTTATTGCACTCTCAAAATGGAATACTACATTATTATTATTATTATTATTTTTTTTTTTGAAAAGAAAAAATAAGTATCAATAATCCACATGAAACTAATTTGTAGTTGACATAAAGCACCATCAGGCTGTCATCACTCATCAACAACAATCCAATATGTGTTAAGATACGCTCACGTAACCTCACTATTATTATAAGAAACAATTAAGATCAGTTATTGGTGCCTCCTATCCGAGAACTCTTACAATGATAGCCCCAACAATCACAAAGTGAATTCCCATCCTGTCTCATATTTTTTTCAACAAATAAGCTATGCACCCAAAATGAATTACATTCATTTTTTTTTTTTAAAAAAAAAGGCGCTAATTATCAGTGTAACTAAAGGTTCAGTGGGACTAAACATGAAATTACTTCTAGGAACAATGCATATTGATAAATTGGAGACAAGTCATCAAAAAACTAATCTCAGATTAATTGAGATTCTGCCTCTTAGCATCAAAAAGCGTAAAAATGTAAGCTTTGAGGGAATTTATATCAATGAAGCAGTATCAAATAGAGAGAAGCTATAAAATCAACACCAAAGAAGGAGAAGGTAAATTAGATATATACATGAATAGGAGCATCTGCTTTGCAAAAAACACGAGTTCTTTGGAGCTGAAGGTGCGGTGGTAGCTGGCCCATTGGCACATCTGGCAAATCCCATATTGAAAATTTACTGTTCTCTTGTTTGTTCTTTTGCTCACTCATTGTTTCTGCTTTGCTGCTGCTTTAATTGATCAGTTGATTTGCTACTCTCTGTGTTTATTAGGCTAGGCGAGGTTTTCGCACGAGACAGAGAGGGAGAGCGAACAGAAACGGTTATTAGGGGTTAGGGTTTTAGGGAGGAGATCCACCTAATTTATCCGCGGGATGCTTTTTTTTTTTTTACTTTTTAATTGATCCAAAAACTTTATACAGCAGGAATAATACCATAAGTTATACGATAAATTTTTACTGATTTACTAAACAGTAGAAAACACTTATAATCAAATAATCTCGAAACCTTTCACTTTTTCATATAATTTGAAAACACCGATCAGTCACATTATTGGCTGAAATTTTATTTTATTGAATGTTGCTAGGATAGGTAATTGATTTTTATTTCGTACATGTAAAAATTTTATGATATTATTTTTCAAAAACTTTTCACAAATTTTATGGTTAAAAATCAAATAGAAGAGAAATATTATGAAATAAGTGTAATGGAGAAAAACAAATGATGACTAATGAGTTAATTTTTTTAGAAATAAAACATTAACTTACTGTTACTATTTAAATATGTAATTCAGTTAACATTTATGCATTTGGTGCACACAAAATATTGTAATGCCTGAATATTGCTGTCAATTTATCAAAATATAATTTAATTATAATAATATTATATATTTTATGTTATATTTGTATCTGTCATTTCATTTTAAATCCCTGCATTCAAATTTGACAAAATCTTTTTTTAAGCAACAAAATCTTTTATTTAGATTTATTAAATATTTAAGTTGAATGAATTTATAAAAAAATAAGACTTAAAAGTAATGAATTCGAAATATCTTTAAACATATAATTATGTTAATCCAATTAAACTCTTTTTTTTTTTTAATTTACAATTTAAAAATTCACTCTTAAAAATCACAAATTTCAACAATTATTCTGTAAAATATTTTTATTCCATGTTAGTTGGTGATACCTCTCTAACTAATTATAACTATGTTGCACGGAAACTTCCTTTAACTGCCGTTTTTGCATTTCCAAAACATTCTCTGTAAAAGAAACGCTTGAAAACTTTTTGAAAATATTTCCGTAAATTGAGCAATTTGAAAATACATTTTCCCTCTCTAAATATATAGCCGTACGTAGAAAACTCTCAAAATTTTATTTTTTCTAATTAAAATAAATACATAAATAACCAAAAATGCATAAAAATATATATTTTTTTATGAATATGAAACTTATAATTCTTTTAGAATGATTAAATATTAATTAGATTTGACTTCTAGTTGAATATATTTAATAATTTATTCTTTTATATTTATAAATATAATCTTATATTTTTCGCATTAATACGATTTCTACCTTTCCGTTTTCTATATTTTTAAAAATATTATTTCTCCGTTCTCCTGTCCGCTTCGGTCTTTACAGACTTCCACGTTCCTGTTTCCGTGTAAGTCTTAACATAGAATTATGGGCTCTGGAAGATTCATTAGAAGGCTCTAACTTAGCAAAGGATTCGACAGTTGCTTCCTCTGGTAGTTGCTCAGAATAGCATTACATGTAATTAGATTTAGTTTAGAAGAAGGATTATGCTTCTTGTAATAAAGTTAAGGAAAATGTTATCTGGTTGCAGCTTTTTGGCCCTTTTTCTTTTCCAGTTGACCGAAAAATTCATAGAATTTCTCTTTCATGTTCAGTGCTCCGTCGTCGGCCATGACAACAATGTGTTTTACGTAATTACACTGTGTCACGACTTACGTACTACCACCATAATCTTGGAATGTTCATGGAGTGTAGATTTTTTATTTTTATTTTTTATTTTTTATTTTTTTGAAAATTGAAATTGATTTTAACCCTTTCAGAACGATATTATTATAATTTATTGTTATGTTTGTAAGTTCTACACGAAACATAATTTAACATTTCTAATTAACTTTGTATTACGTCATTATGACTTATTAAATACAATTAAGCATAATTGTTGCAAGAAATTGAATTTATTTTCTTATAATGTTCAAAGGTTATCTATAAATATACATCCACACCAAACTAAGTAACAACATTTAAGAGCCATATAGAGATTTTTTTTTTTTTTTTTTGTCATTTATTTCTTTGGCTTAAGTTTACTCCCAAGTTTAAAATTATCATTTCATGTATTTTTGTTATACTATTTTTTTATGGTAGTCCTTGGTTGCATGGTACTCGTCACATTTGAAAAATAGTTTGTTATAAAATACTTATCATATTTATTGTTTAAAGAACTAATAAATATTTTTTTTCATGTTTACCTTTTATAATGATAAATAATTATTATTTCAATTTAATGATTTTTTTTAGAGAATTAGTATTACATTAAGAGTAATATAGTCAATTTACTCAATAATTGATTGTAACTTAAACAAATTTAATGGTTTTCCTAAGAGACGTGAAATTTTAAATGTAACAAATACTCATTATGTTCCAATATATAAGTCGTTTTGAGTATTTAAAGAGTAATAAATGATATTTTTTTTCAATATTACACTTGTTTAGATTAGTTACAATATCAACTATTAATTTTGAGATAAACGGTAATTTGGTCAAATTACCTTTGATTTTATTATAATTTAGAAAAATTAATTATTTTTTTAATACTCGTATATTAATATTAAATGATTTATATTTTAAAACAGAGTATCGTGCAATAAGACAATGTTATGTTAATAATGACAAAGTTAGAATTGAAAGTTAAAAAGTGAAACGAAATTTCAAAAAATTAAAGAGAATAACATTAGTAAGGACAAGTTTTTGTTACAAACGAAAATCCATTCTCAAATAGTAACTTGAAAATGGAATTTTCAGCCTCGTGTTTAACCCATTAGCAAACGTAATAAATGCTCTTTAGACCGTTGCATAAAGTGCACCTAAAATATCTATGCAAAATGCCAAAAAATAACTTAGACTTTTCCAAATAAGTTTACTCTTTATTTAAATTTTTCTATAATTGGAAGAAAGATAGTGGACCACTCTATCTCTATCCATTCAATAAACTTGTTATAATTTTGGAAGGGAGCCAGACACTAGTGCTGTCAACCACTTCTCTTTAGCAAAATACAAATTTTTCTAGTAATAATTATTAAATTAATTTATATATTTAAAATAAAATAATTATAAAAAACGATTTATATTTTCCGATAAAACGAAGAAAACAAACTCGTGGTTTGAAAAACATCCAAGTGGACTGACTATATTTTGAGTCTACGCCAATTTAATTATTTGCTGTACAGCCAAAGCAGCAATAAATTGTTGATAGGAAATGTAAGATCGAAATTTGAGGGGAAAAGTTTTTGTCGCCACTAATATTTGACTTTAAATTATCATTACTATTTACTGCTATAGAACATAGGTAGTTCATGATTACTCCAAACCTCGTTAAATATCAAAGTGGAGTGAACGTTTTACTGTTTGTCTTTACTCTAAAATATAAATATATATATTTATCAATGATAATATTAAATTTAATAGAATAACTTGTTTTAATATTCTCTAATCATTTCCTTAAAAAGAAAAAAAAATTCTCTAGTCATTTATTTTGAGTCCACGTGCAATTCTAGTTTATTTGTGAGATATTTTTATTTCCAAAACGAAAAGATAAAGGATAAAGGTAAAAATTATCGTCTCGTTTGAAATTCTCATTAATCATTATTGTTGAAGGATATATAATAGAAGTAGCTCTTCTCTTGACTCACCGAATCGATGAAAACAATTATAGTCAAGAGGTTTGGGATCATTCCTCACATAAGTGAAAAAACTAACCGACCATCACCGATTAATGACAATAATCAATTCATAAAAGACTTGTGCTAGTTTGTATTTTAAATACGGTGGCTTAATGTATAAATTTAATACAAACTAATTAAATGTATAAAGAGATTGTTAAATTTAATATTATCTGCCATTAAAGTTCTAAATATCAATTGAAGAGAGAATACAAGATTAGAAACATAAGATCAAACCCAGCAGCTTTTAGGTCTCTCTTGAGCTTTACTCCACTTTTTAGTAAAAGAAAAACTGCAAATGTTAATTAACAAATATTTTCCTTTTTACTTATAATATTCTAATCCCGGATTTCAATGGAATCTGAGGTTTGGATGCAATTTGATCCAAAAAATGTATATATCTCCAGCAAGAACCTGTCTGGAAACCACATGGACTATTACCCATGAAAGATTCACAGTAATATCCATAACAACTATAAAAGATCCACAGTAATGGTCTTAAAACGTCTTCATATCAAATATTATGAAAAAGAAGTAGTTGTCAACTTCTAAATTTGTCATTTCTGCAAGAAGTGGTTGTCAAATCCCTGAATGCCATTGAAAAATATGTCACTTTGTTTCCATGGAAAGATAAAATGGACAGTGATTGAGTAAGATTTTCTTAAATTTGTAGAGGCATTGACTATTGAGTCATTGAGTGTTGCATCCTTCTAAAGGAGAAAAAGGTGAACAAAGAAATGGTTAGCTCCTTCTCCTTGGAGAAAGTAGAATCTCCACCCCAGTTTTCCGAAAACCGTCAATCCAATATCAGGATGGAGGAGATTGTAAAAGGTATTATCTACTATGAATCATCTCTTTAGTTATTTATGCATGTTGGTTACATTTTCAGTTCATAATTAAGGGACCAGAATGGATTTCAAGTTGCAAGGTTAAGGTAACATTTCCTATTATAATTCATATTATAATAATGAGATCGATGGCGGGAACCGAACTTCCAGTTGTACAATGCGAATTAATAATTATATTATATTTTTAATATTTTCATTTGGTAATTGTTCCTTTTTACAGGAGATGAAGAAGTGAACGACAACCCAATAGAGGAAGTAAGATTGACAGTTCCAATTACAGATGATCCAACAGAACCAGCATTAACGTTTAGAACATGGGTTCTTGGGATAGCATCATGTGCACTTCTTGCTTTTGTCAACCAATTCTTTTCATACCGTTCAAATCAGCTCTCTGTTGGATCTGTTTCAGCACAAATTGTTGTTCTCCCACTTGGAAAGCTCATGGCTAAAGTACTTCCAACAAAACAGATTAAAATTCCATTGACAAAATGGTCATTTTCGTTGAATCCAGGGCCTTTCACTTTGAAAGAACACGTTTTGATTACTATATTTGCAAGTTGTGGAGCAGGTGGTGTTTATGCAGTGAACATTATTACTGCTGTTAAGGCCTTCTACAGAAGGCATTGTATATTAGCTCTCCCCACCACTTCGGAAAGCTCATGGCCTAAAAGTACTTCTCACAAAACAGATTAAAAATTCCCATTTGACAAAATGGGTCCATTTTTCCCGCGTCTGAAATCCAGGGCCCTTTCACTTTGAAAGAAAACGTTTTGCGATTACTATATTTTTGCCAAGTTTGTGGAGCAGGTGGTGTTTATGCTGAACATTATTCTGCCTGTAAGGCCCTTCTACAGACAGGCCTCTCAATCCTGCTTGCAGCTATGTTGCTTGTACAACACTTCAAGGCAAGCTTTTTTTCTTTTCTTTCTTTCTTTCTTTTAATGTTCTGCCATAAGACACATGGTTTGTCCGCCATTGAAGAAGAAATTCACAAATCACTGCTGGTCAGAAAAAAAAAAAAAAAATTCTCAAGGGAAAAGAAAACTTGAGACTGTTATATTTTTCCTGTCATAAAAGGTGTACATCAAAATTTTGCGGCCTCTGTTTCTTATGTTAAAACTCCACGTTGCTTTGGGTCATGGATGGGCTGGTATTTTCAGAAAATATCTCTTGTGGCCATTCACCATACATCGTGGTGGCCCATCTTGTCAAGTCTCTTCTATTCAGGTGCTTTTCCTCTTCCTATGATTCCTACCTGCGAACAGTAACCTCTTTGTTAAATAACCAACAGAAGCGACCAGTCGCAACTTATACCTATTGCGCATTGAACTGCTGGGCAATTAATGAAAAAGGAGAAGAGGCCATAACAGGAAGACTCACTAGGCTGCAATTCTTTATCCTATGTTTTCAATATCAAGTAGCATCACTTATATCATCCAGGCCTACCTTTTCCCTTCCTTATCTACAATCTCCTTTATTTGTTGGACTATGGGAAGGACTCTGTCACCTCGCGTCAACAGATCGGTTCAGGGCAAAAAGGGCTTGGTATTGCTCTTCGGCTTGACCTGGTCCACTGTTTTGTGGGTTCCTTGGGCGACTCCTCCTAAGCCGTGCCTTTCTTTGCAATTGCAAACACCTTGGCTGCGTTTTTTCTTGGTTAGTATATAATTGCAAGTGCCTAAATCTCCTACTGGAGTATACATTTGATGCTAAAAGTCTCCCATTCATTCTTCTCTCACACTTTTGACAGTGATGGTCAGCATACCCACATTAGTCGATCTGAACTCAGAAAAATTTCGACATTAATCTTATCGACTGCTTATACAATTACAGCAAGCTTCATCTCAGTGGTTTCTATTTCGGGCATTTGTATACGGTATTAAGTTTTTGTGGCAGCTAGCTCTGATGGCGACCTAATCCTCACCATGTTGCACTCTTTGAAATACGGAAAGTAGCAGTTCTTTTTTCCTTTGTTCACTGAAATTTTTTTCTTTACCAATCTCCATTCTTTGTTTGGGCTATTTTTTTTTCTCTAAACTACTAAATTACTCAAGGACAATTTGGAAATGTGCGAGGAGACCTGACACGAGTGGCGCTGAAAGGTCCAATTTTACTGACTGTGCATACAAGATTAATGAAGAAGGAACTATGAAGAAGTCCCTCAATGGTGGTTGGGTGACACCTATTGGTATATCTGTGGTCTTAGCTTTCTAGCTGTAGAAGGTTTAATAAAAAAACCAATTACAACTTCCCTGGTTGGGCGACTTCTCCTAGCCTTGTAGGCATTGGCTCTTTTTTTTCCACCCCTGCCTATATCGGTGTTGTTCAATCAAATAAACCCCGCCCACAACTACATGCCACTAGTACACTTGTTATAACACACATTCTCGATGTACTTCTAGCAATTGTGCAAAACTCTTAAAACTTGCAATTCGTAAATGTTCAACAGCAAATGGGTCTAAATGTGATCACAGATTGCATCATCCGGATACATTTATGCCGGGAAGCCTCTTTGCAAATGTGGCTTTTCAAGACATAATGGTTACATCACTCAGCATGTCTCAGCCTTCTATTTGCTGGTGCAAAGATTTCAAATTAGGCACTTATATGAAGAATACCGCGTCCGATCCTACTGTTTCTTGTTCAGGTGAATTTTGTACTAACATGAATCGATCTAACCTTAATTGTTTTCTGCTACGTTAATTTACCTGCTGATGTATGCAATTATCTGTACGTTAGTTTGGAACAATAGTTGGTTTTCAACCTGTCCTACTTTGGGACAGCATGGTGGCTTCTGTCACTGTTGAAACATATGGTGGTCCCCCAGATTTATTACCCAGAGGGAAGTCCTGGACCATGCCCCGGGCGACGACACTGTCTTTAACAATGCATCAATCATCCTGGGGAGTGATAGGCGCCCCTCAGATGTTTTGGGAAGTTTAGGTGGTCTACTCTCACAGATAAAGCTGGTTCTTCCTGATAGGCCCCGCACTTCTCCAGTGCCAGTTGGTTTTGTCTCCAGCAAATTCTC